AAATTAACGAATTTGACTTTTATAATTTTTCGGCTAATAAATTACGCGAATTAAGCCTCGGCCTTAACCGTATTAAAAAAAAGCGATAGCGATAACGGTAAAGATAAAAATAAACGCCCCCGTTTCTAAAATTTTTTTACGGCGGCAAATTTTAATAAAAGCGATAATTAGCTATTTAGCTTTATAATTATATATAAAAAAACGAGTTATATAAAATATTAAAAATAAATTTACCGAAAAATCTTATATTTAAAAAAGCTATAGCTAGGCAAAAAAAAAATTAATAATAAAAGGCGATTTATTAAAAAATTTTAAAAAATATATAAAAAAATACTTTTTAATTTATATAAAAAAATAAAGCCGATTATAACTATTTTATTAATAGTAAATAAATGCTAAAAAAATTTAATAATAACGGTACGCTTAAAAAATATAAAACGCGTATTATAACGCGTAAATTTATATAGCGCCTAAATATTAATTATAGCAAAATAATTATAATTATAATAAAAGCCGCTTTATAAAAAATATTAATAATTTTTGCCGCTTTAAAAGGCTGGTTTATTTTGCAAATTAATTTTATATTTATATTCCTTAATAATAATTTATATAAAAAAATCTATATAAAGCAGTTTTTCGGCTTATTACGGTTTTTCGAATAATTTACGAAATTAGCGCGTAAAAAAAATTATTTAAAAAAAAAATTTATCCGGATCCTAAACTTATTATACGGGCTAAAGCAAATAGCTATTAAATAATAATATAAAGCGAAATCGCTAATAAAAAAGCATAAATTTATTTTTTTTATATTTAATAACGCGATATTTTATAATTTATAAATAAAAAATATCGTAGTTATATATATAAATAACTTTTTATTATTTAAATTAAATAAAAAGCGCTTTAAAAACCTCGTCGGTTTGCTTAAAACTAAAATCGAGCTAAAGGATTTAAAAAATATAAAATAATTTTTCGGTATAAAAATTTAGCGTAGCAATCCTATTAAAAATATTAAAATTAACGTTAAATAATATTTTAATAAAGTATTTAATTTTTATAATTTTATAAAATTTAGGAAAAAAATAGCAAACCTAATAAATCCGGGAATATTATACGAAATTTATCTAAATAAAAATAAAGCTATAATTAAAAAAATTTATAATTACGCATTAATAATTAGCAAATTTAATTTTTCGTTTTATATATTAAAAATAAATACGGTATTTATAATATTTATATAAGCTAAATTTATAATAAATCTTTTATAAATATATTAATAAAAACTAAAAAAAATATTATAATATTTAAAAATAAATATTAAAAAAGCGATTAAATATCGCAGCCTAAAAATAAATAAAATTATATACCTATATAAGTAATATAATAAATTAAAATTATTCGGGGCTATAAATTCCAGCTACGTTTTAAATTTAAAAAAGTTAAAATTAATTACCGGCTATATATTTTTTATAAGCGGAAAATTAATTTTATAACGATTATATAAATAATTATCTATAACGAAGGTATTTACGGTAATAAAATATATAGTTATTTTAAAAGCTATAAATAAAGCTATATAAATTCGAAATTTCCTAATTAAATTTAAATTAATACTAAAAAATTTAATTACGCTATTTAAAAATAATATTAAAGCTAAAAAATAAGCCGAATTTACGAATATAATAAAAAAAAGCATTTAAAGCTATATATATATACTATTTATAATAAAGTTATAAAAAGCAAAATTAGAGTAAAATAAGCACCGACGAATTTAAATTTAGTTAACGGACTTATAAAGCCACTTAACGGAAATAAATACTAAAAATTTATTAATTTATTAAGCCTAAAAATTTACGAATAATGAGATGGGGAACAAAAACCAAACCAAACTAACCCCACCTAAAACAGATAGCCGTAAGGCTGTGGCCTTTATGTGGTTTTTGATTAAATAGCATATAAAATCTTAAAATATATGGGAACAGTCTTGATTGAGAAAACGATGGATGGTGGTCCTGTATGCTAAACGCAACGAAAAACAAAGGCTTATAAGTCCCGAAGGGACTTATAAAGCCACTCTAAGCTAAGCCTCCACAGCCACTTTTAGTGGGCATCTCCAGCACCCCCACATCAATAATTTTAGCGGCCTAGCGAAAAGGCATATTAGCAAAAAGCGCTAAGGCCTATTAATGCTTATAATTAACAAAAAGTCGTAAAAAAATCCAAAAACGGCTATAGCCGGGTATTTACGGCTTTATTACCGTAAATAGCTATATAAACGGGAAATTAGCAGTTTTTAGGCTTATAAATAGTTACTATATCGCATCCTTTAATTAATTCCCTTTCTGCCATCGTTTTATGCAATTCTGCAGTCTCGTGAACCTCGTAAGTTATTTATATTATACTTCAAATACATTGACTAAGACTAATATGCAATTCAAGAAACTTCCTACCATAAAATGCAGAGATGGCCCATGCGCTTCTCCCTATTCAAGAAGGACAACTCCTCCAGCTCTCGTATCGCATTCATGAGCGCCTCCTCGCTCTCCGGCCGTTCATCTTCTTCAAACACCTTTCTTGCTTTGATCACTCGAGCCTTGAGCGCTCGGACACGCATAACCTCGTTCACTTCGAGCCTCTCGAGTCTACAGTCTCGGCAGTAGTCCGCAAACGCCCCGCCTTCGGGCAGCGTCTTTGGAACATTGAGAATGCTCTCACGGTCCAGCACCAGGGGCGCGCGGACGTGACCGCACTTGGCGTGGCGCAGCGAAAAGTCGCAAAACGGACAGCCGTCGCGGCCAGTGGCCAGCCAGTGCAGCAGACACTTGGCGCCAGCGACGTGGCCGCACGGCAGGAGCATGGGCCTGTCGTCGCTCACCTTGCAGCTGGGCCAAGAGAGCGTCATGGCCGTCTTGCGGCAGAGCTGGCAGGTGAGAACCGTGACCTCGTCTACGAGAAAAGTTACCATTGGGTTTGGTATGTAGTTGGTATCTATGGTCTTTTCCTTTTGATCTGACTTTGCGGAGGCTTTTTCTGTAGCTGTGTCTAGACAGGCTGCTGTCAGATGGCGAGATGGGGCTGATGATTGTACTAGATGGTGAAGATCTGCTGAATCAAACTTTGCTGGAGTGATGTATTCGGTTCCGAGAGCTATATCACCTCCCTTGTGTTTATTTATAGACTTGGAATTTTCTGTCCCTGTTGCCTGTCTGGAAGCACTCTCTTGATCAGATCCTGGAAGCGCCAGTGGAGTTTGTGGTAAGACAGCTGAATTGCCAGCGCCAGGCAAAGATGCAGGTACCGTCTTTCGAGCCGCTGTTTCTGGTTCTTCCCATTGTGTTTCTTGAGTATGAAAATTGATGTAGAGGTACTTTTCTTTTTCCTGATCGAATCTCCTAACCCACCCGGGCGGTAGTTTGGGACTGATATTCAGAGGTTCTCGTGGATCAGTGAGCAGCCTCCGAGGTGGCTCTATTTTCAAAGGCATCGACGGCAAGCCGGAATCGGTATTGACATATGGGGCTGCCGGTGGGTATTGAGGATATGCCACTGGTGATCCGGGCTGCGCATTCTGGTACGAAAGTCCGGGCGACTGCTGGATGAAGGTGGGAGAGTATGCGTTTTGGTAATCAAATACAGGACTCTGAAGGTGCTGCATCAGAGCTGGATTGAATTGATTTCCAAGACCCGGGAACAATTGTCCTGGCATGTAAGGCGCCACTGGACTGTATTGGGTCAATCCATCACCGCCTGAATAATTATGAGGAGAAATTACAGGTCCGGGAGGCTTTGCCACTGACGGCGGCATGGAGGTCGCAACGGTTGGCCGAAACACTTCGGCTTGCGCCGAGAGTCTTCGTATACCTTCAGGTTTTGGTTTCTTCTCAAGTTCTGACTTCTTCTGAGCATCTTGGTCTTTCCTCGGCCGCGAGTTTTCTTTGCTTTTTGGCTCCTGCTCTATATTGTTGGAGATAGTTTGAGCAATACTATCTCCCGAGACCTGGCTATTGGTTACTGGCGTTGGACTGGTTGATTTTGTAGCGACAGCACTTGAGGCATCTGGTGATGGAGATGCATTCGTCCGCTGAGTCGAGTCTGGAGACTGTTCCAATGCTGCGGCTGCGGCTCTCCGTTCGGCTGCCGCCTTTTTCTGCGCAGGTGTCCTAAATCTAGTCCGCTTCTTCTTCTTTGTTCCCTCATCAGCTCCTCCCGAGTCGTTTGGTGGCATGGTGACGATTCTTTCTGAAATTATTTCCCTCTCAGCCGAATTTGCTTCTGTAACTACAACTGTACAACGTCAAAAGATGGCGTTCCATGCTGGAAGTTCTCTCAACCTTTTTTTGATGGTTTATGCCAATTCACGTCTTTCAAAGAAGACAATGAGACCTTCTGGCCCCTTCAAACTCATCTTGTCTTTGGGATTCCTCCACGGCGGCATTGTCCAATAATTGTCGCGAACCAATCAACGAAAACAAAGGAGTACAAAGACATGAATCTCTTCTCAGCGAGTATGAAACACTTTCTACACTCCGTGTTATGATTGCTATATTGATGCCATGACAAGATTGTGGTTTCCGAATCTAAGCACTATGATATTATTGATTTCCGAGGTCCCATAGAATGGACCATATACATTGAGTAGCGGTAACGGCAATGGTGGTCTATTAGTTCTATTCGGTAATCATAAGCTTGCTCTGCCAGCCACCTCGCAAAGGGCGTTCGCTATTGTAGTGGAGTTAGGTACCCAGAATGATGCCGTCTATAGTTAAAGGACTACATTGGCTAGCAAGGATGTCAACGCTACTATGTACTACTTGTGGCACAGCAACGAGAGAGGATCGCCAGCTCGATCCTTCCAGCTCGCGTCTTGGCAGTGTGCACAATCGGAATGGAATGAGTCTTTCCTCAAAGAAATACTTCAGCCAACTCTTTCTTTCTGGCTCTTTCGCTTCTCTAGCTACACAAACAATTCTGTGTCAAGCAAAGCAATCCATACGTCCACAATGCCATTGGAACTCTTATTCAAAGCCCTGCTGCTATGGCTTCTGCCAGCGACCGTTTTGGCCCAGATTTTCGAGTTCACAGCGCCCAGCAAGGACGCTACAGTCGACTTGTCGCAGACGGTCGCGATCGAATGGAACGCCGGTCAGGACGCGTCGTATAACTTTATGAACCTATCTTGGCACGGCCAGACAGCAGACGGTACACAATTTGGCTACGACTTGGCCGAGAATCTCACCACGGCTGACGGCCGTTACGTCTGGGATCCCAGCAACACGACGCAGGCTCTCAACGCTACTGGGCTTGTACTCAATGCCGACGACAGTGATTTCTACTTCGAGGCCCGGTTATACGCGCGCTCTCCAAGCCAAATCGTCACCACTGATGGTGACAAGTTCAAGGTCACTGGCTATACGAATATGAAGAGCCCTGCCACAAGATCGCAGCCCATGCTCGGCTGGGCGGTGGTGATGGGACTGCTGTGTTTGGGCTTGTGAGTCTTTTAGTGACCCTGACAACGGAGCTGAGGCGAGGGGATGATTGCATCGTCGCCGTCGATGTGTTTTTGGTTGCGACTGTTGACAGACATCTGATCTTCTTTTTCGAGTGTTTGAACTCGGCAATCTCATGAGTTGAAGCAATTGAAAGTTGCTTGAGGCCACGGCAACGACAATCGTGACTGCTAACATAGAATAGCCATTATTTCAGATTAGCAAATAATAATGTTATGTTAGCGTCGGAGTCCAATTCAGTACATGAAATTCAAGGAGTGCAGAGTTTGATTTTGATATAAACGGTACTGCGTTGGAAGAACTCATTAATTGCCAACCCCTTTGTCCTCGTCATGGAAGAATCTTAATATTGCTGCCGCCACAGTGACACCGTCATGTTCGAGATGCGCAGTCTCCTTTGCGCGATCGGCGTGCTCCAAGTCTTGAATGCTACCGGCCTCGACGCGCATCTGGATCTGCCTATGAACCATGGCTTCGTCGAAAGCAAGGTGAGCCTGCGTAGTAAAGATGCGGTTGGCGATGAAGACTCCCTGGACCCGAGTGTGGTCGCTGGATCCCCAGACGTAGACCTTGGCGCCAGGCGGGAGCAAGCCGTCAGAGGATTCGGAAGATGGCGGTGCTACAACTTGGTCTTGGTGCATTTGATGAAGATAGACCTCATTTGAATCAGTCTTGAATAGAGACTGGCCAACCTCTGTAAGGTTGATCCGGCTGTGGCCTAGTTCCCAGAGTCCCTTTGGCTCGGGTTTGATTTCGGATCCGAAGAGACGGCAGAGGAGTTGGTGCCCAAAGCATATACCGCTAAACTTTATGTCGGAACGACGAATGTAGAGTTCTTATTCAAGTTAGGAAGCAGTTCTCCCTGGGTTCAGGTCATACTCACCTCGTAGGAGTTGCAGTAGCTCGAGAATCCATTCATTGTTGCCATGCGCATCGAATACACTTCCCGTGATGAGAATGCTGTGTACATCTTCGAACTCATCATATCTAGGGACTCGACCACCCCTTTCGGTGACGACAAACCTCTGGTCTGTCTCGATTCCCAGTGGCGGATCATGATTGTGACCAGCTGTTGCGAAATGATGGTGCAGTATTTCCGCAAAAGATCCGCGCTCGTTCAAGGTATCTCGATCAGGCTCATCAGTCTCCAAGACCATCATTCGGACCTTGGCAATCTCTTTTTCCGAGTCTGAACCCATCTTGTCAAAAATATTGCGCCGACCAGGAATACTCAAAGATGATTAAAAAGGCACTAGGGATGATTATGTCAAGTCCTGCTCCCTCAGATTCTATGGCTTGTTCTTTGAAATAATTATAATGTACAAGTTCTAATTGCCCTGGGTATGGAACATATATATACTTGAAAATTCAAATCTCATTTGAACCAAAGATCTGGCAACTTCCATACCGAAAGTTTGACGATCTTGGACCCTCTCAGTATGACGCCATAAAAGTCTTAGCAAAGAGATCATCAGTGTGGGCTCTTATAGAAATGTCCGGATGCCGGCAGAGTGCTAAGAAAAAATCAGTGCTGTACTGCATTCATAATTAGATTTTCTTAGTGATTACAAGAGAGAAAGCCATAGGTTTTCTTGCCGATTTATGCGCTGCAAAGTCTGTGTTTCTCACGTCAACTCCGCCAGTGACTTGAAGCTGGTACAATTTCTGTTACGCGATGCCAAGTGGGTAGCCACTAACACGGCGTCATTGATCTGACTATGGACCAACCTTTACAAGTAAAATTACACTCCTTCAGGGCAGACAATAAATCGTTGAAAGAAAAGAAGAACTCCTGGGTGGGATCGTTGAACGGTCAAATAACATGATCGATTTTGGAAGAGTAAGAGTACGGACAAATTTGGAGCTTTGGTGAACGAGCAAGAAAATACTTTTGACCGCAGCGAGAAGACAAACTCGAGGAACGAGTAGAAAGTACGCACAAAACGTAATAAGCCAAGAACAAATGTCTATGACAATTATAGGGAAAAGAAAGAAACAAATAAAGAAAATGAGTCGGACTTGCAGACACACAAATTGATTGAATTGGAAGAGGATGAGAGAAGAACACCCCAATGGAGGCCAAGCAGTTACCACTATAATTATGCAATTAAGTGGCATGTCGCTACAATTGAAATGATTGCCCCACTAAATCTTCACCCTCCCACCACGCGAGCTCTGATCAAACCAACAGGCTGCGATTGATCTGGAAATTTTGTGGTTGCAGCCTCTCAGCCTTGCCACATTGCCTTGATAAATACAGCAAACCACCACCTCGACGCGACACCGACCACGAGAGACTCGGCCAAACTTGCCCTCGTGACGAAGAAAGGGGGACAGTGGGCGGACTACGAGCTAGACAACCCAAATAAAACCCGGCCGCGAGGTAAGAGGAGGAGAGACACCGTCCAAGCCAGAACCGCTTCGGCCCACCGCCCAACATGAGGCTCACGGTCGAGCTCCTCCAGAACTCCCCCTCGTGGCTCAATGCGCTGAAGGAGCGCGAGCTTGACCTCCGAGGTACGTTGCGAAAAGAGCAGATACTACACTTTTGATCCAAGGAGCAGAGTTGATAGCGGTCTCCACGACGCGTAAACAGGACACAGAATTCCGGCTATTGAGAACTTGGGTGTTGCTGGTGTAAGTTTCTTTCCCCCTCTCCGTCGTCGCGGATTTTTTTTCCTTCTTTATCGAAGGAAGAGGTTGCGACTTTGGCGCCTGGAATGTGTGCTGACCCAATGCGCCCCTTGGCGCCTCGAATAGCCACAAGATGCAATCGACTTGGTCGACAACGACATTCAGGTGCTGGGCAATTTTCCCTTGAGCCCGCGAATCCGCACACTCCTCCTCGCCCGCAACCGCATCGGCTCGATACAGCCTACGCTGGTGAACTCGATCCCGCTGCTCACGAACCTGCAGCTCGAGAGCAACGACCTCAAGGAGCTGGCAGACCTCGACCCGCTGGGCACGTTCTCGCGCCTGACGCACCTGGTGTTAAAGGATAACCCCGTCACCAAGAAGGAGGTGAGTCATGAAGCAGAGGGAATATACGGCAAAGGCATGCCTATTTGACATATATGCTGACGAGATTTGCAGCATTACCGGTACTGGGTGCTGTGGCGCTGCGCCTTTGTGCGCTTCCTCGATTATCAAAAAGTCAAGCAGGCCGAGCGCGATCGCGCCATCGAGCTTTTCGGTACGGCCGCTGAGCCGACCGATCTAGCCAAGACCATTGTGGGCATCAAGTCAAGCGCCACGTTTGACGTTTCTTCGGCCGCCAACGGCTCGACTGGTGGTCTCTCGTCTAGGATGTCGAGGATCAAGTTGACCGACAAGGAGAAGAAGAGGCTGCAAGATATGATCAAGAACGCTACGAGTCTGGACGAGATCACGAAACTGGAGACGATGCTGAGGGAAGGAAGAATGCCGGCTGGTATTCACCTCAATGATGAGATGGAGGAATAGAAAAGTCACGGACATGTCACAGTTTGGCTCAAGATCTTTACGGCAGGGTCAACTTGGTATACTTGCGCCTTGTGGCAATTTAGAGACAACAAAAAGTATCTACGAATAATACCCTTTGCCAATGACCATACTCGATTGGCAATCATTCTCAATTGTTGCTTCAATCCTGGAAATTGCTTGCTGGACTGTCTGCGCACAGCATTACGGCCACATGAACCATTTCTCTGCGCTATGCTTTTGCAATGAGTTCGGCTCCACATATCATCGTCGGAATGAGCGCTGCTAATCAGCCATCTCTACATCTCCGTCATTGCCACTGGCTTGCCTCATCTCCAGCTGCAGTTGATCGTTTGGATCCGCAGAACCGTCATCTCCATCGCTCTGTCCTTGCGACTTGGTGTCAGTGCCGTTTCCGAGTATGCTACCAATGTTGACGCTGCCGTTCAGACTCGAGCGGCTGGCGCTGCTCTTGTGCTTCTTGGTGCCATTGGGGGCCGGCGCCCGTGTCTCTTGATCCTCTGCCTGATCGCTTAAGCGCTCGCCGCGTAGAGTGGCCCGTGTCGCCGCAGCTGTGGATTTGATGTCCTTGAACTTGACCGTCTTGGGCACGAGATCCTCAAGAAACTCAAGGTTGTCGTGGCCGTGGACTGCGCTTGCTATGATGTGTGTTAATATGATGATGAGGAAAACGAACAGGTTGTGCGCTAGATACCTATGTCTTTGTATTGGATATTTCTCCGGGGCTTGCGTTCTGCCTTGGCCTGGTCTAGTGCCTTTGTTGCAAGGTGTTGTATAAACAATTCCTATCGAAAGGGTCAGTTGGATGGATTATGCAAGATCATATCTCAACAATACCCACCGTTGCTACTGTGATTGCGAAAGCTGCGTTGTTGGAACAGATGCCGACATCCTGGTCTTGAGCTATAATCTTTTTGACTCTGGATACTGTATAGTCTTAGCACTATGAATCTTATGGAGGCAACTTCTATGCCTCACATGGTAGTTGGGTCTGGCCAGTCACGTCCTTTCGAGGCGGAATAGCTGAGGTGTTGTAAGGCATGGCTTGGACTTGCTATTATAATGCCTGGGCCCTTAACTTTGGTGCTGATTTCCTGATACGTCGATGTTTTCTAAATACGGAGAGCTTTTCATCGTTCAGTCAGCAAGACTTGACCCAGAACAAACATTCGCGGGAAGGGGCTTCGACAATCTTGTGGATCAATATTGGTCTCAGCGCAACGAGCATACAGAAACGGCTATTCATTACGTTGCTGGAGTACGTTCTCAATGTTGCAGCAATCTTATAATGTGATGCTCTTGCTTTGTTGCCGGGTCCCAAATGTCTAAGACGTGTCGGATATAACCCAAAACTGAGGGTTCAGTGGCTGAGTAAAATACAAAATACTACACTCACCTCTTCTTGTGGGTCCTGGAGTGTGTTTCTTGCGATGTTGTGTTTTCAAATGTCACGGATGGTCGAATGGTACTTGACTGGAGGTTTACATGAAGACGCGTGCCGAGTTTTAGGAAACGCGATTGCCCATATCCCCGATTGAGTGCTTGCATAAGAGGTTAGCGGCGGTTTCTTAGGGGAGTGGAGGCTTCTAAAATCCACTGCCAAGGAGCCGCGGACCCCTGGCTGCTCCCTGTAGTTTAGCTTGGAATCCAGGATTACGTAGGTATCCCCAGCTATTCTTATTGGAATTGCGCAAGCTGATTGTTGAGAAGCTGCAGTCTGGCCGAATCCCATCAACAATTACTGACATCGGAGAGGTTGCGATTAGATCACTTGTGCTGTCAGACTCTTTAAAGGATAGACAATGGTCGCAAGACTGGCGACATGAGTGCGATGGATTCAAGAACGACGTCCTTTTCCGTATCGCGCCCTCAGTCAGTACACCGACCGAGTCTGAGCTCGAGGCTATCGTTCGCCGTATCGACCGTCGAGCGGGGCGAGGGCGGCGCCGACGCGCCTGTGAGGGAGCAGATCGACGACGAGATTGCAGAGATTAAGCGCTACGAGGACTTCACGACCATCGACTGGGTACAAGATGCCGCACGGGAACGACAACGGCGCAAGGCGCGGCGGAAGAAGACGGCTGGCCTCTTTGACAATGGGAGGGTGACGTGGCGCTACAAGCTGTGGGAATCCTACGACGCCGCTCAGGGGTGGATTGTGGTCACACTTGTCGGCGCTGCCATTGGCATGATTGCTTCGTTTCTGAACATCATTACCGAATGGCTGTCGGATATCAAGTTGGGCTACTGTACCACTGCGTTCTATCTCAACGAGAGCTTCTGCTGTTGGGGCGAGGACAATGGATGTGCTGACTGGCATCGATGGACCAGCTTCGAGCCGGTCAACTACCTCCTCTACATTGCATTCGCCACCATATTCGCTTTCACGGCCGCCACCTTGGTCAAATCGTTTGCTCCGTATGCAGCTGGCTCTGGTATATCGGAGATCAAGGTCATTATCGCCGGTTTCGTCATGAAGGGTTTCCTGGGATTTTGGACTCTGCTCATCAAGTCAATCGCATTACCCCTAGCCATTGCATCTGGACTGTCTGTAGGCAAGGAAGGCCCCAGTGTTCACTATGCCGTGTGTGCTGGCAACGTGATCTCCAGGATGTTCGCAAAGTACAAGAGCAATGCATCCAAGACTCGCGAGATCCTCAGTGCTTGCGCCGCCGCCGGCGTCGGCGTCGCCTTTGGTAGTCCTATTGGAGGTGTGCTATTCTCCTTGGAGGAAATGTCGAGTTACTTCCCCTTGAAGACCATGTGGCGGAGCTACTTTTGCGCTTTGGTTGCGACCGCAGTTCTATCGGCCATGAATCCTTTCCGCACTGGACAGCTCGTCATGTTTCAGGTCAAGTACGATCGATCATGGCACTTTTTCGAGGTGGTTTTTTACATCATACTTGGAATCTTTGGTGGTCTATATGGAGCTTTCGTTATGAAATGGAATTTACGGGCTCAAGCCTTTAGGAAGAAGTATCTCACCAAATATGCCGTTCTAGAGGCAACGCTCCTAGCTGCTGGGACAGCCATCATCTGCTATCCTAACGTCTTTCTACGGATCGACATGACCGAGAGTATGGAAATTCTATTTCTCGAGTGCGAGGGAGCAGAAGACTACCAAGGCCTTTGCGATGCCGACAAGCGCTGGGGCAACATTGTGTCTTTGACACTTGCTACACTCATAAGGATATTTCTGGTGATCATATCCTATGGTTGCAAGGTGCCAGCCGGTATCTTCGTCCCATCCATGGCCATTGGAGCATCCTTCGGACGGACTGTGGGCATCGTTGTCCAGGCTCTCTACGACACTTTCCCGAACAGCGCCTTCTTTGCATCATGTCAACCTGACGTGCCATGTATTACGCCAGGAACGTATGCTTTCCTTGGTGCAGCGGCAGCTCTTTCTGGCATCATGCATATTACCATCACCGTTGTGGTCATCATGTTTGAGCTGACTGGAGCTCTCACCTATATCCTTCCAACCATGATCGTCGTGGGTGTGACCAAAGCTGTATCCGAGCTCTTTGGTAAAGGTGGCATTGCAGATCGCATGATCTGGTTCAGTGGTTTCCCTTTCCTAGACAACAAGGAAGAGCACAACTTTGGTGTTCCTGCACAGGCCGTGATGAAGACGGATGTAGTAGCTCTCCCGGCCAATGGAATGTTACTCCAAGCTGTGGAAGATTTGCTGAGTCAACCGAAATACCAAGGATTTCCGGTTGTGGATGATCTCGACTCGCGGATACTCTTGGGTTATATCGGACGAACTGAGCTGCGATATGCCATTGAAAGACTAAAACGAGAGCGCGGCAGCGCTGTCAACGCCAACGCCAAGTGCGCTTTCTCGCCGCCGGCAGCCGCCCTAAGCAGCATCACGCCAGTTACGCCGACAATCAGTCATGCGGACTTTGGGACTAGCTCGGCATCGATCGACTTTAGTCGTTATGTGGATGCCACTCCGGTGACTGTCCATCCCCGGCTTCCTCTGGAAACAGTCATGGAGCTCTTCCGCAAGATTGGACCCAGGGTCATCCTTATTGAACACCACGGCCGTCTCGTTGGCCTCGTCACGGTCAAGGACTGCTTGAAGTATCAATTCCAGGCCGAGGCGGCCGAGAACCCGAGGACCGACCATGAAATACAGAGAGGCCACGAGAAGTTGTGGGGTTGGATACGCACGGCGGCCGGTTGGGTATCGGGCAAGGTAGATACCCTCAGTGGCGGACGTATCCAGCTTGGTGGCGGCCCCGATGCTGTTACTAGTGGTCGGGGGAGGATCATGGATGGAGATGAAGATCTCGCCGACTTGGCTGATGATGACGGAGTTGAGCTGGAGAATAGACAGATGTGATAGATTTAATGTGTCATTTACATGCATTCGACGAAACTGTACAACATGCACGTCGCGAAGCCGTGGGATTGACAAGAGATGCCCGGACTCATATGATGTCTCTGATTCCAAAGCCAGATGTTCCGCACGCTTTGGGACAGAAAGCTGTGAAACAGTACTGCGAGTTTTGTCATAGGCAGCTGACTCGAGACCTGCCACGAGTATCGGTTGGCTCCTTTCTCCGTAAGAATATATACAAAGTGATCTAATATTCGAAAAGATGTCCCAAAGTGTATTGTGTTTGAAAAATACTGTTCACTTAGAACAGGTGACAATTTTGATGCATCACCTGCCAATAGACTCATCGACTTCTCCAAGGAGGGGAATATCCTCGTCCTCATCATCCTTTTCCACAGGCAAGATGCCTTCCGCGGGCGGGACAGCACCATAAGATGCGAGTCCGACAGCAGGGTTAACAACTTCTCCACCCGAATGAGAGTCGCCACCGCTACTACCCACGGGCATTTGCTGCTCGTCCCCCTTCTCCTCCTTGCGGCCAATAATGACGTTTCCGGCAACCAGCATGGCGGCGCCGAGCCACCAGAGCGGCGGCAGGGACTCTGAGAAGATGGCGAGGCCCAGGAGCGCAGTAATGACAAAGTTGGTCGAAGTATTCATGATTGAGACCTGCGTCGTGGAGCTGCCTCGCGCCAGGGCCTTGGTGAATAATGTCCACATCTGTCGAGGTCAAGTAAGTTGGATGGCCTGAGTGAGAAGGGATATCCAAGGTGCTTTGAGAAAGAAAAGAAAAGAAAAAAAAAACTGCCGCGATTGTATTGGGAGGACCCCCGGGTACACATATAGAGATGCAATGGCTTTGGTGAGATGTGCAGGGAAATATCACTTACTACTCCATTGAACACGAGATTAAGACCAAAGAATCCCTGTTTGTATTTGAAGTCAGCTTTGCCATTCTTCATACAGATTGAATAGGGAAATCATGCTGCAAATGATAGAATTGACATGTGAAAGACGGCAGCGCTACTGCGGGACGGTCGTTTCCGCGCGGGATGTTTTTTTGGAATAGCCTCAGGGATGACGGAGCCGCGTGTTGCCTCAGAGTGAAGCAATAGGGAGGACGGTGCTGTCTAGGTTGGAGTATATATGAGTGAATCTTGGAAAACTTACACAACGAACAATGAGCTCAATGACGTTTTCGGCAGCAGTCAGACCAAAGGCTTTCGCCAAAGCCTGCGATATGTTTGATGTCAAGTCGTTGGTTGTCCTTGATATAGATGGTCAGTATTTGGCAATGGTAGATATGTATTGGTCAATTGAAGTTAATTGAGACGGCCTGAGATAGTGCTTCCCCTTCTCGTCAACGAAACAACCGTGGAGCGTGATTCCAATACAGGCAGCTGAAGATATATTCCATGGCTTGGTGACAATATTGAAAGCACAAAAGATCATCCAAAATACCACTTGGAAAGTATACTTGACCCATCGATGAGAAGGGGAGAGTCCTGATATACGCAAGTGTATAAAAAAGATCACGAATTATGGGCTGAACACGTTGCGCATTGGTAAAGATGTGACAAAAAGAAAGACTAGTATACTTACAACTTGGCAAATACTCCGTTAAAGGCTGCGCAAGCACCGCTCGCGATGGCAAGGACTATCCATTGATTTCGGGTAGCCCAAGGGACGGGAGCAGGTGATGTCGCATTGCCCCCGTCCGATGCGCTCCCTACGGAGCGGGTATCATCGTTGGCCATCTTATCCGGGCGCTCGCTAGTCGAAGGGACTGGGAGCGGACGTTTCCGTACGGACTGGGCCAGAGACGAATCAGGGCCAGTGGACGTCGTAGTTGCTGTAGTTGTAGTTGTGGTGGTGGAGGATGATGATGAAGTGGGCGTCGGATCCGCGGCCGGCGAGGACTGGGTCTCGTTCTGCTTTCTGCTACTACTCCGGGTATTACGGGGCATGGTTGGTGGACCACCTCGGCAGGTTCGGGTGTGCTATGTGTTTCAGTGGATGGTTTAATGGAAGAGCCTCAAGGTTGCTTGCTTAGGTAAATGTAGGTAAGGTATGCATCAAATGGCACCCATCCTCTTGGGAAGCTCTTTGGGGATGACGGCGTGGGTTTAAAGTCCGGGTGTCTGCTAGAATGGGTTCTTGGCGGAGATCAGCGGGGCTGGGGGGCCCAGTCCAAGTCGAGATTCCAACTCAGGGCCCTGAATCGCTTTTACACAGAAAGGCAAAAGTGACTCGGCCTCTTGATCACACAAAGTCTGGAGGGCTGCTTTATCATGCAAAATGCAAATCAACATGTGATCCAGGACGGCATGAAACACCTATCAAATGTAGTAACGCCAGAATCGTTCATCTTCTTACCCGTGTGTTTGGAACTCGATTCACGATTGGCTCATCTCTTTGTGACGTTGTGCTGCTGTTCCTGCGTTAACCCCACCCAATTGACTGACCTAGGGGATCTATGTGGGCCAGAATCATGATGGCTTTCCCTTCCATTACACTTTGCTGTAAGGGCATATTGTATGTATAAGGGCATGTGCAACAAAAGTTGTCGACCAGCATGCTTGAACATCGTTCAGCAAATCATGAGACGAAGCTGTGGACAAAGGTGATTGATTATTGGGAGCAGTCTAATGATCACTATAGACATACGCAACCCCTTTGCAAATTTAAAACTAAACAAACAAACTCTGGTGAGGCCAGTGAAGGCAATATCAAGAGAAATTGCGTCTGTGTACCGTTCACCCATAAGGAAAGAAAAGCAAAACCCATTCTACTTCACAGATGCTCTTGCTGGTTGCAATCTGTGGCTTGAGGTATCCATGAACCATATCATTATCCATTCCCATAAACCTGAACGCCATTGCATGCATTAACCCCTCCCGAAGAGCAAAGAGGACCATTTCTCAGAATCTCTTCAGGAGTAAATCGTCGGTTGCCGTGCCTTTTTGGGCTTCTTTATTGCCACAATCTCTTCTCCGTATCGAGTTGCCCACCTAGTGGCACGTTCTTGTGCTTCCGCTTCGTCTCTTTCTCCTCTCTAGGTGCCTGTAGGCTTGGCGGTGCAGGACACAATCTTAACCTTGTCAGCTTGGACATTGTTCTGTCCATTGTCCATTTTGAAAGTTACGTTCTTGAGCTGAAAAGTCCAAACTTCGTCGCAGAATCGGTATGTATCGAGACTGCCCTGCATGCAGAATGTGGGTTAGCCAGTGTTGAGCAAGATCCGCATCAAACAAAAGTCGTCTTGAAAGAAGCAGGCACAGCTGCTGCTTGCTGGGTGTAATTTACCTTGAAAGTCAATCGCGAGCGAACCTTCTCCTGCAGAACTTCCGTAATGGCCCGGTCGAAGTTGGCCAGGATCTTCATCGCCAGCTGAGGGTCGATGCGGTGGTCTTGAATCAGATCATCTAGAGTGTCTGTGAGAGCGACGCCGACACTGTTTGTTCCGCGACACAGGCGGAGGGTTAGCCACTGCGAATCAAAAGGGAGAGCAAGCAGGAGGTGGCGCTGTACCTGCTTCGGCGGTACAGCTCGTAGTAGTTCTGGGGAGCGGAAGCCATCTTGAAATGGAGCCACTCGAAGTCCTGCTGCGAAACTGCCGCGTTGTTGATGATGTTGTAAAGTTGAGGGTTGCCTATTTATATAGTAGGCTGGTAAGAATGGGGGATGATGGTGGTGTCAGCAGGGGCGGGGATGACGAGGCACCTCGGGAGTGGTTTCAGCAGGTCCGATAGAAAGTCCGGCGTCTGTTTGGCGTTGCCAGAGTGCCTAGGTGGCAAGTTAGGAGGGTTCGCTTTAGGCAGTAGTGGGTGGATTTTAGTGCACCTGTGGGGTTCCAACGACTGATTTCGGACAGGCTCGTGGCTCTTGTCTGCAAGCGGACAAGTCCAGCGATGTCACCTCCATGCCACTTAACGCGTGACACCGCTGCCATTTCGCGTCCTGCCGATTTAACCTGACGCGCTAGGACATGCGCATCAGATCGGTGAAATCATCATTTCTGGCTACCTGATGAGGGTGCCTGCCCATGCACGTTGCCGGGTTTCCAAATACAGAGAACTCGTTAATTTTTTTCTTTCTTCTGTTACCAGGCCAGAAATTCATTTGCCAATCACTGTGCTACTGATGCTTTCTACATTAAATTTTTGTTAATTATTTGCAGCTGAACTTTTTCACTTGTCTAATCATACAATGGGTTCAGATTCGTCATCGGATCTGGACTCTTCGCTCTCACATCCTCCCTCGCGCCCTCCCACAAGCGCGGCCACATCTCCTTCAACAACGGGGGATTCTGACCACGCCAAGATGGGTAGCATGTCAAATTTTGCTACTGAGCATATGCTCACCGAGGAAAAAAAGGCTCGAGCAGAAAATACCCGAGCCGAGGCAAAGCGTCTTGCGACACTGGCTCGCAGCCGTCGCAAGAAGGAGGAATTGAGCCATAGTGAACGCGCTCAGAAGGCCAAGGAGCTTGACGAATTGCTGCGCAAGAGCTCTGTGTTCAGTGACATTCTCACACAAAAGACGAAAGCATTGGGTCGTGTTGGTCGAAATTTTGACAATCAAACCCTTACCGATGCCGGCGTCGAGCTCAAAAAGCAACCAAAAATCATGACTGGTGGTGTCATGCGCGACTATCAACTCGAGGGATTGACTTGGATGTTTGAGATCATGTTGCAGGGCATGAGCGGTATCCTGGCTGATGAGATGGGCCTTGGTAAGTTTTTAAATTCATCGCAAACAAACACAGCAATTGAACAATTGGCAGGCAAAACCATACAGACTATTTCTCTAGTGGCTTTACTTCGAGAGCAGGAAGCATACTACGGCCCTCACTTGATCATTGCGCCGCTCAGCACTCTGTCAAATTGGCAAGATGAATTCCAAAAGTGGACTCCGTCCATCCCATTTGCACTATATCATGGCAAGCCCGAAGAGCGCCAGGCTATTTACAAAAACAAGATCAATAAGAACTACAAAAGAAAAGGTACCACTGGTAGTGCCTTGGCCGGCTTTCCCGTGGTCTGCACCAGCTACGAAATGATCTTGAGAGACCATGCAACTCTGTCCAAAATTGACTGGGCCTGTATCATTGTCGTACGTAATCAAGAAATGCTCATCCTCAGCCCGTTGTCTTGATCAATGCTTACGAGTTACTAGGACGAAGGACACAGACTGAAGAACGCGGATGCAAAGCTTTTCAGAGAACTGCAGCAGTTCAAGTCTGCATCCCGGTTCCTCATCACCGGCACGCCTCTTCAGAACAATTTGAAAGAGCTGTGGTCTTTGTTACATTTCCTCATGCCGGAGACGTTTCTCAATTGGGAAGCTTTCGAGATTTGGTTCGACTTTACTGATCTTGCTGACGAGCAAGGTACGCAACAATTCATTGGCAACCGGGAAAACCAAGACCTGGTCAAGAAGATCCACAAGGTTCTCCAGCCGCTCCTGCTACGCCGCATCAAAGCCGATGTCGCCAATTACCTTCCCAAGAAGCGCGAATATGTGTTGTATGCGCCAATGACAAGGGAGCAGACTGATCTCTACAATGTGATTAGCGACAAAGGCACCGATACGCGGTCATATCTGGAGAATAAAGTCGTCGAGCGGCTGACGGGCGCTACCAATACTGCAGTCAACTCTAGGAGATCGAGTCGTCAGGCATCACTTGCCAGCAGTGCTGTTGCATCTGAGGCCCCTTCTCCAGAGGCTAGCGATGCCTCTTCGCCAGTGGGCAAAAGGGGTCGTGGCCGCCCAAAAAAGAATGCATTCGAAGCCATGATGAATGGCACGGCGAGTGGATCTGTGGCGGGCCGTAAAAGGAAGAGTGAAGTAAAGGTCGATTTTCCAGAGCCCAAGAGTACGAAGTCGAGCCGGCAGTCGACGCCTGCGAATAGTCGCCGTGGCCGTGGCCGGCCGAAACGGGGCGTTACCACCTACAACGTTTCTGACGACTTGGATGAAGATAAATTGGATGACGACGAATTTGAGGCCAAGTTGCTAGCAGAAATGGAGGCTGCACAAAAGCAAGATGACAGTGACGAGTATCCTCAAAATGAGGAGGAAGCCATTCGTGCTGCCACGCTGGACCTTGCCAGTAAGTGATTGTTGAATGTTGCCTCAAGTATATATGCTGACCGGACCGTTTTAGAAATGCAAATCAAGGAGAAGAGACTTGGCAATCCGCTTATGCAACTCCGACTCGTATGCAACAGTCCTCACAACTTCTATAACCCCTGGAATTACGATGCAGAATTGGCTATCGATGAGAGCATTGTGACTTCTTCCGGCAAGATGCTCCTCTTGGATCGCTTGTTGCCCGTTCTGTTTGAGCGCGGCCACAAAGTTTTGATCTTTTCGCAATTCAAGACGCAACTTGATATTCTGCACGACTATTGTGCCGATCTACGAAAGTGGAAAGTATGCCGTATCGATGGCAGTGTAGCACAGACGGACCGCCGTGAACAGATCCAGAACTTCAATGAAGACCCAGACTACAAGGTCTTTTTACTCTCGACGAGGGCTGGAGGTCAAGGTATCAATCTGGCCGCTGCTGATACCGTCATTCTTTTCGACAGTGATTGGAATCCTCAACAGGATCTCCAAGCACAGGATCGATGCCACCGCATTGGCCAAACCCGCCCAGTCATCATTTACCGCCTAGCAACCAAGGGCACCGTCGAGGAGGAGCTACTACTAAGCGCGGATGCCAAGCGGCGTCTGGAGAAGCTGGTCATCAAAAAGGGTGGTTTCAAGAGTATGGGCCAAAAGCTTGACCCTCATGAGGAGGAGCTCGACAAGGAGACCCTGAGGGCCTTGCTTCTCAAGGATGGCGAGGTCTATCAGCATTCTGGTGGTGATCGCATATTTAGTGATGAGGATATGGATGTCCTTTTGGACAGGAGCGACGATGCTTATGCCCGAGCCGCCACTGGAGCCGGTAATGCCGATGGTTTCCAGGTTGTCGACACTGCCGCAGACGGTATTACGCAGATCAAGGCTGCTTGATGCGAACGACCAGTTTCATCCTCGCACTGCGTATTGTGTGGATGTACCATTTGTGTACTATGTAGCTGTGGTTCAGACTTTTCTTACATTTTCTAGACTCGATTGTTTCGGAACGGCGTACTTGGGCTTTGAGTGGCTTTGATGGTTTGGATTACTCCCCGGCGTCAGGAAAGATGAGTTAGGGACCATTATGTATTTCCAGGGTAAAGGACTATACTCCCTTTGATAGATAGGTAGATAGCAATCTATACAGGCGCGACTCTGCACCTGCTACCCCAAATTCCTTATTTCGAATTTCAATTGGCAAGTCACGATAGGGGAAACATGCGATCTCACGTGACACAAAGATCAGACAAGACGAGTCTGCCATTATGACGTGCTGTAATGCCTTTATGCGCCTTCATTGTTTGTATCAATACCTGACAATGGCTTTCATAGACTGGACAATGACAGGCCAAGGTCCTCAAGGGAGTACATCAAGTAGTTTTGCGCCTATATTAGAGATACTTGAGCGCGACTATTGCTGGATTGACTTTTCGTGTTATTGGCCAAACCTCAGGTCTGTATACGTCCGACATTATATCTGCGATTTTTTTCACTGGTTCGTATATACGCATTCACAGAAATGTCTTTCCAGCGACTCTTGGCTCTTGACGGGCCAGCCAGCTGGTCAAGGTCCTATATCGTGGGCGATATGGTCGGGTATGCTCGCCCACTTCTGTGGTTGATCCTGAGCTTGACTATCATCCACCCGGTGTGGATGGTAACTGGTTGGCCTCGGGCTATACTAACCGGCCTTCTCTACTTGCAGCAGCAGGCCGTCTTCTTGGGCCATGAGTTATCCCCTTTTGAGCCCAAGGCGTCACCTCTTCAGCACGAGGTGCTGGATCTGGAGCAGAAGGTAGTATTGACCAAGACAGTCATGATGCACCAGTGGGCTCAGCACATCAGCGGGGACAATTTCTATGCCCAGCGCGAGCGCTATCGCATCACTGTTGACGGAGAAAAGGTTCCGATCTTGGAACCGCTGCCGACAAGACCTTGCGAGATCCTCGGTGGTGAAGATTATATTGTCATTACAAGCCCAACTCCTGATGTTGCTGTGCAGACAGTGGTTGAACCGACAATGACTGACGACTGGACAGATCGATATCTGGAGCTCATACATCGCGTCTTTCAGGTTGATTGGGAAGAAGTCTTGGTCGATGAGAAAAGACCAATGATTCCTCGCCACCCGCAGAACGATGTTGGAACAGAAACCGATGAGTGGATAGGTAAGTACTTGGAACTCGTACATCGTGTCTTCAAAATTGGTGGTGAGGAACTCTCGGTGAATGATATCAGCCTGGTGCTCCCTGGAACGGAAGAGGGGAGGCCAATGGAAGAGGAACACGTCCGAGGGAGCTTGGCAGAGCTGAAGAGGTTGGTCTGCGAAGAGGCGGCAAGTCGACTTCAGGGTCCTAACGGGCTTGCGCAGCTGTGTTCCCATTAGAGCGAAATAGAGATAGCAAATCGAGATGCCTTTTTGTTTTTCCGCAACGAAATGCCAAGATCATGCAAGGGCTTGTTCAAGCAGGCTTCTACTCAAAGCCCATCTCTTCGTCCTCGTCGTCAAAGGCGTCATCCCCGCCGCCTCTCTCCTCCTCCTCGCGCCGTGTGGCCTCGACGCTGGCGCCGAGCTTGCGCACGCCGTCCACCACGCCGACGACGAAGCCCCGGCTCTCGGCCAACTCCATGGCGCCGACGCCGCGCAAGCCAACGACGCCGCCGCCGCCCTCGAGCTGCGTCGTGCTGCCGCGCATCTTGGCGGCGCGCACCTCTTGCAGGTCCCGCAGCAGCGTCCGGACCTCGGCGGCGGTGGGTATGTCGTCGGAGGCGTGCGCGAGCAGGGTCTCGGCGAGCTCGAGCCAGTGGTAGGGAAGGTAGGCCGAGGGACTGGCGGCAACGCACGAGGGCAGAAAGGGCGGGGAGAGAACGAGATCGCCCTTGCCGTCGCTTCCAAAGGACCGAGCACCGCCGCGGCCGTCGGAGCGCATCACGGTGGGAGGTGGCGGGGAAAAGGCCTCCGGGTCCACGGTGGTCTCATGTTGGATAATGTCGGCGAGGGAGGCGGCGTGAAGCCAGGCAGGCGGCACAATGTTGGCGCGTTTCTGCTTCTTGAGCAGCAGTGCGAGCCAGAGGGGGATGTCGGCCCGGTGAGGTGGTCGGAGTACTGGTGTTGCGCCCTGCAAAAAGCGATGGGAAGCAGTGCCCCGGTCAGCAACTATAATTACCCGCGCAACTTGAGCGGCAAGATTGTAGGTGATTGCTAGAGAGATTTACTGTGAGAAGCGGGATGGACTCGAGCCTTTGCCGCGGCACGATTGTGACCAGTTCCATTTCACAGAGAAAGGCAACCTCTGTAGGTACCAGACCGGGTGGAAGAGGCAGCGCCATGGCTCAATTGATCGGCTGTGGTGCAAGTACTGTTGCGTTCCGTCTACTCCTTGAGCTTTGAGCGTGAGAAATGTCGCTGTAAATGAGACGCGCCTCGGATACGCGTTGTAGAAAAAAAAAAGTGGTGAACCTACGTAAAGGTATTCGCGGGGTGTAACGCGGGGTCCTCGTCGTACCGTAGTAGTGAATCTGTGGCGGTGCGTATAGGTACCTAGTTTAGAAAGAGGTCTACTTAATGTTGCTGATCCGTGGCGCGTGGTTAGAGTTACTCTTTTGGAACAGAAAAGTGCAGGACGCAATATGCAAAACAACATTTTCCATCCACCTTTTCATCTTCTAAAATACTATCTTTGATCGTCTTGATTGATAAAAGATCTTCGCTCACATGTTGATGGTGTACGTCGTGAATCATTTAGTGACTCGCTGAACGGCTTGCCAGGCGGCCATATCGTCCAGAGTCTAGACAGACTAATAGATATGTTGCAAGCCGGAAAAGTCCTCCCAATTTGAAAATTCGTCTTGGTTACATCAATTGGCAAGCTAATGACGTCTACCGTTACTACCTTTCCCCCGGATTACATACCTAATGGAGAGTCTTTCTAAAGATACCACAAATTGGCCCCTTATTACCTTGGTGTGGCACGAAGCTATATATATGGTTCCCAGCATGATACCGACCACTCTGACCAGACTTCTGATCAAGAAAATTCGAGAATAGTCCCACGAAATTCAGATGTGATACAAAGGAGTATGCAAGATATGATTGTTTCAAGTAGGAGCACATACTTAAATCTTGAGTCATTGTGGTGTATGGTAGTTGGTGCTTGAGAAGGACGATATCAGGTATACACAATTTGCACATTTGTACCATGCACTCCAGTCAGATGTCGGTTAGGGGCCATTCAATGTTGTCTGAATGTCTTGAAATTCTCAATTATCTAAAATATTACGCAAGGTATCATGTCTCGTATATGACGTCACGCCTACTATCTTTCTAAGTGAAGATACGAGCGCTTCCCAGGGCGCCGGGGGAGTTGAATCGAAGGCCAATGTCCAAAGCAGCAATCGCCTTGATCTCCTCCTCAGTCAGGTCGAAAGAGGTAGACTCGAGGTTCTGCTTGAGTCTGTCCACGCTGTTGGACTTGGGAATGACAATGATGTTGCGCTGTGTGCACCATCGGAGGAGAACCTGGCCAGGGGTAACACCGTGCTTCTCAGCAGCCGCCTTGACGGGGTCAACCTCGAACAGAGGCTTGACCTCCTTGGCCTTGGCGTTGTTCAGCTCAATGAATGATGCCGGGCCAAAGGTGGAGTAGCCAGTGACAGCAATGTTGTTCTCCTGAGCCATGTTGATGAGCTCGGGTTGGGTCAGGTAGGGGTGGTGCTCGATCTGGAGGACGGCAGGGGGGATCTTGGCGTACGACAGCAGATCGTAGATCAGCTGGGTGTGGAAGTTGGAGATACCAATGGACTTGAAGATGCCGTTGGGGTTCTCAGGAGTCTTGACGAGGTCCTCCAGGGCCTTCCAGGTCTCAGAGATGGGGACCTTGGCCAAGGGGGTGGGCTTGGTCTGCTCCTTGTCGGTCCAGAAGCAGGGCCATCGAATCTCCTCAAAGGGGATGAATTCGAGAGCAATGGGGAAGTGGACGAGGAAGAGGTCGAGGTAGTCAAGACCCCAGGCCTCGAGCTCGAGCTTGGCCTGCTGGTGGGCATGCTCGCGCTTGTGGTAGTTGTTCCAGAGCTTGGAGACGATGAAGAGCTCCTCTCGCTTCACCAAGCCCTCGTCAATAGCACGTCGGACACCCTGACCGGCCTCGGCGCTGTTGGTATAGTCCCAGGCACCATCGAAGTGACGGTAACCCAGCTTGATGGCGTTGTAGACGGTCTCGGCACAGGTCTCACGGGGGACCTTCCAGATACCGAATCCGACGACGGGCATGTCCTGCAATGTATGAGCTAATTTGGTCCAGAATATTCGCGCCAGCAGTAGGTATGTCTTACATGGCCGGAGGAGAGCTTGATAGAGGGAACCATCTTGATCGGAGTTGTGTTTGGAGTTGTGGGAAACTGTAGTAGGAAGATCAAGAGAGACTGAAGAGTCTTTAAAAAGAAATAGAGAAAAAGGACAGAAGAGCTTATAAAGAGTAGGATGGAAAATTGACAAAAGGACAGCGTCCAATATTAATTCCCACCAACAATGTTCGTGCCCCGCGTTTCGTTCACGAGCTTGTTCATTCCATGATCTCCACCGATGGCGGGCAGGCGGGGTATTCAATAAATGACACAAGAGGCAGTGGGTCAAGTCGACTCTGGCGTCCATCTCTGATTCGGGCGCTTAAGTATACTGCTACTAATCAATACAGAGAGAGGTCGGCCGACTTGCGCCTCTTGCTGGTTCGCCAAAAACAGTTTCTACCGACCCTATTACAGTCTGCGCTCGCTCCGGGTCCTATATGATCGCGTAAAGAAATTTTGTGAGGTCGCTACTTGGATCGTAGAGTCTTCATCTTTCAACTAATCTTTTGCGCCCTCTCGACCATACTATGTACCTTTGGAAGTCTCCCCTCACAAGCCATTCTTCAATGTTGTAATCAAGAACAACCATTCGACCGGATGAGGAAATCTGTACCGCTCCTACCCACTCGCCTTTTCTGGGGCTGGGCTGGGGCTTGTTTTAGACAGCCGGACTGAGAGATCCAGCCAGTGCAGGTCGGCTGCCTTGCTGGGACAACCCCGCTAGGTTACCTAGGTTTTAGTCAATCAACCGCCCCGAATTTAGAGCCGATGTTCTAGCGGATGTTTTGTCCTCACTATTCAACCCTCAAGACATTGAGACGAAAGACGACACCTCTTGTTGCGAGATGAGAGTGGTTTCATCAGATCTTCTCGCCGTATTACCTTCAACGAAAAGGTAAGTGAAAGAAAAGGCAAGTGATGCTTAAGAAAAAGAAGTAGAAGAAAAAAGACCAAGGGTAGCCCAGCGCGACGCTTATAAACAGGCCTGGCAAGCATCCAGAAATCACGATCATTAAGCGGCAGTCAAGACTCAGGCGCCCACGATAACGACAAATATAGCCATGATGAGAGTACTCCAGCAATGGCTTCAGTTTAAACCCAGGCAGTTGATAGCATTCTAGAAGAAGACTTCAATGGGCGTTGAACATGGTTGATTATCACTATGACAATTGTTCTCCTCGAGCCAAACGAGGTGGAATGAGAAGCCATGTGATCGCTCGAGTTCAGTCCCCTTTGCAGTCAGGACTGTTGTCAAGGTTACTAGAGCGACGAAAATACCGGGACGAAGAAGGTGACCACGATGATGATGGCCTTACGTGGAAACATTGATAAAACCCATACCGAGGCCCCCACGGAATATATTCGATGCTAAGCATAAACAATATAATCACATTTTTGACTCTATTTACACTGACTGAGCGAAAATATACACACGAATGCTTTGCATGTAATTTGATATTTTGAATATTCTTACAAGAATAATTTAAGTAAAAAAGAAGACAAGTCATGAAAATTATGTAGCAGTCTCTCGTCTCGTGTATTTCTTATATTCTGACTTTTATTTATTGATTCATTTTCCTTATACCACTCCGTATACAACACAAAGCGAAAGTCATATTCGAATGTTTATAATCCGATTCAAACTGCAATTCTTGTAAATTATGTTGCGCAACTTACATGAGCGCCCCAAGAGTATGCTTATAGACATGAGACTTCCCTATACTTTCGTAATTCCGAAGTAAATCAGACATTTACATTTCGAGAAATCCTATACAAGCTCTTTCGTTCGATGACTTCTTGGAATTGGAATCTGTGCTTGGTCTTGTTCGCTAGGCTGTTGCGGCGTGATCCCCACCTTTTAGTCTCGAGTGGCCAATCTCCGCTCCCGCCAAAAATCAATACTCAATTCTGTTCTTTTTTTTTCTTGTTATCCAATCTCGACGCTGTCATCTTCTTCCCTGGTGCTTGCCTTTACTAGTGGCGGTTGGGTTTTCTTTTCACATCCCGCCTACGAACACTGGCGCTGCCTCGGGAACCACCAGAGTTGCTCGAGGATCCCGGTTCGTACTTGGAGGCTTCATCCTGAGCTTTCATGTCTTGAATGGGTTTCGTTGGCCCACGGATTATCATCGCCCTGGGTGACAATGAGTGATGGGTCAAGAAGGGCTTTTGCATGTCAAAATTGCAAGAGGTCGAAAGTGCGATGCCATCAGCCGCTCGACGATGAGCCTTGCATACGATGCGCCCGGATCGGCAAGCAATGCAATTTTATTCTAGAACCCATTGAGCGAACTCCCCTCAAAAGGAAGAACCTGGATGCTGCTGAATTGCGATGTTCACAACTCGAGACCCTACTTCGCTCGCTCAACCCGGATCTAGATATCGAGGAATCATTGGCAAAACTCAATAATCCCGCACAGAATGACCCGTCAGGAAACCAATCCCACTATTCTGGCACCGAGGCCGACCAGGAGGGGGAAGATGGAGAGGCAAGATATGAGTGGCATGAGGACAGTTCATTGCAGGCAGCGCCGGCTACAGGGAATGAGGAGAGTCCATCATTTGGCAATCACGAAGACGGTATGGGAGCCTTCTCCACGTCCGAATCGGGATATTTGGGCAGTAGCTCCGGTTCAAGTCTGTTGCAGGAGATCGCCACGTTGCTTCCCACAGTTCTAGCCGGGACCAATGCGTCTCTTGCTTCACCGAGTAAGCCGTCGCCGTCGGTCAATGAGGAATTCGACCGCCCAGATCTGGCCTCATCCGCTGTGGCAAGCCTTTTCATTGACGCTTATTTCTTGTTCTACAACACGTCATATCCTGTCATTCACGAGAAAACATTTCGAAGAAAGGCAGCTAGTGACTGGCGTCGCACAAAAAGGCGGTCAACTTGGAGTATCATGTACTACATGGTACTTGCCATCGGACACTGGGTGTCGGCCACGGACCATACTACTGTTCAAACACATTCTCCTTATTACTCAGCGGCCAGGAGTCGCATGTCTATATCCATGCTCGAGTCCGGGACCATAGAAACGCTTCAGGCATTTCTGCTCATGGGAAATTATCTGCAAAAAAGGGATAGACCGAATACAGCATACAACCTCATGGGGATTGCATACCGTATAGCCTTTGGTTTAGGTCTTCACAGAGAAATACCGAATGCTGCGGACACCATGATATTCGAGAGGCGGAGGCAGCTGTTCTGGACCACCTACTGTTTCGATAGCGGTTTCAACATCACCACTGGACGCCCCCCGACTGCTGCTGATGTCTTCTTCGATACTCGTCTTCCGCGAAATGTGGAGCATCAGGATAATGATCTTGGTACCGGGATCGTCCGAGAAGTTGATCATCCAACTCCCTATTCTGCCATTGTCGCCCAAGCCGAACTCGCCAGGATAGCTAGTGAGCTCTACAGTGAATTTTTAATGGCAAAAACTGCAGGCGCCCGCATCGAGTATCAGGTGGCTGAAGCTATAGACGGAAAGCTCATGGCATGGAAAGATGCACTTCCCGGCTACTTTGCCTCGACTGATGTCCCAAGCTGGTTCCTAGGCCCGCGATCCATGGTTCTTTGGAAACAGCAAAATCTCCGAATACTGCTCTGGCGCGGAAGCAAACTAAATCACCCCTTTGTTGCATCGAGACTAGATGCTGAACGTCGGTGTGTGGAGCTCGCCATGCAAACAATCCACGACGTGGCATCATTTTGCGAAGGCTATGAGTCAATGTTGCATTTGGGCCTCAGCTGGTATGCCACCTACTTTCTTTTCCAAGCGACACTCATTCTAGAAGTGAGTCGCATCGGCAAAGAATCCCCTGAGCACTTCGATCTACCCGCATGGGAGATCTCGATCTCGAGATCTAGGAGCAGCCTTGGCGTGCTGGCCAAGAAGAATAGCTCTGCAACTCGTTGTCTCGAGATCATTGATTCTATACAGAGAAATCTCTCATCAATGGGAGCGTCTCAACCGAACCATAGTCTCATTTCTCTTGCACCGCAAGGGCACGATGCGCCAGAACCTGTACAGAATGAGCAGTTCTTAATTGAAAACATGTTCACGGACAATCCAGTCGACGATGCGACGCTTTGGCAAGGATATGGATTCAACGACGGGGACTTCAATAACGGCGATCCGACCATCCGCATGCTCATAGATCAGACACCTCTGGACTTTCTTGACGGAATACCTCGCGACATGTTGTTCAGCAACCCAACTGGAACGCGATATGGTTGAGTACATAATCTTGATGATGATCACAATGAATCGCATGTATACAATCGCGACACCTAGGCAATGCAGAAGCATGGCCGCATCTAGCTTCTATGGCTAGAAAGTCTTGTCAACGTGCTCCTCGTGCACTTCCGTAGCCTTGTCTTCCGGCTCTGAGGGGTTGTCGAGGCCGAGCCGCCGTCTGATTGCCTCCATTCGTTGAATATCAGCTTCGCCCTGGCTTCCGCCAAACAGGTTATCCATCTCCTCGATACGGACCCCACGAGTCTCCGGAACGAAGAAATACACCCAGACAAATAGTATCACGCAGAAAGCTTGCCAGCATTAGTAACGTGCCAGTCATTGATCAGAATGGTCATACCTAGAAAGAAGAAGAATGTGCCGTATCTAATCGAAGCGAGCATACGTGGTGTGATAAGGCCGACAATGAACTATGCAGAGTGAGCAAGTACATCGAGTTTGAGCGCCAGAGTCCCTACATTGGATAGCCAGTTTGTTCCGATGGCGACACCTACGGCTTTCGCTCGGTTCGCAGGAGGGAAGAGCTCAGACGGCATAATCCAATTGACACAGCCGATGCTGTAGGCAAAGCTGGCAATGTATAACCATATAAATACAGCCGCCGCCCATCCAGCACCTTTATGGTCGTCCCAAGAGTTTTCATAAACTGCATACAGGGTACCGACAATCAGTTGACATATACCCATACCAACGGCTCCACTCAGCAGAACTCCTTTTCTTCCCCAACGGTCGAGGAACATGATGGCCGGGATCGTAGAGACAAAGTCGATGATGCCAACCACTCCGGTTGCAAGGAGGTCAACCGAGTTTCCAGAAAGTCCGATGCTCTGGAATATGGTTGGAGCGTAGTACTGTGTAGTCAAAAGTCAGTCTTCTTCATGACTTGAAGCTGCTTGTCAAAGGGGAACCCGTCTCACAATAATCGCATTGATACCAGTAAACTGCTGGATAATCTGAAGAAGACATGCAATGAGAAGACGTCGGTTCAGATGCCGTTGGACGAAGAGCTCAGTGTACTGGGATACCATGACCCTGAAGTTGGATACGCCAGAGTAACGTTCCGCCATGGTTTCGTTATCGAACACGGAAGCTGCTTTGATCTCAAGGATTTCTCTTTGGAGCCTCCAATCGTCAGCAGGAACACGCCTCATTCTGGTCAGCACCATGACTGCTTCCTCTTCGCGGTCTATCAAAGACACAACAATGTCAGCTCACATACAAGGAGGCTTCCGAGTGTCCAGGCCTGCCTACCTTTGAGCATGAGCCAGCGCGGCGAATAAGGCAAAAACAAAGTACCAATGCCTAGGATCAGTGCCGGCAGACATTGCAGGGCTAGGGGAAGTCTCCATGCTGCCTCTGACTGGCCATCGCCGGTGCCCCCGATATATGCCGTCCCATAATCGATCCAAAAGGATATCATGATGCCCAGTGTGATTCCAAGTTGCTGGAGTGAGACGAGGGCACCACGGAGGTTCGAGGGGGCCAGTTCGCTAAGGTATAGGGGCACAACCATGGACAGCATACCGATGGCATAACCGGCACATGCCCGACCAACGAATATCATGGCAATATTGACTGCTCCTGCTTGGACGGCCGAGCCGATGATGAAGATCACAGAGGCCAGGGCAATGGACCATCGGCGCGAGAGATGGTCAGCGATCGGACCGTTGGCAAAGGCACCAAACATGGCACCGAGCGTGAGCACGGAAACTGCCCAGCCTTTTAGAGTCGTGTCGTTGGCAAGTTCGGGAAAGTTCTTGACCTGTTGGTGGGAAAAAGAGCGGGTCAGTAATTGATTATTCATGGTTAGCTTGGGTAAGGTGATTATGGCTGTCTCACAAAGTTGTTCATCACCAACACTCCAGAAATGACTCCCTGGTCATAGCCAAACAGGATACCTCCTATACTTGCCAACAAGGACATTACAATAACAATCGGAGGCGCACGAAGTAATCCTTTGTATCCTATGGTGCTGTTAGGTGGCTGTAGAACGTACGATATAGGTGTAAAGACATATATCTACCTGTGGGACCGTAAGCTGTATCAGCTTCGGTTGATGCTGTAGCTGCAATACCCATTTTCGTGTTCAGGGGTGGGGAAAAGGTACGAGACGCTGCTCTGTGATTTCTTCAGAGTTCCAGCTAGACAATTCATGGCACTTGGGTCTTTATATAGATCTATCTGCACCCAGGAGTCTGGTAGTGCACTGCAGACATCCCGATATGTCGGAAGTGATCGGGCTGGACCTTCTTGCTGGCTTCCAGGTACTGAAATTGTTGACTCCAAGTCTGGAGATCAGACCACCGCCCACCGATCAATCATACCAGAGACTGGAACAACCATGCGATCCACGATGGCCGGCTTCGAGTTTCTCCTCTGGCAACATGATTGGTCGTCTGTTCCCCCGGATCCTCGACCCCAGAATTACTTACCCCAGACTAACCTAGAAACTGCCTTGCCGTGGCCCCGGTCATGTTATTAGTATCGGAGCACTGTCGACCGACGGACATGGTCGAAGCGGTTCGCGTCGCGAGGCTATCGTGGGGGTTTCTTGGGCACTGCTAGGCCCTGTTGGTATTCTGACGCAATATGGGACATGCCTGGTCGTTCCCCTGGGTTATCTTTTATTTGACTATGACTTTGAAATGGAATATTATTCAGCGAAACGAATGTATTCACTGAAAATGATCATCAACGTGAGGACTCTGGCAGACAAACTAACTGACAGTGGCATATAGTTCATTCATCGCCTCATAGGGATTCAGGCTACACTAGAAGAATATCCATGTGCTTCTACGCAATTCATGTTTCAATCCTGGTGGATTGATGCCCGCCATGACTAATTCAAATCTATACCTGTTTCTACGGTATTATATGCCAATAGCAACCTTCTTTTGAACCTTTATTTTACATCAACTCAGAACAAAGTTTGCCCTCCATCTATCAGCAAATCTGCACCCGTGATATAGCTCGCTGCTCGACTCGCAAGCAAGACAACCGCACCGCATAATTCTTCTGGAACGCCCATCCGACCCATCGGGTTTCGTTCGTTCCAAGTATCTCGCGCCACCTTGAGTCCATCTCCCTCATTAAGTATGGTGTCCATGTACCCAGGACTGATGCTGTTCACCCGGATGCCGTACCGAGACCACTCGGCAGCCAGCGACTTGGCCGTGGCGAGCACCGCCGCCTTGGAAGCATTGTAGGCGGCCTGGGGCTGAGGAAAGTTGACCCGGTGCGCCGAGATGGAAGCCACAAAGACAATGCTCCCGGGCTTGCCGAGCTGGGCCTGCGCCTTGGCGACGGCCTGGGCGCAGAGGAAAGAGCCCGTCGTGTTAATGTCAAACACGCGCCGCCACTCGTGCGCAGAGACGTCGGTGGCGTGGGCGCACGAGGCCACGCCGGCAAACGCGAGCAGGACGTCGACGCTGCCCAGCGCCCGCACCACGGCCGCGACGCCGCGGGCCACGTCGTCGGCGTCCGTCACGTTGACCCGCTGGAACGAGACGCTGGCCTCGGGGAACTCGGCCTGCAGAGCCGCGACCCGGTCGGCCGTCGACGTCGGGTCCAGATCGAAAATGACGAGCCCCCCGAGGCCGTGCTCGAGCAGGGCGCGGCAGGCCGTGAAGCCCAGGTCGCCGCCGCCGCCCGTCACGATGGCGTTGCCGTGGACCCGGAAGCGGTTCATTGCTCGCTCGGCGGCAGAGAGGCCTGCGCTCTGCTGAAAGGGCGCCGTCAGTGGCGAAGTTCCCGTGCTCAGGCTCATCAGGGGAATGACCCGTGAAGTGAGTTCTGAACGCTCCATGATGAATGGTTGTAGTATGAGAATTTCCGATTATGGTTGTGCTCTTCTGGCAGTATAAAGAGTTGGATGCCTATAAGACAGGAAATAGACGACAATGATAGTTTACATGGGGTCACTCTGCTGAATGCTTGCTTCCATAAAGGTGTGCGCCTAAATATGATTGCCATACAAGTGGATTGTCTTCTTTCAGAGTCAGTGGAAATCATCATTTGGAAGTAGTGGCAAACAGACTGCACCGCATCAGACCATTGACATGATCCGCATGCGCCTTGCATTAGATCGACTATACTGCTGACAAGTGCGATACTCCACCATCGGAGCAGTGTACTCCGACATAGTATACATCAGCCGACGAGGGATGGGTGCGGGCTATTGGTTCCACATCGGCACACGCCTCTCCGATCATACTCATACATGCTCATACACAGTGTTTGGAATGTATCATGTACCCAACAAGAAGAAGGAGGTTTAGATCCAGTTGTCAGGCATAACATCTACAGAGTCACTAGCCAATCCTGGAATGAAATAGTAGAATTTGGGCGAAGGGAATATGGAAATCTAGTGCTAAAGTCTGATATGAGACGTTTTCGTTTCCGTGACCAACAGCGAAGCAGTCAAACGTTACTGAGTCTGACGATTCACGAAAGATATAGTCATGGAATCCGTTTACTCATTGCTCACTCAACGCGCCGTCGCATTGCAGCAAGCAGCCAGAACCCAGAACAGTACAGACTCCCAGAAATGGCGAATTATCATAGCTCTAGCAGGACCGCCAGGCTCTGGGAAATCCACCATTGCCCGGGAAGTCGCACAACGACTGAATGCCCTCCACGAAGACTCTGCAACCGTTGTGCCGATGGACGGTTTTCACTATACACGCGCAAAGCTGGATACGTTCCCCAACGCAGAGGAAGCACATGCCCGTCGCGGCGCGGCATGGACATTTGATGCCGATGGTGCAGTCGCGCTCTTCACTGAACTGCGAACCTCCAGCACAGTCGACGCGACCACACCCGCTACCATATATGCCCCCAGTTTCGACCATGCGACAAAAGACCCGATTCCTCGCGATATTGCTATACCTCCTACTGTCTCAACCGTCATTCTGGAGGGCAATTGGCTACTCTACGACGAAGAACCGTGGCGGCAAATCAATCAACTTGTGGACGAGTCTTGGTTTGTAGACGTGGATGTCCAAGTAGCAAAAGCTCGAATCGCGAGACGGCATGTAGAGAGCGGTGTAGAGACCACTTTGGAGGCTGCATTGGCACGAGCAGAAGCAAATGATATTCCCAACGGCGATGAGGTGAGGGGAAAGCTCATGGCTCCTACAATAACGGTCTGGAGTGTTGATGAGGAGTCTCAGGTGATGCGAGAAACCAGAGAGTCCGAAATTTAATTGAACAAACTATTGGATAGACCTTCCTACAAATATTGTGCTTTTGTTTGCACAACTCTGAAAGAATGGCATGAACTTGTCAAAACTCAAGCCGAACCTCTGATTACATTCTTGATACCCTCGCCTCTCGAGGTACTTTCCCATGCTTCGGATGCCTTTTCAAACGGGAACTCTCCCGTAATCAGAGTTGCAAGGTTAATCCTGCCTCGCTGCACAAGACTCATGGCTAGTTCAAAATCCCCGGGCCCGTAGCGAAAACAACCCTTGATGCTTAGTTCTCGCTCACAGACTTCAGCAATGGGAAACTCTATCTTTCTCTTGCCCATGCCAGCCTGCACATATGTGCCACCTCGCGATAGGGCGTACATGGCTGTTTGCACCGAGGGCTCCGCGCCCGTGGCGTCAATCACAACATCTGCGCCATCTCCCAGTCCATGGTCGGTTCTGAGTTGTTCTGCGTTTTGCTCGGGCGTGGATGAAGTGTTTGGCATCCAGGTCCGGCCAATATCAGACCCCAACAGCTCCTTGGCGACATTGAGCTTGTTCTGTAGCAGATCGATGGACACCACTACTGATGCCCCAAACTCCTTGGCCACAGCAGCGCAAAAGAGCCCTACGGTGCCGGCACCAAAGACCACCACCCGCTGTCCCGGCTTGACATCAGCAAGCCGAACTGCGTGAACGGCAACGGCCAGAGGCTCCAATAGTACGCCCTCCTTCATTTGCAGATTATCTGGAATCTTGTAGCAAAAGTCCGCCGAAGTTTTAAAATACTTGGTGAGAGTCCCGTGCGTGAGCGAATTCGAATCCGCGGCAAAGGCCATGCCAGAACAGAGATTGTATCGCCCGGCCTTGCAACGCGGACACCGTCGGCACGGAACGCCCGGCTCAATGGCGACCCGATCCCCGGGTTGGAGGGTGGTTACCCCCGAGCCGACGGCGTGTACGGTGCCGCACGCCTCGTGGCCCATGACCAACGGAGCCGACGCCGAGACAAACGTCCGGATGCCGCCATGGAGCCAGAAGTGGACCTTGACGAAGCGGCAGTGTTAATCCATCAGAATGGAGTATAGAACAAAGTGTCCCGACTAATAACTTACATCGCTGCCACAGACGCCAGTGTATGCGATTTGTACAATGACATCGTGGGGGTCACTGATTGTGGGAATGGGTCTGTCCTCTACCTTGGCTGTGAGGGCCCCATAGAGCAGGACTGAAGGGTTCTCCATCTTTGGGTAATACTACAAAGCGATGGGCAATAAGTCTGGTGTAATGGCGTGATACTTCAGTCGGCTGTTGACAGCTTGGGCTGTAATCTCATTGCTTTATGCCCCCAATGTATGCAGCTTAGGCCCAGTGTCGGCACACGCTGCTCCGACACCAGACTCCCGTGACGTTTGGGCAACATTGAGAGAGCCCACATGCTGCCGGGGAGCTCAAAGTGCGCAGATGCATCGGCTTTCAGTGGTCCGACATTGCCAAGCAAAGCAAAGTGCGGAGAAGAGTCAATTATTCCTCACGATCAGGTGGCATTGATGGGGTGGATGCATTGAAAGAAACTCCTCATCACTGTAGGTACTATACTGTGGGGTCCTAGGAGTACTATAAGTCAATTGTCTCCGCTGAGATACCCCAGGTTTGTGTGCCCGTTAAGCGCTTCGGTCCCATCAATAGCGCCAAATCAAGCAGTATAATGGATCCCCAGAACCGCACGAATCGACGTCGATCTCGACACCTGGAGCACAAGCATTTGGCGTTCGGAGCAGTGTCGCCGAGCACGGCAAGTCTTGAAGGGGTCCGTTTTCATCTCTAGATACACGATATTTATAGAAGGCAAATAAATACAGCCAGCCTCATTTCAATTTTTCCTTCACTTGAACCCTCAAAACAAACCGCTAGCGAAATCGACCAAGAATACATTTCTCACCATGTCCATGTCAGTAGATGATTGCACAACTATCCGCGACGGATTCCCGCGGCCGTTTCCAAACACGCCTACAAATGTCATTGAGCAGTTCAAGCTAAACGGAAGGGTTGCTGTCGTTACGGGCGCTGCTGAGGGCATTGGCGGTGCTGTCTCCGAGGCATACGCAGAAGCGGGTGCCCATGTAGCTCTTTTTTATAACTCGTAGGTTTCGCCGATTACGATCCCGACAATACGCTGCAAGTAACACAGCTGATCATCATCTCTTAGCAACGATGCTGCCATCGCCAAGGCAGAGTCCTTGGCTAGTACACATGGCATCAAGACGAATGCCTACAAGGTTGATGGTAAGCGCTATTTCCAAGAAGAACTGAAAGTGCGCTTTCGACTGACTGATGCTACAAAGTTTCAAATGCCGAGGCCGTACAATCAGCAATAGCACAGGTTGTCAAGGACTTTGGAAGAATAGACATATTCGTTGCCAATGCTGGTATGACCCCCTCCCTCTCGCTGGCAATGAGAAGTCCCCGTAGGACTGACAAATGACTACTAGGCATGTCAATTTCGAAACCAATCTTGGAGCAGACTCTAGATGAGTACAAGAAGCAACTCTCTGTAAACGGTATGGTAGTTTGAACGTATAAATCTTGAGCAATGCATTAACATCTCTGGCTAGTCGATGGCGTCGTTTACTGTGCCAAGTATGCCGGCGAGGTGTTCAAGCGTCAAGGCACCGGCAACCTCATCATCACGGCAAGCATCAGCGGACACATTGTCAACGTGCCCGTCGACCAGCCCGTCTACAATGGCACCAAGGCCTTTGTCACCCAATTTGGCAAGTCCTTGGCCCGCGAGTGGAGGGAATTTGCGCGTGTCAATATCGTGTCGCCCGGCTTCTTTGACACAAAGATGGGCGCGGGCCCTTCTGCGCTCAACGAGGCGTACCGCATGGCTGTCTTGGGCAGGCAGGGCCACGTCAAGGAGATCAAGGGCTTGTTCCTATACCTTGCTAGCGATGCGTCGACCTATACGACTGGAAGCGATATTTTGATCGACGGTGGATATGTTCTCACATAGTTAGATACTCGAAAGCGGTAACCAGATATGAATTCCTCGGCTCATTCCAATCAACGACTTCATACAGCCATGGCGTTTACTTCCCGATCCTTGCTTACAAGGGCAACAATTCTGCCACAGATATCATGCCATTCTGGTTATGAAGAAAAGATCTGCGCCAATGTGCCGAACTCGAGAGAATAATTAGAGCAACAAGTTTTAAGCATGCTATCTTATCGTATGGAGAACGTCACATGTCATTCTCGAATGATTAAACGGGATTTTTGATTATTTATTTGCCGTCCCAATCAAGACTAATCAACTCTGCGGCTGAATACTTGCTAATATAGTTGAGACTTATCGCCTTTTAGATCTTTAGCCTGGGAATGACGGAAATAACCTCTATGATGCCCAATGATCAAAACAAGTATTTCATACACTCTAGACTCCTCATTCCTTCTACTTGAAAAGCAACATCACGTCTTCTATGCAGATCTCGGCCTAAAGGTTGCATGAAACTCAATGCTTGGCAAGATCTATCTCTCCCTCTTGATGGCTCAAAGGGGAAAGAAGGCCAAGAATAGCCGTTCGGTACCCGCGCCGGTTAAGCGAGAGCCCTTTTAATCTATACGCGACGACCCTTTTCTTTGTTAAGCTTATTGCAACCATTTTCACCTTGACGGCAAGAGCGGGATTTCTTATAGTGAATGTCACCATATAGATTAAACGCCCGGCAAGATGTAGTGCTTGGCCTATATATCTAAAGTCGCCCCCTGATTAAAGCATTGGCAAGCACACCCAAACTCGGAGAGCCTCCCGTGCGGCTCTAGTAATCTGAGTATGCTCTGGCCTGTACCATGTCTAGCGATCGACCATGGTGTCATTCTACTCTCCTGAGCGAGCGGTGGATTTGCCTCCGAGAAACAAACGTGGCATGTCGTCCTCTTGAGTGACCTTACATATAAGAGTCCTGTAAACCACATCAAGGATCGATCATGCCTGTCAAATGCCCTAAAGTAGCGACGACTCTAGTATTTCTCTTGAACCAGAGTCTCTCAGGAGTTCTAGCCTTTCCTTAAAAAATTTCAGAGTCCTCTAGAGTCATAGCCAAAGATGCTTGCCACCACATTGCTCACGCTGTGCGCGGCCGCAGCCAGTGTCTCGGCGTTGCCGCATTTTCCCCAAGTACCAAAGCGCCTCTTGAGGAGCAATGGCACCGACACCAACCCGTTCACGGGCAAGAAGCTGTTTGCCAACCCGACCTGGGCGACCAAGCTGGAGCAGACATACGACGCCTTTGTGGAACAAGGCGACGAGGCCAACGCGGCCAAGGTCCGGGCCATCCAGGACGTGGGGACCTTTGTCTGGATCACGGACCGCGCCGGGCTGAGCAACATTGACGCGGCCGTCGCGTCGGCGCGCGCGGCCAAGGCGGCAACGGGCGTCGACCAGATTGTCGGCCTGGTGCTCTACAACCTGCCGGACCGCGACTGCAGCGCCGGCGAGAGCGCGGGCGAGCTGAGCAGCGCCGACAATGGCCTCGAGATTTACAAGACCGAGTTCATCCAGCCCTATGCCGAAAAGGTCGCCGCCGCCACTGACCTCACCTTTGCCATTGTCCTGGAGCCCGACTCTCTCGGTAACCTCGTGACCAACATGGGCGTCGAATTCTGCGCCAATGCCGCCGACACGTACAAGGAGGGCATCGCATATGCCATCTCGAGCCTGCAGTTTAGCAATGTCAACCTCTACATTGATGCGGCCCACGGCGGTTGGTTGGGTTGGGATGACAACCTTGAGCCTGGTAAGCATCTACCTTGATTCACACATGTGTAGATGATTAGTGACTAACAGATTTTATCTTCCAGCCGCCAAGATCTTTGCCGAGGTGGTACAAAAGGCAGGTAATAATACCAAGATCCGCGGCTTCTCGACCAACGTGTCCAACTACAACCCGTTCCTGGCCAACCCGCGTGAAAACTACACAGAGTACAGCAACTCGTATGACGAGTCGCACTACGCGTCATCATTGGCGCCGCATCTTGAGGCCAACGGCCTCCCTGCGCGCTTCATCATTGACCAGGGCCGCGTCGCTCAGTATGGCGCGAGGGCCGAGTGGGGAGACTGGTGCAATGTTGCCCCTTCAGGCTTTGGCGCCGTGCCCGGCACGACCATCAACAACACCCTCGTGGACAGTCTCGTGTGGGTCAAGCCCGGCGGCGAGAGTGACGGTGAGTGTGGTCTGGCGGGTGCTCCCAAGGCGGGCGTATGGTTCGATGACTATGTCCAGATGCTCGTCAAGAACGCAGATCCGACGGTCGAACGTGCGGCCTCCAAATAGTCTGGTCTTGGAAAGGAACATTCTAATGTGTAGAACGTTTCCTCTAATAGAAATGATAGACTTGATCATTCTCCAGTGCCAGCATGCAAAAGTTAGTGGACACGGTATAACCAGTTTGATCTTCTTGTTTGACAATGTATAAACATCAGTCCTCTACTCTTGTAACTTCGCAATGGACAAGGGCCAAGACTCTGCGTACTGAACGTACTGTACCACGCCCGACAGTAAAAAGAACTATCTTGAAAAGAGTAAAAGAAACCAGAACGTGAACGTCGTAAGCATAACCTACTCTTGGACGTTGGGTATCTAATACAAGTGTGAAGAACACATGAAGGAAACGAGAGGGTATTCAACACCTCAACCAGAAAGATTTTGTGGTATGACGAGTCTTTGCTTCATCATACCCAGCTCCGAGCTCTTCGCCCATGTCCCATCTGCCTTTTGACGGTAGCACATTAACTTCCCTTCATCGCCAACGCTTCCAAGGATTTGACCGTCATCATCGAATCCAACTCTCCAGACGGGTGATCGATGACTCTCCAGCTTCGACAACTCACGAACAGTGTGGTTGATCTGACCCACTTGACCCGTGTTTGACCTCTCGGCGTGAGTTCCCGACTTGTCCAGCTCGGCTCTTATACCTGAATGTGCCTGTTGAGGCCCTTTGGGCTGATTGTTGTTCTGTGCCGGCGTAGAGGGTCCAGCTTGTCCTGCTGTCTCTGCCTTGTCCTTGCCCGTAATGTCTGCTACAGCCCAAGATCTACCATCATCCTTGTTGTACGGCGTATCAATTCGGAACACTCTTACAAAGCCATCCTGGCAGGCCGTGGCTATCATGTCGTGTCCACGGAAGTTTCCAGGTGCCCAAGCAACATCGCGAACTAGACCTCTATGTCCCTTGATCTCAATTGCTTGGTAAAACTCCCTGGCTCGCGTGGCTGCGCCAAAGGAGCTAGCCACAATATCCCGTGATCGAAAGACCTTGACTGTGGTCATGCCAGCAACCACGAGACTCAGTGCGTCTGTCGGGACACCTGCTCTGAGGGCCTTGTAACATGGCTCCGGATTTGGGTCGAAACGGACCTTGAAGCAGGTCTCCTCACCGCGACTTGGCTTGGGGAGAGCTTGGAATTCATCAACCTCGGAATAATCTGCCAAATTCTCAGGTTCCTCGCCCTCGTGTACCGAGAGCCGACCATCAGCGCAAAGGAATGCAAAGTAAGTGTATCTGGTCTCCTCATTGTGCTTCATGGAAAAGGAACGGTAAGGCGACTTGTTGGACCTGCTCTCGAATGCTGCCCTTGGGTTGTTGTTCTTGGCACTGAAGCGCCTTCCAGGTGCAGCCGTGTCATCTTCCGCCCAGAGCTTGAAGCGACCTTCTATTCCAAGTGAGGCGACAATGTTTGGATAGACTGTAGGTGGCAGCCATTGCAGCTAAAAGATTCCTCGGGTCAGCCATGAGTTCCATGAATTGGTGCTGTGATCACAGCCACGTCTTGATGTGAGAAGACGGAACAACCCACCTCGAGGATCTCCCCAGGGTGTGCGCTCCATGAGTCGGACAGTTGCCAAATCCCATCCTTGCGGCGGTTGAAAATGCGAATCTGGCCATCGACGGAGCCCGTAGCACAGCGATCACCATAGGCATTGAAGGCGATAGCTTGAAGGAGATCGGACGACCGGTGTGCAATCAGATCAAAGCTTGCGCTTTCATCCGTCACAGGCGGCACGTCATCTAATGGAAGAGGCATCTTGATAAAAATCAATGTGCCATAACCAATGGTTTTCTGGGTACGCCGTTGCCAGTCACGGCTTCAATAGCGACAGATGTCCTTTTGGCGTTCAAGGACCTCGAAAGGCCGGGTGTATTTCGCACGTGTGTAGGCTGGGGGGTTTGACGTAAGGACAGGGATTCCAGTGAATGCAGGTACGGATTTGTTACTATGTATTGCATAGCGGGGTTGTCAATGGACCATAGCGTACAACAAGCAACGCTAACCACGCTGAGTATGTACCTAGGCAAGCACTAGAAGGTCCAGGCTTGACAGGTGCTTTGCTGCATGTGGGCGAAGCGGACATGTACTTTCACACCTAATTCCAGATAGCTATCTCCCATTCGTGCGCCATCAAACTATAACTTGGAAGTGAGATATCCTTGTGAAGCGTTGTACAATAAAATGTTGAAATTTTAAAATGCAGAACTATATCTGGAGATTTGAAGTAAGCTTCAACAAGGCAGATTGACAGTAAGTATGCAGTGTGCACAAGGAGCCCTTGTCAATGATTTTGTATCTTGCCTGCTTGATGCAAGCAAATCTTTGGTTCAAAGAAAGGAGAAGACAACCCTTCATCCTATCGTGAGACTGTATTTATTCATCTTCAAAGTTGAGTCAGCATGGCGACCGATGAATAACGAGATCATGGCATGTAAACATTGAGAGCCATTGCTTGCTCACACATGAAATCTCTCGACCTTGAGAGAAGGAGTAATCAGCAAATGCTTGCGTATCAGGGTACTAAATTTAATACAAATACGCAGCACACGAACCTCTTTCAACTCGCCGGATCGCCTTAATTAAGATGATTGAATTGCTAGATATAACGAAACACTATGGCCAGTGTCAGTGGTCTCGAAGTGAAGTATCTTTGGTGTATAATCCACTCACTGTTGTTCTTGACGCTGCGTTTCATGGCCACTGGTTTCCCGTCTTCGTACTCGATGCCCGCTTCGCCACCATCTCCCGACAGACCCGACATCTTTAATCTCATCTCCTCGTCAAGTTCTGCCATGGTCTTTGATTTGCAGCTCTTTTGCGACTCTGCTGGCGCGTCCTTCATTGGCGATTTATCGTGTTTGGGCGGTTCGCCGTCTTGTTGCGCTGTTATGGGCGACGCCGAATTGCTGCTCGACCATCTCGCTTGCAGTGCCGCTGCAGTTGGTGAAACTCGATTTGGCGTTGTTCTGATTGTCGTTCGTAGCATGATATAAATCGATTATCATTTGATTTTATTGTGTTCTGAATCCTCGACGATTTCAAGTCTACCATGAGCTATTCTGGAAAGTTGATATTGGTCGAATCATCCTGTGTGCTGCGATGATCATGACGTCAGAACGACCTTTTATGATTGCGGCTCAAGCAACTAAACGATGAATACATTTTCTTATGTTTCGGGGAATGGCAATTGAAGTGTTCTTATATTTTACTCCTTGCCTTTCTTTTCCTTCCTTTCTACTGTCACTCAAAGTTGAGCAGGTATGCAGCATTACAGTACAAATCCAAGGCGTCGTCTCTCATAAAACATGAGCCTACTGTTTATTAGATTTCAAATCATAGAAGATCTCAAAGAACGAGTGACTATTTATCAAATTCGTTGGCTGTAGTTCTACAAAGGCATCATAATATCATGGCATTTGTAAAGACTTCACATCAATTAACTTCCACATTTTAGAGAATTCCAATACAAATCATAACTTCAACTGGGCTTATGATCGCCACCTTGACTTGCATTCCATTCCAACGTGGCGCAGGAGACAATGCCGCTGGGACACAAGTCGACCTTTCGATCTTACCCATTCTTTGTCCCCTCAAATGTCTAAGCAGATGGGATGGCCGCTTGCGTCCTATTCTCATACGTCTGGTCTAGCTTACCTTAGAAATGTCATTTATGCATATACGACCATGTATATTCCCATCGTCGGCCCTCGTGGGCCTTTCAACCGGCCATGATGATCCGCCACAACCATGAACGAAATCAACCGGATTAGCGGAGCCGCCTGGTCACGGTATCTACAATGGGCCGAGGACTATTTCCTCTTTCCCACCTCCTCCAAGAAGCCGCTCGCCTCCGTGGTCGCGTTTCGCTTCGCCGGGCTGAACAAGACCCTCGTCGTACGGAATAAGAGTAATGCCGTCTATACTGGCGCCAGCATACGGGCTCTCCTGATCCGCATCACCGACTCGGGCGAGCTGAACCAAGCAGAGAATTTTCTGACCGAATTAGATTTTGGGACTTGCGTCCTGGAGCTTTTTGATGGTGACGACATTTCCGCTTGCTTTCATGCCCTTTCCCCCGTCTGCTACTTCTTTCACCTTTCTTCCCTCTGTCCTCTCTCAAAGCTGACACAGACAGATCGAGTTCTAGGAAGCTCGTGGCCAGAATGGAAGGTGGAGGCCAAAGAAATCGGGTGTTCCTCAAAATGGTATTCAGAGGTACTAGGCTGGTCCGATGGTCAAATCAAGGAAGAGTTTGGCCTGGGGTCAAGATCGGGCCCATCAATAAACGTAGCGACGCCTGTGTGACTTATCAATCTACAGATAGATCAATTCATTTTCTTGACAATAGTATAACATGAGCCAGAAGCATGTGCAGGCGCAATGCCCCCAATTTTAGTGGTCTTAAGCAAAAAAATACAGGATAACGATCGTAGAATGAACCGACCATAAAATTCGCAAACATGTCACGGGTATTTAGAGCATGGCATAAAGGGACGAGTATGTTGTTCATGCACAAATTCGTCATTCAGATCTATCTATTCTTTATTGAGCGTGTCCCAACCTAACACGCCTGGTGATGGGAATCTTCATGTATCCGCATTACGTTCGCATCATAAAAACATCATGTCTCCCTCCCTATTCTGCTGAGCTTTTATTTTATTTCTCCTCCGTCTCGGGCTGAGGGGCATCGGCGTCGGCCATCGGCTCATCCTTACTGGCCTCTGACTCCTCAGCCTTCTTGGCCTCTGCCTCAGCACGCTTTGCTGCACCCTCAGCATCAAGCTTGGCTTGCAGAGCAGCACGCTCCGACTCAATCTTGTCAAAGTGTCGTTGGCTGATGGGACCAGCCATGGCCTTGATCTCGTCCATCTTGGCAATGTACACAGCCTTGGTGGCATCCTCTCCGTCCTCGTACAGCCAGTCCTAGGAAGGATTAGTAAAATGTAACATGAAATAAGAATTGTGCGTTTTGTTGGATAACTTACCTCAGTCTCAGTCAACTTCGATCGGAGCTTGTCCTTCTCATCCTCGCTAGCAAGCTCGGCAAATTGGTCGTCAAGCTTGTTACGCATGTCGTAAATGTATGCCTCGAGCTCGTTCTTTTTCTCCTCAGTGTCGGCGACAAGCTTGTCCTCCATAACCATGTTGGCTTCCTTCTCAGCGGCAGCGTTCTTGGCAGCCTCGTCAAGGGAGGTGGTACCAGCCACAATGGGCAGGTCACCCTTGCGGACCTGCTTCTTGACCTTGCGGGTCTTGGGCTTGTCGTCCTTCTTGTCGTCGGTCTCCATGGCATCACCGTCACCCTCCTCCTTCACCTCCTCCTCAACTTCCTGGTCCTCGACATAGTAACCGCTCTCGACGTTGAGTATACCGTGGATGTTGACGCGGGCCTTGAGCTTGCAGATCATGAACTCAGTCTTGGGGTCGGCCTTGACGCCCTTGACGGAGAATCGGCCAATGAAAGGCGACATCTTGCCGGGCAGATCCTCGGGCTTGGCGTACCTAGCCTCCAAGTCAAAGGCCTGCTTGCGGTAGAAAGTCAAGATCTTGGTGGAAGGCAAGACGTTGCCCTTGTTGAAGACGGTCAAGCTAGTGTCCTCATCAGGAATGTCGGCGTCCTTCTCCCACGAGAACTCGATGGGGTAAGTGCAGATGTCCTGAACGGCAAAGTCACGGACCTTGAAGACAGGCGAGAGGATAGCGCAGCTAAAGGCACAACCCCTGGCGATAGCCTCGTCCTGGTTGAGAGTGAAAGAGAGGGGCTTTCCGAAGAAGGCCTGGATTCTCTCCTTCAGGGAAGGAACACGTGTGCAGCCACCAACAAGCTCAATGTAGTCAACGTCCTCCTTGGTCAGCTTGGCCTCGGCGAGAGCCTGCTCGAGAGGAACAGTAGCCCTGCTGAGGAGCGGCTCAATGAGAGCCTCAAACTCCTGACGGGTGATCATGCCAGTAACGTCGACATCGTTCATGAGCGACTCAATGTTCAGGGGAGCCTGCTGGTTGGCAGAAAGAATCTTCTTGAGCTTCTCGACAGCAGCATCAACACGGACCATAGCCTTGGGGTTGGTGGCAATGTCAATCTTGTACTTGGCCTTGAACTCCTTGGAGAAGTGGTTAACCAGAGCCAAGTTGAACTCACGACCACCGAAATGTCTGTCGTAGGCTGTCGACTTGACGACGAGCTCACCCTTCTTGAACTCGACGATGGAAGCAGTGTAGTTGCTGTGGCCGATGTCGACAAAGCAGACACGGCGAGGCTTCTCCTCAGGACCGGGGAGATCCAGCTTTGTGATACCATAGCCGAGGGCGGCAGCGGTTGTGTCGTTGATGAGGCGAAGGGGTCTGAGGCCAGCAATCTCGGCGGCATCAATCAGAGCCCGGCGCTGGATGTCGGTGAACCAGGCAGGCACGCTCAGCACCAGGTCATTGACGGGAAGTCTGAGCTCGGTGGAGGCAGTCTGCTTGATCTTGCTCAGATACATGGCACATAGCTCAGTGGCTGTGAACCTCCTCTTCTCGCCAAGGTATGAGACCTCAGCACCGACCTGGCCGTTAACATCGACGAGGGTAGCCGAGACATATTGCTGCTCGATCTGCACATCGGGGTCCTTGAAACTCCGGCCGGCAAGGCGCTTGAGAGAGCTGACGGTGTTCTTGAGGTTGGAGATCTCCTGGGTCTTTGCAGGCTCACCCAGGTATCTGTTCTTGGAGCTGAATCCTACGAGGGAACTGTGGGGTGGAGCACGGTCAGTACGTTTGCGCAAGTGTATGGAGGGGTTTGGGCAGGATAAGCTCAAATGTGTATAGTACATACGGAGTAGCTCGGTTGGAGACTTCGTTGGCAATCTGGGAAATGTCAAGTCAGAGACAGATGCGCAAAAGACGCGAGCGCATGCCCACGATGGCATGCAAGCAAGCAGACTGGGCAGTACTTACAACATCAACACCCCGGTTTCTCGCAACAGCGATCACGGTGTTGAGGGTACCGAAATCGACACCAACGACGCTCATCTTTGCTTTGTTCTTTTTGTCGCAGGAAAGGGAGTGTTAGGTCTAGAGTCGAATTCTCGAAATGCGACTTCTGCGAAAAGAAACGGCGAAGAAAAATGTGGTTTGCGGCTGATTTTTTTTCAGAGTATTGGAGAATGTACGCAGAGAAAAAAAAATAGCTGCTGCCCGAGAGGGAGGTTGTGTCAAGCAAAAGGTGGGTAGGTAGGTGAGGCTGCCCGCCTCCAGCGCAATTCTCTGATCTCCCCTCCTCTAGGGCCACCCCACTGTCGCCGCCTAGCAACGTGGTGTGCTCTTGAACCATCCAGAACTTTCGAGCAAAACACACACACACACACAAGTGGACTGAAAGTGGCTTCTTCGCTTCTGTGCACTACAAATGGTAATACGTGCAAACCTCACATGCTTTTCTTTGGTAGTCTTCGCATTCCATCTAATGAGTGATTGCTACAGGATGCTATTCTAGGCTTTTGCTGTGCATATTCTTCTACATTCTTCTTACACCACCTGGACCTTCTTCACAATTCCGAAGACATATACTGGCATGCAATGGAAGTGCCACAGGCTATTGTGACCCATGCAAGGCGTTCTTGCTCGAAGCTACCAGCCAAGTCATCGCAACATGCAGGGCCACGAAGCGCACATCGCAATTCGCCCTGGGAACATAAGAAAAAAGGTGGTTGACCCAAACAATGACTTCAGAGGTCGACTTCGACTCATCCCCAGCTATGGCTGCTGCTATGTTATCAACATCCATTAATTTGTAGAATTGGCCCGATTCAAGAGATCCAACTCGCTCCATACGTTCGTCATAAGAATGGGTCTCTTCTCTAGTGCAGAGGCCCTTGGTGTTTCACTTGATACACTCCAGGAGTGTGAATCATGGGGGAGGGGAGCGAGTAGTGGAAGGGGCCACTCATCAACCAAAAATTCGACCCGCCGCTTTTCTGACCGCCCCGCGTTTATATTTTTCATCCCTTCTCTAGTGGAAACGGAGTCGCCTATTGAAATACTCGATGCATGACTTGCCGGCACGAAACCCGGGCACCAGTGCCTAGTAGGGCGCAAATTTCAAGGGTAAATCTATATTGACTCGTCATTTTCAAAGTCTCTTATTGCAAAATTTCTGGTCTTTGCTTTGCCAGATTCTGCTAGTACGCCACTCAGGTACCCTCGCCAAGCTCGCAACTTGAATCACTAAACCTAGGCTGCCTAATCCAGTATCTGCTTGTTGTCTGCCCATGACGGCTCAATGCCACGACACACGCTCTCATAATCCTTGAACTTCTGGGAGTCGGTCGAAAGTTCTGGTGTTGTCCAGAACATGGTCCAGTTCATATCCGGAATCTTCATCGTGCCCCTGGACCTTTCGAAATACCACTTGTTGACCGGATTGTCCTTTCTGCTTCGCCAGCAGACACCTTCTGGGAAACAGTTTCGTACCATGGCATTGAAAACAATGTCGGCCACTCCTCCTGCACCCTGGCTCTTTCGGAGAACGGCAAACTTGTCGAGGTAAGGTACCATTCGAGACGGATCCCGGTTGACGACGCCATCAGGGCCACATGGGCTTTCCCACGTCAAGATTGCGCCTCCTTCGTATTCACCAGCAATGACGATGCCTGCCAAGTTGTTCTCCACTCGTCTGAGATAATGCTCGACGTCTAGTTCCCGGCCAAAGGAATCATTAATGAGGTACACGAGCCGTCCGAGGTCAATATTGGGATCGGTCAACTTGAGGCCGCCCACCCCTGGCTGCGGTGGCCTCCACGAGGCTACTCGGGGGTCAGGAAATATGGTGAGCGGCATGCCACGCTTAGCGAGTGTGGTCAGGGAACCAATTCGCTCTGGCACTCCGGCCGAAGATGTTACTTGACGAATGCGATTAGAAGGTAGTGATGACGACTGCATAGGTCTGTCGGTCAACAAGTTATGAATCAGTGGGTTGTGCTTTCTCCTTGTGCCGACCATTGCCCACTCGAGATCGTCTTTATCCGTGGATCGGTTGTTCGCAGCCTCTTGTGGGGTGGTAATGATGGCTGATGCGGTTGGGGGGAGCAAAGACAATGTCTTCCTTGCAAGTTCTGCATTCTTCAAGTGATAGTAGTTGTCTTCTCTGGGACCAGCTGTAGGCTCCAGCGATGATACCACCAGGTTTCTGGTGACGTCCTCATATTCCTGCTCCAGATTCAGGAACATGTACCGCCCTGTAGCCTGGTTCAATGCAGGTATGCCGCCAACAGGGTCAATAATGATGACACGGTAGACTTCTGCGAGCTTCAAGAGCCGCGTGATTTGGGCATCTTCTGCAGGCTGTCCTAGAAATTGCAGCCCAGATAGTTGTCGAGCCAGAGCGATAATCGCATCGTTGGGGTCGACTGATCGGAAGGAACACAGATCTTCGGTGAAACCAATGGATGGAATGATTGGTATGGTCTCGCTCTGCAAACTGTCCATGAGATCTTTGGAGTTGCCCACAAAGAGATCATCGGACGTAAACGGCGAGGTATCTTTGCCTGCAGAATCTCCAATGGTAATTGGTGACTGTATCATGCGGGCACCTAATTCATCGTACCTGTCGATTGCTGTTGCGAGCCGACCAGCTTGCAGATTTGTCTTTCGGCGTCTTTCAACCTCATCCTCCTCCGGTAGATCACAGTCGACGACAACAATGCTCGTCAGTCCAAGCTTCTTTAATTGCGCAAGGCTTCTTCCCACTCCGAGCAGAGTTTCATCGTCGATGGCCTGCGGAGCTCGAATTTTGACCAACGCGACAAAGACTGGCTGTGGTATATAGGCAGATGCGCCTGTGGTTTCTGTTTCAGCAGCCTTGAGCGCAGCTGGATCCCGTGCCAGGTCGGAACCTGGCACGTTGGCTTGCTGTTCAAATCCTGTGGCTCCCTTCTTTTGAAGCAAAGGGACAAATTTGTTCATGTATGCCCGAGCATCCCGTTTGGTAACAGCGGTCTCCAATACAGAGAGTATGAAATCCTGTGGGGGCAAGTTAGTACATTGAGCAGATGTTCGGGCTTTGTAATAATAGTAAATACCCTGTCTTGAATTTTCTGTTCTTTTCGTGCCTCTGAGATTGATGCATATGGCGATCTGGATGCTACTGTAGTTCTGGCGGGCCGTCCACCATTCTGAAGCGGTGACGGAATCTTTGGGCCATTGCCTGGTTGGGAGGTAAATGATCGGTGCGGATCCTTCCACAAAGTCGTCTGCTTGCGCTGTCAGATAATACTCTGGTGATGATCATCAATCATGCAGCATGATCAGATCTGCTCTGATTTCTTGTGATGCTGACGAGCCCGCCAATTTGGAAAGTCGCTCAGGTCAACGAGAGGAGAGGGAGCCCACTTACATTAATCGTAGAACTAGCCTTTCTCAAGGCGGTCGTTCGCGGATTCATGTCGCAACGCTCATCTTGCGAGGCCCCGAAAGGTCACTCACTTCTCTCTGAACCGATAATATTTTTCGTTTCCTCAGGATGTCAGCATCACAGAAAAAAAGAACAAATCGGGTTCCAGCCTGCAGACGATCTTTTCAAAGTCTATCCATAAAAATAAACAGCTTGCCCCGTGAGGTATTCTCGTGAGTCAATGAGCGATAAGATGCCCCGATAAAGCCCTCGACCACTAACCGGTATCGGTCAAGTCTAGCGGATTGCTGGCGGGGGCGGTGACATCAAAATGGGAAGGGATTGATGGTCGCAGTGGAGAAAGCACATGCCAAATGCGTAGGTACTAGGTCTGTACGTAGGTATTTTTACATTCAGGCACAATACGGAACGTTGGGTTGCCTCTCAATCATTGAATTCATATAATACAACACTGCTCTTTCCGTACGCAATTATAATGCCGATGTATGGTAGTGCTACACTAACAAACTTCACACCAGATAAGACTACAAAAGTTTGGGATTCCTCGAACTTTCCGGACACGAAACTTTCCAATCTCGCTTCGGTAGGTAAGGTACCCAGAGTTGGCTTTGCAGCCAGCCTTCTTCGTCTACAAAGAAACAGCATTGTGGTTGAGGCCAATGAATTGAATCAATCAGCACAATGAATAAGGACACGACGCCATCGCCACGAACTCAATCAGTAATACTGAAGCAACGCTGCGCAAAGTTGTGGAATCTTGAAGCTTTAGTACCTTGGATAAAGCTTTGCTCAATTCGTTTCGGCCCTCGCAAGTGTAACTGTGTATGACATTGCTCATTCCATACTATGTACACACGAGGCACAGCCCATATCTTCAAAAGGACTTTCTTATGTTCACTGCTCAGTTGTACGTATAGTGCAAGATTACTTGGCAGTAACTGTAGCTAGATTCACATATATGAGAGCACTTGGGTGTCTGCCACACCTGCCTACCTTGGCCTATGGTAGCATAGAATATATTGATTCTCAGAGGTCCGCCTACAGGCGAGCAAATTGTCTCGGCGACTTCTGTCGTAAGAAAATTGTTTCCTCAAAAATCCACTTATTCTCCTACAGGAACCCCTCGAAGGCAAATGTATCATTGACATGCGATTGTAGTAGAATGTCAACACAGGTTTTTGGGATATTGTGGAATGATATTTACTGATTCTAGATCTATCCCAATCAGATCCCACTACTGAGTTCTCGTTTTTTTTTTTTTTTAAAGAAGAGAAAAAGAAAAAGGTTCTACGGTCTTCACAAGTGATACAAGCAAGCAGTTCTTGTATTCGCAATTGTGGCGTGTCCTTGAAGGAGCTGGTTGAAGGGTTCATTTTCACAAACACGACAAGGACTTATTCAAAAAGAGACGGACGCATTGCCGTATCGAAATACTAATCTCACCAACGCAAGTTATTGTGATTTTGTCATTTGACAGGGACATCTTGTTACAAACACTTGAAGAATACAAATCGATGACATTTCTTTGATATAATAGGAAATCGCATTATTCACTGGACCTCCGATAATTTTGGAAAGGGAATTACATGTAAAAGATAAACGCTTTCTTTGCCGTTGTAATATGAAAATGAGGTTGCGGCTTACCACAGAGAAGTGAAGATTGCAAAGCTTGAAGGTTAATCCTGGTCATTCTGTTTTTTTTTTTTTCTTAGCATTGCTGGAGTACGGAGTAAATACCAGCAGAGGGCAATATACTTAGCAACTGCTTAAAAAATGTCCCACCATTCAAAACCTCTTCAAGGGAAGAAAATCCGACTGGCGTCTATGATGCCGAAGAAGGCCTGGTCTATTGAATTGCCTTATACCTATGCATTTTGCTCTTGGCAGCAATTTGAGGCACTGATATCTGGACATGATTACTCCATCGCTCTTCCGGTCCATTTCCTTAAATTGTCAAAATCTATTTCAATGTTCGGGCTTCGTGGGAAAGCAGAGTTACGCCAGAGAGCACGGCTCAAGGCATGAATGCTGATATATATCATAACTGGTCATAGCCGAAATAGAACAGAAAGAATATTCTGATCAACTTTTTGTATCCGATTATGATTAAAATCATCTAGGTTGTCATCAGATACTCACCAGCCAATAGCAGCCAGTCAGCAGGATCACCATGGTTGCCTGGCTCCTATATCTGCCTGATGCTTACGGTTGTTCTTTGATCAATCCCTGCCTGTGGACTCCCGTCTTCTACTTGCTCTTGCTCTTTTCTTCCTCCCATATTGAATTCTTGCGAGACATTGTGATCAAGCTGGCAGTATCTTAGAGGTGGAATCTGCACTGCACGGCGTAGTGTCTCGCCCTTTCCACTACCCTTTACCGTGTTTTCATGATGCGTTATGCCTTGAGCATGACCACGAGGAGACTCCCGGATATTTTTGGCCGTTCTTAGCTTTCATCGCAGTGTTGAGTGTACTAATATGTTTGAATATTGGGAAACACTGGAAGCATGAGCGGCCCTCTATCCCACTAAGAGTTATGAGCATGCCTTGATGTTGTTGATTTTTTTACCGATTGCCACAGAATCCACAATATTCTAGTGATCCAGTCCAAAGATTTCATCCTGTGTCTTTCTTCTTCAGGTTACAATAACAGAAAAACGCAAGTCGGTCGTGGAGACTGAACGTTCAATGACTGCATGTTGATATGCACGAAATGTTCCATTTTAACCGTCTCTGTGCCAGTATAGACCCAAGGCGCTATACTTACTAGGTAGATACCCATAATTCGGCGATCGGGGGATATTTCGCTGGTGAAAATATAATTTAGCCTGGCATGTTTGTCAGCTATAATATGGCTCTCCGGGTTCTCTACTATAATTCATTGTCAAAGCTTCAACTACGAGATGTATGTAAACCCCGCTTTGGTAAACGGCTGACGACAGAAATAGTAGTGTACTATTATGTGATAAGGGACAGAGTTTGAGCTAGCAAATCAGGGAATGCCCAGCCTCTGAAGCATTAGTTAGGTGTTTCGTATTTGGGAACCCGAGGCCCAAGATCGACGGGCTGACAGGCAATACCCAACTACCGCAAGAGGTAGCTTCATGTCAATCGCAAATAGACAGCCACGACTGTGCTGGCATGAGAACATTGTGGTCAGGAAGAGAACGCTTCAAGTATCGTCTTGCTAGATACCGATACCAGGTGGGGGAGGGGGAACTTCAGACGCTCGTGCTCACTTAAAGCTCGTTCCATGCTGCTATCAGTGCCTGGGATAGATTCTTCTGATAACTCGAGCCTGTAGAGTCTGGTGCTTCGACGATCGTACTAATGCCTCGCAGCGACCAAAGCTTCAATCTGATGATTGCCGTCGACGGAAGTGGATATTGAACATGCGAAAGAAGAAGAGAAGAGAAAAACTTGTGGCGGGTGTACTGGTTGGGGAATTCCAGTTTGGTTGAGCTTCCACACTATAACCTCCATCGACTTTGGGATGAAGGATGAAGCAGAAGAGGGCAAGGGATTGCTTGTGCAAGTAAGATCCGTCCGCGCTATGGCTACTTTCTAGAAGCTCTGCACACAACGGAATATGTAGACGCGTCATTAGTTTTCGTAGGAAGAGGCGGGCGAAGCGGGTGCGAGACAATCAAGAGTATGCAACACAAAAAGCTTGATTAATCTGACGGCTCCTAGGTGCAGCGATTGTCAAGAGATGGAAAAACTTGGGCGGAATCTGGACACTAGAGTACAAATCCGAGTCTCGTAGAATTGAACCAAAAGACCTGATGCTTGCGCGTGCAGCTAGAAACATTGGCTAGGAAATGAAGCAGGACCTAATCAGCTGCAAATCCCGTGCAAGAGGACTGTTTGTGGTTTAGGCCGGCTTACCTGCATCTGTCCGTGGCCGGGTGCTCAGCAGCATTTCCCTTGGCAAGAAGCCGGACGGGCAGTGATAGTAGAGATTTGCACTGTGCTAGCCAGAGTCACTACACTATTCCGTAGACCTTCCACCTTGCAGCGATCCACATGAGGAGCTGGCCTTTTAGGTTGTTGGCGGCGTCGTCACAAGAAGCGAGTTTGTTTGCAATGTTGCATAATCTTTCCGCTCCCCTTCTAACTCGGTGCCAGCCTGTCTGTCCGCTGCATGGCTGTCGTGCTCCCTCTTCAAGCTGTGTTGGGATGCCGTCAACGGCAGACGAACGTCTCACTGCACTGACCGACACATCGCCGTTCACTTCTGTTGCGCACATTCTTGTCTCTTTCCCGAGCTACTTCTTATGGAATGCCGGTGAAAGAGATGGGATAACCATCTCTGAGAAACCGCGAAACCGTCAGACGGCATAATGGATTTGGGCAACATGTTGTTATTGTTCGTACCCAAGCAGACTGCACCGGGGGGGAAGGGTGGCTACATTACCTAGGTAGTCCACGCCGAAACTCTCTCTGCCTGCCTCTACCGACTGAGAGCATCATCCATCGCCTCGCACCAACAGGACCTTCACCACATCCCCGCACGCGATCGTTGCCTGAGGCAGCTAACTAGCTACACTACCTTACATGCCAGTGTGCCAATCAGCACTGCCGGGCTGCATACAGACATTACCTCAGGCATTTGTAAGATGAAGCAGGACAGGGGCGGACAAGAAATGCGCAAATGTCTCATCTCGACCGCCGTAGCTAATACGCATCCGGGCTAGCTCGTTAGCTCGAGGCACTGTCTGTGTTCTTGTCTGCGTGTCTCTGTGTCTTCCGTCTGTCTGGGCTGGAGCCTAGCATGGCATGGCAAGTGCATCGCGTCCCCATTCCCACCCCCACCCCCCGACGGACCAACTAACCGGCGCGTCACTTCTCGCCATTTCGCTTGGGGTTGGCTGGCTGGCTGGCTGGCTGGGTTGCTGTGCTGGGCTTTTCCATTTCTTTCCCATCTCTTGCTCATTCCCCTTCCTGCCACACCCTCCAGCCCGGCCTTCCTTGCGAAGCGCCCCCCCTCCTCCAGGGATAGGTGGCCATTGGCCCGCTCTTCCAGCGAACAGCGCCCGCTTGTGGGACCGTCTGCGGGCATTGGACTCGGTCCATCTATCTGCCACTGACTTTCAAAAAGTCGTCTCTCTGTCGCTCATCAGTACTCATGCTGTTGCAGGCGACCCTTTCCCCCTTCCTCCTTCAAGCGTTGTTCATGCGATACCGAACGATGCATTTCTTACTCTCTTCTGCGCGGCCTCGTCTGCATCTCCGCCAGGCCGCAAAAGAGCTGTAATCAGGTAAGTAGAGGGGAAGAAAAAAAATTATGGTAAGGGTTTCATCTTCTTGCCGTTGGCGTCTCGATCATGTTCAAGTTCCCTTTGTCTCTAGCACCGAAAGAGGCCAAGCCAGCTGCCACCACCGGCCCAGACAGATACCTACCGCGCTGGGCCGGGCTGGCGCTGCACTTGCACTGGGCTGGGTTCATGTTTGGTCATCCTAGGCTAGGTGGGTGAGAGTGAGAGTGTGAGGTTAAGGTGCTTTCTCTCCGATGAGTTCAGCGTACCTTGGTTCTCTCTGCACTCTTGCTGCCCACTAACCAGACCACTCAGTGCCTGTCGTCGCCCACTACTGTCAGCCCAGTGACTGCTACCCAGACAGACCACTCATTCAATCAACTTGGTGGTGCTCTGGGCTGTCTCGTCTCGCTGGCTGACTGCGGTACGGTACCCTCCTCTCTCTCTCTCTCTCTCTTTTGGTGGCCTGCCTGCCTACTCTTGTTCTCTTTCTGGCTTTCCCGCTGCCATTGGCGCTGCAGCAACTTGGACTGCCCACGAGTGTGCAGCACCAGCGTGCTCCGCTCCAAGTCTCCTCAATTCCCCCAAGCCGTCTTTCCATTGGGCGCAAGCCTTTTCGCTTTCCCTCCCTCCAAACCTTCTCTCCTCTCAACTGAACACTCTCATTCTGTTCCCTCGACTCTGTCCGCCCACCCCCCTCCCATTCTCACCCAGTCGCCCTTCCATTCGACTTTTGAAGCGACAATAATATTGCTGCTACGAGCCCGATCTTGCGATCTCGTCACGATTTTATCTTGCGTTATTTGTACAAATCTGTACATTCCACACGACTTGAATCCCCCCAACCTCCGGCGCGCGATCTTGAAGAAGAGCAAACCCACCCGTCGAACACCTCTTCGCGATTCCTGCCTACTTCACTCTCTCGCCGTCTGCACGCGCACAACAACACGAATCAAACCCTCTGGTGCCATTTTTTCAAATCAGGCGACATTGTTTCACTTGTTGTTCTTGTCGAGATTTCCCTGCTTCTTTGTGCTTTGGACGTGTCCTTTGTATTGTGGCTTCTACAAGCCAACCTCGTTCTCGAGGTCCCTCGACGAAGAATCAATTACGCCGACGACGACGACAACAACGACGACGGCCCAAGTAGCCCACAGCAACAACATCAATCGAGCCTCGCGATCGACTCCCAGAAATACTCCCCACCCTTCTGGCCTATGATCGACACTACCCACGATTGCACTTCTACCACTCGACTCCAATCTGTCCTTCTGTGTCGAGTCGGGAAGGGCTTCGTCATGCCACCTCGACAAGGACGGTAAAGCCCCTTAACCATAATACCCTCAGACACCGAGAATCACCTCGTGGGGTGTCCTGCTAGATTATGACAGAGAAGCTGCAGTCTCTGTCGACGCAGATAGTGCCCCCAAGTCAGACGACCGTCCTCAGTCCCAAAGCAGCACTCGACCTTTCGCAACACGTGCCCAGTAAGGTTGAGACGGTCGAAGAAGAGCCGTACACCATCAAGTGTATCTGCAACTTTGCTGACGATGACGGGAGCACTATCTACTGCGAACCTTGCGACACATGGCAGCACATTGAGTGTTACTACCCAACCACCTCTCAGGCTGCTCTCCAAGCAGATTTTGCCCATTTGTGCGTCGATTGTAAACCGAGACCCCTCGATCGGCAGGGTGCCGATGAGAGGCAGAGGTTACGGCGTGTCAATATCCATTCCACCGAGGATCCGTCTGAGAGGAAGATCAAGCGCCCGCCCGCCAAGAGCCACAAGAAAAAGTCCAAGCCAGACCTGCAAATAAATGGTCACAATGGCCCCGAACCCAACACAAAACAGTCTACAGAACCGCATGGCCACAAGAAATCCAAGACTTCCCATCGGCCAAGCCAATCAATCAGTTCCACCACCAAACGAAGCCCGTCTTATGGACAAAAGAACGGGAATACACATGCCCACCCGCCCAGTCCTGCCACTACTCCCCCGGACATTCCTGCTGACAGCGAAATTCACCATTATTCGGATAGTTTCCTAGCGCTGTACAACGATGACCGCGATATTCAGCTTGTCCAGACTAATTCATTCGCGAGCTTGGAAATCTCAAATGTCATGTCCCTCTGGACGCGCGACCATGAGAAACTACGGCGCGATTGCGGATGCGAATACAAAGATGTCTTCCAGCCCTTACCATCAGACATCGACGTGATCAAGCGTACACCGGTAGTTTCGCACAAGAAGCAAATGTCTACTCCTGATACCGTGCTGCATTGGCAATATCTTACGACGCCCTCTTCGATCGAGAAAGATACCCCACTCGTTGAACTAAACGGACAACTCGGATATCAAAAAGACTACTGCAGTGATGAAGGAAATCAATGGGACCTGCTCAGCTCGCCGCTCCCATTCGTCTTCTTCCATCCGGAACTCCCGTTATATATTGACACCCGGAGAGAAGGCTCGCTTGCCCGTTACGTGCGGAGAAGTTGTCGTCCCAATGCTACCCTTGAGACATACCTCTCCAGTGGCTCTGAGTACCACTTCTGGCTCGTTAGTGATCGACGCATCGCACCAAATGAGCAGATTACAATTGCGTGGGACTTTCGTCTTGAAAGAGGCGAGCGGGGAAGGCGGACACTTCAACTCCTTGGCCTTGGAGATGAAAATCTTGCTGAACAGCCCGAATACGACCCAAATTCGGTCGATGATTACCAAGGTATCCACGTTTGGCTCTTTCAGATTCTCTCTGAACATGGCGGATGTGCCTGCGATCTTGGTTCCGACTGCGCCTTTGTACGATTTTACAAGAAGTACATTAATCGATCGTACTCCAAATCCGGGGTGAAGAAAAAGTCGCGCAAACCGAAAACACATGCTATTTCTCCTACAACCACTACCAGCCGTGCTGCCAGTGAAGGGCACGGCGATGATGGTGCGGAAAATGACTCTGGCTCGTCACGTAGCAAGCCGCCGAGCCGAGACATGACACCAGCACGACAAGGATCTTTTGACACATTGGGCATCCTCACCGAGCCTACAGACAGGGACAAACGGAAAGTGGCCATGGTCGAAGATTCGTTTCGACGGATGGAGCAGCAACAGCCCCCGCGAAAGAAGAAGCGAACGTCAGACGGTCCGAATCCGACCACGAAACCAAAGAGAAACTCGACGAGCAATGCATCGAATCAAATGGGCGGAACAACTGAACGCCGCTATGTAGATGCTGGTACCAACCGGAGCATGTCAGGTTCGCCGCAGAGTGCCAATCTACTCAAGCAATCGACTCCAAGGCAAGGCTCGGTGTCCATACCTTCTCGTCACTCGTCTGAAGGGCCGCGACCAGCGTACCGCGATGCTGCTGTGCAGACAGATCCGGTGGTGGGCGAGTGGTTCTCTCAGGTGCAGCAGACGCCCAAGACCAAGAGACGTGTCGTATCGCTCTCAAAGCGACTCTTGGATAACCGGCATCGTATAAAAGTCGACTGTGAAGAGCGCCGGCGGCTCTCCACAGCTTCGCCCACGTCTGTTGCGTCTGCCCTGGTGAAGATGGACATTGATTCGCCGACCGACCGGAGCAGTCGATTGCTCTCGCCTGTCGCTACCAAGGAGCAGCCGCAAGTTGACCAAGGTGGCGATGCCATGATGACTGATGCAACTTTGGTTTCACCCACAGACACGAGGGCTTTCTCTCCCATTGAAACTTTAGCTTCTCGCCAAGTGAAGCCTAATTCACCTGAATTACGTGTCCAGCTACCTCCTGTTCCCGGTTTTAATGGCGCATTGGCAATAGCAGCCTCTCCTACAACAACGCCCATGTCTGCTGCAGGCAGTCTTGCTAGTCCCTTTGGACCTGGGCCTGCCGCTGTGAATGGCTTGAGTAGTAATCCGAGCCCAGTCAAGAAGAAGCTGAGTCTAAGCGACTACAAGAGCCGAATGAATAAGGGAATGGCCGGAAAGCCGGCAAGCAGCACATCGCTGAAAACACCTACCGCCATCATAGAGGAGGCCAAGTCGCCGGTCTCCGTTGATGTTCATATGTCGGACTTGCCAGTGGCCGAGAAGACTACGGAGCTTTGAGGCAGAGCAATCCTTCCAATTCTGTCGATTCATTACATCGCATTTTCTTTGTACCATATAGAGACTGGAACTACCGACATGTTTGCGTACAAGGTCTACCTACTACTCGGCAACGTGTCTCGGTCCGTTATGTCTCGATTTACGCCCCTCTTTTTCACGCAAATGAAATGGACGTATAAAGGGCTTTGACTGGTGTCATGGCAGCGTTGGTTTTTGACCTGGAATCGGCGTTGGGGTTCTATTGATACACAACCTGTTAATGGCTGGAAGTCATTCATCCTCCGGTGGAGGTTCTTTTCTGAAAGATATTGGAATGAATTTTTATATGGTTTTTTATTGTTCATTCTGGCTGGGGCGTACTCTAAATGGTTCATTCGGACACGCTTGGCTTGACATGAGCCAAGATGTGTTCTATCCTGACGAAAGTAGCGGATGAAAAAAGGAGAATGGTAGGGAAAGGTCCAAAAGTCCAACGTGGCAAGGAGTCTTGTGTGCTCCATGTATTATTAGAGACGGAGAGGGAAAGTTGACACCATACCCTTACCAACACTGGAAGAAATGGGCTTGTAGGATGATACCCTCATGGCAAGAGTAATCAGTTAGCAGAGTCGGCCATCGGAAATGAGAATGGCCATGGTGCTCCCAGACAGTAACCCCAGGCTCGATTAGCCTATTGAATGAAATAAACAGTGAAAGTTACAAAAGCACCGACACTTGAACAGCGACTTCTATAATTCGTGATGTGATCAGTCAACCGTTTCATGCTTTGTGTCTTGCTGTAGTCACGTTCGCAACCTGTTAATTGGGAATTTCTCTTTCCCGTTTCCATCTCGAATCTTTTTCATCTGAATAATGGAATTCTTTAAATCCATCATGACATAAATCTTTCTTCTTCTTCTCCCTACAGCACTGGCCACCTGATTTTAGGTCTCTTTATTTCTTCTATTCTTTTTACATGACTTTATACATTGCCAAGCACAGCCTCCAGCGCATCCACATTTTTGGTGACTCCATCGAAGCATTTCGGTATTTACATAGACACACAAAGGTTTCTCTGTAGATATATTTATGTACAGATCCAGTGATGGCCATTGACAAGTTTCTTGTAATGAACAAGATTCGGAAACACGGGGCTCGATCTAAAACCCAAGACACAGGTGCAAGATTGCCCAAGACAACTGAAAAACAAACGCAGCGCAATGAAAATGCTCGAAAACTTTTTTATGATGCATATTTCTCTCTCTTTTCCCCCTCTCATAGGGGAATCAAAGACACCTAGACTCCAAGCCCCATGCCGAGGTTATCCTCTCTAAAGACGAGCAAGGCCAGACGGTGGCGCACAAAGAGGCCAAAGAAGCCAACGGCGACCTGCATAGCCGTGATCTCCCAGGCGAGGCGGTCTTCGCGCAGAGGGCCGCGCCAGACGAGCCAGAGGTTCAAAATGGTAAAGTTGGTGGTCTCGAGAATCTTGCCCGTCTCCTTATCCTCGACAACGCGCAGGAGACGCAGCTTGCCCAGGAGGCGGATGACAGTAGCAACGAGGGGATGGGGCTGCTTCTGAAAGTCGGCCTCCCAGCGCGTGACCGAGGGCTCGAGCAGGCCGGTGCGAGCGTTGAAGTGTGGCAGGCGGTGGCGCGGGCACGGGATCAGGCCAAAGAGCTGCGGGACCGAGTAGCAAAAGTTGAAGACCTGGGGGATCATGAGGAGCAGCAGCGTCTTGGAAAAGTGGCCGAGAATCGATACGACGACAAAGACCATGCCGGCAAAATAGCAGTAGGTATCGCCGACAAAGACGCGAGCCGGGTACTTGTTGTGCCAGAGCAGGGCGAACGAGACACCGAGGAATGGCAGTAGGAAGTAGAGCGAGAACAAGTGGGAGTCGGTCGCCGGGTGCGGGTAGGGCGTGATCAGGTACAAAACATCGTTGAAGACCAGCAGCAGCGCAATGACTATGGACTGGAGAACCTCGATGCCATTGATACCCGCCAAAATGTTGATACTATTGGGACTAAAGATGCAGAAGGCGGCCATGTAGCCATAGTAGAGAAAACCGAGGTCGAGCAGCTCGCGACCGGCGTAGGGCTGCAAGAAGGTGGGCAGAACGATGGACGTGACGCCGAAATCGACAAAGTAGATGACGAGGAGGGGTATCGAGGCAAAGGCCGGAATGAAGAACTTGTGTCGCCATCGAATGTCGAAGAGATCGTCGCCAATACCGAGGATGGAAATGGACTGTAGTGAAATGATGGCCGATAGGAAAGAGGCCAGCTAAATGGTGAAGTGTCAGTCTGATGTCCCCCGGGCAGATGTCTCTCTCTCTCTCTCTTGTCTAAGACTTCTTGGGCGAGTTCAATGGCAGGGATGGGGTGAGGACTGACCTTGCTATGCGGGAACTTGTGCAGCAATCGTCCCTGTTGCACATACTCGACATTCATGACAACATCTCGATTTCCGCCACCACTAGTGGCAACCACTATGTCCTTGTAAAAGGGAAACGGGATAAAGATCATGATGATGATGAGGTAGACGACGGCGCAAATGGCTCCCATGCACTCTGGAAGCTCCTGCTTGTTGTTCACCTTTGACATGTCGCGGCCCCTGAGACCGGCGCGAATAAAGGTCGGGCCCAGCCAGCGTATCATGGCATAGCTCGCGGCAAAGGCTAGGCCGCTGAGGGCGAGCGAGGCGATCAGAGCCTCGCCATCGCCGCGAAAGGTGTTGGCGAGAATGGAGACGCATGCGATGGAGAGCGCGGCCAGTCCTAGGGTCTCGCCGCTGGTAAGCTCGGTCGCCAGCTTGGGGGTGGTCGACGACATGATTGCGGTTCGGCGCGCTGGTTCATCGCATTATGGGGGGAAAGGTTTGAAAGGAGAGATGAAGTGGAGGGCGTAGTGATATCAAGCCGTAATATGGAGAGAGTGAAATGGCCGCACAGCAGCTGCTCGACAGGGAGTTTTGGATCGGGGCGCAATGCGTCTCTGTCGGCTTTGACTTGACTTCGTGGCCTCTCCAGATTACATGACGAGGCAAGCGAGGCTGTGTGTCCACTGTCGCGCGTCCTCTAGTGCAAGGGAAATAATGTGGGGGTGTGCTTGGTGGTCTGTTTCCCGGGAGCCCCATTGTCGCTAGGGGTTGGGGGTCGGTGGAATTGCCGAGCGACAGGCGCTAAAAATGGACGCCACGTTTTCTAACAATTGGCGCTAATTACGGCCCTAGATGAGATCGGCCAGGGGAAAGACCCGGACGTCTGGATACCACCTGTTTATAGTGTTACTAAAAAGTACAACTACCCTGTCATGCTGGTCAAGGAATATATGTCATGACGATTCGTGAGGACCTAGCAGCTCCTAGTCGATCAATTGGCATTACTGCTATCATATATCATAGCACCGATGGTCTGTGTGTATTGTTCCCTGTGCACATCCGCACACATACTACAAGGCCTAGTCCTGCACCTGAACTAATAAGGACAATGGATAATACAAGATTTCCATTAAAGAAAATTTCTGCTGCGGGATCCATCTGCACAGTTATGCTTGTCATTTACTGTGTAGTAAATGACATTTTCTCAGATGATAATCCGAGCCAGTCAATACAATGTGGAATTTCACATCACGTCTATTAACTACAAAGATTGGCACCCCTTGGAGGATTTTTCTTCATGTATGAAAATGGCCACCACAAATGTCTTACATCAAGGGTCAGTAGTCACACCATCGACCCTATAGATGGCGTCCTTGAAATGGCTGACTGCTGTTGCATATTGATACTTTTGGGTTCCCTGTTGGGAGTCAAGCCCGACGAGATTGTCGTGCCTTGAAGTGCTCTCACCGCATCGGTACCTTCTGCCTTGCCATTATATCTGGCGTCATATTCCTTGGGCATATTGCCTTCAAGACCAGTCTCTATACCAACTGATGAGACGAATTAGTATTAAGCGGGGGTCAGAAAAAGGTGCCAAGAAAAAGAGGCAAGAGAGGAACATACAAACAAACATGTAGCACCATTCTATTATGACTGGGACCCAAGTGAATAGAGGGATAATCTGCCCAAACTTCCATTCAGACTGCGTTTCTCCCTTGATGTCGTCGGTAGCTTGGTTGCGCAGATATGCTAGCAGAGCAATGCAAACAAACATCATGGTATAGGAAACGAGGCCAGTAATGATCCAGAGATGTTGCTTGTAATGTCTGGGGAGACACCACCATTGAGTCCTCTTGGATGATCGAAGGCGCGCGACCACGAGCGCCACGAGCGCCATGAGGCCGGGCCCACCCAGGAGAAGCACCATGATGATTTTTGCATAATTGTCACCTATGAACCTCATCCAGGTGGCCGACTGGGGCTCGTCGAATACAGCGGTAGACATGTTGGACTCGGTTGGCCCCGAAGTGGTGAGACCCGTCCAGCAGGCCAGTCCCGTATACAGCAGATAGAGGAGGACGACGAGGACGTGGCGCACTAAAATCATGTTCAGCAGCTGTTCATCCGAGTACGTGCTACTTTGATTATTGAAATTGACATGTGGGAGGGTTACTCACGATTTTTCCGCCTCGGATTACTAATTATGGAGTGCAGACACAATACAGAGAAGAAAGAGACACCGGATGCGAGAAAGATGGAGGGATTCTCGTACATGTTGACATCGGCACCCCGAACCCACGCCTCGATCAGCTGATCGTCTGGCGGCGTCCTCAGATAGGTGGCTAGCGACGCAATCACGACAGAGTATCCAAGCACAAGGGACCCAGAGAACAGAGCCGAGACGGTATTCCGCACCGAGCCCGCGATCCGCGTCGGCCAGCCATTACATGCCTTGCTGCTGCGACGCGCTAGAGCCATGAGCTGTATGCTGATATATATGGTAATCAGAGCAATTTCTATATAGTACGAAATCATCATCTGCCGATAGTGACTTAGCCAAAGACAATGAAAATAGTCGCCCACGACAACAATCCCATGGCAGACTTACGCCAATGCCCGCAATGTCTAAATTGATCTCTAGACCCATGGACGCCTTGAGATCTGACCGGCAGGTTTCGAGAGGATCGTAAAGAAGTTTCTTCTGATACTCTAACGAGCTCCCAGCATTATTACTACCCATACAAAACGGTCCTTGGTCCGCAAAGTACGACACGGCAAACTGGCACATTGAAGGCAGAGCGGACCCATTCGCGAGGGAGCCCACCACAAATGCGTAGGCATCCTGCGGAGATGCTTGACAGAGTTGCATATCGTAGGTGGTGTCGTTGGTGGATTTGTAGGCATTGCGAAGTACGGAAACCACAAAATTGCTGTACAGTGTACAATTCCGCGCCGTGTCAAGGCTCGCGGGTTCTGGGATACTCCATGTCCCGTCACAGGACATGCCACTGACGTTGAACTGCTGCGAGACCATTCTTTTCAATGACCGTGAGCAATTGTCCTAACCTTTGTGACGGCGGCACTCCTGGATTTTGTTTCATGAAGGGTGAATCAAGTGCAAACTGTGCAAGTTTCCCTGCACATACTGGAGTGAGTAATGTTTCTTATCTATCTTGCCATGAATTCAGTCCCCTGACTGCAAACGGGGCCTGATCCTCCAAGTGCATACTTTCCATGCTTGATAGCAACTCCATAGGAAAGCTCGGCAACCTATCATGTGTCGTTGACGGTTGAGCGTTGCAACCCTCGTCCACTTTGCGATGGGGCAGCCCCCAATCTGACAGCACCTAGCCACTTATGTCTACCCAGGTAGTTTATTTATAGCCACTTCTTCCTCAACACGGCCGTGGTCTTGATGTGCTTCCTTAAGACAATGGATACTACCTCGACCATACCTTAGAGCTCCATTTAGAATCATCTCAGGCTTAAATGGACTGAACTGAAGTCATTCACCGCGGTTCCAATAAAGTCACTCCACAAAAAACCCCCATGTAAACAGGAGTTTACAAGTCGAAATTAGAATGCAAAGGAGAACTCACAGAAAAATATATATTTGTCAATTGAATTCTAAACAAGGAGAAGCCGCAATACTTGATGGCGTCGAGTCTTGCCCCAGCCTATGTGTGCAAGACTCAATAAGTGCCCATTATATCCATATAAAGTCATTTGAAGACCAACATCTCATTGAAAAAGTCTACAACCTAGGACTTATCCACCTTCCTATGAGACTCTTTCTGCAACAGTCGCCCTCGTGTCCTTCCCCATGTCCTTTTCATCCACTTTCGAAGATGAAATTTATTGTGGCCTGATTTGGCCTCGCCCGCAGCCACTCCATCACTGTTACAAACAATACCACTGGCGCTGTTTGCTCTGTTGGTGTCGACAAAGTTGCAGTGTAAGACGACTCTGTTAGCGGTGACGCAATCCCACTCCTCACACGCTGGCTGTTTGGGCAACATCAGCTCACCCCCTGAGCGTACTGTGGTGCCAGTCGAGATGTCGGTTGTGGAGCCCTCACTGCTTCCATCTGCATCTTGGCCTGATGTATTCACATCTCTGACGCACCATCTGTCATCTGCCGCCAAAAGTTCCTCCTGTAGATTGGTGTTGACGTTCCGAACGTGTGGACCGTCGTGATCAGTCAGCGATGTGGACCTCAGCTCAGACGTTCGATCTCTTCCCTCGCTGCTATTGTAACAGTACTGAGCCAGATCAGAGAGGATGAAATCCTTGCCACGGCGGTTCACGCTTGCCAGCTCTGGTGACGAAAGGCAGTCTTCCGAGCGAATACCTTCTGAAGGATAGATGGACGATGGAGATGGACTGTAAACATTAATGTTCTTGTTGTGAGGTGAGGAGAACGGTGTGGTGTCAAACTGAACCAAGGATGTATTTGGCAACGGCAGGTTGTAAGATTTCTTAAAACTAGATGACGGTTTTGGCCCAGACGATGGCGACTCAATTTCCTGCTGCTCAGAGACGTGATGATTGCCGCCGTATCGCGCATCGGCATTTTGTAACGAGGGCTTAATGTTCTCGACATGTTGAGTAGCTGGTGCCACATTCTCCCGGGAATGTGCCGTGTAGTAACTAATGTACTCTGAGATATCCGTTGAAGTACCATGCTTTCGACTTGTCTTGTTCTCCTAGAGTCCAAAGGCAGACACAATGTTGCCCCGTCGACGCGTGCCGCCTTTTCCCAAGAGGAGAGTCGATGACTTGGTGGTATGATCACCGCTGCTGCTGCTGCGCGAATCCACCCGAAAGTTAAAAGCCCTCGAGGGCAGAGACAAACCATAGAAAGACATGCCTATATATGCGGTAGTAGTGATGATAGATGTCGCAGCGCGCTGGATAGTCAACTTTAGCAGCGTGGGCGGAATATGACATGCGTGATATCAAGAAGAAGAAGAAAAAGACTAGCTGTATGCTTTTGGTGAGCAACGCTATCATCACAATCGGTCTTGGCTTCTTTTCTGTTTACTGTTTGTCCATCTATCCTTGGACGCGGATCGTGATTTCTGTAATCGTCAAGTCCGATCAGCCGTGTTGGAACGCTCTTGCCTCCTCACTGAACATTGCGTTCGCGCATTCCAATTATGCACTCATTACTCTGCATCTACTGGAGGCACAATGTGTTCTGACACTTCAAGTGCCTCTGGGGGATGTTTGCGGCACCACACATTCACAATAATGAATGAATTATGCCAACATCAAATGTAGTGGCAATCCCGGTTCGAAACAAGTCACAAACCAGGCCCACTGTCACAATTATGTATCAGTATTCAAGGAAGCTGATTGTGAGAATTGATCATTTCAATTTTTACTGTTCTCATGCTCGCCTCTACTTTGGCGGACCACCAAAAACCAGAGTTCTCTTGCCACAGAGCAGCATATGCTGCGTCTAGATGCCCTGACTAGCCAATATTGGATCAAAATGGCCTTGCTTTGACAACCGTCTTGGTTGACACAGAAGGGACCTGGCTTTAGCATCATAAACAGACACCGGGTGTGTGCAGTGACTGCTGTTGTCGCCATCGCCTTGATACGTATACGCGCTTGTTTACAAGACCAAGGCAATGTAGCTTGCCCGATATCCATATGCGCAGTGGTCTCACAGCCACATTACCATGTGCATTGGCCTGCCCGAAAGCAATGCACGAAATCTATGTATGTTGTCATGACACTATAAGCCCCGTTTCACCTGACTTTGCCTGCCTGATTCCTTCCCCAGCCTCTCGCATCATGCTGTAATGTACTATTGACGCTTCGCATAGCACTGCATCCGCCGAGACAATGCAGCGCCGAAACGGAACAAAAGTCCTTGATCGTACAACCCGCCGATACCACACATCAAGATATATGGGATGCCCGGCTTAAGCAAGGTAGCCTAGCTCGTCACCATCGAGTCGTTCAAGATACTCCTTGTCTAGCAGGATCTCTATGCACTTCTTGATATCCGACACCTTCGGCATGAAGCGGGACTTGATCTGAGAGATGGTTTCGCTGACGAGTTGGCTGTGCTTCATGTTCTTGCGAGCCTTCATGATTCGGACGATCGCAGACTGCCGAATGATGTCAGTTTCCATGCAACGCATGAGGTCAAGTACGGATGAAGAAAAGTTATTACCTGCAAAACGAGTTTGCGATCCTCTTCGATCGTCTTGTTCGTCTCGACTTCTTCCTGCTTTTGCTCCGTCTTCGTTCCGACATTGAGGTTCACGCGGATCTTCTTGCTCTTGAAGTCGTAGTTGAGATGGAATGTGTGGCCAGGTCCGGGTTTTGATCCCTCAGGTTTCATGTTGAGTACCTTGGCCTTGCACAAAATACCAATGGCTCCATCGAGTGTCTCGGACGACAGCGCAGTCATGCTAGCAATGTCTTCGTACGTGTGCTCATCCTTCTCGTTGAACATGAGAAGAATGGCCATTTGGTAGACGCTGACTTGGAAGGTGTAGGGTGTCTTGCTGCTCTTACAGTATCCAGTGCGGACCTCTCCCTTACACAATTGCCAGAGCCATGTGAGCTTGCGACCGTCGTGCTTGTGTTTGTAGAATTGTCCAAACCGATCAAGATCGGCTTGAATCTCAGCAGGTGGGTTGAACTGCGTGTTAGGAGGTGTCAACGGCCAAAAGCTGGTTCCCAAGATGGAGTATGTCGAGTCCAGGGGCTTGGATGCAATCGTAACGCTCTTGGCATGTTCCTTGTAGCCATTGTTGAGATCCTTTGAGATCTGCATATCTTGGAACATGCGTTGAAGCTTGTTGGTATACTCGAAACCGCAAGCCTCCTTGAGCTTGCTAATCATGCTGGTTTCGGCATCGTCAGAAGATGAGTTGCTGTGTACTAGTCGTCGTGCTAGCATTCTCGAGTAAAACTTCTGGAAGACATCTTTGTCTTCAATGTACTTGAACACAGTCATGATCTGAGTCAAGGTTGTGTCCAGTTCAGTTTCCTCGACGCCAGTAGCGCTCTTCTTGAGCAGCACATCCGTGTACTTTGCAAGAAGTTCAGGCGACTTGTTCGAGCCAGCTTTGCAGATATCATTGCGGTTAACGAACTCCCTACATGCGTTATCCAGAGATCTAGTAAACTCGGGTTCGTCGTTGAAAGCCCGCTTGACCAAGCCTTGATACTGTGTGTGCACCGTCAGAAGCGCGTCGACATATACCTTGGGTTCCAGCTTCTCGGCATCCGAAGCGACCTTGGCAACTGCCGCGAGACCGGCATTGCGCACATGAGCCTCGAACTTTTGCCGCAAAGGAGTGAGACCCTCGGGAATTCTATTCAACAGGTTGAACATTCGTGCCATGTCTTCTTCCCTGTCGTTGTCCAATAGGACCTGGAACTCCTCGCGGAGGATGCTTTGGTGATCAGCGATCAGGGCGTTATTACAGGTCTTGCGCAGCGGTATCGCTATGTCGTTGTGCAAGTACATTCGTACGCGTTCCTCTTCTTCGTTGAGGCGGGTTTCAGCCTTCTTCATGAATTCTACCACGCTGTTCTCGGCGATAAACTGCTTGGACTCGGCTTCGTAGAACTCCTTGGTTGCGTCTAGGAAGGGCTTCTCGAAATGGAATCTGTACACGTCCAGAGTCGACTTGGTGGCATCGTGCTCGTCAAGTCCTAACGACACAAAAGAATCAACGACTGATTTGATCTGGCCGTGCTCAATAGTCTCGCCATTTCTTTGCTTGGCCACGAACTTGAGGACAGCATCCATGACTTTGGAAGAGACCCTCTGAAATAATTGTGTACGCCATTGGACCAAGTGAAGTGTGTACACGTCGTAAGTGTCCTTTTTGCCCTCGTCCATTTCACGCTTGACCCAGTGGCGATTCAAGTATCGGAAGAGGTGGTGAATGTACTTGGCAGCTGTCGTGTATCGGTCCCATTCTTTGATGTAGAAAGCAAGTAGGGCCTCGTCCGTGTGTGCCTTTGAATTCTCGTAGAGAGTAGCGAGATGATTGTTCAAGTATTCAATCAATTTCTTGTAGAGATCCTCGCCGAGCAAGTGTGCTGGGAGAAAGAAACGTATTAGTACATAGGATAAGAACCGGGAAACGATAGCGAGCGAATCAAACACGAACCTCCTCTATGAGCTTGGTTGCCACTGCCAGGAGTATTCACAGTCACGGCTTTCTGGCTGGTACAGAAGTTGTGCACGGCACTAGCAAAGGTCAGCAGAAGCAATGGTAATATGCGGCAAGGCTGCTCACGTGTAGATGCCCATGTACTAAGATGTTCGTGTTAGCATCTTGTCCACGGAAGTGATATGGTGCTACGAAGAGCGACTTACGGTAGCTAGATCCATGCCATCTTGCAGATTAACCATAATCTTTTGGATGCCTTCCTGAAGATATGCCCATCTAGTCCCTTGGTCAGCAGTGGCAACGCGAAGGACTTCCAGCACGGTGGCACGTACGTTGCAACAATGTCCTCCTTGTTAGGAGGCATGATCATTGGGCGAGCGGCGGCCATGGCGTCGCTACGATATCAGAGGTTCGAGAGAGTCGTGGTTCGGTCTATGGTCGTCGTGTCATGTGTTGTGTGATGTCGCCCCGTCTGGTTCGTTGGCCGCACCAGCAAGCACGGCAGGTGCTCGGCTGGGTACCTGGTAAGACCTCGAAAAGGCAGAATAATGCCCTGAGCGTCAGCGCCACCGGATAATCTGCGATCGGAGACCTGCGTCGGTGTGTCTGCGAGGGCGTGGTTAATATCTTGCGCGGGCACAGCAGGGGAACGACAGCTGCTGCGAGTCCGGATTGCGTGGTTGAGTTGAGGGGTGGAGAGTTGAGATAGAAATGGAATGGATGGGACGGTAGTCTAGGATGACGCGCCTGGGCGCAGGGGACTTTAATGGCTGAATGTGGCTACTAGGTAGCCTTTGGATTCACACTGACAGCAGTCTTTTGGTGGGGACCCGCGAAGTTGGCTGATGCCTTACCTCTTAGCCTCAGGAAACACCCCGCGATTGTTACCAGGAAGCAGCAGCGAAACTCAATCCAAAGTGACGACGGGAGCGTCAGCAGATAGAGGGGGCGGCGGTATTTCTTGCGATGCCCACCAAGGAAGAAAAGATTTATGAAAAAAGAAAAATTGTACAATACTGTAGACGTTTTCTTGAAGCAGGTGATACTATCAAGCAGGTTGAAAATCTGTTCCGCCTGAAAGCGTAAGACGGACCGGACTGGAAACAAAAGTCGCGGGCTTGTTGGCGGGCAAGTTGAAGGGGAAGGCGAGAGAGCTGCAGCTACAATCGGGGCCGCCGACCTTCTGACTGTAAAAGCCTGGCGCACAGACCAGGCAACCTAAATGTTCTCTTCTTTCATTTTTCAAGGCAGGCAACCGCGCTTTGCCTCAAGCTCGGCAGGCTACCACATGCAACAACACTCGTGGATGTAGGCATCTATGTAGGTAGTTACTAGTCAGTGCTCATTATGTAAGGCGTGTATCGATTTTCTGATGTCAGATATCTGGGCGGTGGTGTCAGACTGATACATTGTTCAAGAGTTGAATCACCAGGAGCGCTAGGTGATATCTTTCCAATATCCAACGAAATCTACAACTTTCTTTTGTATTCTTCATTTATGTATATACCAAAAATCGAAAACACGTCTTGCTGGCTTTAGCAGGTGTATGTAGGTATCGCTTTCCCATCATAATTATCGAAAATTCCTGAAAGTGTTTGGTATATGCTCTAATGACTCCATGATCCTACAGCTTCGCTTTGGGCAGTTTAAATGCAGGCGTGGCAAGCGCATCATACACGGTGTGACCCAAATTATCCCTTGGTACCGGCGTGACGTGACTGCCCAAGTTTCTCACATCGATAAGTGATGGGTTGAGCTGGTCGATACTTGTACAGCCAATGAGGCGCATGTTCATCTCCATCTCGTCCTTCAGCAGCTGCATAGCCCTATCGACACCTTCCAGACCGTATGCCGACATGGCGTACAGGAACGGCCGTCCGATGCCGACACCCTTGGCGCCGAGACAGAGTGCCTTGATAATGTCGGTTGCGCGGCGAACTCCGCCGTCAATGTAGACCTCGATATTGTTCTCCAGGCCTAGTTCACGGAGGACTGGCATCGTCTCGGCGAGAACCTCGACACCAGAGCGGGCAAAATCGAGCTGACGTCCTCCATGGTTGGAAAGAACCACACCCTGTGCTCCAACCTCGACCGCCTTGAGCACATCCTCCACACGCTGTACGCCTTTGAGGATAATCGGCATCTTGGTGATGGACTTGAACCAGGCGATATCTTTCCAGGACAGACTCGGGTCGATGAATGATGAAATTGCCCGCGCAGCACCTTGACTGTTGTCTGTCGCTTGGCCGGACTGGACGTTAGTTCCCTGATCCTCGAATTTGGATCGCATATCTTTCTCTCTCCTTCCAAGCTGGGGGGCGTCCACTGTGATGAAAAGGCCCTTGCACCCCCGTTTCTCGGCGTGCTCAACGATGCGCTGGGTGATCTTGCGGTCCGCATTGACATAGAGTTGCAGCCATTGAACCTGATCTCCTTCGGCAGCATCCATGATTTCGTCAAATGAGCATGATGCAAGGGTCGGGATCATTTGCACCACATTATGCTTCTTGGCAGCCTTTGTCAACACCACCTCGCCTTCGGGATGGCCGAGTTTGCCCAGAGCTGTGGCCGTAACGTAGAATGGCATATCAACCTTGGTGCCCAGCATGGTAGTAGAAAAGTCGACCGTTTTGACATCCACCAAGACCTTGGGACGGAACCATATCCTGTGGAAGGCCTCGTGATTCTCTCGTAGCGTCTGGAAAATGTATTAGGAGTGTGCTCAGCAGCTGAGCTCGGGCACGACTAACAATTTCATCATCTGCAGCGCTGGAGTAGTATCCCCAGGCGCCCTTCTTCATAGTCTGCTTGGCCACGGACTCGAAATCAAGAAGATTGTAACATTGGTCCAACAGAGGCTTGTCTTTGATCCTTTGCTGACGCTCTTCCTCGGCTGGGTCAGCTTCCTTCTCGACTTTGGCGACGGTGCTCATATCCACCACCCCGAGGTGTTTCGACTTGTCGAGGTACTTGTCCAATGTGTCTGGGGGGTGAATAGGGTCGAACTCCTCGGTCGCATCTTTGCCCTGTATTGCGGACTGGTCAATCGCCTGACATGCGAGGGAAAGTATACAGACATTGCGACTTACAGCATACTTGAGTATGATTTTCATTCCACCCGGGTGCTCTGCGATTCCTAATTAGCCACGGGCACAATCTTGGGCGCATGATCATGCCCAAACGTACCCGGGAGAAACTCTGTCACATCATAGGCTTTGCCCTGCGTCGCCGTCAGTTGATTGCGCTGGATGGCTCGCAGGGGACATTCCTTACATGTATAATGACCCAGCACGATTCTTTGTTGTCGTGTTTGGAGACCTCGACACCGGAGAGCGTCATCTTGAAAAAAAAGAGATTATATTCGTGATTCTTTCAATTCCGTTATCCAATATTGTGCAAAGACAGGCTAAAGTATAGCAAGGTTCGTGTCGACGAGTATAGAGTGGGTGAAAGATGGGGGAAGGAGAGAGTTGTGAGAAAATACAGGGAGGTCACAGCACGACAAGAAACAAGTATTGGCCACTCCCCCAAGTGAAGAAACTATTTACGAAGCGGCAGTTATCTAGTCTCCCTAAAATAATGTCCAAATGCGCCGACGCGGTCCTTGTCGTGATGGCAAATGGCCGACCACCGCCCACCTCTTGTGGGGAAGTTTGGGGATGAGTGGGGACAAAACTCGGGATCTCGGTCTGAAGGAAGGCGGATAAGGCTAGTGGCTATCACTTTTGATGAATCATGGCCTCGGGATTTCTGTACTGTGGTCCAGCATTGGCCGAAGTGCGGATTCCCACCGTGTGCGAGACCAGCAAGTGTACAGAGTACAGACAACCATTGGAACCAGACTCGTCACACCCGGCATTCCAAATCACCATCGGATGTCTTCCCGTGCTGAACAGTTGAAGGCGGCAACTTTAACAGACAATATAGACTGATCTGCGACGGCGGCATGCCATCCGGCCACTCAGACTCATTGAATTCTTGACTTGCGACGAGGTTCAACCACTTATGTTCCTTTGCCTGGTGCATGCTTGTACACCCTAAACTGATTACATGGTGCTCACAAGCAATTCCCCTGAAGTCGCCAACAAGGTTCTTTACATAAAGTACGTCTTATACGCCCACGTGACCAAGTACACAATATGCCCATGTATATTGCCTCATGGTCAATTCAAGCATGTTTCTTCACATGGAGGACTTGGATACTCTGTAACCAAAAATAGATATTTACAACATTGGGTGGGAAGTTTGATCAAAGTATTATAGTTCAAGCGCTGCATCCATCTGCAACGCCAACCCCGCAGCACAAAGTCATCATCTTGCACGAGACGCCAGTCTTACAAATCCTCTTCCTGCCCCTCTTGCTTATATATTCTTGATCGTCGTGAGACTACAAACCACCTCTTTACACATTATCATCATCTCCCCAGGGACCCTCTTATTCCTTTACTATAGACAAACAATTCCAATCATCTCAACAAGTCTCCCTCCGTTTCAGAAAGTAATCGCCATGCCTTCCGGTCACGCTAAAGCATCGGTCAATGGCACCATTGTGGCCGACGCCTCGGCCTATGAAGTGGTTGAGGGAAACGTTTACTTCCCGCCCTCGGCCATCAAGTCCGAGTTCTTTACCAAGACTAGCCACACGACCCACTGCCCGTGGAAGGGCGACGCCAGTTACTACACGCTCAAGGTCGGAGGTAAGCCACAAGTAGTAGCAATAGTGGTGTGTAATAATGGGGGTGGAAGCCATGTGCACTTCCTCGCACTAATTCCCCGGGATTTCCGGGTACCCCGGATCTCTTCGGCTCCGGGGCCCGCCGGTGGAAGATGAAATGCAATCTCTCAAAATCATCAAAAATCGAGCCAATCCAAAGGAACAGACTGGCAGTGAAAAACTATTACACTCAGCGGATTGAATTCAAAACTCACCCTTCTAGTTTACTAACCGTCTTAACAGACAAGGAACTCGAGAACGCCGCTTGGTACTATCCTGATACCAAGGAAAAGGCAAACCATATCAAGGATTATGTTGCCTTTTGTAAGTTACACACAAAGCACCATTTTCCAGTGTTCTGTCGAATCAAGTTTTGCCAACATGAGTACAGACAAGACCAAGGTAGATATCACGTCGGAAGAATAACCGAAAAGTCCCATGAGCGTGTCCTGGTCTATTACACAGGTCGATTATCGATAGGGACACCAGTCATAGGTTTTGGAGCAAAAAAGCAGTCAGCTGTCACGTCACATCCAGCATTCAGTCATGTCTATAGTATAATAATTCGCAAAAGTTGTTGAATCAAATTATTGGGGTATATCTATCGCGAAAATGAAACATGATTACGTGCCTTGACTTGCCACTACAAACTGCCAATCACCACGCTTGCCATGTTTACAAGAGAGAGAAAAAGATCAGAAAAAAGGTCTAGCTCTACATTGGATCATATGTGCAATCCCACCCCATGTTTTCTTTTGTTAGTGTTTCCCAGCTTAGTGAGCAACGCCCTCGGGCTTGGTCTCCAGGACACCGCTGCCGGTACCCTCAGAGTGGGCAGACGCAGGAGCAGGTTGGTCTTCGCCGCAAAGCTCCTCGAGGGTCTTGCGCTTGGTCTCGGGGATAAAGAAGGTAGTGAAGACACCGAGCAGCATGAAGAGGGCGTAGATCTCAAGGACGTGGTCCATCCAGGGGGCATCACTCGAACCGGCGGGGGCGCCACGGGTGCGAAGGGTGGCAATAGCGCCCTGGCCAATGATGGAGCCAATCTTGCCGGAGGCGGCTGAAATACCGTGCGAAGTAGAACGGTATCGCGTAGGGAAGACTTCACCGGGGACAACGAAAGTCGTGGTGTTGGGACCAAAGTTGAAGAAGAACTGCGCCAGGACGTAGATGGCGAGCAGGCCGTTCTGGGAGTGCACTGAGATGTAGTTGTAGGCGAAGCCCATGACGCAGAACAGGATGGTAAGAATGATGAAACCCATCAGCTGGATCGTCTTGCGGCCGAGAGTATCAATGGTAGCAACAGAGACCCTGCAACATAGATTTGTCAGAAAATAAGGTTTTTATAATAGCATTGGGCGAGATATCACATACCAGTAGCCAGGCACAGCACCTGCAAGAACAATAATCAGGTTACCGACGGCGGTGTTGTAGAGATACTGGTAGGTGCTTGTTACGCCCTTAGTAGAGTAGCCAATGACACCCAAGATGGTAGCGTTGTTGAGCGAAAGACCATAGTCTAGGTATTCTGTGGTCAGTTCCAGATCTCTGGGTGATACATGTCAACGAAAACTTACAAGCAACGTCCAGCATGAACCAAGATCCAGCGGTACCGAGCAGCAACAGACCATTCTTGGGAATGGCGTAGTGGCGGCAGAAATCACCCCAGCTAGCCTTGGGGATTTGCATTTGCTCCTGAGCAGCCTCACGAGCCTGGATACGGGCAACCTCATCGGGGTGACCCTCGTGCTTGCCGGCCATGTAGGCCTTGACATCGTCACTGGCCTTCTCGACATCTCGGCCAACATCAAAGGTGTAGCGCTGGCGAATAAGTCAGTATTGGGATCTCCGCTACGGAGAGTTTCATAACTTACAGGAGTCTCGGGGATGGTAAGACGGTAGTAGAGCGCGATGCAAGCGGGAACAGCACCGAAACCAATGAGTGTTCTCCACATCTTGTCAACAGCGACAGCGCACCAGGCGTCGCAGGTGGTTGTGCTGGTAGACTGCAAGAGAGCTTCCTTGAAGCCGAGGGTAATGAACAGCATGACCAGGGCGCAGACGAGCTGGCCGATACCCTGCATGGCAAAGACGGCAGCCATCATCGCACCACGCCACTTGGTGGTCGCGAACTCGGATGTAATGATACTGGACAGCGGGTAGTCACCACCAATACCGACACCCATCAGCACACGCCAGAAAATGATGAGACCGACAATGTTCATCGAGGGAGAGTCGGAGGCAAGGGCCTGGCCAAAAGTCGCAAAGATGATAATGATCAACTCAATACCGTACATCTTCTTACGGCCCAACCTGTCGGCCAGCCATCCGAAAAGCAGCTGACCAATGACGGTACCGGCCGAAGTAGAGAGCTTGATCGCACTGTCGGAGCTGGTTGGGAGTTTACCAGCGCTGGGGTAGTAGACTATGCCCAGCATAGTAGTCAAGAGGGAGACGGCGAAGATATCGTAGGAATCAGTGAAGAAACCAATACCGGCAACAATGACAGCACTGTGAAGGGTAGTCAGCATTCGGGCTGTCTCAAACCAAGGACGAGTTGGGAAAATCATACCGGACATGGTACCAGCCAAAGGGAGCCTTGTCAATCTCGGCAAGAGCGAGACGGCGACGCTCGTTGGGGTCCTGAACGTGAATAAAGTCATTGTGGAAGTTGTGGTAGGCAGCATTGCCTCCAGAAGTCTTCGAGACGGCCGCAGGCGCGGCTCCAGGTTGGGAAGACATTGTTGATTCTGTGTCCGTCCGGCTTCAACGCAGTCAGAGTATCTTTCCGAGTGAAGAGGTCTTGGTTTCGGGCCGGGCAGCTGTGTCAACGAATGAATAGGTCGAAGTCGACGGGGAAATCCCTTTCGCCAAGATGGAATGGTGCAACACAGAGAACGAAAAGAAAACCTTGGCCAAACAAGACGGGAAGTGACCTCTTTATGGCTGGCGCAAGAGGACTGCAAGGGTGAGCAACTTATTTTCCCCCTTCCATAACGACAAGGTAGCAGCTAGTTCAACGGAATTACTATGACTATTCAATTTTTTTTTCAGAAGCTCCAGGCGACGACAGCCTACAGGTCAGCGGCGCAACCGCAGGGCCGCATTGGATCAGCCCACCCTCCAATACCCAAGTGGAACTTCTATTAGTGAATGTCGGCTGCTCCAATTGGCAAGTTTTCGACTGTCCCGAATGAAAGGATCAAGGCCTGTCTGCGAATCGGTGCCGCGCGTGCGTCCCTTGAAGGCTCGCTTCCTTGCTGAGAAATACTCCACTGATCGGTCAACATATCGGGATTCGGCGCCTCATTGGACACCCTCAAGAGCTACGGCTGATGAGAAAGAAGGTTTCAAAGGGTCTGCCTGTCTGCCTGCCGATTTTTGCAATGGACATGCAAGCCACCTTTGGCCACTTCCTGGTTGGGAAGCTCTGTCTATTGCTTATTTCGGCATAATGAGTCGTAAGCTTTTCCCAGTCCCTCCAGTTGCTCAACCCAAAGTCAGTATGGCTGCGGCCGGCTCGAAAGCTAAAGACGTGGTGTCCTGAGACTACTGACTTCTCGCATCCCAAGCAGTTGGAAAACGGAATCCACTCTGCTGTTTACAGCCATCCCAACGCGCGGAAGATTCCACTATTGGGGTGTCATGGCTAGGCCTTGGCGAGAACGTGTTCTAGTGGGATGCCTTGGCGATGGTGTCTTGTCCTCAACATCGTCGTCCATCGTTATAGTCCCATCTGGCCAATCAGAGAAGAGAACAGAAAACGTGGACTTGAAATAAGCTCGCCATTCGTTCTGGATCCCGTTGGAGCCCAAGACGTTTTGGGTTAGTGTACCCCGGGCTCCAGTTTAGCGTTAGATTGTCTTTCAGATCCCTGCAGCACTTTCACGTTGGATTTCTCAAAATCGTGACCGAGGACCGCAAAATTCATGCGCCAGTATTCCGTAAAATCATTATGTATGATGTTAATAGAAGCGAATACGGATCTCGTGAATAAACGCGCAACCCGGACACCGGCGCATTTCGTCTCACCATCCGACAACTGCAACTACACAATCGACACCTTGTCTGAATCTGAAATAAAACTTATTCCTATTCTCTGTCGCGTGACGCAGTCGTGAACTCTGGTCTGTGTCGCTTTGAGGCTTGAGACAAGCATTTCCAAGACGGGTTCCAAGACGTTCCCAGACGGGAACGCACATGTGTCTGCTTGGCGAATAGAGAATAATTGAAATATTGAAGCAGGGGTGATAACGACGAAGCCTCCTCACGCAATCTCGGCGAAAAGAGGCATGAGAAGTCTTGGCAGGTCTAAAAACGCAGAATCGTTCAAAAAGCTCTCGAGATTCCAGACTTGATCATGAGCCAATCACAGGCGAGTGTTACTACACGCGCTCAGCCTGATATTGAGCGAGGGTTGTCAGCATGTCGGCTGCGGGTCTCGGTTGCGTCCCAGCCGCGGCCACTAGAGCAGAATACGGCTGATACTATAGTGTCGACCCTAAATGTGTATCGCCACGTTCGAGTCATCATCATTTCACCTTTCGAACCTCAGATAGAACTTCGTCTCATTGCCTCGATGTCTATGCAAAAAGTTGGCGTCTCGGAGCGCATTCCGCAACTCTGGCCAGTATAGTAAAGACTTGGTTGAAAATCAGTCGGCATGCTCAAGATACTCGCTTGACTGTCGTAATCGATATTGCCATTCTTGGATCGTATTCGTCGAACCAGTGTCGGCCGTTAGAACTTTTCAGGTCGAGTCATGCGGACCGCTCGGACTACTCTGGAAAGGATCCATCAGCTGAGCCGACCAACCTGCAGATGCCTCGTAGCTGGTACTCTTCCCATTGGATGTATAACCGTAGCTGAGGTTACCACGGATCCGCCGAGCCAGCCCGTCGGTATCCTGAGGAATGCAGCTAGGGCCGATCGACAGAAGACGGCGGCGGGATGCTCCAGCCGGAAAGTCATCCAGCTTCTAGATTCACTGGTTTTCATGTCTGGTCTTCAGACTTCGACAATCTCATCGTCGTCGTCATCATCTTCGATAGGAATTGCCACGTTTTCTTGGGCAATTTCTTCGATACGTGGACCGCTTTCTTCTCCCTCCTCGTCACGCATCAAAACATTGACCAGCCGTTCGCAGGCGTCTTTGACATCATCATCACTGACTCTCGAGTGTGTTTCGCGAATAATCGGGTAGACCTTGACCTCTCGGAGACGGTCTCGACCTTCTCTGGTTGAAGACAACAACATCAATGTCTCCACATGTGTCTGAATGATGTTTGGATCCGAGTCGCGTGCTTTGTCCGGTGGCAGCAGCTGCAAATCTGGCAGCATAGCCATGGACTCGTCTAGATCATACTCCTCGTTTCCAATGATTGGTAAGATGATGTATGGCAAAAGATTGAGCTCATCTTCATCCATGAAACTGGGGTGGGCCGACACCTCAAAGGCAACGTTCTTGATGGTCGAGGCAACACCTTTCCGCCGCACGTCTGACTTGTGCTCTGTGAAGACCTTCAACTTGCTGAGAGGGATAACTCCGTCATACTCTTGCTTCTGAAGAAAGTGGTGACGAATCTCGGCATGTTTTGTCAAGTCGGCAAACAGGTACGACAGGTGATCAAAGTCAGCCTCCTTGTTGTAGGTACCCTCAGCGCCCTTGACAAACAGATCCAGAAGTTGGTTCAACACGAGATCGTTGGATCCGAGCTCTGTGGGCGCTGGCAACTTCTTTTGCAGAACGGATTTGAAGCCGTCAAATTTAGCAAGGTTTGCCAGCAGCATAGACAACAAGTTTGCGTTGGGCTCCTTGGGGTTCTATGTTGTGTGAGTTACTTTTATTTCGTAAGAGCCCATGGTGGAATCCTGCACTGACCGTGATGAAGCCCAGTATGGTGGTGAGAAACTGGTCATCTGTAGCCAGAGACTCGAGCACCTCGCGATCTGCTGAGAGGTTGATAAGTATCGTTATGACATGCTCGGCGATTTTCTATATTGGGTTTTAGCCTTGTGCATCTGTACTGGTTCCAGTTTTCTGCGACACATACAGGATGGTCTTTGACCAAGAGCTTCAAGTTCTTGACAGGCTGAGAGTTGTCAACCTTGAAGATGCTGGGCTGCGAAGTTGAATACGGCACTAGATTCTCAGTGGCCAGCAGCCTGATCTGTGGGTTTGGATTGGCAATGAAGCCGACGAGCTGGAATCTAGTTAGTTGGCCAAGTAGACATAGACAGGGCAGGCAAAGAGATATAATACCTCTTCGAGTTCTGTAGGCATTTTGGAGTCGAGAATGCGCGTTGGGAAAAGCTTTGGGAAATTACTTTGGTTCGAGTCACACTACAGAACGTCTTAGAGATCTTCGAAGCATAAAAAAAAGTTTATGGCGGGGCAATCGTCATAATGCTTGATCGCAGGGCAAAACAGGTGGGTTTGGTGGGCTGTTGGCTGGTGCGTTGTGCAGTGAATGGAGGGGTCAATTCCTTGATAGGCGGCAGGTACGTACCTGTCGTGCTGGAAGCGATAAATCAGATAAGCCACAGGTCGTGCGGATTGGATCTGTATCTTATCGATTAGCCGGCTTATCACAAAAAAAGTGTCCCGCTTTCACTACTATTTTTCCCTTGGGCAATTTTCCGAGTGACCGCCAACCGAATCATAAATCAGCCCATGTCCTTTCTTGGGTGAACCCAGGCCAATTGACATTTCGGGGAGCATATTTGCCCGTTTTCCATACCCAGCCAAGAAACGATATATAGAAAACGTCGCGCATCACTCACCTCGTTTCCAACGCCAACAAGATGCCCAAGGCGACGACTCCCAAGGCCTCGCAGGGTCGGCGCCACAATCCCCTCGCGGATGACCTGCTCGCGACCGGCATTCTCAAGAACAAGGCACCCAAGCGCCAGGGCAAGGGTGGCGATGAGGACGCCGAAGCCTTCATTGATGCAAAGGCGTCCAAGCAAATCTTGAAGCTGGGCCGAGAATTGGCAGATGAGCATGATGCCGCACCGCCACGGCCACCTACGGAATCCAACGCCTTTGGCTTCGAGTCTCGGTTCGAAGAAGACGAGGAGGTTGGACCTTTCGACAACGACGACGAGGCCTGGGGAGACGACGACGAAATCGTGGAGGAGGTCGAGATCGAGCCCGAAGACCTCGAGACTTACAACAAGTTTCTCGGCGCCGACGAAGACCCGTTATCAGCACACGAATTCTTTGGCGGTCAGGCGCAAGAGACCTTTGCCGCAGGCGGCTCGCGAAACTTGGCGGATATCATATTGAGCAAGATCGCTGCTCATGAGGCAGGCCAAGGCAGTGGGCAAGGAGCTGGTCCCGTAGACGACGACGATGACTATGAGCTGCCCCCCAAGGTTGTGGAAGTATATACCAAGATTGGTATGATCATGTCGCGCTACAAGTCAGGAAAGCTGCCAAAGCCTCTGAAGATCCTTCCCACAATTCCTCACTGGGAAGATATTCTCATGCTTACAAAGCCGGAGGACTGGACGGCAAATGCGGTATACGAAGCTACTCGCATTTTCGTATCGGGAAAGCCCATCGTTGCTCAACGTTTTGTGGAGATGGTCCTGCTTGACAAGGTCCGGGAAGATGTCTATGAAAACAAGAAGCTGAACGTGCATTTGTTTGCAGCACTGAAGAAGTCGCTCTACAAGCCAGCGGCTTTCTTCAAGGGTTTCCTTTTCCCCCTCGTGTCGAGCGGCACTTGCACACTGCTCGAGGCTAGAATTGTTTCCGCTGTGCTGGTGAGAGTCCACATCCCTGTCCTTCATTCTGCTGCTGCAATCAAGGGACTTTGCGACATCGCGGCGGAAGAAGCTTCTGCAGGAACAGAGGGTGGTGGTGCCACCAACATCTTTATCAAGGCTCTACTCGAGAAGAGATACGCTTTGCCTTTCCAAGTCATTGATGGCCTTGTGGTAAGTTTTTTCTTTTTTTTTTTCTGGCTTTGTAAAAATCCTGTTTATCCCTTGTCTCACATGGTCGTATAGTTCCACTTTCTGCGAATGAGGAGCATGGATCCTGCAGCAATGCAAAAGGGCGACGCTATGGATGTCGGCGAGGAGCGTGCCGCTACCCAAGCCAAGCTGCCAGTCATCTACCACCAGTGCCTCCTCATGTTCGCCGAACGTTACAGAAACGATATTACGGAAGATCAGCGAGAGGCTCTTCTAGATCTCCTCTTGACTCAGTAAGTATTGATATTTCTGCTCGCCTGGATGATGGCTTCTGGCCTCTGAAAAGCACATTTGCTGACTATTTCTCAGTGGTCACCACAAGATTGGTCCAGAAATCAGAAGAGAATTGCTGGCTGGCAGAGGCAGAGGAGTTCCACTGGAACAGGCCGGTCCGGCACTCGACAATGACGACACTATGATGGCCATGGATTAGAATACGGCCATCAGCAAAAAGCGGTGCGGCAGGAATAGTGGGTAGAATAGCTGCTGGGAGTGATACCACATGACATTGATTCAGGCGCACGGCGTTGTGATCATATAGGCACGAATGATGCATTTGCATGAAAATACAATTGGGTATATGTCTCTTGATTATGTGTCGTCGACCTTGTCTCGAGCCTACTGTGATTGCCTGTATGGGAATTGATGGGAAGGCTTTTTCCCGCAACGGAGTATGATAATTGCATTGCCAAATGCAGACAAAAGAGATCACCAGCAAAAGCCAAACTTATTCCATAATAGGGATTCACGGAACACAATAAAGCTTGAGAAGTAATATCTATGACTTTATCAATGTCATGGCTGCATGGGGAGGGTATTTTACGTCGAAGAGGCCTTGTGGCGATCAAGGAATCATGAAGCCAGTAAGGAGTCAAGTAAAGGTCTTATTTGATTTGCATCATTGAAATTCATGGTATAATATGGAGGATCGCCATCAGCGCCTTATAAATGCACAAATACAACATTTCCTCACAACTAGTCCTCATCCTCGGTCTTGGTCTTTCTCTTCTTCTTTTTCCTGTCGGTACCCTCCTCTGGTGCAACAAAGTCCTTCTCGCGCTCCCTCTTCTTCTCCTCCTTCTTGATCTTTTGCTTCTCCATGCGCTCTTCCTGTGCAATTCTCTTCTTCGCCTCCTTGCCGACGTGGTACTCACCAGCCTCGATCTGCAGGTCCACCTTGCTCTTCTCTTGTGCGGGCGGGAAAGGCGTGTAGACCTTCTTGGCCTTGTCGGTAACGTTGTGGGGCACGTGTCGCTTGCTCAGGTTGCGTGCCTTGTAGTTTGGCAGAAATCTGTCCCAGCTCTCGTTGGCGAGCGTGGGGTCCTTCATGAGCTCTTGCTTGACCATGAGCTCCTTCACCTTGTAGATGGGATGTACATTGTCCATGCAGTCCTCCACAACGCGACGAACTTCCTTGAGACCCTTGTACGGGCCCATTACCGAGACGGTATTACCATGGACGAGAATGTACGTGGACGTGAGCAACTCGAGCGCTTTCAATGTTGTGCCGCCGGGACCAAGAATGCGTTGCCGCCTCTTTACAAACTTTTCCTTGTTACGAACCAGGCTTCTAATCTGTCATGATTGGACACAGCGTTAGCAAGTATCTAGCCACGGCTAATGCCTCAAAGGTGATTGATGTGCCTACCTTGATAATATCACACGCCACGCCATCCTCCAAGATGCGCACAGCTTGCGGTGCTGGCACTGAACGAGCAAGCAGTCTGATCAAGTCGCGAGCGTTGAGAATAGCAGCAGGATCGAAGGTTTTTCTGGTCGTCTTTACTGTCATGGAACCCTCGACCAAGTCAAGTGTACAGGCAATGCCATGTTTCTCGAGTGATTTCGTGACGAGCGGCCATGCTTCTCTGAGGTAAACTTCTCTGTACTGAGAGCAGTTAGTATTGCGATTCAAGGCAAAGAGTCCCGATGTATGCCGTGGCCAGCACCGCCGAGGGCGCACGTATGCATGGGCGCCGGGGTGGGAGTCAAGAACCTACCTTGGGGAAGAGTGTTGCGAAGGATGATTCCTCCACAAAGTGACCACCGACGTTATCTTCGGGTTTGAAAGGGTCGACCTTCCATTTGTCGATGTCTTCCGTATCCCACGGTTTGTCTTTATTGTAGATCGAAGGCATGGCTGCTTGGGCGGTGCAATTGATGCTTGGAACGTCTAGAGAGTCTGCAGACTGCGACACAAACGAAAGTTGGTGATGAACTTTTTGGTGGGGCAAGATCCGATAAGCTGCGCCACACTGTCGCCAGCCACATAGAGTTGAGGCTTATAGTTCTTCGAGAAATTAGTGTGCACAACTAGTGTATTATACCAAGGATAAGTTTCTCTCACGCCTAACATAATTTACCTACTGTCGAAACACAAATGGAAGCAATTAAAAAAAAAGGAGCCGCTTCACACGCGATACCATTAGGCAAGGAAGCTAGCACATGGGAGCAAAGAGGTTGAACATGTTCTCACAACAAGGTTGGCATTGCCGTCTCGTGATCTACGGTGTTCATTTAGTTACTCTGCTGCCGGCAAGTCCGATAGGTCTTGGGAAAGAGAGACTTGACTGGTTCCTTTCCCGAGGCAGTTCAACACGATGATGAAAACTACAGGTTCACTCATGGATAAACAAAGTACATGTAGCTCTAGAAGAAATAGCTACCTTCAGCACATTATGACTGCCGAAATATGTGATACTGAGGCTTGCATCCGGGGCTATGTCCCCTGATGATCCGAAACGTGTGTAAGTGCCAAGTAGTGTTTAAATGCGAATAACTTTAAATGTAGTGCAGAATCCACAGTTCCGTCACATGTGACAACTGAGCTTTTTCCTGTTGGCGGCTCCAGAAGTAAAAGGTGTGCATTCCAATGACTAAAATGATGCTCTTTCGAGGAGGTCGTCTTCCCAATGGCGTCTTGGTATTCAGGTCGAACGATGGACCGTATGATTGAGGTTGGATCTCGTCAAGTACCTATGTACACTTTTGAATGCTGCAGGTAACAAGAAGGATGAAAATTTTCGTCTCCTACTTTGACGTTTCTATTGGCTCTGCTGGCGGTGATGACAGTTTGACGACTGCCGTCAGCACGATTCCCATATTCTTATTCCCATGCAATTTTCGTGTCGCTGCTGCTGCTACGTACTAGTCTCTAGAACACCGGGGAAGGTGGAAGACGAGCCGTGTTCGATCGGATCCCAGCTTAAAATCTAATCGGGTTGCGCACAAACGGGTATTATCGAGCATAACGGGCTCACTGGACCCGTCTGTCTTCATCTCGCGCCGACCCGACGAGCCAATGTCCTGATCAGGATTAGCAAGGGGTAAGGCATGAGTGTTATCTTAGTGCAAATCCTCCGTCCGCCAAGCGGCCAAGCCAAGGGAGACAGATGCAGAGGAGGAAAAAAATTGATGAGTGTCAACTGCGGCTGGCCGTTTTCTAAAATAAACTTAGGTAAAAGATGAACAGAGAATGACAGGCATCCGACCTTGGGCTTACATACAGCACCATTCTGACTGCAATAAGGGGTGTCGCCAAAGGTGACGCTTCTTTTCTCTTGCAACCAAGCTCGATTCCATTCTCCATTATACTACCTGCCGTCCTGACCAATTTGCTCGCCGTCGGCTGTCTTTTGACTTGAAAATTATATCAGCTCTGGCACTTGATTTGCGATGTTTTTATAGTCTCTATACGCCAACTCGGATTCACCTCGCACCCCAGTTGCTCGCCCAGTCTCACTTTCTAGCTAAGAAGCCGGTTGCAGCATTCCCCTGCGTCAGCACAAGAATTTTTTTTGTCCCAGAGGAAAAGCATACCGAAGACACGTGAACAAGCGGAAGCACGCAACGGGCTCTTCGCGAAACGAGCAGCCGGGAAAAGCGTACTGTTACGATCACGACTGAAGGCGTCCAACTTTCTCTATAGTCGAGTCTCGGGTTTATCCTCGAGACATATTCATCTTAGCCACGGCATCCTTATTAGCTGTAGCACGGGCGGCCAGTATAGCTACGATTGCGCCGATTGCTCCCACGCCGACACGAATATCCGCCTCGTCCATTCTACCGCCGATCAGAATCGCCATGGAGGATGGCAAGGAGGGCTTGGCGGCGCCGCTGCCGACCCTCGAGCCCATTTCTCGACCCAGTTCGACTGCAACGACGGCATCAGAGGCGATAGCTCAGCTCCCAAGCATACAGGCTCTTGCTAGTGGTACTTCTACCAGCAACAGCTCGCCGCAATCAAGGTGAGTACGACACACGGCAGCACATTCGAATACCCCGACATCACCTCGCTCGGCGAGTGTTTCCATGCCCTGGTGCAGCGATGCGGTTGGCAAAAGAGCACATGCTTCAGTCCAGGGAGCGCCAGCGACAACAAGCATATGATCTCATGTTGAAATGACCGAGATGGACTATTCGCACAGTAATGGGTTGCGCGGAGCTTTTGTGGCTGCTTTGCTTCCAGTTGCTGTGGTCCTAGTTGGCATGCCTCAATGGCCATTGATCTTGCTCACGCAGGCTGGCAGTCATGATTTGGCTGAATTCGAAGCGCTCATGGATTTATGCGGTTGCTCGAACAGCGACTGTTGGCGGGCGATGTTGTTTGTCAAGTCCATTAGCCAGCCTTTTTAGCAGCTTGGAAACAGGCGCAGTTATCGACGACCCCACCACTAATCCATCGCCATTCCTGTTCACCCCTCGACAAACTCCATATCCAGTCACCATTCCCCAATTCAGCACATGCTCCATTTCTTTTCCTGGCGCGCGAAAGCCCGTGATCGCGACATTGCCTTTCCTCACCATTGGGTTCATTGCGCTGCACTTTTTTTTGTCTTCTTTACACTCGTACATAGTGAACACTGACAGTCGTGTTCCTTAGACCAAGCAACCCTCCGACCGCGATGGCCTCTTCAGGGCAAATGCCTACGCTGCCTTCGGGCGCCGTGGGGGCCAACTCGTCGCCGCACGCGACAGTGCCAACAGCTACTGGCGGTTTGGTGAGTCCTTTTCCTTTTATTCTTCTACTACTACTATCGACTTCTCCTATTTCCCGACCGATTTGAGTCTTATCGGCGGAGCGCAGCCGCATATTAGCTCAATTCATCGGTTTATCTTATCCCGATAACATTTATCATAATGGCGCGGTGTTTATCGAGATGATAACAACGGCCTAAGAAATCTCGTGGGGTATTTCTGAGCTTGGCATGGATGCGCATTTACTGTGTACATTTACTCGCTTCTCTGCCCACTGGTAGATCGCTGCTGGACCTCTTATGCACGAGGCAATTGGCGTCCTGCTGGCAAGTGCTGGCGAGGTATCACCACTCAGCAGAGAATATTTCTTTGCTTTGGGAACCGAGACAAAATCCCGAAATCGCATTAGCCACTGCCGGGCATCGGTCCTGTCCGTTTTCGCAATGGCCTCTGCTTTTTCCCCTTCATTACAGGACCCTCGTCGCCTGCCAAGATGGTGGTAAGCAGCGAATCTGATTGGACGAAAATTTCCCCATGGCGGGGACCCACATGAAAAGATAAGCGGCAAGCACCCAGCCAGGGAAGAAAAAAAAAATGCAAAGAGGCCAGCGCCCAGTCCCAGTCCCAGTCAATCAGTCTGCCGACAATTGAAATTTCTTATCAGCCCCCAACTCAAACTCCTGATAACGCCCATCAATCAACGGAATACTCTATCAATCCGTCTATCTATCTCTCTATCTATCGACCTGCCATCGCGAGCCTGCAACCCCCCTTCAGCGTCGTCCTTTTATCTGATCCGAGTAGAGTTGCTCATCATATCGCATTCGTTTTCCGCCGATATCACAATCTTGCTTTTTTTTTTTAATCTTTTGATACCCCCCCGCGCGTTTTCGTCCCTTTTCTCCTGTCGCAATGGCTACATTACCACCGACACCCACCCCTACCATGGCCACTAACCACGAGTCCACCCAGCCCGTCTGCCAGAACTGCCAGACCAGCACAACGCCGCTATGGCGTCGCGACGAGATGGGTTCTGTTCTCTGCAACGCCTGCGGTCTGTTTCTCAAGTTGCACGGTCGCCCGAGACCCATTTCTCTCAAGACCGATGTCATCAAGAGCCGCAACCGCGTCAAGACGGTGCGCCCCGATATGCAGATGAAGAAGAAGGTCAGTACTCGAGCCGAAGCGCTTCGCAAACCTGTCGCATACTGACCGTGTCGTTCCTCCAGAGCCTTCCTGCTACCGCCGTCGATCCTAATGGCCTCAACATGCATGCGCACGATGCTGCGACTGCTGCAGCTCTCGCCGCTGTCCGACGCACCTCGCAACACAAGCTAAACGGTCACCCTGACGACTCTCCCGTCTCGCGCACCGGCACACCTGGCATGTATGATCCGAACCTGGCCATGTATACCAACGGCGTCGACGGACACCAGTATCAATCACCAGGCTTGCCCCAGTACTCGATGCCCACCGGAGGCTCTCCTGGTCACGACGCATCGGCTGCAAACGGCGATGCCCACCCTGATGTGACTGAAACCCGCGAGCAGTTGATTGCCACCAACTCCAGTCTCAAGACGCGCGTCAGCGAACTCGAGGTCATCAACGAGTTGTATCGCGGCCGTCTAACCCAGCTCGAGACAGATTCACAAAACGCCGACAATGTGCGCCACCAAGCAGAGGAAGCCTTGAAGGCCGAGGCTCACGAGCGCCAACTGCGTGAAGACTTGCAGCGCAGGCAGGATGAGACACAGCGCCAACTAGATGACAGCCATCGCCGCGAGAACATCTTCAAGCGCAGACTGGACGAGATGGAGCAAGAGCTCAAGGATGCCCAGGATAAGATCAAGCATCTTGAAGAGGTCGCTGCTGCTGCTGCCGTCGCCGCTGCTGCCGCCAACGCCGATGCTGATGCCGAGCGCCCTGCTAAGAAGCCTCGTCTCGAAGAGGAACCCAAGAAGGAGGAGACGGAATCTGCTCCGACACCTCAGTCGACCTCTTGATGCACGCCAATATCTCGACAACGGCGATGCCAACCAGGCTCAATGATGTCGCTCTCTTGGCGCACGCAAATCGGGCTTAGCTCACTCTCCAAAGGGAGTATGCTGAAGCCTTGTAAGATTACTGAAACGAATTTCTTTGCTTTGCTATACATACACCCCGTTCGGCTGGACTAGGATTCGACACAACTCCTTGGACCGCGGACTACTCTAATGATTGGCGTAATCGCCGTATTGCGTCCCGGACTAGTTTCTCCGGGCCGGCGAACCGAAAACACAAAAGTTAAGGTGGAAAACAATGGCCTTGGTCTGGCTTTCATCAGATCTGATTTCTCTGATATGATCACGACGGTCGGTAGATAAGGGTTTCACTGCCACGTCGATTTTGCGTGGCAGCTTCATTGAACATATCGCAGGCAGGCATGGGAGTTCGAGGGAGTCGAGGTTTTGCCTAGGCCATATTCCACAGGCAAATGGTCAATAAAAGTTGCTCTGCTTTTCCACAAAACTGAGAAATTCGCACAATTGCGACTTGATGTTTAGTGTCGTTGACTATCTCAGCCGTGCGCTGAGATTTTCAGTTTGTTCCTGGGCCGCGCCCTGGTATATGGATAGTCCTGACCCAGGAATTAGAGGCTGCTCCGATGACATGCCACTGGGGTTTTGCCCCGAGGCAAAGTGTTAGAGTGCAGCAAAAGTGTATGCCGAAACAAGTTCATCAACTGGAGTCCTTGGATCGCCGGCATCTCGTTACACTGCCAGGATGGATGAATTATAGGCAGCGCGTTATAGCATCTAAATATTTGGCCCCAATGAGGGTAGACCACTCTCCTCTTTGAGCAAGACTGCAACGAATCCTGGCAGACTTCTGCCTCCTGGTATGCAGAGCGGCGGACGGAATCTTCATGGGCAGATTGAAGGTCATGTGTGAGGATATTTGACAGCCATTGGGGAGCTTATAGCCTCCCGAGCATGCCGGCCACACCTGTAGCTACGGACTCGAGGTCGTACTTGAAGAATCCTCGGGAATTCAGCCGGCGTGTATTTTGCGTATTCCCATTCGTCGGCCCATTCTTCCTGTCGCGACTCGACCTGAGAAGACATCCCAAGGCATGCGAGGGCGCCCGAGGGGCTGAGACACCGCTTGATTGTGAACGATGTTTCGAGGCATGAGGTTTACGAAATAGTTGTGGAGGAATATTACTTGTAAGACATTTTTATTGATTTATTATTTCTTTTTTGAAGAAAAAAAAAAGGACCAATGCCACCATTATAATCGGCAAATCACTGTGAATACTTGTATAAAAATGTAAGTGGACTAAATAAAGATCATGCACCATGCAAGAAGAGATGGAGAAAACTATAGAGGGTAAAAAAGCAAAAAGAATGGTTACTAGATTGAATCTAGTGGAAGTGATGAGAGTGGGACTTGAACCCACGCACGTTTCCGTACCAGGAAGTAGGTGTTAAGGTAGACCTTAACCTGGCGCCATAACCAACTCGGCCATCTCACCGATGATTGTTGAGACGTTTGTGCTTTATTTAAAACTGACTCCTTGGCGGGGCTTCTGGGAGAATTGAAGGTGGTGGGTCATTGTGGACCTGGTTCGGATCAGTATAGTGTTGTGCACCTCATATCCTGTTTTGGCTCTGTATAATCACACCGTTGGTCTTGGATTCCTTCTCCATCATCGGTCGGAATGCCAACTGCAAATTCCCAAACCGGGCTACATCGCTCGTCGCTATCTTCCAAGACACGCACCAGTTGTCTAACACCAAGAAGGGTTTGGGAGTGGCATGTAATATCTCGCTGATACACTTATAACGTCCACGAATACATGGTCAGCAATCGATGTTAGTATAAAGACCTCTACCATATGGATCTTAACGCAACTCTCTGGTTTCCCGTTTACAACCCGTATAGCCTGTCACTCTTTTGTGCCAGCCATTTCAAAATGGCATTTCGTCGCTACCTAGGTAGGTAGTCGTAGATTTCCCGCCGCTCTCACACGGACTGCGGTGCCGCCATATACTGCGATACTACTACACTACCGCCGCCCGATCAAAATTGGGATCGTTATTGCCCGCACCAACAGAACTGAGCAGAACACATAATACATTGAACCGATCGTAGTCGATACCAACGCAATTCGCGGTATTGGAGCACAATTCAAGGCAAGCACGGAAGTTCTCAGTCGGCACCGTTACGATTTGGTTCGATCCTCCGAAAAAGAGGGCAGAGCATTGGATATTAAACGCTTCGCCATTTGCAGCAGTATACGACGGTGCAAGATCCACACAGCTCGTGGCAACGGGGACAGGAGTGAACTGTATAAGATCAGCAGAGATATCCATGCATTGAGCCACTATCTCGGTATTGACTTACCGTTATTGTAGATGTCGAAGTCGTCGTCGTTGTCGTTGTTGTACTGGCCGTGTCTGTGCTGGTGATCTCCGTTATTGAGGGTACCGTGGAAGTCGTGGTCGTCGTGGAGACAAAAGTGGACGTGGTGCTAATCGTTCTGGTAACCACTTTTGTGACTGTTCCAGAGGTGATCACAGTTGTGTCCGCCGTGATGGTCGTGGTAGATGTCGTAAATGTCTCTGTAGACTGATAACATGAACCTGAATAGTGCGCATTGTTAGTAGCGAGTTTCGTAAATGATCAGAGCAAAAGAATTCGAGACTATGAAGAAAGTAGTCCCAAAAAAGAACATCTTACAGTATTGGCTTGCCGAAGCTGGTGGCAGAGATAGTAAACCGTGGTAGAGCGAAGCCAAATAGTCTGATGTGTACCCGTCCTGGGTCGGAATGGTCGGGGTATATTCTGTAGGAGTACTGTGACCATAAGCTATATCGCTACTTGGCGAGTCTTCCCCATGCGGTGATCCGTGCCATGGGTAATCGGGCGAAGTGTCATGGAATGGTCTGGTGGGAGTATCTTGCATGGCCTCTGCTGGTCCCTGGTAGTCTGATGGCGAATCACCGGACCCATCACTGTACTCTGGATTAGGTTTTGCCTTGAACTCTGGCTGATGAAAGGGTTTGCCGTGAAAGACAGGCGCAGTAGGTCTTCTACGCGACGTCGCCTTCGTCTCCTGGCATCCGACATATCTCTTCTTTAATGCAGCCGCAGTTACGGTGACGGACGCAGTACTTGTTTCGGTTGACACCGAGGTGGAAGTTGTAGTAGTGACAGTAGTGCTTGTGCTAACGCTTGTAGTCGTTGTCGTGATTGTTGAGGTGGTCGTGGTGCTTGCAGTCGTAGTAGTCAGCGTGGTCGAGGTGGTGGTGGCGACCGCATCAGAAACTGTCGTCTCGGTGACGATCGTGGTCACAATAGCAGTAGAGGTTCTCTCGTATACACTGGAACAGAATCTTTGAGCCCAAACATCGTTTGACAAGGGGGACAGGCTCACGTAGAGCCCTTTTTGGCATGTCTCGTCAACAGATCCTAAAGCAAGTGTAGTAACAAAGAAGGATATTAAGGCACTAAGCCCTGTGATAAGGCTGAACGATCGCATTCTGAATCTTGCAAGGGAGAATATAGATTATGGCTAGCCAAAAAGGAGTCCACAAGGTGGATGGATTACTCAGGTTAAAAAGTCTTTGTACGAATGATTAATGGACATATTTTCGATACTTTAGCAGGCCGTTTGCCATGAACATTCAATCTATCTGCCGTGCAGTAATTGCGGCATCGACCGAACCCTCAAGTGGTGTTTGTCAAAATTTCTGTATTCATATGGTCGAAAGTGTACGTGATGTAAATCATACAGTAGTTCTTGTATCATAATATAATTACAGTGGTACGAACCATCAATTACCAAGATTCTACATAAAGGACAACTGCGAAGATATTTATTAATTATACGAAAATATCTTGAGCATATGTAGATTAGAATCTCAAGCCTCTCAAAGCAGCGGCTCCGTTGCTTATCAGCTAATTAAATAATCTCTGTCCCGCCTCACTTGAATATACCGAACCTTACTTATATCCCAGTGAATGGCAGCCAGCATCTGACTTTTTTTTTTTTTTTTTAAAGAAAATCTCGGAATCTCCAGAGTGTTGATATTTTCTGTTCAAAAATTTCCAGTCTCCACACCCTCCTTTTGCGGCCCTTGCGAGCAGCCAACGTATTGCGAGCTCTCCTCATTGCAGTAACGTCAGTCAGATTGTCGACGATGACGGGTGGTCATGGCTTGTCCCTTCTTCGACTGTTGACACCACATGGAGCGGATGAAGAGACCGTCGGTGCGCTGCTAGGTATGGACCCTGTCGGACTGTTGTTTCCGTAATGATGCTGCCGTTGCGCTATCCTTGATCCGATCCGCGTCAAAACGCTTCATCGTATATCCAATACATGCCAAGCTCATTTCATGCCAAGCTCATTTCGGGATTGCCTTGAACCTCTTTGACTTAACCATAGCAGCAGGTTGCTTTTCAGATGAAAAGCTATGCTTTTGCATCGAGATAATATCTTCCATCTAGATACTTGTGCAGCTATGTGGCGGCGGCATATCTGACGGTTCTTGCGGGAACACAAGTATCGTTCGTACCAGAGTCAAGACACCAGTACGGTAAGGATGATGGAGCATCAACCGCAGAGGTACCTCGAGGGGCCGAGTCCGCGTCTGAAAGTCCGGGCGATACTGCTCGAGGATCTCCTTTGCGTGGACTCTATTTAAACAGCACCTCTTGTGATGCATGAGTCCTAAACTACTAAGCATTTACATGCGCTTCAGTGTTGTCGTAGGACAATCCCTTTATTTAAAGCTCATATACACTTTTAACGAGTATCCTTGTGATGTTGAGACGTATTCGAACCGTGAACGTGATCACTCTACAATATTATCCTTGGCGACGAGGTCAAGATTCCACAATGCTTTCAGTACCTTGATTGAGTTATGATCCTCACATAATAATTCGTTTTCAAAAGATCTACGTCAAAGTATTTAAAATCATGTCGATTGCATCTTTGAGTTGACAAGTTTACATCTCAGCTGTGATATCTGTGGCACCATGTCTAAGCAGGCAACGAACCCAGACCTGAATGATAATACCAAACGATAGTTGTATTGAGTGCCAGCCACGTATCCTATATCACATAACCTTGTCCAATGGAACCTCCTAGTACATTCTTTTTTTTTTTTTTTTTTTTTTTTTTGGATCGTCCCCCGTCTCAAATCGGGTTGTCGAGACGTTGATTGCCCGCCAACACGAGGATCGAATCAAGCAACAGCCAACAGGAATCTGATTTTTCGTTTGGGTGAAAATCAATGGGAAGGCGATATTGAAATCTTAGTGTCAAGTGTGAGAATTTGAGCCGACATAGAGGGGAATCCGAGTTTGGCGAAGTTGACTTGAGGTTTCTCAGAAGTGAATATTTCCCTGACTTCCTTGGCTGGTGGCATTTTTGGGAGATAATCGGGTCGTCGAACTCTGAATATCTCAAAAGGAAGAAAAATAATACTCTCACGTCCAAATATCGATATTGTCGGTACAGCAAGAATAATGCCTTCATGGTCAATTGTAGACGATTGCAGCCTGCCTAGATATATAATCCAGTCGCCAACACAACCACACACGGTCCTCAAGGCCATGGGGACATTTGCGGTAGCTACTAACACGCCACGAAACACCAATAATAAGCTGCGTAGATCGTTCGTGTCCGGTCATACTGAATCACAAGTCACCGTCTGTGGCTAGATGCATGTCTTGGAAAAGGTCAATGAAGGATGGTCGAACAAGAGGCGGCATTGCCCATCGCGGTGTTGATCCTCAAAAGATTGATTACATGCATTACTGTGGCGGATTGTGCATTTCCGGCCATGAACTTTGATTTGTTATCTTGACGAATCAGCAGCATTAATCTTGAGTGGTGCCATTGATAGATTGAGAATATATGAACAACTATTCTTCTGAAAACGTGGTAAAAAAAAAGGAAAAGGGTTATCCATTCCAATAGTACAAGAATGGGGCCCATGTTGTAAGTGAGAAAAATGGAGTGGACTGCATTATATTTTTCACAAGCCAAAAGTTCTGGCTTGCAGCTGGGGTGCAGAACAGACATCCACAAAACAGGGGCTGGAAGTTCCAGTATTTAGCGCTATGACCATGGATAGGAGCCCGTAGAAGGTACCTAGAGCTTCGTAGCAGCAAGGCTCGCCAAAAATTCCCAAAACCCAACAAAGGGACGTTTCCTCCACGCGAACCCTCTTTTACTACTGTACCGACCGATCCACGGGCACACAAAACATGGCGGAAACGGTTGACTCGATTGTCAAGGGCGCTCCAGCGCCCAACATGGAAAATAGCACGCCCTCTCTGGGACCCAGCCCCGTTATCGTCGCCGGTGGCAAGCCTGGTGACCCCTTGAACCACACGCCAAGCTCGCCTTCCATGATCTATCTCAACATGCTGATCCTCGAAGCTTCACTACGCGCGCAATACCTATCGCTCCGGACGCGCCGGCGCAAGCACACCTTCTTCCTGTCTCTCCTTACCGTCTGGACCTGCGGCTTTGGATACGCGCTGTTCTTTGCGCCGCGCGAGGACGGCGTTGGTGTTGGCGGCTCCGTGTACTGGGTCGTCGATATGGCCGAGAAGGTGTGTTTCATGGCCGGTATCGTCACGGCTCTGCTGGTATGGGGCACGGGAATCTGGGAACGCGGCATCCGCTGGCCTCGCCGGTGGCTCGGGATCTCGAACCGGGGTCTCCGGGGTTTCAACTGCAAGCTGGTTGTCATCAAGAGAGGCTGGTGGGTTGAAATGGTATCGACTGTAGGGTTCTTCTTTACATACGGCGCATTTAGTGGCACATCGGGACACTACCGGTTCGTGGAGCCGGGGATCCTCAGGGAGGTGGACAAGGAGCTCAACTTGCACCATCAAGGCCACCCGCAGCTTCCATTTGTAAGCAGCGACGAAGAACGCGGCGGACACGAGGAGGATCTGGCCCCAGGCGGAGACTATGTAAAGCTCCTTCTGCTTCCGAAGCCCTTTTCGCCCAATTTCCGAGAGAACTGGGAGCTGTACAGGAGCGAATACTGGGAACGGGAGAACGAGCGGAGAGCATTGTTACAAAAGAAGCTGAAGCAGCGAGATAGAGAGCTTGCCAAGCAGCAGTCCAGCTGGTTCTGGTGGCTCCCGGGACGAAGAAGGGTGGAGGAAAAGCCGCATCATAGTCAACAGGTCCCGGAAAAGGCACTGCACCACCGAAGCTCGTCCATTCTCAAGGAGCACAAGCGCGCCAGGAGCGGAAGCAATGCCCGCAGAAGTAGTATCTCGGCGGGCTCGTCTCGCAGTCCCACGCCACCCGTAGAGGTCGAGGAGGCCGGTGTTGTTGCTAGAAGGGGCAGCAATGCGTCCACGTCGTCAGCCAAGAGGGGAAAGAAGAACCTGTCTGCAAGTTCCAGGCCGAAGAGGCCGGGCGTGGAGTCGAGATCAGTGACACCTGATTTCTCCTCACCACTCGCGCAGGAGAGCACACTGTCCCCATCATCGGCAGAAACTGGTAGCGGACGATCGTTGCGACCGAAGCCGTCCCGGTCAAATGTCTCCCGCTGATAGTGGAATAATAGATAGAATGCTGACGTGAATGTACGCTTTGGGGTCACATGGCACTCATTGTATGAATATGAATATAATATTGCTAATAATAATGGACGTGCTTTTGGGATATTTGGTGCAGCCCCAAGAGTACTCGAGATTCTTCTTTGCATCTGCAAGAGTATACTGGTATTGAGAACTACATACAGTACCGTTGTGCATAACTTATAGAGTAAAGGTATACAAACTCAAACTCAGCAGGGATCTCATCCATCTTTACATACTATGCTAGACGGCTCTGCTGGTACTGTAGAGCCATGTTGCCTTGACAGCCCCTGATGGCTGCCTGCAGGTCTATTATATTCCGGCCGTTCAGCCAGCCAAACCAGCAGCCCACTCCACATGGCACACGCACCAACCACATGGGCACTGAAGCTTCCTGCATTAGGCATGTCACTACAGTACCCCCCTTGATGGAGACCACCTAGTATACCATAGGTAGTCCCTCGACGACTGCTGCCTGAGATGCCTAAGCAAGGTACTGGCTTCCTACAAGCTATTGCCTAGGTACATTAGATGTAACGACCACTAGAACCAAGCTTTTAGGTAGTTGACCCTTTCTATTCCCCAAAACGCAATTGCACAATGAGAGTTAGTTCGCGATTTGCGACGCGACCTTTGGACCTCATCGGTACTTTACATTACTTCTTCCCGAATCTCGCGCAGAAGTCATCAGTGCTTCCCGCTCCTTTTCTTTCGGTTCGCCATTTTTCACTCCTTTTCTTCAATTGATCTAGCGAAATCAGTTGCAACTTTCCGCTCATCGAAGCGCTCGTCAATATTTCGCATCATCGTTCTTGCCCACGCGACAGACAGTCTCGTGCGCCCCGCGACGTGCCTGAGCCGGGCAGCTACCAAGCAAGCACCTTGCGCCGCGAAGACTCGACAGATTTTGAGTTGCTGAAACCTTCAGTAGTCGTCTGCAATCACAGCTTCTCCTCGGGAATTATATGCGCCGAGAACTCCTGAGAAATCTTGTCTGCTGTAACATTTATTAATCATTTTTGGCGCTCCGCCCACTCTGCTGTCGCCAACTACCGGATTGCATATAACCCCCTCTCAACGTGACTCTTTCTTCGAACCGACAGCCATGGCGATGGTGGTAGATTCACACGAGCACGAGACGCGAAATACCGTCGTCCCTGCAGCTCCTTATGCCGCTCGTCCACCGAGCCCGCCCAGCATCCTGATTCCCGCCCCGAACGTCAAGGCTAGTCAAGCCATTGTCTGCGTCCCGCGCTTCTCCAACGTCGATCCGCTGACTTTGAGTGCCCCGGACCTCGAGATTATCACCCAAAGCAAGCCCCAAAAGGCATACGACAGTGTCGGTGACTGGACATGGGAAGATCGCCGAAAGGCTCATGAGATCCTCGACTTTTTGTGGCTCGGCCCCTCGACCGTAGCCCGCGATCAGGGATTCTTGAAGGAGAACGGCTTTAGCATGATTCTTGCCGCTCGGGACGCGCGCCTAGCCGAGGCACGACTGTTGGGTGTCGATCGTGCTATCAAGGAGTTGGAACTTTCCGCTGCGACCATTGATGTTCAGGACCTTCAGGACCTGATCCACCGCCTCGACGATGCCGTGGCCCTGATCAACAAGCACATGCTCGAGTTTTACCACAACCAAATCCTGCTTCAGAAGGACTCCCCCAACGGACAAGATAAAACGGTGATTGACAAGTCCAAGTTTCGCCGTGGCAAGGTTCTTGTCTTCTGCGAGACCGGCAATGACCGCTCTGCTATCCTCGTGGTGGCGTATCTGATGGCTGTCTACGGCATGGACATGATTCAGGCCTGCCAGTTTGTCAATTACCGGCGCTTCTGTGTCTCTCTCGATGAACCTTCAAAGCAGATGCTTCAGACCTACGAGGGCTTGCTCGTAGCCCGAAAGACTGTCAACAAGCACACACTTCAGAACTCGCACAATATTTCGCTGGGCACATCGAGAATCACCAAGCGCGGAATCATGGACACAATGGATGATGATGATGATGATGATATCATGCAAGAAGCAGCTGATTTTGAACTCGACCGTGATCGGTACACAGACCGCCGACCATTCGTGCCTTTTGTCGATCAAAACTGAACACTCTGACTGCTCCTCGCGGACTCTATTTCTGCGCTCAAGGAAAAGAAGAAGAAAAACCCCTCGTTCACAACTTGGGCCGTCAATATTAAGATATGGGTAGAGCGTATGCTGTTGACGGCTTTACCGGCACTTTGTTGCATATATTCAACTCGACAGCGAGGATTGTGTGTTTAGAGGTGATGAATCCACATCATTCATGAGTTTCCAGAGGCTCATGACGAGGCGCATCAGAACGACGTTACGCCATTTTCATTTGTCATTGCATTTGAGAGCGTTTGCATCGCATGGACAACAGGAGTTTGAGGATCAGTCTGCCGTATATGTAGACAAGGGAGCGGCGGCCAAAGAGTCATTCGGCCTTTCTGGATGGCATGGGCATTTTCACGGAAATCAAGCATTTATACTAATAACAGCATGAGTCGCTGATCGTCTTGTTTTCTTTTGACTTTCAGTCTGCAGATACTTTTTTCCCCCAATTCTCGTTTTCTTCCCAGCAGATCGGCGACTTGCTTTGCTGTGTCAGGGATTCATGTCGTGCTGGTTTATATTAGTTGTTCCCCCGAGCCGGCCGTGTATAGCACCCCGACACAAAAGAGCTGTACCACTAGATAGCACATGGTAGACGAGATGTCCTGATTTAATTATAGGCTGATCATAATATATTTGTATTCTGAATAAGTCAATGCCCATGGGATCTATTGTCAGGCTAAAAAGTGGGAAACTATAGGCGGGGTGAATCCGAATCATTTTGATGATATGCAAAGGGCTCCTTGACTTTCAAATCGCTACATGTATCGGGATACCAGCGCCTCAACGCCATGCTTGATCACCACTTCTCCGGGTCGTGGAGGACCGAAAGACCTCTCAGTCCCCTGCAGAAGAGAGTTGGCTGCTTGTCATACCTCCAGTACGTCTGGCCGCAGACTATCCGTGGCTCTTCTTCTTGAGTCCGAGGAAGTTTCTCTTCTTCTTCTCCTTCTCTGCCCCAACATTGCCGGGGCTGCTGGGAGCTGGGCTAGCTCTTCCACCATTGGCTGCTGCAGGCGGAGGTCTGCTGGCGGCGCCTCCTCCCAGATTCATCTGACCCATTGCCTGTGTTGGTGGTTGTGGCGCTGGGCTACCGCCCACCCGGGGACCGCTGGGTAATCCTCCTCCTCCCACCGGTCGTCTTTGCTGAGGCAAGCCTCCTGGTACCATGCTCGGCGGCGGAGGCGCTGCGGCCATTGGCGGTGCGGGCCGCTCATAAACATGCGCGGGGGCCCGTTTTGGTGGCCGGTCCATGGGCAGATCGAGTCGTCGCTTGTCAACACCAAGATCGCCAACCTGGCGAACAAATAGTTGTGGAGTAAGCATGTGACTGGTTGCGAGGAAAATATCACGATTGAGCGCATTGCCAACCTCGTAACAGACCCGAGACTCGGAAAATGTGGCACCACCAGCCATGAAGATTATGATTCGTTGCCTATTTTCAGGCACACGACGGCCAGTGCCTGCCCAACTTGGTTTCGCTGCGCGGAGAGAGCCTTGGCCAATGATGGCATCTTCGTTGGGGTCGAGCGGTGGTTTCACATATGGAAACTGTGTCTGATCTAGAGCACCTCGGCACAATTGTTCCAGTAATGGTTTTAGGGCAGGCTGAAATCTGGAAAGCGCATACTCCTCATTAGGGACCATGAGCTTGGGATCAATCGGGAAGACGGGCGTGGTATCGTGCTTTGGTTCCTTCAGACCACGCGTAGTCCGCCCACCTAGAATTTCCAGATTCTGTATAATCTCACCGTCCTGACTCGGCAAAGACGCGTGAGCAAGAAGCCGCTGAATGTCCTCCACAATCACACCGCCTCTGTAGAGAACGTACATGATGACGAGACGAAGGCGGTCTGCTTGCGTAATTGCGTCATCATCCAGTAGCTGGACCACCGACTCCAAAACATTTTTAGGTTTTCTGAAATCTTCGTCCAGGCCCGTCGCCATGGTCTGCTCCGAAGAGGCGATATCCGGTAACTTGTGGTGTTGGAAGATATTCATACATTCTTGAGCCATTGTCAGGTGGAGTGAGTATGTCTCCTTCATCTCCTGAAATTGCGGCAGACCAGCCAGCATGTCCTTGATGGCATTCAAACTGGTTGTATCGCTGTTTGCGTTCGTAAAATGAGGGTTCTGATCCAGAAACTTTTGGAAGTCGCCCATGAGCTTGTCAATGGTATCTTTCATGTGCCGATGACGGTTGTCCACCCAAACTTTGTCCTTATCGCTTAGTTCCATATCTTTCTCCTCGGCCTCTGGACTGTCTTCATTGACAGTCATGTGGAAGGTCGTCTTGCCATTGTCTTTGATTGGGAGTAGATCATGCGCCATGGCCTGATAGGTAAATTCGTGGACGAGTGGAGCCATCAAATCCATGGATCTGTCAGTAACTAGCAGGATACCTTGCGGTCTCGCAGATGGCGGCGGAAATCCCTGATTCCATCGCATATACTCGTCGAGCTCTTCGGATACGAATCTCGCTAAGTGAGAGCTGAGCACACTAGCCTCATGTATTGGAGCCCTTGGCCGATAATATCTGACTTTGGGGAATTCTCCAAGTGCAACGCAGAGTCCAGTAATCTATTGCCATTACATGAGCAAGGGATGATCAGTATACTTGTTATCAGATTTGTTCTTACCTTTTGCGCCAGCTCTCGCATGTGCTTTGCAACCAAGCCATTGCACGCCGGATGATAAAGGACAGGAAAACTCCAAGGATCTCTGAATGTAACGACGTGCGATTCCCGCGGGAAGAAGTCTATCGACAATGTCTCGAAGCCGCCGATCATTTGCTTAGCCAGTGGTGACCCATCGATCCTCCTCCTGAGTTGCGGTTCAAGCACAGCCGTCCAGAGCAGGAAGCTCTTTTTGTATCGCCGCGCCTCAATGTCATGTACGAGACAGTCTACAACGTATGGCAGAGGTGACACGAAGTAGATTGCGTCCATTGTGGGGTTCAGCTCTCTCCTGTCCTCGATGCGCTCAATGTCTGTAGGTACTGTCTTAGCCAACCATGTTCTTTGCTCTCTTCCCTAGTTTCGCTGGGCCCATACTTGCGATGTTTTGGTTGAGGATATCATCTTCTTTGACGACATTATCGAGGATCTTTTTCGACTCTTCGTCCACCACGAGCACTTTCCACTAAATCAGGCAGCACGGTAGTCAGTACAAGTGCGCGCCGCGCTGTGCCGGAAGGTAGGTTTATCTGGACAGACTCACGTCGCCTTGGGTTATGCGCTTGATCGTGTCGATGATGACTGTAAAAAGGTAAGCGTCCATGGTTTAATTACGGTGACTTGACAGTTCCGAAGGCCCAGCCCAGTTGAAGCTGTTCTCGTAGAGGCGTTGTAGGTGCTCCTTACTCTCATGCTGCTCTTGGATGATGGAGACACCCATCTTGGCGCTTCGCCGGCTTGGCAGGGAGGACCGAGTTCAGACTATAGTAGTAGATAACAGCCTTGTGTGCGTGTATCCCTGGACCGCGGTATGCCTTCTCTTTGGCAGCACTTGTGGCAGTTGAGCACCAGGGTGGTGCGATGTGTTCTTGTTGACAAGGCTCCCTACCTAAGCGCACCAGTGTCGGGAGGGCCTAAAGTCGGATTGCAGCTCTGTCGTTCCCTCCTTGGCTAACAATGAATGGAATAGGGGGGTGTCGCAAAACAGGTGGGCGAGCTCGTTGTGAGCAATCTAGAAAGAGATGCTTGGGTTGAGTTGATCGTCCAAAACTTTGTGTGTGGCTTGTCGGTGACGCGCTCTGCTTCCCTCTACCTTTGGACCAGCTGCTTGGGTGCTGCCAGGAGACGGTGACGTTTCAAAGGGCCATAAAGCATGGCTTGAGGTTGGCGGGGTTTCAGTTGAGGGAGCACTACAATGCAGATTAGCTGGGCCTTCACAATGGGCATCAGTGGCACTTCTGGCACCTCTTCCATTTTGGCAGAGCCCCTCAAGCCCCTCCCCTCCCCTCACCTTTTTAGGTTTTAGGCGCCAAGGTGCCGAACAAGGGAGGCCCAGGGGTGGCTTGCAGTTGCTTGAAAGCTGCACCTACGGGTAGCCAGGATCAACCTGCGCAGTGCTTGTCTTTAGCGCCAAAAGAAGCATATGCGGCTCCCTTGTTCTCAATGTTCTGTTGGTGCTTCCATGACAGATTACTTGGATACATCTTATTGCTGCAATTCGGATCGGCCGAGTGTCTTTGTGGGTATCATGATGTTCGTTTGATATCACCCACAGAAATCGACAACAAGTACAGTCTTCCACCGGGCGCCGAGTCTTAATGATTCCCAAGCGACGAATTACTTGTTGGCTCTACTTGACACCCACACGGTCCACTGTCTCGTGTTGCATTGCCAAAAGCGAAAGAACACTTTGAAAGTGCCTACGCTTGCCATGCACCTAGCGTCGTCGTCATACAGACATGATCCCATTCAGGGGTGTCTGGCTTGTGTGTTCCCCTGGTGGGATGATCCGGAATTTTGTATGTAATCAAGGCAAGCTAAAGATCTCCTTACTCCATAATAATGCCTGCAATGCTGAATAAGAGACATGTCCACGAAATACACACTATATTTGTTGCCCGTCTATTGCGCCTCTCATCATTTAACAAGTCTCTTTAGTGCCGGGGGGTATCATATTGTTAAAACAAAAGCCATCAGAATCCACTCCATCCTGACCATTTCACCATATATCGTTACTACGATACATGGCATCTGCTTTACGTAGATCGCATACTGTATATCGTCTCTTATCCACTGCCCAGGTATTTCTCGAGCTCTCCGTTTCCATAGAACTGCCGTTGAAGCCGATCTCTTCGCTTCTTATCCTCGGCAGCCATTTTGCGGACCTTGCCCGCGTCCAGCTTCTGCGGTTTCTCCTTTTTATACGTCTCGAGATTCTTGGGCACCTTGACGCCGATACCAAGGTTATCCCGCTTCTCCTTTGCCTTGATTGGGTATTGTATGCCTTGCTCTACAGCCCCAAGTCCTTTCCTCGAGTCCGGATCCCAGCCTTGCGATTGCAACACCGATAGACCCATGCGGGAGCGATCCAACGCCGAGGGTGGATGAGAATGAGTGATACATACTTGGTGAGCAAGAGAGGCTTCATGCCGCCTAACACTTGGTTTCCCAGGTTGGCTTTCCGTGGGATCCTCTTCCTCCATTGGCAATTGGCATACCTCACAGACCAGGACCGGTGCGGCATCTGGAGTCGATGAGCCCGAGTTTCCATCCTTGGGCAAGACCATCTCGAGGTAGAAATCCGCTATAGACCTCGCTGGCGCTGCCGGCTCCCTCGTCGTGGCCAGCCCGCCGGCCTTGGCAGGCACGAAAGCGATTGGTCTCCGATGCAAGCCTGCACCGAAGGCTCGTTTCGAGTGCAGCGGCATCTCAGCTTCGTCATCTCCTTCCTCCAAATGATCTGTGTGTTTCGGGTCCATTTTGAAGCTGAACTGGCTGCCAAGATTCTGACTGGTAGTGCAGACGAAAATGTGGTATTCTCGGTAGATGAGTGCCTGGCTAGGCAAGATACTGGGAGAGACTGTGTAAAAGTTCTTGCTCTGCTTGATGCTAAAATGGTGTTTTGTTTTCCTATTTGACACTGGCAAGCATGAGAAACGTTCTACCGGAGTTAAGGTTTGGCTTTATCGCTGATGCGCCGCTGGAGTCTGGACGGAGCCGCCACTTATGAGATCGATGGGCGCTAGAAGCTCGACTGTGGAGGCCGAAGCGGCTGCTCCTTAGCCCCTGTCGTAACCATTTGTGCTGCCTTAGCTGCAATGTGAGCAGCAATTTTTAGCTCCGCGCTGACGACAACCGTTCAGCCTCCAGCCCTACCTACCCTGCCAACCTGCAGCACTCTCCCAGTCTACAGGGGAGCAGAAAAGTTATGTGTTCAGGGGGCTTTTAGAACTTGCAACTCAACCATGGAAAGATAACACTCGACACAGTACACACTCTCCTATTCCATCACCGCTCCAACCGACGCCCATCATGCCTCTCCCATTTCTCGAGAGCGTCATGGCCGAGGGCATCCCGGAATGGGTGCCCGAAGCACGGATCCTCATCACGGCCGCCGTGGTCATTGGCCTGTTATACGCGATCAAGACTTACAGCGGCGGATACATCAACATGTCAGACAGAGATATGCATGGTCGAGTCATCATGATAACGGGCGGAACATCGGGGATAGGTGCTGTCACTGCGCATGATCTGGCAGCGCGTGGTGCACAAATCATCCTTCTGACGCGACTGCCGCCGGGCGATGCTTTCCTCGCCGACTATATTGGCTCCATGCGCAAGAGCACCAAGAACCAGATGATTTACGCCGAACAGGTGGACTTGTCTTCACTCCACAGTATCCGACAGTTCGCAACAAAGTGGATCGACAATGCTCCTCCAAGAAGGTTGGACATGATTATATTATGCGCGGCAACCCTGACACCGCCAGGAGGAAAGAGGGTGGAGACCACCGAGGGTATCGAGGAGACGTGGATGGTCAATTATCTGGCCAACTTCCACCTCTTGGGAATACTGAGTCCAGCCATACGAGCCCAGCCATTCGATCGAGATGTTCGGATTATCATTGCAACATGCCCCGCCTACATATCAGCGCCGCCTCTGAGCACTGCACTAGACAAGAAGAGCTGGTCACCTGGTAAAGCTTATGCGCGGAGCAAATTGGCCATGATGGTGTTTGGCCAGGCTTATCAGAAGCACCTAGACTCATACAAGCGGCCAGACGGACTGCCAATGACCTCGAGGGTTCTCTTTGTAGACCCAGGTCTTGCACGAACTCCCGGTATGCGACGCTGGATAACCCGTGGTTCGATCTGGGGTCTCTTTCTGTACGTCTTGGGCTACTTTTTACCCTGGCTCTTCCTGAAGAGTGCCGAGATGGGTGCCCAAGTGCTTCTGCATGCCGCTCTGGAACCCAGTCTAGTACGAGGTCCTGGCGGCAAGTTGCTCAAGGAATGTATCGAGGTCGACTTTGCCAGGAAGGACGTCAAGGACGAGGCAATGGCCGAAGAACTTTGGAAATCCAGCGACAAGCTCATCGAAAAAACGGAGAAGGAACAAGCTGCCCTGCGAGCTCTTGAGAAGAAGGCCAAGGAAATGAAGGAGGAAGAAGACAAGAAAGCTGAGCAGGTCAAGGATATTGAGTCTCTCGTGGGCACCATCAAGAAGGGCAAAGAGGCGGAGAATGCCAAGTCGAGAAGAAATCGCAAAAAGGCAACTTGAGGCTTATAGCTTTGCAAGAAGCCCCCTTGAACACGTTCTCAGGCTTCAGCAGCTTGTTGAGTCGCTATTCAGAGGCAAACCCGGACTCCAACGACTCACAAGCGCCATCTTTCGGCCAAACACTGCCTTTGCCAATGATTTGGCACTGATCACACATACGAGTACTCCGAAGGCGTGATCCGTAATAAGTAGGAGCAGCACGCTGTAATGTCGGTCGTTGAGACACAAGTTACTGTTTGTTCACGGTGCTTGATTGGCGCCGGGCTCTTGATGGTGCCATAACCACACACAATTTGAAGGCAATATTTGTCGTCTCATGGGCATAACTATCAAAATTAAAGCTGTGGATATCAATCTATAGACGATAGACTCTAGTGGTCATATTTGAGCTTGAGTCATGGTGCTAATGTAACATGAATACGGTATACCTAGACTATTGCACTTCTATAGCGATCATATACAAATTAGAGCACTGCCCCCGAGAAGAACTGGAAGCCCACTGGTGAAGAGGCTAACCTGTTCAAGGATGCAATGATCATATACATGGAATATGTAGTTCAGTCCATTGACTGATGCTATGCCAACCAATAATGTCAACCTGATACTATATTTGATCGACAGTTCTGTATATGGTCAGGCTGTTGCAAGGTTCTACGGATTAGATGCCGGTTCCCCACTCTTCGGGGCAGCTTTGCCTAGATTAGGTGCAAGCTGCCGGGCAACCTGCGCCGAGGTATTGGCATTGAATATGAATGGCAAGCTTCCCCGAAGCTGTCAAGTAACCGACGTCAGTTTCGTGACCTACAATAACGGGGGAGAGCGGTACGAGCTAGTCTTGGAGCATCACCAAAAAGAGTTTACTCCTCTATTATCATCGCGATTGTTATAATCTCGCTCATTTCAACGATTTCAACCAAACACTGATACAAGATACAAGACAAACTTATAAGCCGCACATCCATTTTTATTCAACATCTCCTACTTGAAGTAATATAAGCAAAGGAGGGAGAAAAACAAACCATATCTCCCGCACACACAATGACGCACCCCATCAGAGTGCCTCCGCCGCCGGTGCAGGCCATGAAGCCCACCATGCCGGTCCTCCAGGGCCTCCAGGCGTCGGCCGAGGCCGTCGCGCAACAGTACGATGCCGCGACACGGCATCCCGTCTTCTTTAGCGACGCCATTCAGAGGGTACCTCTATTGAGAGGAGACAATTCGGCACAAGCAAGTCCCGTGGCGCTCGGGTATGGATATCCCAAGATGGGACCGAGGCTATGAAGAGAGTCTTTGAGCATCGCGATAAGGGAAGGAAAGAAGGCATACCTCGAATGGGATACTGCGAAATTTGAGAGTGAATTCGATTTCAGGAGTTTATCAGCCATTACTCAACCTGCAACTAAACATATATTCTTGATACCTTCAATCCGAAGGGACGACGAAACGATTTGATCACGAACGTGGTAGGATAATTAAGATAGGTGGTCGCCGGAATTACCCCGACCGTGATGGAAACAAGCCGCAATTAGATGTACATGTATACTACCATCCAAAGCGCCATAAACCAGGTATCACTTTAACAAAAGAAATTGGGCCATCTTTGACAACCTTGGAATCCGCCAAGTTGATGTGTGTTTGTGTGTCATCTCGGACCTGAAAATTGAATCATCATGCCCTGAGCCTCGTCTTCGCACTCGTACCGTCTTGCAGGGTATTGTACTCGCTGTCGTGCTTGCTTTTCGTCGTGTTCTTGTTTTCACAAATTCCCCGAATTCACTCTGATAATAATGCTTCACCAAGCTCTTTGGATTAACCAAGGGCATTCTTGACGGCAATCACAATGGCCAAAATGATGAGCACCACGACAAATACCAGCATGGCCATGAGCTTGACATTCTTCCACCACATTTGCCTCTTCAGCCCCCGGCTCCGGACACGGAACTCGCGGGCACTCCCGCCTAGGCGATCCGTCTTGTCAACGAGGAGGTCGATGCGCTCGCCCCGTTCCAACAAGCCCTCGATGTTCTTGGTCATGATGCCGCGGACGTCGTCCATCTCACGCTGCACGTTGCTAATGGCGTCCTGCTGCCCGCCCGACGTGGTGCCATAGTCGACCATGAGCTTGCGCAGCTCGCCGTTAAACGAGCCGGCGCCATAGTTTGGCAGGTTGGCAAAGTCACTGTCGGCGAACTCGTCGAGGAAGCGCTTGCGGATCTCAAATAGGAAGCCAAAAGAGATGCGCCGGCCTAGCGAGGAGTCGGCAATGACGAGAAAGGTCAGACCACCTGCCGACGGGTTGCCTGCGTGGGCTGACGGCGCCTCGGACATGTAGTGAATATGGTAAGACCCATGAGTGAAGGTCATCTTCTGGGACGTCTCATGGCTGATCTTTGGCAGGACCAGGGAGGAGAGAGACGAGGTCTGGCTCGAGGCGCTGGTCGTGCATTCTGAGAGGATGGTGGTGTTGTGAGCTATACATGCGCTACAATGTCCGGATTAGTGTACATGGTCATCGCTTGCAGCAAAGCACCTGATTAGGATATCGCAGCTGGAACAGGAGAAGCCATACTAGTACAGCGGCGTTTTTGGGGTTGACGAAGACGCCATTTCGACAAGAGTTGCGATCTCTGATATCTCGACGTCGTATGACTAGTGTTTTGTCCGAATGGCTGCCCAAATAGGGCTGATAGGGAAACCTAGGTAGGTGTACAAGACTCAGAGGCAAAGGATGTATCCAGAGCAATGTCGTCGGGTTCGAGGAGGTTCGAAGAAAAGGGAATCTATGTCGCAGCAGCACCGACAACAACGAATTTACTGGATTTCAAGTTGAGTATGATCGGAGGACAATGTTGCTCCCTTCTCTAGGTGGGTAGATGTATGGATGCTAGGCAAGGTAACGTAGGGAGGTGGTAGTACAGCTTTGGGAGTGGGTGGTCCAGGTCCTATGCAGGATGACGCTGGCATAGATCTTGGGGAGTCTTGGACGCACCCGACGGCCGACCCATTTGCCGCTTCAATGAATGAAGACAGCTACTTTAGTTTTAGGCGCTAACCCACGCGCTGTGGTACCCTGTCGCTTAAGGTGTAACGCGCCCGCCAATCGTTAAGCTTAGCTCGATAAAGAGAAGAGAGGAAAAAATATCCATTCCAACATAGCGCATTATCCATGTCGCCTGGCGATGGTCCTGAAATCATTGATACTGACCACTTTTTCAACACCACGCAAAGATACGGGTTCCAGTGCCTTGAATGGGCTTTGACTCATTCTCGAATTCTTAGACCTGCAAATGAGGTGATTTATATTACCATGCTAGCTCACTTGTCGAGCAACGGTCATGCTTTCCCTTACCAGATCTGCGCGGGCTAGCTCGAGCCTCATAACTCGAGCCAGTCGCATGCATGCTTCTTTCACCACTACTGCGAGAGTTTTAGGCCTTGTAAGCAGAGTGACTACCGGCAATCGATCCTTGAATACTTGCATGCTAATCGCTTGTTCGTTCAGACGCCCAAGAGAGAAATAACCGTTGACTCGGAGTATCAGAGCGGTCTCGCCATACCGGCTTCCAAACCTAACGAATCTCGCCCTGTAACAAGCGATGAAGGCTCTCCAAAACGCACGCGGTCGCCGAAGGCGCATAGGACCTACGAGATCTTTCGTAAGCTGGCATTGACAAAGGTTGAGCAGTTCTTCAACAAAACTGGAAGCTGGCAGGAGCAGAGGGAGTCATATCAATCCTTTGGCATCGCCAGCTCCCTCAAATTCGACCGCGAAACCAGACTCTTTAGATCTGCCGTTGACAAAGCCTGCGAGCGTGCGTCGACTAATGGCTCCATTAGCCGCGCTGAGAATCCCCTCTTCTGGCGCCTGCGAAATGCCTTTGTGCAAGGAGACATCAAGGGCTTGACGGAAGAGATCAAATACGCATTCTTCAACTTCTTGATGCGTTCTCGCTTCTCCCACGCCATTACAGAAACCCACAAGAAAATTGCCGACTTTCGCCACCCGCACGAATGGTTTCCAGCCACTCGAGCTCTTCAACGCACAATACACATGCATGTTGGTCCGACCAACTCGGGCAAGACATATAACGCTTTAAAGGCTTTGGAGAATGCCAAGTCTGGCATCTATGCCGGCCCTCTGAGGCTGCTCGCCCACGAGGTGTTCTCCCGTCTCAACGCCAAGAACAAGGAGTGCGCCTTGGTTACTGGAGAAGAAATGCGCATACCAGAGTCGGACAACTATTTTCGAAGTTGCACTGTCGAAATGACACCACTTAACTACCAAATGGACGTTGCAGTCATAGACGAAATACAGATGATTGGTGACGAAGATCGAGGTTGGGCGTGGACGCAAGCCGTTCTTGGTGTGCAGGCCAAGGAGGTGCACTTGTGTGGCGAAGAGCGCGCCGTCGACCTTGTACAGGCACTCTGCCGGCTAACCGGAGACAAGGTCGTCATTCATCGGTATGAGCGACTCAGCCCTTTGAAGCCAATGAACCGAAGCATAGGAAGTCTCAAGCATCTCCAGAAAGGCGATGCCGTGGTATCATTTTCGAGAGTTGGCATTCACGGTCTCAAGAAGACCATTGAAAAAGCCACGGGAAGGCGCTGCGCCATTGTCTATGGCGGTTTACCACCGGAGACGAGAGCTCAGCAAGCTGCCTTGTTCAACGATCCAGACAACGACTACGACTTTTTGGCGGCTAGTGATGCCATCGGAATGGGACTTAACCTCGAAATCAAGCGTGTTGTGTTTGAAGCTACGCACAAGCGAAAGAGAAGTGGGTATCAGCCTCTCTCAGTATCAGATATCAAGCAAATTGGTGGTCGTGCTGGTCGCTACCGGACAGCACAACAAGCTGTCAGAGAAGGTGCAGAGACAGACAACCAAGACGCCCAGAAACGGCCACCGACGCCGAAGAAGCAGATCGGATTAGTTACGGCCATTGAGGACGAGGACCTCGAGACTATCCAGCAAGCCTTCTCGCAGGACCCTGATCAACTCAAGACAGCGGGCATCCAGGTCCCATCTGCTGTACTGGAACGCTTTTCGACATATTTTCCTCCCAATACCCCCTTCAGTTATATCATCTTGCGACTATACGACATAGCCAGAATATCGCCAAGATTCCACATGTGTAACCTGAATGACCTTGTGGAAATTTCTGATCTGATCCAACCGTTTCCCATGTCGGTCTTTGACAGGTGCATTTTCCTCACCGCTCCGGTCTCCATGCGAGACGCCAACGGCAAGCAAATGGTTCAAGCCTTTGCCAGATGTGTTTCAGACATGGACGGTGGTCACCTTTTGGACATACCTGAGGTCGAGCTTGAGCTTCTGGACATGGATGTGGACAGTTATCCCTATGGCCCAGCTAATTTTTTGCGCAAACTTGAAGAGCTTCACAAGGCGATTACTCTCTACCTGTGGCTCAGCTACCGCTACTCGGGCATCTTCCGGAGTCAACATCTTGCATTTCATGTCAAGGCCTTGGTTGAAAGTAAGATCGACGAGCAACTCAACGCAATAACCGTGTCTGAAGAATCTCGCAAAGCTAGGGTTGCTAGTACTCGTAGAGAGGCACGTCAGAGGCAGCGGAAGAAGCAGGACATCCTTGGTGAGGATAATTTGCAGACCCCTGGAGAACCAAGCCACGATGGCCCCGGCGACTGGAATGAAGCAGGTCACCAGGAGCCCCTTTACCAAGATGCTGCCGAGGTACAAGATCTTGCTGGAGACAACACCGAGGCGCACTCGAAATCTGTATAATATCATCTTGCATTGGTGGAGTTTATGGTCATATATGTGTTTTCCTTTTTTATATGGAATCGGCACGAAAATCTGGCGTTGCAGTGCGCATGTCGATTTTGACATTTGAATAGAATTCTCCTTTCCATGAGACGAAGACCTGAAGAAAGCTTTGGCTGCCTAGAGACAATCACTGACCATAGATTATTCAACGACTGACGACTGCCTTGTGCATCCAACCTGTTCCTTCCAGACTCAAAGAATAACACGTGCTTTTTGAGTGACCCCCTGGTCTTTAATCACATAAAGAAGGTAGGTGCATTGGGTCTTTGAGGCAAGTGTATTTTATTATCATTCCCCGCCAGTGTTGTGCTTGACTTGGCCAAGAAAATATCATTCTGGTCGTATCACAAACATCCTAGGTACTCGTATCTGAGACGCCGGTCTACTTCGAGAATATTCATGGAAACCTCATCTGCATTCCTATACCACCTAGGCGCCTAAAATGATTCTATGAGATCCAGTACACTCGTTTTTGACTTCCCCATATCCTCGCACAACAAGCCACCACTAGCTTTATCATCCTCATCACTCGCTTCTCAAGCTACCTTCCTTTAATGACAAAAAAAGCCATGGAGTCTTGGATAAGGGAAGAGCCTAGTCCCAAGTCACCACAATTAGAAGAGTTGCGAGCAGCTGGCCGATAGCGTCGGTCTTCTGCGTCGCGTTCTTCTCCAGCATATGATGGAATCGCAAGTCGACTGCCGTCCTTCTTTACCGACACTCCCGGGCAAACGCCGCCGCCCATCACATCGTCTTACCCCCATAGAGATCCTCGGGCAACGTCGATCAGCAAACGGGAGAGCTTCAAGACTGGTATTGATCCTCCGCGGCCTGCACGAGAGGGCTGTGAATGGGTATGGTTCCCCGGAGGCTACTGGGCCGAGCGGGAGCGTGTCGATACTCCCACCCCCGAGTCCAGCACGAAGACGGGCTTCAGATGGCGCAAGCGATCTACACGGAACAACAGCTCGGGTCAGACAGAGAAGAGCGGTAACGGAAGTATAATCAGTCCAAGAGCCATTCCTCAAGCATCGAGCCCGATAGACTACATCAACCGATCGGACCTGTCATTGACTAGGCCACCATTGCTGAGCCCCTATCTCACTGAGGCCAGCCATGTCTTCTCCCTTCAGCAGCCGAGTCACAAGGCACGAAACTCATATGAGGAGTCAAGGATCAATGATAATCAATGGCCATCGTCACGGGCATCTACATTGGCCAGGCACACGGCTACGAATAGTCCAATATCGGCGACCCACGAATCAGCTATATTGGCAGATTCTGCGGAATCGGCAACCGCTGCATCTACAGCTTCAACCTCATCAGCACCAAATAAGTTGAAGAAGAGACCAACTTTTCTCCCATATATATCCACCAAGCCTATGAAGTCTTTCATGAGCACTAAATCAAAGTCCAAAGAGGTACGTATGCTTGACGAAAATGTGCAACCTCATTGCCCACAAAGGCCTCAACTTAGCAAACTTTTATAGCATAAATCCAAGCAACCTTCTCCCAAGGAAGCTGAAGAGTCGACTCCAGCGGCATCCTCTGCTTTAGCCCAACTAGAAACTGCAAATCAAGGGCCCTTGTCTCGAGTTGCGGCACTGCTTCATGACAAGGACGACGCCAACAGCCAACAAAACGGTAACATGCCACGTCCACGAAAGCTCTTTGGCCGTGCGCCTTGGCAGAGGAAGCTGTCCAGAGAGTCCAACGACAGTGTGTCTAGCTCTATCCGCGAGATGATTCGCGGTCATACGCCGGACCCTTCGCCAGCTTCAGACCAGACAACAACCAATAGTGCGACCTCACGTGGTGGCAACGATGAGCAGTTCCCTGGAAATGTGAGTCTCGGCACAGTCATGAGGGACGATTACCATTAAATGACAGGGTAGCCCATGCCACTAACACATGTAGCTCTATAGGAAGCAACACGCATCAAAACACCTCCGCTCTATCATTCCAAAAATGGCCGTCCTCCCCGATCCTTCTTCATGGATATTTCGGCACCCGTAACTCCCCATGTACTTCCCAAAAAGCCTGTCCTGTCTGTGCCTGGGACCAGAACCCAGATGAATAGTCCTAGGTCTCAGTCAGAATCTAGACCTCGCCAGCGCGAGTGGTGGGAGGTACCAAACGCCGTCCCACGTTGGGAAGACGTCGGCCCAAGAGACTTTGAATTTGACATGCCTGAACACCTTCCGACGAGTCCCATGTGTCCTGCCAACAAGAAGCACAAGAGCGGCGGTACTGGCGTTTGTGTTTACCATGGACGCAGGAAGATCAGTGAACCCCTCAGCATTGGACAAAATGCGGTTGAAATAAAGGACCGGACGCCAAGAGGCAGCGGCGGCGCATCCCAGTATCAACAGATACTCGAAGTTCTCATGGAAACTACCACTAGATAATGTCATTCAGCTCTATAAGATACGGCAGATGGGAAAGTGGTAGAAATAAAGATTGGTTGTGATGGTATTGGCAGTGAGAAAAGAGCCTTTCTTAGCAAGGCCAGACACTCCACCATGCTCCTGTCCTTCTTTCGCGCAATCGATGGAATGTGAAGACCATTACTGGCTGATTGCAGCCCCCCTTTTGCATACATGAAGCTCATCTGTGTGTCGTTTCTACAGACTTGTTGAGCCACATGCTCATGCTTGAAGGTCGTCTCAAAACGACCACACCACTCAAAGCCACGGAGAACTATACTAGACTAAACATTCAGCCTCTAAGGTGTCTGCTTCCCAATGTTTGGCTCACAGCATCCTGGAAAACGTTCATTGTTAGCCACAAGATAATCCCATATCACAAAAGAGTTTACCTTTGCATGCCTGAAATTTTGTGTCCATCATGGTCTGTATCCTCTTCCACACAATGGCTGCTCTTCTCAGAGAACCGAAACCCGGAATTATCCTCATACGGTCCTGCTGGTTCTTGAATCCCGTGAAGCCCTTAAGTCCCACTCACCCAAAGTTCGACAGACTCCGGTGCCTGGCTCAAAGGCCAACAACGACCTTCGCGCTCGTATCGTCGTACTCGTGTCGTCTTCGACTTCGATTGGAGTATCTTATTACTATTTCATACTCACTAATAAAAGGGTAGGCATAAGCGCATAGTATTCTAGGAGTCACTACTGAATAAGTCGTGGAGAGAACATTTCAATCTCCTTGATTACCTTTGGTGCTTTACAATCAGCATTTGCGAGTGTCAGTGGCAGAACAACTTGACGTTGCGGTTGCAGATTGACACATCTTGAGCATCATGGGAAGCATATTCAGCACGGAAATGAAGGCAACATATTTAATGATGGGCGCTGCATGACGAGTATATTATCTGTGGCCTCTGTGCGTATGCCTACGCTCGAGCTTGTGGGAGGATGTTGTCGAGTATGAGTCTCAACTTCGTTCCGAAGTTACCTCGACATAAGTATTAGCGAGCATTACGTGTGCTCATTTCCATTTATACCATCAACCGTCCAAGTACTCTACATTTGTGTTAGACCATACAAATGATCACCTTTTATTGAAATTGGCGTCAACTTATGGGATTTCCTAGTTGTCATGTCCTCATCTTTCCCCCACCACTTGAGAAGCGCTTCAAACAAAGCTCTTTATCGCGATGGGATTGTCTCGGGAAATACTGGTGCGCTGCTGAATCTTGGACTGAATCTGTCGCAAAGGGCGTCCTAGCCACGGCGGAAATTGGCTGCACCGGGAGGAGGCATGCCTCGGCCATCGAAACCGAAAGCAAGAGCCTCAGGGCCTCCGTGAAAGCCTCCGCTCATGCCCGGCGGCAGAAATCCTGGAGGCGGGGGCCCGCCAGGGCCACCAGGACCACCGAAGAGACCTGGCGGAGGCGCCATATTACGCATGGCTTCCGGCGGAAAAGCACCCATGGGAGGTGCAACAACCATAGGAGCGTGATGAAAACCAGGGGGAAACATGCCCGGCGGCGGCGCATTCCGAGGATTGCCTGCGAGTCCTGGCGGCGGAATCATATGCCGGCCTGGGCCAGGAGGGGGAGGCTGGTTAGCACCTTGCAACCAGTTGGGCTGCATCTGGTCAACGCCCATGGAGATGGGTCGCTGAAGGATCTGAGTCGGCTGCTGTTGTCTGCGGTTGTCCTGATCGAGGCGCAGCTGTGATTCGTCAAAAAAGCCCGGAGGTCCTTGAGGTCGTCCTTGCTGATGAGACCCGCTTCGTTCCCGCTGGAAGTCTGGTTCCCTGTCGGGTGTCTGCGGGATTTGAGCTGGCCGAGAAGGTTGGGGCATTCGAATGTGAGGCTCGGGTCTCTGTACTTCAGGTGGAGCATGCCGGCCACTTTGCATGAGGCTCATGAGGAATTCTGTCTGACTATTGCGCACTTGGGCTTGATCACGACCACCTGCTGGGCTCGCCACCGGCTGTCGCTGTGCTATCAGATTCTGGAGCAATTGTGCTTCTGTGCCCATCGGTCCTGGGATTGGATAGCTGGGTGGCTGCGGTCTGGATGCAAGCATCTCCGGGGGCACAGGGCCACGGCTCGGTGGACCGTCTCGGTGCTCCAAGTTGAATGGTGGGTATGGACCCGGTGATGCAACTGAACTTGAGGGGCCCCGTTCGGGTTCGGCGGGCGGGGCAGAGAAACCGCCAGCAGACGGTGGAGTGTTTGATATATGCTGCTTCTTGAGCTTGAGGAGAATGTTCTGAAACGCAGCTCTATCTTCCATGCCACTAGGGCTGCCAGTAGGAGCAGCCGCAGCAATGTTGGCGGCAACATTTGCACCTCCAAACTGAAGCAAGGGGTTGATCTCCTGGGCTGGTTGAGGAGCTGCTGCGGGTGTTGACGGCTCCGTCTGTCTGCCCTGTTGTGAGGCGAAGAAACTACCAAACCTTGATCCTCCTTTAGGCTTGGGAGGAGCCGACTCTTTCGGTACTTCGTGAGGATTCTCGATGTCGGCGCTGGGAGTGACAGCGTATTTGGCAAAGAATTGGTCTGGGCCCATTTCAACGGCGGGGGCTGACTTGACCTTGGTCGCCTCAATGTCGAAGGAAGCTTCACGTACTGAGGTGTTAATGCTACTTGGTGCTGGGCCTTGCTCAGGCACAGCATCACCCTTCTTTTGGGCCTTCATGGACTCCATGAATTTTTGAAGGTCTTGAATACTGTGTGCCTGCGGCTTTTCTTCAATACCCTCGTCGAACCATTCTGGATCACGCTCCTGGCGCTGGTCTCGATCTCTATCCCAGCGATTGAAGTTACGGTCTCGTGGCTTGCTGTCAGTAGGTTGATCCTCTGGTGGTGCTGCCCGATCACGCCAGCTCTTGGCTCTGTCGAAGCGCTCGCGGCTGGGAGGCGCATCGCTGTCGCCAATGTCGCCACGACCCCAGGTAGCTTGATCTGTGCGGTTCCTGGGTAGCCCGTTCCGACGTGGTCGTTCATCGTCACCGTCCTTTTCGCGGCCAAACTCTCCAAAATTGCTGCGTTTGGGCTTGTCGTTGGTCTCGTCTTGGCTGTCGCGGGGGCGGCGCTCTGCGCCAAAGCGATCGCCTCCCATACGGCCATTGAATCGTTCGGCGCCTTCGTGGCCAAAGCTCTTGCGAGGCTTCACTGTACTCCAACCGTCACTATCTTGTTCACCATCATCACCACGACGCCGGAAATTACCTCTCCCATCTCGGTCCCTGTCGACTCGTTCGCGGTCATTGTCGCCATCTCCGTTACGGCGAAAGGAGGCAAAGGGTTTGTCATTGTCAAATGGCTTGCTTCCTCGAGTGGCGGTTGAGGAGGAGAATGTCGTTCGGGGTGGACCGAGAACTATGCCTTCGGCATCTTGGAGAAACAGTCAGCATTTGACGGAATGATTAGTTTGGTTGGGTCAATTAACATACTTGTAGTATTCCGCGAGCTATGTCTGTCCACGCCGGGACGTCTGTTGGTCTGGTCAAGCAGGGCACCTTCGCCGTTCCTGGTCTTGTCCGTGCCGGTCCTGGCAGTGCCTTGATTATTGCGATAGGTCTCGGAGAGTTGTCTTTGGCAATGCCAGAGTTAGTTATGTACTAAAGAGGGAAATCTGACGACAGAAAGGTATAGGGACTCACCCCATCCAATCCTCCTTGGGAGGCAAGGAGTTGGGCTTTACACATAGTGGCGACTGGCTCAAATGTATGAGCTCTTCCACAGTATACCTTAATGCCATAGCATAAGGAGGCGATCGATTGTCTGGCAAAAGATGGTTGATGTTCTATTCGATGTTGGAAAACTGTCGAGTCAATTGGGCTGTCGTGCTTGAGTGCGAGTGGGTGGACGAATGGAATCGCTGTTGTCCAGAGTCTGCCCGTCTGTCTTGATGAATGGCTTGTGCGTGTGCGGGGGGGCCCAACAAAGTGGAGGAATATGTAGGCACTGGGAGATGATCGGGCAGAGATTGATGAGACGGAGGAGAGTCAGAGTCTGCAAGGCGCTGAGCTGGGCTGGGCGAGGAGAGTGTAGGTATGCGTATGTGTGTGTGTTCTGAGTGTGGCAATCGAGGCTGTCAATTGACAATTGAATGGGATGTATGTATGTATGTCGCAGTGGGGATGTCCTTTCGTGCGACCACAATAGTCAAAGACTTGTCCAGGGTTTAGCAGGTTGGTTGGTTGGATGAGCGGGATGTCCAGTGCAGCTTGAGGCAAAACGTTTCCTTCGGGGGCGGCGACTATCGTGCGTGTGAAAGTGGGAGGGGCAATTTTTTGATCTTTGATGCTCGTGTAAAATGTATGCAATGTATAAGAACTTTAGTGTCCAAGTGGTCTTCTTGGAAGAGAGTCACTGTTCAATGTTTAGGTAGTAGTAATCTATTTGTACAGACGTATGTGATGGAGGTCGAAATGTGATTCCAGTGTTGGTCAAGTGAACTGTGGCGGCCTAACTGAACGCGAATTGATGGGCCCAGTGCTAACAGTCCACTGTCCCTCACATGCACAGTTGCTACCCCTTGCTGAGACGGTTACCTAGGTAGAGCGCACACCACAAATGTTACTAGGTACGTCCACGGGTGCCCACGTTTATCTACCTCGGAGTACAAAACATGAATCCGTTTCGTCTCTGGTAACTATAAACATTTACCTGTTTAAGCTCTGAACAACGTCTCTGCTACTCTTCTTCTCATTCTGTGCCTCCAAAGCTATCTACGCATTAGATTGCGATCAAGCGTCAGAGTATCATTACCTGAGTATTGAAAGGTGACAGGACAGTCGCTTACTCAATTTGTCCCTTAGGCGAGTCAAGAGGCGACATAGATATCCAAGTAGGTACTTGGCATGACAACATTCATCTTAACATAGTACATACCCACTACCCATTTACATATACACAACACATCACTCTGATCTCTCTGCGATCTTGAACTATCCATTGGGATCACTTCATCCGCTTGTATAGTATCTAGTACAATCCTCAAAAACCGCAATCCAAAAAAACGCCATTCAAAAGACCGCACAATAAAAGGAGTGTCTTTAAAATGCAAACCCAGTAGCCCGCCCTGATGATCCAATCATACCTGCGTAATCTCGTGTCGTTGGGTGAAACAGAGGGCGTCATGGTCTAGACCATTCAGCCGATTCTGTGAACAAATGTTTCTCTGTCTACCCAGAAAAATAAAGGCTTCCTTGATGCGGGTGCTTCACAGCACTGTTTCAGTGCTTGCAACCTGTCTACGCAACAGAAGCACAAATCGCTCGCCGCATGCTTAGTAACAGCCTACTCATGTGTCTGGACTTTGTGGTCGCCCTTGACAGCGTCTGCATATGATGGCGGAGCAGGCTCGTACTCATTCTGGGTACTGCTTCCAGCCTGAGCGGCCGTGGACGAGGAGCCATTGCCTTGGTTTCTTGCCGTGCCATAGTTCATGCCCGGCTGGTGCTGAGGCTTTGGTTGGCGCTGTGGTTGCTGAGCCTGTGGCTGTTGCTGTTGCTGCCGGCCATCGGTGGTATGTATCACAAAGACCTGATGGCCGCGCTCGGCATCTGGCACATTCGAGTACTCATAATCATCAGGAACTTTGGCGATGATGTACCACGCGTGAAGGAGTCCCGGAATCTAGTATATTCATGTTAGTGAGCAGGGCCCCAGTATCAATGAGGCAGCAGCGTGCGCGCATGCGACGAGGGCAGACGTACGTAAGCTAGCATGCAGAGGAGAATGTTGATGATGCTGTCAGCGGAGCAAATACCGCACTTGATCCATACTAGAAAATCGTCAAATTAGCAGATGTTATCGTGACTGCCATGGAGCCTGGCTGTTATTGTCGCGTGTTTCGGTTGCGCCGGCTCGAGGACGCAGGCAGCCGAATACGTAGCGACAGGCGACATGACGTACCAGGCAAAGGAGGGAAGATGATGGCCAGGAGGCCGAGGAAGATATCGGAGCTGCACATGGCGATGATGCCCACTCGATGCTGTTGTTTGTTGTCGTGGTGTTAAATAGTATATATGCGATGCTGGACGAAGAATTTAGGATGGTGTTATCGTCGGGTTCATCGAGGTTTCGGGGTCTCTGGGTCTGTTATCAATCAATCAATCAATCAATGGGCTGGGCCAGAAGGAGAGACCGATCTGCAAGTCAGGCGGGCACTGGGGAATGAATCACAGTTGAAAGAAAAAGAAGCGGGCTGAGCGCCCTGAGAGCGATCAGATCAACCCAGTCCAGTGAGTGCCAGGAGGCAACAGTGGAGTGGCTCAGCTCCCCCTGTCAGGTTCCGGCCAAAGGCTCAAAGCCCGCAGGAGCTCCCAAACTGTGAAAGTAAAAGTGCCCCGGGCTTTTGTGTGGTGGGTATTGCGGGGGTTACGTCAATCTATTGATTTGCAAGCACTATTGGATGTACCTACATATCTTCAGATGGCAATTTCCATATGCGAGGTTATTCCCGGACCAGACTAATACATAATTCTAATTTGGATCTGAGCCGTACTTGCTCAGAGTTCGACTGGCCAATATTGACTGCGAGCCTTGATGTCCACCAGGCTGTGAGGATCAGTATCATCGAGCAGGAAGTTTCTAGTCTCGCAGTGACATTTGTAGCAGCGAGCCAAGAAACCAGTCTGTAAGTACATGGACACCCTAGCTCTATTCCTTGGAGGTCATTTCGGCCAGTCTGCCGTTGAGTCGCGCTTAATTCTGCGCCACCATCTTAACGTTGGTCTACACGTACCACAGTATGTAGTATACAATCCACCGCGTCGCTAGACATCCTTCTACTATTCACTTGCTATGGCCTCTGTAGCTTTGGGCATAAAGTGTAGACATGATTTGCATCATGTTGCCAATACAAAGTAGCAGTGAAATAGAAACTCGTGTGAGTTGTACCACATGTGATCTAACACGTATCGAATTGGCCAATTCACAGGCTCGTGAATCAAAACATATCTTACTCTTCGTTATCATCACATAAACATAAATAGATCAGGTTCGACATTTCATCCACTGGGCAGTCAGAGCCCATAAAGCATTTGACTTGACTCCACACAGGTCTACTCTTGGCTAAGCAAATATAGACATCGCGTGTTTCATAATGTTGCGTTTGCTGAGGAGCATCACGGCTGTCCTATACTCAAAAAGGAGGCAGACACGTAATAAATATAAGCATAAACGTAGAACTCAGAATACATCCATCCATTATCTCTGAGAGAAATGTTCAGATATGATCCAGGTTCAATAATGACCGATCTCTGATTCTGCTATTTTGCAAAGCCATTGCAAGTCCTCGCTTCTTGAATGGCTTATCCAATCATTATTAGAAGTGTAATTGTTGCTGATCATGCTTTGCTTGAGTATTATCTAGTTGAATAACTTGGTCGAGCTCTGATGAATTCAGTACTATTATGCGTGATACTATGTAGCAAAACTAATAATAAGTTCCTGACACTTGCACTAAACTTGTAGCGGCAGTACATCAAGCGAAGCGCACCGACCAGTTGCCCCACGGCTTCTGCCGCGTTGTTCGGTCCCATAATTATTTCCAGTCCTCCAACTTCCATCAGCGACTCATCTGAGTTTGCGACGACGTTCAAACCGCATAATTCTCGACAAGTCGCGGGAAGGGGATCAGCATGGACGACTTCGAGGAGCTCGAGCTCCTGTCGCTCGTTTCCAAGGTCACGTCCGAATTACAAAATCATCTCGGCATTTCGGAAAAGGTCTTGGCCGAGTTCATCATTGCGCAGCGGCTAGAATGCAACACCATTGAAGAGTTCAAACAGAGGCTGGCCGGCATGGGAGGTGCGAAATGGCCAGACAGTCTATTCGACAGTGTAGATCGGCTGGTGCGGACCATGCATCCAAAGTTCAAGTCTGGGTCGAATGCAGCGAACGGAGCCTACGCCGACGAGTCTTCACATCGATCGAAAGAGGAAAAGCAGGGCTTGTTTCGAGGTCTGGCCATTCCCGACAAGCAGGTGCCCTCAGACTACGAGGATGGAGACGCCATCGATGATACACTCGCACAGCTGGAAGACCTTGCGCCGAAGCCTTCCAAGCCCCGCGCGGAGCCATCGAGTAGGAAACGCAGCTGGAGCCCAGAGGATGAAGATTCGCGCCATCGTCGGAAAGAGAGGCGCAGGTCGCGCGACAGAAGAGACCGGGACTATGACGACGACTACGAAAAACCGCATCGGAAACACAGAAGCAGGAGGGATGAATACGAACGCGGGCGAAGAGATGACGACATGTTCAAAAGACCTCCCGAACCCGAGGTGGACGACGCGCCTGTTTTATATAAAATCTACGATGGTCATGTCACTGGTATCAAGGACTTTGGTGCATTTGTCAATCTGCATGGGGTTCGCGGAAAGGTTGACGGTATGGTTCACATATCCAATCTGGTACAGGGACAGCGCGTCAACCACCCATCGGATCTGCTCACAAGAGGACAAGATGTCAAGGTCAAAGTGACAAAGATCGAGGGCGGTCGCATAGGGCTATCTATGAAAGATGTGGATCAGGAATCTGGCCATGATCTTATGCCCCAAGCAAGAATTACCTCGGGTGCAAACATGGAGAGTCTCGGAGGCGGTCGCAACGGCTTTTCCGAAGATAATACTGCGGCACTTTCAGCTTACGCTGCGCAACCCCGTCGCCAGAAGAAACGAATGACCTCGCCAGAGCGGTGGGAAATTCGACAGCTTATTGCATCTGGAGTTGCCAAGGCTTCAGATTACCCCGATCTAGAAGAAGACTACAATGCAGCCCTCAAGGGCGAGAGCCAAATGGAACTCGAGGAAGAGGTCGATATTGAAGTGAGAGAAGACGAACCTCCATTCCTTGTTGGTCAAACCAAACAGTCACTGGAGCTTTCGCCCATCAGAGTCGTCAAGGCACCAGATGGCTCTCTCAACCGTGCAGCAATGTCTGGGACGAATCTAGCGAAAGAGAGGAAAGAGTTGAAGAGAGAGGAGCAAGATGCAGCCGCCGCCGAGGCTGAGGCAGAGTCCAGGTCAGATCTGGCGTCCCAATGGAACGACCCAATGGCGAATCCAGAATCGCGGCAGTTTGCCAACGATCTGAGGAATGCCAGAATGAATGCCTCCAAACCCCCGGCTGGACAATTGGAATGGCAAAAAACTCTACGCAAAGATGAACCGCGTGGCAAGCGTACAAATATGAGTATCAAGGAGCAAAGGGAGTCTCTTCCAGTTTTTCAGTTCCGGAACCAGCTTATCAAGGCCGTCTGGGAGAACCAGATTCTTGTCGTTGTTGGTGAAACTGGTTCGGGTAAGACGACACAGCTTACACAGTATCTTGCCGAAGCTGGCTTCACCAAAGATGGCATGATTGGCTGTACGCAGCCTCGTCGTGTAGCGGCCATGTCTGTGGCCAAGCGTGTCTCGGAGGAAGTTGGATGCGAACTAGGTGAAGAAGTCGGGTACACCGTTCGTTTTGATGACAAGACGACCCCAAATACGCAGATCAAGTACATGACCGACGGTATGCTCCAGCGTGAGATCTTGTTGGATCCCAACTTGGAACGATATTCTGTCATCATGCTGGACGAGGCTCACGAAAGAACGATTGCAACTGATATTCTTTTCGCTCTACTGAAGAAGACCTGCAAACACCGACCGGAGCTCAAAATTATCGTTACTTCGGCAACCTTGGATGCAGACAAGTTCTCTTCCTATTTCAACGAATGTCCCATTTTTACCATTCCCGGACGAACGTTCCCTGTGGAGATTCTGTACTCGCGAGAGCCCGAATCGGATTACCTCGATGCTGCCTTGGTTACGGTCATGCAAATTCATCTTACTGAGCCACCGGGTGATATCCTCCTCTTCTTGACCGGCAAAGAAGAGATCGATACAAGCTGTGAGATCTTGTACGAACGCATGAAAGCCCTGGGACCAAATGTTCCCAATCTCAATATCCTGCCAGTCTACTCGGCACTGCCCAACGACCAGCAGAGTCGTATTTTTGAGCCAGCACCACCAGGAGAGCGCAAGGTGGTTATCGCAACCAACATCGCCGAAACATCAATCACCATCGACTTTATCTACTATGTTGTTGATCCTGGTTTCGTCAAGCAGAACGCCTACGATCCGAAGCTAGGAATGGATGCTTTGGTGGTTACCCCTATTTCCCAGGCACAAGCCAATCAACGAGCTGGTCGTGCTGGACGAACAGGTCCCGGAAAGTGCTTTAGGTTATATACCGAAGCAGCTTATCAGTCTGAAATGCTGCCCACAACTGTGCCCGAGATTCAGAGACAGAATCTCTCCAACACGTAAGCAAACCCAACCCCCTATTGCACAAGTCAGAAGCTAACGTTGACCTCAGTATTTTGATGTTGAAAGCCATGGGTATCAACGACCTCTTGAATTTTGATTTCATGGATCCTCCGCCGACGAACACCATGCTTACAGCTCTGGAAGAGCTTTACGCGCTCTCAGCTCTGGACGACGAAGGCTTACTTACTCGTCTCGGCCGGAAGATGGCTGATTTCCCCATGGACCCGGCACTCTCCAAGGTTCTCATAGCATCCGTTGACCTTGAATGCTCTGACGAAATGCTTAGCATCATCGCCATGCTCAATGTGCCGACTGTCTTCCATCGGCCCAAGGAGAAGCAGCAGCAAGCAGATCAGAAGAAATCCAAATTTCACGACCCATCCGGTGACCACCTCACGCTGCTCAACGTCTACAACGCATGGAAAAATTCCGGCTACTCTAACCCATGGTGCTTTGAGAATTTTATCCAGGCACGTGCAATGCGGCATGCTCTAGATGTTCGAAAGCAAATTGTACAGATCATGGGACGGCACCGGCATCAGATTTCCTCCTGCGGACGCGACACGACGAAGGTACGGCGCGCTCTTTGTGCTGGATTCTTCCGAAACTCGGCACGGAAGGATCCCCAAGAGGGCTACAAGACCCTCATTGAGGGTACGCCGGTCTACTTGCACCCATCGTCTGCGCTTTTTGGGAAGCAGGCCGAATGGGTTGTCTACCATACTCTGGTCATGACTTCTAAGGAGTACATGACACAAACCACGACGATTGAGCCGAAATGGCTGGTAGAGGCGGCGCCAACATTTTTCAAGGTCGCGCCTACAGATCGCCTCAGCAAGAGGAAGAAGGCCGAACGTATCCAGCCTCTATACAATAAATTTGCCGGCGAAGACGACTGGAGACTCAGCGCTCAAAGAAAGGGTGGCAGAGGCGGTGGTGGCGGTGGTACTTGGGGTTAAAAGGGTGGCGGCGATTGATTTTAGCTACCGTGACTTGGTCCATCTCTTCATATTACACAAACTCAGCCCGATATCGAGGAGAACAAAAACCGGCGGGTTTCTTTGCATATAGCACCAGGGATTAGAGGTGCAAATGGGGCATCCCAGGAAACGAATGCGAATAGACCAAATAGCCAAGCATCCGATGAAAACAAGATCACAAACTCCTCCTCATATGCGTCATCCTTGATGACTTTGAGACTTCACTCGCTTTACATGTCCAAAGCTGAATACCTTTGGCTTACGTGACCCATCTAGGCGTAGTCGGGGAGATCGGGCTTCGGTCGTCAGAGACCCGCCAGGCTCCCTAGGCTCGGTGCGGGCAGACTGCAAGGGCCGAGGATGGAATTACAGGGGTTTTCTAGAAGTCCGGGAGCCTTAAGTCCGCGGAATCCGCTAATCTGACCCAGGTTCCACGTCAATGATGCGTCTTTAGGCCAAGACTGTCCAATCCGAGAGCGAGCGCATTTGGCTCACTGGAAAGAACAACGCACATTGTTTCTTTTCCCCATTATCTATTTTCAGTCAAAGGTCGGAAACCCACGTCTTTTTGTAGATTTTTTCAGGGATCGGTCGTGGTCCCGTCACGTCGGACATAACGTAACCCTTTACAATAAGTCCGGGCTGTGTCTGTCTGTCTCGGCCCTCATTTACGGTCCATTCTTGCTGCCTGTGGTGGCTTTGTAAGAATCATATCGTAGACAATAAGTAGGCGCATTTGTCCACTGCTGACTTGCCACTTTTTGCTTCCGTTCGGTATGATCAAGACTCCTTTCTCCATTTCCGCCACTATACAATCCAGAAAACTCGTCTGGACGCTGCAAAGACCATTGCGGACGAACCTCAGAACTACACAAGTGACTAACATGTCTACCCAAGTCGTTGCCCCCGTTGCACCACCCGTAACCATACGGACTAGGAGAAGAGCGAGAGAACAACAGCAAGAAACAACACCCGGCATGCCTCCGCCTCCACCTGCCGCCGCTGGGGGGATGTTTCCTCTTGGCTACAAAGATGCCGTCTACCAATGGGTTTGCTTTCCCTCTCCTCTGCATACTTTAAGCATGTGGTCACTAACTCAACATACAGTGGACGAGCGTAACACCAACAGTGGCAGAACGTAACGTTATTGCCCATATACCATACCTCAGGGAAGCCGTCGCACAGTCGACCTCGCCATTGGCCGAGGTGCCTTCGGCCGACCACCCTGGATCTACTGAGACCGCTGCCAATATCGACCCGTACGGGCCGCGGTTGTGGAAATCGCAAATGGTTAAGCTATCTGGCAAGAACCGAGGGCTCAATGAGTTTTCCATCGAGAGGGTGGGCGAGCCGGTAGATGACACCCTGGTCATGCTTCATGGCTACGGTGCAGGTTTGGGATTCTACTACAAGAACTTTGAGAGCTTGACGCGGGTCAAGGGCTGGAAACTGTACGCACTCGATATGCTGGGCATGGGCAACTCGATGCGGCCCAGCTTCAAAATACACGCCAAGGATCCCGCCGGCAAGATCGCCGAGGCGGAGAGTTGGTTTGTCGACGCACTAGAAGAATGGCGCAAGGTCCGAAAATTAGAGAAGTTCACTCTTCTCGGCCACTCCCTCGGCGGGTATTTGGCGGTATCATATGCCTTGAAATACCCCGGCCGGCTCAACAAGCTCATCTTGGCATCGCCAGTCGGTATTCCGGAGGACCCCTATGCCGTTAATGCGGACATGCCCGAGCCCCAAGAGTCGACATTCCAGGACGAGTTCACACAGGATCAAATAGAGACGACCAGACCCCATGACGGCAACTCACCGAGCTCCAAGAGCAAAATAGGAAGTGACAGCGTCAATGCTCCAAAGAAGCGTCCTTATCCCAGCTGGCTCGTCTGGCTATGGGACGCTAATGTATCTCCATTCAGTATTGTACGCATGGCCGGACCAATCGGCCCTCGCTTTGTGTCGGGCTGGACCTCGCGCCGCTTCAACCATTTGCCCGACGAGGAGGCGCAAACGCTTCATGACTACTCCTACAGCTTATTCCGTCAACGTGGTAGTGGAGAGTATGTGCTGCCATATCTTCTGGCCCCTGGCGCTTTTGCCCGTAACCCCATCATCAACCGCATCCAAGACGTCGGCAGGCAAGTCATTCAACCAGCAACTGCTTCTACGCCGGAAACCAAGGAGACGGGGTATCCCATCGTCTTCATGTACGGCGAAAACGACTGGATGGATGTGGCGGGGGGCCTGGCGGCCGAGGAGAAACTAAAGCAAGTCAAGGCGCAGATCCTTCGCAATGCCACCGAGGAGCAGAAGAAACGAGAAAATGGGTCCGCCAAGGTAATCATCATACCCAAGGCCGGCCACCACCTCTATCTGGACAATTCCGAGTATTTCAACGAGGTCATGACCAAGGAGCTGGAGGATACTCGTAGGCAGACTCTCCAGGAGAGGACGGAAAGGTCCTAACCTCGAGTGGATCGTGATCCGAAAGATGACTCATTGTACGAATAATCTTAGCTTTGGCGTTTGGGAAAGTGCTTTTTAGATGATTGACAGGATAATACTGCAACGGAAGAGAGCGCGGTTTGGCATTGATACAGTGTATCCTGTTGAGGATTCATGATTCACCCGACGGCGCTTTTTGTCATCCGGGTTTATAGAAAATACTAGAATAATTCTTTTAGACGAGGGTCTTTACTTGCTTTTCATGTATCGCTTGTCTTTGATGTCCAGCCCATGCGATGTACCCTGTACGAGATTAAGTGTCTCCACAAGGCATATTCCTGCCAAAAGAAAACGCCTGGCACATTTCTTCTTTTAAAGTTCGCCAAAACTTCGTGTTGAATTTCATCAAGCCAGTAGTACTTTCTTTCTCATTGCCCGCGACTATTTAGGGAAGAGCTGGGGTTTCACCATTGCTTTTCCACCCTACATGCCTGATGAAGTGAGACATACAGTTGCCTCCAGGGGAGAGGTAATTTCAATGTATATAAGTATAGCCAGGGAAGCCATCCAACTTACCGTGCTTGGTTTCTATCAAAAATACCATCCTCATCATCTACTTGCCTTTATTTTCCTTTAAAACCATGTATGGTGTCGGTATTCGTGATTTCTGTCTAGTGGGTCTCCTTTTCAGCATCATCAAATACTCTGACAGTCGACCTAATGGATCTGAATTCTGCCCGCCAAGAGCCCCATTGGCTCCGTATTCTGGCGGGCGGTTGCTCAGTGCGGAGTGGTCGAGGGAGGCCGCAAGGACAGGTACGCGGCGCAAATGCATCTATATGCACGAGGAGTACGAGATATACCGAGAGTACGATGGAAGTGGGCTAGAAATTTCCCCCGACGGACCGGAAATCCGACGAGCGATTGAGGACTGGGACCATGAATGGTATCTCGAAAGCTCCTGGAACGAGAGAATCCCTACCTCGGAGCAGATTCCCATGGCCGACTACACGGACGCGTCTCCCGAGACGGGTGCAAACGGCTATGAAAGCCCAGAGACCCCGAGAGTTCTCGACAGCGATACCGACTGCCACAGCTACTCCATCAACGAGGTTTCAGAGCCAAGCAATCACCCCGACGGCCCAAAACACAAGTATCACATTCTATCCAAGATCGGAAAACGAATCAACAAGTGCCTGGCCGACGAACAGGGCTGCGGAAAACGCTTGAGATTCGGCTCCTGGTGCACAAGACAAGTGTTTACCTTCATGACACTCATGATACCCTCGAAAATTGCAGATGTCATTGGCAAGCGCCGGGGCGGGCCCGGCGCTATACTCTGGCCTCTGGGTGTTGTCTGGGATGATACGACTTGGTTTGATCTGGCGGCATTCTATCCCTTCATTGCCGTATTCTCCCACATTGGTGAGGAAATAGCGAACGCATCGTGGAGATGGGTTTGTGGCTGCGAACCGCCCCTGGCCATGAGCCCTCAGTTCCACATGTGGAACAGTATAATCACGGTGTCCTTGTTAGCTGTTGTTATCTGTGCCTATTTTATCAGACGGAGGGACAAAAGCACAGCTGGCCGACAAGTGAAGAATGTAACCTTCTGGGGGAGACGCACTTACTATTTGTCAACAAGGAGTAATCACCCACGATCGTGATGGCCAAGGAGGAGGCGTGGATTACCGTACCTACTTGCAACTCATGGGATGTTTACACACAAATTCATGTAATTGTTCTTGCTTTGAAAGGAGGAGCATTTATTTAAAATAGATGTAGAGAACTGCTAGAGTTGATGCTTGGACAATTTGGAGAGTGGTTCTCTAGAAATTATGAAGATGATAATTCACTTTGTATTTCGTCCCAGCCAAGCTACGAACCAGGTCATCTGCAAATATGCCTTGTACCGATGAATGAAATGCGTAATTCCTGTTTCTGAGTACACGCAGAAATGAACCAAGATTGGCTTGAGGAATTCAGAAGGTACGAGATGCCAATAGAATGCATCATATTTTCTTCCGTTGGTGCACATCAAATACAGCTTGGTGTTTGTTATACTCGCCCCACAATGGCAGGCGCCGTTGCAACTCGTACAGGGATCCCCCGCTAGGCTCCCCGAAGCTGCGTCATACCCAGACCCGTGCAAGCTAGGTACAGCTCCCAGTAAAGATGGAGGGGCAATTGACTTTCAAACACACGAGATTGCCTTCGGCGAGTGAATACCTACCGCGTTCAACCACTTTTCGACCTTGCATTACTGGAGTCACTTCTTTTGCACTTCTCAAGTCACCAGCCCACTTGATAAGTTTAGTAGAGAAACAGAACAAGAAACAAACAAAAACAAAACCATGGCAGCTGCAACACAAACCCACCCCGATCCGCCTCCGGGCGCCTCGCCAGCCTTCATCCCCCTCGAAGCCAACCCAGAACTCATGACGAGCCTCCTGCACCGCCTCGGCCTGAGCAGCGCGCTGCAGGTCCACGACGTCTACTCCATCTCGGAGCCCGAGCTGCTGGCCTTTATCCCCCGCCCGGCCTTGGCCCTCCTGCTCGTCTTTCCCGTCTCGGCCGTCTACGAGTCACAGCGCATGGCCGAGGACGCCCCCTTGCCCGCCTACGCGGGTAAGGGCCCCGGCGAGCCCGTCGTCTGGTTCCGCCAGACAATTCGCAATGCCTGCGGTCTCATGGGCCTGCTCCACGCCGTCAGCAATGGCCCGGCTCGAGAGTACATTGGTAAGCTTGGAAATCCGCAAAGAGAAAAAACAAGCTCCTCCCATCCATGGCTAACCATTCTTTTTCTGCTACATAGAGTCCGGCTCCGATCTCGATAAATTAATCAAGGAAGCCGTGCCTCTAGCACCGGCAGAACGCTCCAAGCTACTAGAACAAACATCATCCCTCGCCAGTGCCCACCACGAGGCCGCCAGCCAGGGCGACACGGCGGCCCCCGACGCCCAGGACGACATCGACCTACACTATGTATGCTTTGTCAAGACAGGCGACGGCACGCTTTGGGAACTCGACGGCCGCCGCAAGGGACCTCTAGCCCGTGGCAAGCTCGACGAGAATGAGGACGTCCTTTCGGAAAAGGCTCTGCTCTGGGGTCCTCTCAAATTCCTCGAGCGCGAAGGCGGCGATATGCGCTTTAGCTGCGTTGCATTGGCAGGCTCTTTGGATTGAAGACTCTGATGTTCAATATCGGCCAATGAATAATGGAAACGAGTGTTTGGGATTCTAACAAGCATAGGAGTTATGGGAAGCTAGCAAACAGATCCTCGTACAACAGAGCCAATACCGGCTGGATCGCCTTAATCCTGACAATGGGGCACAAATATATCCTCTCGAGAGGTGGGGGGCCCATGGCCTAGGTCATCGAGTTTGATGAGATTACCCCAGGCTGTATAAACATGAGCGAGAGGAGCTTGTTGCCCATGATTCTGGCATAGACACGCCCGATGAATGGCAATTTCAGGATCAGACATAGACCTTCAAGAATTCGAGCATGAGCATAAAACCGTCTCATATAGCAATCTTTCTATTTATTCATGTAATCGCGTGTGCGGTCATGCGAGAAGAATAATCCACGCCTGGTGTTTCCGAATCTCCAATACGATGCCAATCCAGGCCACTCCAAACAGTTTTCCACATCAGCCAACTACCAAACTCTTACCGCCAATGGAAATATGCGTGACAAGCACCCCCGCTCTTGTTCTGATCATCGAAAGATCATTAAAGAGCAAGTCTGTGACTGACTTTGATTAAACCCCACGACAGAAAGAAGCAGCCAATTTATATAAACAGAGAGTTCAATCTTGTAACCCGACGACAACGCCTATGATCAAAACCAGAATGAATGCATGGTTCGCCTTTGATTTGAGGCCAAGATTCCAATAAGCAACCAGCTAGTACTCATTTTTTATCCCAAGGGTCAGTAGGAAAGGGATCTTCGTGACCTGGCGTGTCAATTCGGGGTGTGAGAACAGCGACAGGTTCGTCGGCGGCATACTCAGAGGGAGTTGGCGGTAGAGCACCACAGAGACAGTTTGCACGTTTCAACATACCGGGTGCAACTGGCTGGCTCTTGTGTTGTACATCGATGATCTCGCCTTTGTTGTGTGCAGTTGATGAGTCACCGTCAGCCCTATTCCGGAGGTATCAGTATTTCACAAAATCAATGTCTGATCCTCGGGCAGACTTACACGTCCTTTGTATGGCCACATTCATATTTATCGGCAACAGGACTCGAATGGATATCGTGCTGAGCTGACTTATCTTGACCATCGGCCGCATTCTGAGGTTTCCTGTGTTTTTGTTAGGGAAAATAAGTGCTTCAAGTCTTATTGCATATCCAGACTAACTTTTTGTTTGAGTGTTTGGGAGCGGACTCGAGTATACGACTTGCCGGACGTCGATCTGAAGCCCCGTCATGACCTTGCTTCTCTCGTCAGTATCCGAGTCTTGTAGATTGATATTGTTGCTGGTCATGGTGATGACACACTTGCCGATGCACTTTGCATATGAGGTAATGAGGAAAGTGATGTCACATACCAAGGCTCATGGCAATGTCATCTGCATTCTTTGCTGCCTGGACAATCTCCTTGTCTCGCGTGAATGTGTCGTCCTGATGTGCAAGGGGGTCTAATGGCATCGGTCCCTCATGCTGCTGATCCTGAGACTTTGGAAGCTTTGGGGTATCAGAACTGGGCAGGATCTTGCGAATGCCGTGCGTCAACTCATCAGCCAGCACTTGCAATTCGCTCTCTACTTTTTCCTTGAGTCGGGCTCCCACAGAAGGCTTTCTGGGTTCTTTCGTTTCGCTCTTTCTGGACTTCCTCTCTTGCCTCTCTCTTTTGCGCGACTCGCGTCGAGCCCGCTCTCGAGCTTTGCGCTCAGACTTTTCCTTCTTCTTGAGCTCTCTTCTCGCCGTGTCTCCCTGTGCTCTTGCTCTATGCCTCTCATCGTGGGCTTTCTCTTTCTCTGCATGATGCTTTTGGTGCCACTCAAGTCTAGAGTCAACTACGGGTGCTGGCTCATGGATAGCAGGCTCTTGTGGAGGCGAGCCTTTGACCGACGGTATGGCCTTGGTGGGTTGATCAGCTTTGACGATTATCGATGGCTCACGGTAGGGTCCTTACCGGCTGGTCAACTAATGGGGACGGCAGTGCTTCTATGTTTCATCCAATCAGTTCATTGAAGCACTTGGAGCAACTCCAATATCTTACCGGGCGAAGGGGTGCGCGGAACTTGTGGAGTAGGTATAGGCTCCCTGGGGGCATGTTGGTAGGCGAGGTCGTCAAGCTCGGGCTCAGCCTTGTCGCCATCCCAATCGCAGCCAGCCGCAGGCTTGGGAGTAGATGGGGAAGCAAGATGATCTATGTCTGGCTCAGCAGGGTTATCAAATCAGTCAGACGCGCCATACTTTGGCGCAGACGAACCTTGAGTTGAGGTAGGCATTGTTTCTCCTGCGGTTGAGCCTGCGCTTGGAGACCACAATCGAAAGACTGGTTCAAAGTTTGGAGGGCGTATGGGCATGAGAAGGGATGAATTTAGCTAAGTATAGTAGGTAATAAGATAGATTGTGCTGGTGGTGTGAAAAGGTAGGAAGCAGCACGGAGTCAACTGATGATAGATGATGATGTTCCCAAGAATGTATGCCCAAAGTGACCTGTTGTCGCCATTAGTTGGCGTGTTGACCCATCTAGTTGAGCCCATGGTGGCTTCCCCCTTTTCCGCACATTGTATAATTGGCAACTGCTCTCTTCAAGGCTGCGAGTCGAACAATTCTGGAAAGAGTTTTCATGTATCGACCTCAATGGGACTTGAAAGCCACCACTTTGCAACTACAATGCACATTCTCGAAAGCGGTCGATTGTGTCCAATCAAGATGCTCTTTGGACGATAGAAACAACTTCACTCAATACTTGACTCGGTGGTCACGACCGAATTGCTTCATTTAATCACAACTGAAGGCGCAAAGTATCACCCCCAAGCGGTTTGACCTTGATGTTGCAAACAGTGTTATATTGGTTATATCTACCTACTCATGATCCAATGTTGTGTCTGCGAGTAAATTTGAATCGTTCATATCTCTCTTCTTAAAATCAATTCTCGACGTAGGGTCTCACTTGTCGTCTTCGAGACTGGCAATCTTCCTTCCCCTATGGAGTTCTCTCAAGTCCCTGTATCAGGCAATTTCTAAAATATAACCACCATTGACCTCCATTTAGCCCGACTCAACACTGCAGATTCGCGAGACACACCAACGACATGACGCGCATAACTTACGGAAGATACCGAACCAAGTCAGTGCCTCACAAGTCTTGGAGGAGATGAAAAGGAAACGCGGACGCAGCCAAAGTGGTAGTTCAAAAACAAGCACTTGCGCCCGACTTTCCTAAAGAGGAGGGTGGAGCTAGCGGTGCATGCATTTGAGGCTGAAAACAGTAGTATTATATACTATATATCCCGGGCAAGAGAGATATCGGATGTGGAGTTCTTTTTCTACCAGCAGCCCGACCAGAAGAGCAGCTCGCGTGGTTATTTTGTGTCGACAAGACTACTTGGTAAAACAGAAGCAAATGTCAAACTGCTTTGTACATGACCGGGTACTTTTTAACACGTGAGAACCACTTGTGTAAGCTCACGGTCCTTGGGTCGGGGAAGATATAATCAACAAATGTATCAGAATGTACAGGATATGCAAGACGACTTTATACATGACGAGCTGAGAAGCACTTGAAACCACGGAATTGGTACCGAGGACTCGAAAAGAACAACAACAACCAAAACAAAACGCGATAGATAATGAAAGTAAGCACTTGTCTGCCTTGTGCTATCTAGGCGATGCACGATGTTACAGTAGCAGAGGAGGATACCCCAGGACCCCTATGGGTCGGGATGGAGGCGTTCCTTGCGAGCAGCAGGGGTATTAATCTGGGGGGGCTTACCGTGGGCGCCACCAAAGTTGGCTCCCCCGTTCGGGTCCGACAAGCCCATCGTGGGATTTGAATCGGAGAATTTTGTTTCTTTTCCCCTCTCTCTTCGAGGCGAGAATTCGAGGGTTGCGCAAAAAAGAGGAAGCGATTGTGCTACGACACGACGAACAGGCGACAGGCGCACAACAGCCAAAAACACGCACGCGGTGAGAAGGAAAGGGGGTTCGGGTAGACGCAGGCCGGGTACTTACTATGAATGGGTGCTTCGTACATGGCTGGCGCATGAAATGGATCATGTCGTGACATGGCGTACGAAAATTCAGTGCAGACTGAGGCTGCAATCTTGCATTTGCGTGGCTTATTCTCTTGCAGAGGGCGCCCCTCCCCGAAGATCGTCTTTGCTGCTCCTCTGAAGCTGGGTCGCATTTCGGAATGGTCACGAGAGAGGATTTGTGTAGCTCGCTGTTTCGTGGTCCGTTACTGTTGCCGTATCGCGTCTTTTCCCTCCTGTCCCCTACAAGGCGGGATTGGTGGATTTGGAAAATGCCACTGCTCGTCTGCGCGACACAGAGACAGTCTCACGAGCGGCTGCTGCAGGTTTGACAGATGGGTCAATATATTCTGGCCATGACTTGAGCATTGCACTGCACTTCACTTATCTAGGTGCAGCTACCGGGCAAATAGGTAGGCATACTGGCAACCCGGCATGTTCTGTGGCACACAGTAAACAAAAATGATCAAAATGGCGAGATCTCAAAGAAGAAAAAAGAAAAGTCAAAGAGGGGGCGAACTCATGCAGGTACAGACGGAACGAGTATCAGCTAAAAGTGCTTTTCGTAACGGGCCCCGTTTGCTACATTGGGCAAAACATGTGATTGCGTCGTGCCTGGTCCTTCGTGTTACTATACTCCCCTCATAGTTCTCACCAGGCGAGATTGCTTATACGCCATGATTGTTTCAACGGTCACTCACGTTGCTCGCTCCAAGCTGTCTTTATTGGAACGACGTAGCCCGTTAGGTCACCCTGGTTCCGTGAACGGGTCCCCTGCTTCGTATACTCGATTCAAATCCTTGGTAGTATTCTCCAGCTGCGTGTGTTTTTTCGCACACAACAAGGCCATGGGAATTTGTCAGACATGGAATCACTAGAATGCCAATTGCATCACAATGGCAAGGACTCGCCAAGCTTCGAGCGACCTCGTGGATGAGCAAGTTCCGAAATTCATACACGGCTCAGTATTTGCCAGACAAACTCTCAGGAAATGAGACCATCATTTGCCGTGCCTTGCTTGCCCTCGGGCGACTGAAAACTTGCTCGAGGCCAAGGGGATGATGCGTCAACGAGGATACTGAGCTATAATAGGCAATCAATGCTCCGGGTTCCGTGCAGGCAGTCGACTTATTATCGGCTGAGGGTGTTAAGGCTTGGGGGGTATAGCCAATGAGAGACCAATCGGAAGTGCCTGGCAGCCTAGAATGAATGTTGTTACCAAAGTTAAAACGTCTCTCCTGCTGGAAACATGAGAAACATGAGAAATTGGTGCATGATGGTTCAGATTTGGATAACCCAGGCTGACTGCAGAACATGCCGCGTGACAATATCGACTGTAAAAGTAGATTGTGTAAGTCGTTTGCGAAATATCACAAGGTAGATATTCTACACAAATGCAACCGAAATTGCTCTTGAGAAATAAAGGCATTCCTGGCAGAACCGATATATCTGGAGACGCTGACCTGTTCCGATTCTGAACCTCTTGGAAGGGATGGGCACTGCTTGTATATACGTGCCGGGCGTAATAGTTGCTCCGGTGCAAGGTGCAAGTACTTGACGCTCCGTCGATGTTGTTGTTTATCTTGCAGCCACCCAAATCAGATGCAACTAGATATCAGTTGGCTGCACGATAGAGGGTGTGTGGGAAGCGTGTAACCTCATACTGTATAGGCACTCCGAGAACTGGCATGGAAAGATATCGTCTGGCACATCTTACTAGTACGCAGCAGTCATTCTAAATAGCTGCGATCCAGAACGACTAGGATACAATAATCCGAATAGTATAGAATCGCAAAGCCTTAGTCATCGAACATAGTGTGCTATGCTTCCAGCAAGGAGTGGGGAGACCAGTGACTTGAAGGGGCAGACTGCCGGCATTGCCAAATTGCACTTGGTGAACTTGAGTTTATGAGAAGATGCTGGAATGCGACTGTCACTTGGGCAAGAGAATGAATATGATTTTCATGGGTCTTTCTGTATTCCACGTAGCATGAATTGGTGTACAAAGTACTTCATACTTGTTAGCACGCTGTCCACAGCCCCTCCAACAAGAGACACTGTGTATGCTACCAGGGGGGGCTGGTGAGAAGCATCACCAGCCTAGGAATCCTAGTAGTTCCGTTTCGCTTGGCATGTGCCGCATGGTGGCTTCTCAAGTGCCTGGGTGTGGTGGAGTGGAGGCACTGTAACTGAAACATTTGAGACCGTGGAGTTTTTTCTCAGTGCCTGTAGCGATTCGCGAATTTTATAGCTGACCCCTGTCCTGTAATGACAAGGCACGGAGCAGACGATGTACACAGCAGTGCAGTGCAGTGCAGTGCAGTGTGGTGTAGGAGGACCTTGGTGAGCCTGCTGTGCGTCCTCTACTGGGAAAAGTCAGTCGGGCCATCCGTGGAATGCATAGAAGAGGAACAGGACGTTGACGAGGTGCAATCCAGTATGTGGAGTGCCAACGCATGGAGAGAAGCAGCCAGTACCGAACGTAAGATAGTCCTAGGTAGCTTGAATGGGGGCTCTATTTGTTTTTGTTTTTGTCGTCGTTGTGATTGTTGTTGTCCTCTTGCCAACACGATGACATGTCATGGAATGATGTGCAGGGAATTCAAGACATGAGTGCGACTGTCAGGGTCAAGTAGGAAGTCCGAATAGCTGTGCCGGGGAATCATTTCGTGATCCGGGCTCCGGCCCTCGATATCAGCCCGTCAACCGTTGAAGCAAAGCGCCATATGCGATCTGATTGTCGATCATATTGGGCCAGAACGTACGTTGGGCCTGCTGCAACGCTCGATGGCGTCTGATTTTCAGATTGTGGTGCCAAGGTGGTCCCGGCACAGGGGTTCCAAGTAGATTGTAGAAATACAAATACCCACCTGCCAATATCTAGGCAATAGAGGATGGACGGCTGTGCACTACACGGACCTGCGCCCATTGGATCTGCCATTTATTTGTCCCTGATTTGTGCTGTTGGCAATTGCAAATGTTTGTTTGCTTGTTCTTTTATTATTATTTTGGCAATTGGCTGACCAGACGCAGACGACGGCGCAGAGGGAGGCGTCACCCGGGCCAAGTCCGTTGTTGCGTTATGAGCCACGACTCAGAAAATGTGGTGGCCGTCAAACAGGAACAAATGACTGGAGAGTTTTGAGCCAAGGCAAAGGTCATTCCTCCGATGCTATTAATATAGTGGTAGCACATATTCTCTAGTCTCACGGGACCTTCGGTTTGATCAAGAGCAGCGCCACAGCAGCGTTCTAATCTTTGGTCGGTGGTTGGACATGTTTACTGCCACGAAACGATATGATGTGAGCGCAGCACAGTATCTGAGTTTCCAGCCCAGCACTCACTCCTTTTTGCTGTCACGCCCGTTCATTTTCTATTTTCCCGGCAGAACCAGATGATACGTAGGCTGCCGGGCTAGGAGCTAGACGGGTTAAATCGTGAGCCCAGTAACTGGACTGTTTACAAAGTATAACTAGTATGGCTGTGCTCGCCGTGATGGATTGCGTCACCCCTGATGAGGAGCAGCCAGCCAGTAAAGAAAGCTATTATTGTATGGTCAGGTATCCAATTGACGACGGGAGCACAAACAGAGTCATTTATCTGTCAGAGCGGATAGATGAGCGGTAAAACGAAGTTGTCAGCGGCTCGAGTGTCTCTCTTTATGATTTCTTCCAAGAACGTTACCTGTGTACTCGAGGTGTTAAAAAAAAAAAAAANAAAAAAAAAAAAAAAAGAACAGCCCCTTGACGGTAGTCTACCTAGTTGCAAGCTAGTGTTCTTCCGCGGGGAGTACGGAGAGCACCACCTTTAGCAATACTGTTCCTGAGCGTTTTATGAGACGAACTAGCTGGAGAAAAAGAAATTCGGACTTTAGGATGGAAGGCTGGGACAGTAAAGAAAGACAGTTGCACTAAAATTACCGCGCTGCTTGTTCCTGCAGCCAGAAAAAGGTTCCAGAACAGAGTCATGGCAAGGACAACCTTAAACTACTTTTCCCGAATTCAAGATTACGAGGAGGATCAATTTCAAGCCAGATCCATGCCACATACGCCAGACACGTATCCCAAGACTTAAATACATACGGGTTGATATTACTGATTACTCTTCTGGCATCTAGTTGACTTGTTCCTCTCTAGCATATAAGGGGGGGAAGGAATCATCCGAATCAGCATTGCGGAGGATGCTGATGTCAATGCTGCTTGGCACATGGCAATTATAGTTACCTTCCTGCCAGAGATCCCAAAAATGTCAAGAAGAATCCAAACGGCTGCAGCGTTCGAGAAGCCCAAGGTATGCCATCCGTTTGTACATGAAGAAAGATGTTGAAAGTATATACGCGACGTGGATGGACAAAGGTTTACCGTGAATACTCTGTACATGTATTGTAGACCGCCAGTTGTATTATAATCATTCGCTTCTTGCAGCATATTTGTCCATGACACTTGACAGCACCCTGACCCTGACATTTTCCAGAATAGTACATGTAGAACGTCGAACACCCCCTGACGAATGTCTGGGATGAAGGCCTAACTTACCTTAGCGACTAGGGGGAAAAGACGAGCCTTTAGCCACGCCACCTGGCCGATGAGGACCTGGGAGCATCCACATTTGGCACTAAAGACCCTCGCCCAGCACAGTCTTCTGCCTGCGCGGCTCACACTGTTGCTCCTTGGAGCCCTGCTGCAGTTCCCCCTCTTCCCCTTAAACAGAAAGATTGGGGCATAAGACTTGAGATTTTTTGATTGACAGACATGTAATGCACGAGCGAGCAGTAGCAGCAGCAGCAGCCAGCAAGCAAGCAGCATGGCAGCGTAGCTTTCCGCCAGACCCTGAGTAAGTGAGGCACGCTTCGATTCGTCACTGTCGTCGCTCTCGCCGTCTGTTGTCCTTGTCGACCTCATTCTCATCGTCGTCTTTCTTGTCGCCGCCGTAGGTCGCCTGTCTCGACATAGTAGACGGACGCATCCTATACTTATATCATTCAGCAACAGCGGCTTGGATGCTGTTAGTTTTACCCTCTGCACCGACCTAGACCGAGCGCGCACCTCACGGTCATCAATCGTCAAAGGAGCAACTGCTACTACATATCTGTCTGCACTTGGGGTTCCTAGTTGACCCTTCGTACGGGAATACATTACCACATCTCCCCCGTGCGCCCAAACCTGACGAGTACATACCACCAACGGACGGGCCTCCCGACCGACAAAGAGATCAGACTCTCCTTACCATATAGTACCATACTTCTCGGACGTCCTTCGCTTCAGTCTTAAACAACCGGCTTGTTTTCTTGTCGCGGGTTCTCTATCGCTTCGCCTCTTCCCCAAAACTGGCAGCCCATTGACCATCGTATCCATGGTGCTCTGATCGCTCTTTTCTTCATTGCTGGCTCTTCCGACCACATTGAGGCCACACGTCGTCGCTCTCAGACCGCCCCTCGATTGCCAGAACCACTGGCTGTATGAAACTATTCATCGACTGCTGGTGATCGGGATCCGCGTGAATCGTAACAATGGATGACTATTTGGAGAGTCCGATGGAGAGTGAGGAGAGCTTCCCCTGCAAAGGCTGTGGAGAGGTATGACCCAACCCTGCAACACTTGAGCCCTTTCTTTGAGGTCCCATGTCACTGACTGGTGATGCACCGACGATAGATTTTAGAGGAGGGTAAAGCATTTGAGCTGGGTAAGTCCGACTATACAAGGCAAACTGATTATATTCTTTCGCGTGCTGTTTGTTTCGCTCGATTGTCGCATTTCTTTCCGCGATCATAGTATCTATCACAACTACCCTCCTTTCCCCCTCTCTTCTTCTTGTCCTCCCTTCAATGTCAGTCCTTGATCGCAGTTTTTCTAACCATGTTCTTTCAGCGGGCAATCGATGGCATCTCAACTGCTTCCGATGCAACACCTGCGGCACCCTCCTTGACTCGGATGCGAACTTGCTACTCTTGGGAGACGGTTCCCTAATTTGCAATAACTGCACATATAGTTGCAGCGCATGCAACAACAAAATCGAGGATCTGGCCATCCTTACGGGGGACCAGGCTTTCTGCGCAGCCTGCTTTCGATGTCGAAACTGTAAAAGGAAGATTGAAAATTTGCGATATGCCAGAACTTCACAGGGTATCTTTTGCATGAGCTGTCACGAGTCGCTCATGGCCAGACGTCGAAAAAAATCAAAAGCAGCTGCACAGGCAAAGTCGCGAGAAAAAGACGGTTCGCCAATGATTGTGGATAAGAGCCTGCCAGCGCTGCCGCCGAATGCCATTCCAAATGGCGCCTTCTCGAACGATCGTGTCGACCCCGATTCTGATACACCAACCGAACTTTCTCCACGCCCCAGACCCTCGTATCCTCACCGCGACTCTTCGTCACGGAGCAGCTCGCGACCGGCCCGATCTCCAGAACGGGTGGCAGACCACAGGGAAAAAGACAGCGGGCTCTCGTTGCCGCAGGCCACCTATCGACAGAACCGCAACTCATCTCATTATGGCGGGAGCGATGTCGCCAGCAATGCCACCGCTGATGACCATGGATTTTTCATTCCCGTGGCCCTTGACCCCAGCCCCAGTACCGCTACTCCTTCGAGATCGATCAACGAGAACATGACATCTACTGCAAGCTCAAGAAAGGAGAAGGATTATTTCAGCATTCCCAAGGCTGATCCTGAGCCAACTAGACGACGCGAGCAATCTCAATCATCGACTCCCCATATTGCCTTTCAGGAGAAGCCACGCCAGACCTCTTCCGACTACGAAAGTCCACCACCCAAAGATGCTTCAAGGAGGTTGTCTAAAGCTCCCAAGACTGATAAGCCGGCACAACCAAAGACTTCTTCGACCACAAATGGCAAAACCCAAGCGAACGAGGATTTCAAGCTGCAGGAAGCACCCAAAAGCAAAAAGGTAAATGCAAGAAGTGCCTCACAATCTTCTGGCGGGCTGCACGATTTAACCCAATTGCGGCAGCCGACGGATAAAATTGGCACACCGCGCAGCTCTCAGGACTCTCGTCTTAGGGATGACGATGAGGTTCGATCCAACGAATCTGTCAGCTCTCCAAACCCCACGAGGCCGATCGCAAGGAAAGAGTTGCCACCTTCGGCTTCACGCACAACCAACGGTATGTAGTAGCTCATGATTCTCACCTCCGTAAAACCTCCCAACTGAACCCCATTTTAAGGGACAACGAGGCCGCGCAAGGCTTCCGAGGATTTACCTCCCCCGATCCCACCACCTCGGCCGCAACCAGAGGCGAAGTTGAGCGACTCGTATATGACCCCTCGAGCACCGCCTGTGCCACCGTCAGTTTCCAGTGGAAAAGAGAACTCTGGACAGCAGGAGATAACCGAGCCCAAAACATCGCCGAAATTGCCAAGATGGAGTGCCGGTGGAGACTTTAGTATGGAGGAAGACCTGGCACGCATTTTGGGGACGGATGAAGGCTCATCATCCATTCTTCGTCGTGTCTCGAATGCTGTGCGCCATGGCCGCACCGGCAGCGCTGAACAGAACAACAACCTGCCCCGGATCGGCCACACCCGAAGTGTCAGTGAATCAACGCGCACAACTGCCTCACCACGCTGGCCAAAAACCCCACTCGCAGAGGATCCTTCCAACTTGCAAACACTCGACAATTCCAGTTCCCAATCGCTTGCCGTACATGACGACGCTGCTGTCCTGAAGCGCAGGCTCAGAAATTCCGAGCAAAGAGTGGCAGAGCTGGAGAGGCAGTTTTCCAGCGAGAAGGACCTGCTTCGAATTAGCGAGCGCCTAGAGGAGAAGAGAAAGACCGTCTCGGTATTAGACACCCAGACCGAGATCATGATCCGTCAATTGGAGGTATTGGCCGGCTACGTCGAAAAAGCCAAAGATACTCAACGGCCTATCAACCCCCACGACCTAGAGGAGTCTGCCATCAAGGAATTTGTTCAGAAGATCGACAAGCTCAAGCAGTCGATGACCGCGTCATTGGAACAGCTCCATTCAGAGCGCGATGCATTGCTCGAGGAGAAGGCTCAAGCGATTGCAGACCGCGACCGCGCGCTTCTAGAGTTTGAGCAACTGTCATCAAAGAATGCTCAGCTCGCCGAGATGAACAACGACTTGACCCAACAGATTCAGGGTAGATTCAAGAACCATTCGGACCCGCGCACGCCGATGAATGGCCTCGGCATCTACCATCAGCACAAGGGCCAATCAAACAACTCTGTTCACTTGGACAGCTCCAGCATACAGACTGGCACGACCCTGATTCCCGACCAAGAGGAACCTATTCTTGAAGCAGGTCCCACTGTTGTGAATATTCGAAAGGGCAAAGTGCAAAAGTTTAGCTGGAAGAAGGGCTCCAAGGCAATGGCTCAGAATATCGCCAAGGGAGTGAACAGGACAGTCGGCGCCTTGCAACAGCCAGAGCGCCGCGACGGACAATTCGCCGGCGAGAATATTGGCCTGCCTTACAACATGACACATACACCTGTGGAATCAGCACAAGCGGTTCCCGTCAATGGTCAGAACCGGCCGAATGGCAACCTCAGTAACGGCAACAGTACCAATAATCTCAACAATGAGAAGCAGGGATTCTTTGGTTTCAAGAAGTCAACGACCATGCCGCCAAAGACCATGGGAATACAGAACAATTCTAGCTTGGATGTTGCAGAAGCGGCAGATGTTCTGTTCGGATCGGAGCTTTCTGAACGAGCTGATTTTGAAAAGAGACAGATACCGTGTGTGGTTACACGATGTATCGAAGAGGTCGAGCTCCGCGGCATGGATATGGAGGGCATCTACCGAAAGACTGGTGGCAACTCTCAGGTCAAGTTGATTCAGGAGGGTTTTGACAAGACTGAGAATTTTGATATTTCGGACCCTGACTTGGACATTACGGCTGTCACCAGTGTCTTGAAGCAATATTTCAGAAAACTGCCCACTCCATTGCTTACTTACGATGTCTACGACCGAATCCTGGAAATCAACTGTAAGGATAGCGGAACTCTTTTGACTTGTTGACAAGATACTAACTCTCGAGTCAGCCATTACGGATACGGACGAAAAGTGTGACCATCTGCGAAAGACGTTCAATATGCTGCCACAGAAGCATCGGGACTGTCTTGAGTTCTTGATGTTCCATCTTGTTCGGGTTGCCCAACGCGAGCCAGAAAACTTGGTGAGTAGCTGGCCCCCCAAAATCTTGTTCGAAGATCTTTTTTTTTTTAACATTATTCTATAGATGTCTCCTAAGAATTTGGCTGTCGTCTTTGCGCCGACGATTATGAGAGACAGGACAATCGAAAGAGAAATGACAGACATGCACGCAAAGAATCTTGCTGTGCAGTTCATCATCGAAAACAGCCAGACAATCTTCTCCGAGGACTAAACCGGCTATAACTTGGAGGAACTCGCTACCCCTACACCTTGTATATACTGCGCGAATCTACCTCGCGCTGAGCGTGGGTTGCAACAGAGTCGAGCACAGACTTGGCGGGCGAACAAATCACCATGAGAGCCTGTTGCGACATGACGACTGTGAAGCATCACCTCCTTGCTCAGATTCATTGAATGGTGCTCGACTACTATCGGATAGTCCACGATGACGAGTTGTTTTGTCTTTGAACGGCATGACAGTTTATTTTGTGATATCCTTGAAGGCATTGTGGCTCTCTGGAATTCTTTTCTTGCATTACCTCGGGAGGTTCCCTTCAAGGACTCGAACGAGAAGCGGGTTTCATCCTCAGACATGTTTTCCTTCTTAGAAAGCGGGTTATCGATATGTATTCATTACGTCCTGTTCATATTGCGGTGCGCGTTCTGGTCGAGATGACGAAAATCCCGTCATCCTTCTTTGATTCTGTTCTCTCTTTTTTTGTAATGGAAGTACGAATTGATCAGAGTTGGACAAGAATGATGATAACGGTCTGACGGCCGGAAGAATTGAAGACATATATTCCCCAAGAGCAAATTGACTGCGAGTAGGACACTGTGCAGGAACAAATCCTCTTTTGACTTGCTTTGATGATTGATGATTAAACCTTTCTACTCAACGGCTGCAGGTCCGCCAGGAACCATGATTTTTTATACTTTGCTGATTCTCGGTATTGGTTTTCTTTCAAGAAGCAGCACAAAATCCCACTTTCCAAAAACGCTCTGCTCGGGCCGAATCGCGCATTTTCCCAAATCTTTTTAGACGCCGCCCACAATGCCGAAGTATACCTACCTACATTAGGTAGATATCTATGCCAAGATGGTCAAATATACATTCGCTTGCCTAATTAAAAATTCCACAAGGGGAAGACAGCATTGCTTTCGCCATTCTCATCGCTGCTGTGTTATCCTGCGCGCCTTTTCGAGCAGCAGTCCGCTCTCGCGGCCCAGTTTGCGCTGTCCGTCTCTGCCCGGCGTCCTGGCTTTCTTCATGGCGCGCTGAAAGCGCTCGCGCTCGGCATTCTTGCGTTCGCGCTCCTCCCGCCGTCGTTGGAACTCGGCCTCGCGGGCTTCCTGCTCGGCCTTTTTCTTGGACGCCTCGGCCAATGCCTTGTCGTAGTAGCCCGGCCGGTGCGGTGCGTTGCGGGATTGCCGGCGCGACGGGTGCATGTGGTCTGGGCGGTCCTGCTTTTCCTCTGGCTTGTTCTTCTTTCCCTCCAAGTGCTTGTCGTGTTGTTGTGATTCTGTTGCGGACTTGGGGGTATCGCGGCTTTGCTTTACTTTCTCTTCTTTGCCTTCGTTATCCGAGTGTGCGTCTGCGTCTTCCATCTCTGACTCTGAATCTGGCTGGCCAGAGGCTTCGTCTTCTTCTTCTTCTTCTTCTCCTCCCTCTTCTGCACTTGAGTCCTCATTGTCGCGTTTCTTGTTGTGTCCCTGATTCTCGACTCCCACAGCAGACGACGACGATTGCTTATTCTGTGGCAGTTCCCTCGCCTTGATCTTCTTGTACGCCTTCTTCAGCTTGGCCTTTTGTATCAGGTCCTTCTTGATCTTGGTGACCTTGCGCCGCCAAGGGCCGTCTGGTAGGTTGTCGGGGCCGACACGGAAGCCGCCCTTGCGCGCCTTTTTGGAGTCGCGAGCATCGCTGGCGTCTAGAGGCCTTTTGGGTGCCATGATTTGTTTGTGTCAATGTTGGGAGAGCAATTAACGTGGTTTCGTCGTTGATGGCGCTCCGTTCAATGGGGTTTTTTTTGTCTCCCGGCGCAGAGAGCAGCAACACAAACAAAATCGTTATCGCTATCGCGGGACGAGACGCTTCTTTTGTGGGGCGCGCGGGTATTCAGATCCAACTGTGACGCTACGGAATGCTAGGTACATTAGGTACGAAATACTACATGTGCAAGCACTTTATTAGGCTTGCACATCAATGTGGCTGGCAGCCGTCATCGGCACAGGGGTTGCGAGACATTTCACGAGTCAATCGAATGTTCAAATTTTATTCATATTTTACGATATTTGACATGTCCAGAATTTTGAGTCTATTTGATGTGTCAGTCTTTTGGTTTGATCAAACGCCACAAATTTTAATCCGACGCAGATAGACACATCGAGTTAGTCGTCGTCTGCACAGCTCGTGAAGGTACAGCACTACATGCTACCTATTAGTTGGCCGACGTAGCACCCTGATGGCTCTAGGAAAGGAATGGCTCTGGAAAATGAGATGCACCTTTAGTAGCACTGAGTTCCGGATTAGTGGATTGCATAAAGCGGGAATGGTCGAATGGCGCCCGTGTGATCCCTAGGATCCCTCCCAGACCCTGAATAAATCCCCACCATCAGACCTGCGAACGCGGTAAATGACCGGTAAATGACCCCAGTATTGATGCGCCAACAGGAAGGCCAGCGCAGTTCAACCCCCCAAATCCTAGCACATGCCCAGCAAGCCCAGCGCCAACGCAATGGAGTCATCGCCCCGTCAGATGATTTCAGATGATTTTCAACGGGGCTCCTCATAAATCGGCACTGGTTGGTTGAGGGGAGGGGCCTGCACCTGCACCAGAAGCATCACTGCATTAGCATAGAAAGCGCTGCACTGGGACCCGAATGACCCGTTTCGTGTCGTTTGCTTGAGTTTGCAACCATTTGAAACGGGGAAACAAAATCTTCACTCCTCTCGACTTCCTTCTTCCTTCTTTATTTCACTGTTCAACGCCTTTAAAATCTCGATGGGTCGACAGCTGTAATATTGTTAATTTCCGAGTCGAGTTCTGGAATGCTGGGTCGGGGTTCCGAGGCACGCCACTACTAGGTACCCAAACTTGGACCATTGGACGCCAGCAGCTGAATACATACACACGAGTCAACCCGCTGCAATTCCATCATGCGCTCGCCTGAGCTGTTTTCAAACACAGTATTGGGCACAAAACACAAAGGACAGCTGAAAAATTAAAAGACATGAGGGAGGAAGTGCTATAAAAATTCCTTGGCCATCAAAATTTGATTTGGATGTGGCCGATAAAATGCCATTTTTCCAGGAGGACATTGTGCGGAGGGAATCCGCTGGAGACGTCGCAATGTCGTCACCACCAACCGGGATTCAACAGAGTTCAGATCAGTCACTCGCCGACCACACTCTCGAAAGAAGGCTCTCGGATGAGAGTATCAGGACAGAATTATGTGATGGACCGGTTTATGACGAGACAAGACCAAAGACTGCTGAAGACGGGGTTCATCCAGCATGCTCCGACCGAGCAGAGCTCATTCAGCGGCTGAAGCGCGGCGAAAGCCCAACCTGGATCTCAAGAAATGCTGGTCGTCTTTCACCGTTCAATAGCAGCCGTAAGCTTGCTGGTGAGCTTTTGGACTCAATCTGGGGCCAACGCCCAGCAACGCCTGTCCGGAATATGCAAAGTCCACAGGGAACATCAAGCAACTCTCCTGGTCTTCTCCCCCCACCCAACATTACTCCCGAGAAAGGGGACCTGGATGGCGAAGACGAAAGGAGGTTCCGAGAAGGGATGAGTATCGAAAGACCGCGCTCGGCTCTACATAGCGGTGACTTTACTCAGGAGAATACACCTACGCACAGACGGACGACGACTGAAGGCAGAAGAAGTGATCATGACCGGACGACCGACTACCAAGACCACCATGATCATTCATGGATGGCTACTTCGCCTCCACGCGACTTTACACCCTTTCGCCTTGAACGCATACAAACCAACTTTGCAAGATCGGAAGAATCACAACCCGGGTTCTCCTCCTTGTCTTCGTCTCTATCCTCGACGAATTTCTTCTATCAACCACCGACCAGCCCTTTGGTGCAGTCTGAGAGCCATGAAGATCTCGACCTTGCCAACCCTATTGACGGCATCGATATAAATTCAGGATATGCCAAAAGTTACCGTCGCCATACGCTGATGTCTGGCCTTTCCGGCTCACACGGAGTTGGGTCTCCGAGTCGGATGTCAATCCCATCGCCCTCGCTCCGGCATGAAAAGACATTTCCTTACCAGGCACATCAACCAAGGAGATCTCTCACATCCACGCCCAGCTTTTTAAATGGCACACCGCCTCAGACACCAGGATATTTACGGTCACGGCGCCCATCGTATAGTTCCGACTCGTCCCCAATGCAACATGCCTCCATGGTTGGATCATATGAAGAAAGTATTCTGCGGGGACGCATGTCCACAACGCCATCGAAACCACTCGACTTTGTTGCTCAAATTGGTGTGCTCGGTCTCGGAAAATGCAAGTCTACTCTGCGCTGCCCAGCTCATGTGACCTTGCCGTTCCCCGCCGTCTTCTATAGCTACGCGAGCTCGGCACATGGCCGGTCCAAAATGGAAGACGGTCCTAGTCCATATGTTGGGCAGATCGACCTGGAGAACGGTCTTCCAAACCAGGAAGAGGATGCCCGCTCGAAACGCAAGGTGCAGAGTCGAGCTCACGAACGGAAAGCGGCCGACGAGTTCCAGGTCCGAGACGAGGGTGTGATTGGTCATGCAGCTGGAGACGCTCGACGGTCGCAAAAACAGAAGAGAAGGTCCGGCTCACCAAGGGCTCCTCCTGGCGGAAGCTACCGTATTCCAGAAAAGGGGCAGATCCAGATTATAATCAAGAATCCCAACAAGACGGCAGTCAAGCTGTTTCTGGTGCCGTATGACCTGGCGGGTATGGAGCCTGGCACCAAGACGTTCATCCGGCAGCGCAGCTATTCTGCAGGGCCCATTATTGACAACCTTCCCGAACTCAAAGACACAAGCTCAGCAACCCGACCGACGCTACGTTATCTTGTACATCTACATATATGTTGTCCGTCCCGCGGTCGATATTATCTGTACAAAAGTATTCGTGTGGTATTTGCGAATCGCGTTCCCGACGGCAAAGAGAAGCTCCAGAATGAAATCACGCTACCTGAGCCGAGATTTACTCCTTACAAGGCCATTCGTGTCATGCACCCGCCGATTTCAGCAAGCAGCGGTCCGGGGGCTAGCTTGGCTGCTGAAAAGGCCTTTAGAAGACGCAGTTCTGGCTTTTACATGGGCGTTGCCGGCCAAACTTTTGATTCTACTGCTGATTATATCCTGCCGGAAACGCCTATACCAAGGCAACATTTCTCGTACAACAGCCCGGCCAGTCGCAATGAGCCTCCTGTGGAGGCCGTGCCTTTACGTCTGCCTCCAAAGTCATCTTTGCACGCTGTAAACAAGGACCGCGACAATAGTCGGACTAGCATATGGTCTGCGAGCTCGTCCGAGTCGGGCCATCCCATGGATACAGATGCAAATCACATGCCCAGCTTTGGAGCGTCCATGAGTCAGCTTGACAGATACGACAAGCTCAGCAAAGGCGACGTAGGCTATGGCGGCAATCCATTCTCTACCCTGATCAATGGTCGTCCTGGGACGGCAGAGGGTCTCTTGTCTCAGAGGCTGAGAACCCTCGGCGTCGAGGCCCCTTCGTTCCATCCATCAAACGACTTGGAACAATAAAGGCAAGTTCTTATTTTTGTTTATTTATTTTCTTTTTTTTTCTGTATTGGAAAGGCGCATGGCAATATAGATCCGGTGTCAATGGCAGGATGGGATGATTTTTACCGGTAGATATCCCGGCGCATCTTGCTATCATGTTTAAATTACTAGGCAGTATCAAATTGAGAGATGCCACCAGAATTGGCTTGAAGAAATCACAACAGCCCCCTCTCTGCACGTCGGGACAATTTGATGCTTCCATGATTCTTTTTTATCTTATTTTTCTGGTGTCCTCGCATCAAAGAACCTGGTAAGAGGCTAGTGCCGATCATTCTCAATCAGACGGTTTCAGATGATTGGGCCAAAGCAACTGTGTGGTCACTTATTACCCGAGATGTCTAGTGAAACACGGATCGTGACACCGACAACGTGCTTTTCCAAAAGGTAACCAACCAGTCTACCTCGTCTGCAATCTGGGCGCGCCAAGATCCGAGACGGGTTTCCATTAGGCTCAAAAATAAACTTAACATGATGAAGCTCATGGATCCTTGTGCAACCACAGAAAGTCGGATGCCAAGAATGGCCTGAATCCTGCCCGCATCAAGTGCTTGCTTCGAGTTGATTCTTCGTTTGACGTGGTGATTGGATATGAACTTTTCTTTCCCTTTTCCTTTCCTTTGTGTGATATAGAGGCGGGCCCCGGCGGCTACAAAGTTGTTACTATTACTTGGATTTTGGATTTTCTTGGAAAGGGGGAAGAATGATACCAGGTCATTCATCAGCCAGCAGCCGGCTGCTGATCCTCTTGGCTGGTTTGCTGTTGTCGTTACTCGTCCCCTCGGCACACAGCGCCCCGACACCAGGTCATCACCTCGGAGATGACCTCGGCTCTGTCTTTAGCAAGGGCCTCAACCTTACTGCCATAATCGACACGAGCATTACGAGCCTCGCATCTCTCATCGTGGCCCTCGGATCTGGTCAAATCAGCCAGAATGGACTGTGGGGGCTCATCAATATCAACAACATTACCTCCAACGTCGGGTCGAGCCAGAACGTCAATGGCACGAGTAATTTCCTCTCCACCATCAAGGGCGAGACCCTGGAAAAGTGCGCCGGCTGCCCCAGTGTCGCCGTCATATTTGCCCGCGGGACGTCGGAACCGGGCAACATGGGATTCCTCGCCGGGCCCCCCTTTGCCACGGCGCTGCAGCACTACTTCAACGGCACCCGGCTCGCCATCCAGGGGCTCGAGTACCCAGCCAGCATCGCCGGCTTCGCGGCCGGCGGCTCGTCCGAGGGCGCCGAGAAGATGGCCGCTTTTGTCAGCGCCACGCGCGAGGCCTGCCCCGACGCCAAGATTGTGCTGGCCGGCTACTCGCAGGGGGCGCAGGTGGTGCGCAAGGCGTGCGCGTCCCTGGGGGCCGATGTCGCCGGCAAGCTGAGCTCCGTCGTGCTCTTTGGCGACCCCGGCAATGGGACTGCCGTGCCGGGCGTCGGCGCCGATCGAGTGTTTACGGCGTGTCACCAGGGCGACAGGATCTGTGCCCGAGGCTCGGCCGTCTTGCCTGAGCATTTGACTTATAGCATGGATGCCCCCGCGGCCGCCTTGTTCGCCATGGAAAAGACGGGCCTGGGCATGGGCGGCGGCGATGCGTTGCTCGAGGGCATGGATGATATCCCAATGTTGAACCAGACACAGGATGGGCTGGGTGACATGGTCCTGGGTGATCTAGGTCACGCAGGTGGTGGCGATTCCGTGATACCGGGACTCGGGTGATATTTTGCCAGATAGTCAACAAGAATTACAATTGCCAAAACCCGTCCTTTCTTCATGTCGCCTTTAGTATTCAGAATAGTGACAAGGATTAAACGTGGCATCAAACACTAGAAATTCTCCCAACAGCAATCGTAAACTTGAAGAATTAATACAACGTGACGCCCATGCCGTGATCGTTCTCTGTCAAGCAGCAGTCGCCCTTGAACGGTGACAAAATGGCAAAACACAACGACTCCAGAGCCGTCTAGCACTCTTTTGATTGCACAATTCTAGCAAGCATGGTGTGAATATGGAAATTGTTAGACTATATGCGCATAAACAAAAGAAAGGGAGAGAAATCCTATCTTTTTATATACAAGCTATTAAGGGAAAATGCGAAGAAATTGATTGAACAAAGATGAGATCGAACTTTTTGGGGTCCATTTGGATGAGAGCCGAGTCCTTTAGGTACCCATGCTGCTTTGAGGACAATTCCAGACTCGAATGTGCCCAGAGGTGGCCGATCTGCCTTGATTTTTTTTTTTACTTAATCCTTTGATTAAGTTGAATAACTTCTTATGGTATTCTAATTGAGTTTGGCGGCTTTCAAGGGTCTACAACTCTTGTTTCGATGGTTCGAGATGCGTTTTCGTGGGGTCAAACTGCGTTCCATTTTGTTTTCTCTCCTCAAGTGTTCGACAAGCAAATTCTCTGGTGCGTCCGTAGGCCTTGTTTGGGTTCGACATCTCGCAGCATGGATCGGGGAGAGTCCTGCTCGCGGTGCAATTAGTAAGTGAAGGGATGGTTGTCACTGTCAAAGAGCTCTCAGATTGTTGGTAGTATGAAAGTTTGGGGCCTTACTTTAGCGATTCTTGTCCTGTTCCTTGATCCTCGCCATCTTGGTCTTCAACTTTCATCCGACTCTTGTCAAAAATGATCCGAAGGACCGAGGACAAGACCCTTTGGGTTTTGTGTGAGAGTTTGCATTGTCTGTAGACAGGGGGAACATCTCTGAGTCGATGTGCTTGTGTTTTCGCTCATTGTGTGGGGCGCACAGCAGGTGAATAACTAAGGGAACCCATAGCTGGATGGCGGGATGGAATTAAGAAGAAATTCAGATTGCGAGTAATGCTTTTGTAATCTTGACATTATGATGGATAAAAAGTAGAGATAGAGAGAGAGAAGAGAACAAGATTGAGGTTATGTTGTTGATGAAGAGAGAAGAAGGGGAAAGGAATTCTAGCTGGCGGAGAGGTCTCCTTTTAAACTCGTCTCAAGGACTGATACAATGTTCCTTCCAGCATGTCCGTACACTACCTTCTTTCTCAATCTCCGGAAGTATTCTAAAGCAGGATCATTCACCCGGATCAGCTCCTTCCAAATGTCTTGTTCCCATGGGAGATTCGAGCTGAACGATTAGATGGAAGTGATAATGAACATTCTCCATGGGATGGTTTTTCTATTACCATAACTGTTTAATTGTTGGGGAGGAAGTATATTGAACTGGTCCAACGAACACGGTGGTGTTTGCATTACCACTCCGACTTTGAGATTAATGACTTGCTTCTTTACACGAATTTCCGCGATCCAAACATGATCAAGGTGAGATGGCAAGGGAAACATCGATTGTGTCGGGACATCACGATATCTGTCATGAAATCCTAGCACGATCCTTCCGATACTCTCTTGCTCTACAAGAGAAGTGACGCACATTTCCTGACTTTCCAACAGGGCTCCTACCTTCTGATAGCAAGTTACTTCCTCATCTACTGAGCTGCATTTGCGTTCCCGTCATATCATGCTCAATGGGTAGGTATGATGTCCTGTCATAGAAGTGGCCACGTAAATTAGAAGGGCAGGCTGGACCGGGTGAAGTGGATTTAGTTTTTGCGATTCCGGCATATGAATGCCTGCATCCCTCCTGAGCCGAAGCCGAGCCATCATTGACCACAATTGGCAATCTTCGGCTCCGGAGTCGGGGTTCGGGGGCCAATTGACTATGCCAAGACCGGAAGGGCGACGTGACAATTCCAATGAGTCAAGGGAATGACTCCTCATAAATGACAATAGATAGTCTTCGTGTAACATATATCAACATATTTCCAGCCACTCATTCTTGCGTGCAGTATAACATCCAGCGTGTGATTTTGTCCCCTATAGCATGATCTCAAAGAGGGCGCTCTCGACTGCTACCACCAAGATGGCTCTACCTTTTCCCGTGCCCGCATCACTCGCGCCAGGCTTTGTGCTGTCACGATGCACACCAGCCGACGTGCCACAAATGGTGACGGCCTACAGCGCGGCCTTTCTCCAGACCAACTTCACGTACTGGTGGCCGGTCGACCTGGAGGTGATGCGGCGCTGGACCGAGGCCCGATTCCGCCTTCGGTTCCGTAACCCCTCGGACCAGCATTTCAAGGTGGCCGACGTGGCGACGGGGCAGATTGTGGCCTGGGCCCGGTGGACCGTGCCGGTGGAGATGAAGGGACTAGCGGTGGGTTTCAGGACATTCGACGACGACGACGACAACAACTTCTTGGACAACAATAACGGCAGCGTGCAAGGGGTGACTCCCGAGCAGCAATGGATGCAGAACCCCCCAGCTGGGAGCGACGAGGAACTGTATCATGAATTTTTTGCCGGGATCAAAGCTAGTGAGTATTTCCTTACTCGCTGCTGGGGGGTTTTTTTTTTCATGTGATCGGGAAAAACGGCAACAGCGTCATTTCTGCCAAGATCGATGTTTGTTGTCTTGTTGACATGGTAGCATGTATAAAATGGTGCTGACATGAATCATTGTAGTGAGCAAAAAATGGGAGTCGCATACCAAATTAGGTGAGTAGAAGTATAAAACACCAAAACAGAACGAAACTTTCCAGTTCCGTCATGGTCTGGCGCTGATCGCTGCCATCGCGATAGCACTACAGCTACTCTGTACCGATCCCGCGTACCATCGCCGGGGCTTGGCCGCGGCTCTGTTAGACTGCGTGCTGGAGGTAGCAGATAGGCAAGGTATCACGACCTACGTGGAGGCTTTGGAGAATGCCGTGCCAGTCTACCAGCGATACGGCTTCAAGACCGTCGACACACTTGGATACGACCTGACGAGGACCGGGCGCGAGGAAACGGTGAGCATTGAGATCATGCTACGGGAACCTCGGACGCTGGTCCAGTGAAGCCAATTCTGCTATATCTTGGCTAGTGCACAGTAGCATGGAGATGCGACGGGGCAGACGGACAGCCTTTCGATCGGGCGACTACTCGCTGCTGGACAGTGACGGACAATAGCTCAAGGTTGCTAGCTAGCGCCTCGTGAGGGCCATCATCCATGAAGCCGTCTCTTGACTCTTTGACTGGCGGCAATGTCGAGACTTCCAATGTCGTATCTGATCGTCGAAACGAAATCTATGAGCTATTTCATCGTGCCCGCGTGAGTTTGTGACTAGTCACATGTGGAGAGGGGAGATGGTCAAGATTGTGACTTGTAAATCATATGGATGGAACGTTGGTCGAGTGGGAAAAGACTTTGTCTTTGCATACCCGCTCCCGTCAGCACAGCTTATCGATGAGTGTACTCGAAAGATGAACGACGGGTGTCTGTCTGTCTGTCTTAGGGGTCTTGATGACTGCTTTTCGACCCCCTCTCATGTACGTAAGTAAAAACAGGTAGGTAGGGCATCGTAGCTCGTTGATCATCCGCCTTGCTCGGCGATCATACTATTGGTGCTTGCTAGTCGTGATGTCCATCCCCAAAATTCGATATTATGCGCATTTCGCAAAAGCCTTGCAGCCCTCATGACCGGTATATAGGTTGCTGGTAGGTGCACCTGGCCTCCCCTGTCTCTCCCAATATCAGAGAAAGAGATCAATGGAAGCCACAGGGATGAAGAATTTGCCAGAGGTGAAATAAATGGCAGGGCGGCTTACAGCTACATATTATTACTAGTATTTCGTGGCTGTGCGAATTGATGCATGAGCGACGGAAAAGGCAGAGAGAGCTGAGCGTTATGGATGTATTCTGTAGGCTTGATTGCACACTGCAAGGTACATTACCTACCTAGCTAGAATCTTGCAAGGTATTCCCATCATGGGCGGGTATTTAGGGAAAAATGTCCGTTTGCGGGCCGCCGCCAAGCCTGTTCAGTGGCTAGTGTGTTCAGTGATGATACAATATCAACCTCTAAAGAGACTTTTTGCCTTTTCTAGGCTCCACCCTAGAAGGTCCTTTAACTTCCTGATTCCCATTTCCGGCATGAAACGCCATATTCTTCACCCTGCCGTGCTTGAAGTTTCATATGATCTGCCCCAGGATTCGTTGTGCCTTAGGCGATCAATATGACTGAGGGGGAAGAGCTTGGGGGGATCGGATCCCCTTACTGGGCTGGCGTTGCGTGCGTGCTTGATTGCTTGATTGCTTGATTGCTTGCTTGCTCTCTCTGGGCATACCTACCATAGTACACAGTAGGTAGGTGGGGGTACATACTTTTTTTTGGTCTGTCTACTGTTTAGGGCTTGTACCGCACACACACCTCATCAACTCTTCTCATTCACCCCTTCATGCGTCTTGCCTATCTATGCAAGGTCCAGCGAGTGAGTGTGCCCTTGATGGAGCATGATATCAAATTTCACTTGTCGAAACGTCACACGCCAATCATGTTCTCTGTCCATCGCACTCTTGGGTCATCTCAAGACTTGCCAAGCATTCGGACCGGCTAGGCGCGAACTTGCATATCCTTATCCAGTTCTATCCACGCAGAACGTACCCTTTCAGTGAGCTCAAGTGCATCCCTCCTTTTTTTTTTCTGTCTCTCTTTTATTCTGCTCTGCATATATATTGGGTAAATCCTCATGTGGTTATACCTCCCGGCACCTTGGGACGGACCTCCTAGGGGGCCCTGGCCAACAAGGGGTGGAACACAAGGAGGAAGCAGGAACAATAAGAGTAAAGATTGGACGCGTTCGACGTTCACCTAGCGGGCCGAGCTGTTACAAGAGGCTGTCAGTGATCCTGCCAAGGCCACACTTATTTGGCTCTAGAGTAGGGGAAAAAGAGGGTTTATCTAAACAGTAGCAGTCAGAACAGGCTGTTTGTGCTCCCTACGTTATTACACTAGCAGTCGCAGTTGAACGCAGGAGGCTGCGGTGGAGTGTGAGTACCTAGTGTGTGTACAAGGAGGAGAAAGTGGGTTCTCAGCATGTTCAGGTCCAGTTCGTCCGGAAAGCGCCAGTCCACTCATCACTGCTGCTGCTCACCATCCCTCCCAACGGCCGCCTGGCGCTTAGAGAGAAATGGACTACTGGGCTGGCCTGGGCGGCTTTTGCTCAGCCCATGCAAAAACAATGTTGGTAACCTACCATCCATTATCCATGGTCATGCCCACAATCATCGATGTCCACGAGGAGTGGGTTTTGTGATCCATATTTTGCCTTTTCCTCTGGGTTTGTTCATCTTGCCTATCCTGCCATATAACCGCTCTGCTAAGCCCGGCACCATGTGAATTCTGCATTTCCTGTCTCTTCCTTCCCTCTTCTCCTTGTTATTCTTGTTCCCACTCTACTGCTACCCTACCTTCCTTTTACCTTTTTTTTCCTTATTCTCTAATTGTTCAAACATGGTTTCGGCCAACTACGTCGGTGGGCTGCTGGCTCGGGCCTCGTGGCTGTCTACTCTCAGTGCAGACTCGGATACTGCTCGGGAATCATACAAACAAAACACATATGCTGGCATAAAAACTCTACAAAACTGGTATGACCGTGACACGGGACTATGGGACTCGACGGGATGGTGGAACAGCGCCAACTGCCTTACAACCCTCGCCGACCTCGCCAACTTGAAAAACGTCGACTTGAGTGACGCGGGTATCAATATTGCCGACATTATTCAAAACACATACGAGCAGGCCCAGGAGACACAAGTGACGGCATCCAAGGTTATCGACGAGGGTGGCCTGCCTAGATCGAGCTACGTCAGGATACCCAAGCTCCCCAAGACAGTGTCCAAGCGTGGCTTTGACAACTTCCTCAACGACTACTATGATGACGAGGGCTGGTGGGCGTTGGCCATGATTGCCAGCCACGATCTCGGAGTGCAGGGCTTGGGCGATCAGGAGTATATTCAGGCGGCCCTTGAAATCTTTGAAGACATGCACAAGGGCAACTCGTCGTGTGGTGGTATCTACTGGAGCAAGGTCGGCACCTATACCAACGCCATTGCCAATGAGCTTTACTTGAAGGTTGCTGCGTCGCTGGCCAACCGAATGAGCAACAAGCAGTACTACCTGGACATTGCCGTGACGCAATGGAACTGGTTCAAGAACATTGGATTAATCAACTCGGACAACCTCATCAACGATGGTCTTGATGACAGCTGCCACAACAACGGTCAGAAAACGTGGTCATGTAAGTTTTTTTTCACCCAACTATACTCGGATTGCGAAATAAATACTAACAAGTTCTGTTCAGACAATCAGGGTGTAGTCCTCGGTGGACTGGTTGAGCTATACAAGGCCACTAGTGATGCCACTTATCTGGTAGAGGCTCAAACCATAGCTTCTGCAGCCATCAACCTATTGACAGTCAACAGCACGCTCGTCGAGGGCTGCGAGCCCAACTGTGGCTCGGACGGCAATCAGTTCAAGGGCGTATTTATGCGCAACTTGATGGAGCTGCAGAACGTGGCTCCCAAGGACACCTACAAAGCCTTCATCTTGCACAATGCCGACTCCATCTGGAACAACGACAACAACGCGACACAGTTTGGCGTCGCATGGGCCGGTCCATACACCACGGCAGATGCTGGCTCGCAGAGCTCGGCACTCGATGCCATGGTCGCTGCGATTGCGGTTGTATAGAAGCGGTGTTGCTACAATAATGAGCTAGCTTGGCTGCTCGCAACATGTGCAAGGCATAGCGCTCGGCGTTCTTAATCATTTATTTGGGATTTAGCGACTTACACTTTTTTTTTTCGACTCAATGGCCCAGGACTTATAGACACAAGAGTTTAGACATCAGGCTAATGATAATCAAATAATAGCATGCAAATCAGCTTTGGTATGATTTGCCATGGAATATGCTATACTTTTCTCTTCCAATTTCGTATCATGATTCTTCACGTCCTAGCTCTGTGAGCACTAACCAATGATCCAGCGGCAATGCACTTATGAAGAACTGTGAATTTCCAGTTGGAATATGACCTATTAGTATTCTCTTGGTGGAGTCGATAAAGAGCCAAAGTCTAATCACTGATGATTATCAAAGAGAGGCCCGCGTAGACCAAGATCTTCTATCCATCTATCGAGGTTATGCAGTTGAAGAGGCTCCAGACCCGAATCTGCCTGCGCTACCTCGACAGAAATGGTTGATGGCAACTACACTACAAGAGACAATCGGACACACTATTCGGATCTAGGAACCAAGGACTCATCAGAGGTCATTTCCAGCGAGGCAGAAATCTGGTCGCTGAGGTTTATCGAGGCAAACGGTTGTCGGCAAAAAAAAAGGGCTGCCTGGACAATTCCCCGCCAAATGAGAGAAAACTAGGGGAGATACGGGGCACTACCACCACCCACCAGACCTCGCCGGACTGCTCGAGGGCGACATACATCTCAAAACGCGACGACCGGCAGGAATCTCTTTGATGATATTCTTGCATAGTACCTTTCGCCATGGATGAGACGGAATTGGATCGCGATATCGTGATACAGCGATATTCTGCTGATCTCATTACCGATTTCGACCGCTCTTTGGAACCGTTCCTGAGGAAGCCAAACGGCGAGCTAAGAACACGAGTCCGCGAAAGGGAAACCTCGAGACTTGTATCCCAAGTATGCAGTCTTTTTTTTTTAATACTCTTTTTAAAAGAGTCGACCGGAAAATGAAACCGAGCGACTGACTAATGGAATCACAAGGTCTTGGAACCCTTTCAGGAGCTTCCTCAGTTGCTGGACCCGCATCTGCCCAAATACATCCCTCTCCTGGCAGAGGCATATCTAGGCCAAGTTGCCAACCATCGCAGGACAAAATCCTTGTCTCTGCGGTCCCAGCTGCTGACACCACTCTCCAATGCAATCTGCCGCATCATCTATTCTTTTTGCAAGATCAGGGGTGAGAAAGTCATTGTCAGGTTCTTGAACGTAGAGACCAAGTATCTCGAGCCGCTCCTATATGCCATTGAAGACTCGAGCCGTCAAAGCGACGCAGCAAAGGGCAATGGTGAGACGGTAGGTCTTTGGACTTGGCACGAGAGATATGTCATACTCTTGTGGCTCTCGCAGCTCTTCTTTGCGCCCTTTGATCTCTCCACCATTTCCTCTGGGGACACTGATGATGCGGACCGCCCAGCGGTGCCGGGGTTTTCATGGCCAGCACATGTGCCGGGAATAACCCTTCGAGTGATCCCATTGGCCATTAGGTATCTTGCTTCACCGGGCAAGGAGAGAGATGGTACCAAAGCATTACTCGTGCGACTTGCAATGCGCAGAGACATGCAAGAAATTGGCATACTCAGGTCATTGGTCCATTGGGCCCTCTTCACTCTACGTTCAGGCGAGGAGACTGCAGAATCTCCATACTACTACATTGGTAGTCTATCTCTGCTGGCTGGTATCCTGCGATCGTCGGCAGATACATCCATCATGGATCCATACCTGGACTCGGTCTTTTATGCAGTTCAAGCCGTCTCCTCGGGGGACGATAATGTATCCAAGATGATAAATGGCTCGGCCTTGGCTCGCAAGATGATAATCAAGGTTGTCAAGTCAGTCATAGGGTTGGTCCTGCGAAAACCGCAACAGACAATGGAGGATACCGAGATGGTGGAGACGGCCATTGGCTACCTCCTGGAGAGTTTGGCAGATAATGATACTCCTGTCAGATTTGCCGCCAGTAAAGCTCTCAGCGTAATCACGCTCAAGTTGGAGTCGGACATGGCATTGCAAGTAGTCGAAGCCGTCTTGGAGTCACTAAACCGCAACGTGCTCTGGGTCAAGTCAACAATACCCGGATCGACAGGCCGAACCCGGGACCTGACGGCCGTGGATCCCTTGGAGTGGCACGGCTTGATGCTGACGCTTTCTCATCTGTTATATCGTCGATCTCCACCTCCAGAGATCCTTCCAGATATCATCCACGCCTTGGTCATGGGCCTCTCCTTTGAAAAACGAGGAACAGCCGGAGGTTCAACTGGCACAAACGTCAGAGATGCTGCTTGCTTTGGCATATGGGCCCTCGGCCGACGCTACACAACCCAGGAACTCTTGAAAGTACCGATGCGAACCTTTAGTCTCCCTGAACCAAAAGACCAATTCCAATCAGTCATTCAGGTCCTGGCTATTGAGTTGGTGGTTGCCGCTTCGCTAGATCCAGCTGGCAACATCCGCAGGGGGTCGTCCGCTGCACTGCAGGAGTTGATTGGCAGACATCCGGACACGGTCGAAGAGGGCATCTCTGTAGTTCAGGCGGTAGACTATCATTCCGTTGCCTTGCGGTCAAGAGCTATTCATGATGTCGCCCTTCGCGCAACCCGTCTGTCTACAAAGTATGGACATGGGATCCGCCAAGCACTTCTGGGTTGGCGTGGCATTGGCGATGCGGATGCAGCTGCCCGCAGGGTGGCCGCCACGTCTTTTGGAAGCTTGACGGCCGAGACTGGACAGAAGGCCTCCGATCCAGTAGTCCACTTCAATGATGCTGCCGAGTTGGTGTTGGACCGTATCAGTGCTCTTCAGACTCGTCAGGTGGAAGAGCGACATGGTCTTTTGCTCAGCCTGGCAGCGCTGTACGATACAATCCCAACACTTTTGCCTAGAGATTCATGGCAGGACGCCCTACGACAAGTTCGGACATCCAAGTATCTGGATGCTCTGACGGCTACATTGCAAGACTACAACACTACGACATATCGCAAGCCTGAGCTTGTAGCAGAGGCTGTTGCCCGACTCGTGGTTTCTTCATACCCGCTTTTGCTGGCTGCCCTCGTCAGTCAGGAGTCTGCACAGGAGTCTGCGAGCGCCACCGACCTTGATCATAATCTGGTGCAGACCGGACCCTTCATCACTAATGAGCATCACTTGCGTTCTGGTATTTTGGCCATAAAGTCAAAGATGGAGGGTGAGGTACAGGCAGACAGCCACCAGCTCAAAGGTGTCTTCTCCGTCTTACATGATGCTCTGCTCTCATGGCTTGATCAAAGTGAGACTGAGGTTGTTGATGCAGTAGCTCCTGCTTCTTCAATGCTTTTACTATTCTCAAAGACTGAGGAACAGATCCAGTTCTTGCTCAAAATGGTGGAAGTGATCAGTGACCCCAAGAGTTCTCGCAAAAAGCATGGATATGGTTATTTCTTTGCTTTAGCGCAAGCCTATCACGTTGCTGCTACCTTGCCGGATGATAAGAAAACGCTTTTGCGTATCATAGATGCCTTCAAATCTCGTTGGTCGTCTGAAAGAGAGATTGAGAGTCGTGTAGCTATGCTTCAAAGCCTTGCGGGCAAGGACATTCTGCGTTACGAGACATTGGGATTTGTTCCCATGATTTCGGAAGGGCTTGATGATTATACGACCAATGCGAGAGGCGATATTGGTTCACACGTGCGCCTGGAGGCTCTCAAGGCTACTCGTACGATTTGGAAGTCATGCACAGAGAGCGTCCAAGGAGAAATCAGCAGCGAGGCGTTGAGCCTTTTCCCCAAAGTTCTCAGATTGGCTGCGGAGAAGTTGGATCGAGTTCGCATCGAGGCACAGGCTACATTGGGCCTCTTGCTAGCAACAAGGTTCGTGCTGCCCTATTCCTTTGAGTCCAAGTATATACTAACATGCATCGGTAGCCATACGGATATCCTCAGGCAGGTTTCATTTTCGTCTCGAGAATATTTTATTCGGCTGTTCTCTCTATGCAAGCCACATCAGTTCAAAGAGCCAGTAGCTAACGCCTGGACACTGAGCGAGTCCGAGTGCATCTCGAGCCTACTGGCTGGTCTGGTCACGTCAGCAGACACGGGCAACGAGGATCTGGTGATCGCCAGCCGTGCTGCCGTGGCGGGGATCAGTAGGATCTCAGACGACGATCTCTCGAGGATCTGCATGGCTCTATTCCACAACCTTAAGCTCTACCAAGGCCAAGATCGGGTCATTGTGCCCACGCTGGAGCTCGTGGCGTATCTCTTCCAGATCGGCGCGGCCCAAGGCTGCCATGATCTCAACATGCGTCAGCTCTGCCTCTTGACGCAAAAGGCGGGTTACAAGACGGGCAATGTGCGCAAGCTGGAAGCATGCATCAAGGTCTACGGCGGCATCGCGTCGTTGTCGTTGTCTCCTGCCAGTATTACTACTACTACTACTGTCATGACAAGGACGACAGGAGCAGAAACAACAGATGAACATGATACTGGTGATATGACGTCTGAACTAGGGCTGAAGAGGAAGGAGGGCATCGCAGAGTCGAAACGGAGGTTGGGTGCCTTGTTGGTGCACCCCTGGCCAAGGGTCAGGAACCTGGTCATTGATGAACTGTGGGGCCTACTGAGCATGTCGACACCGTCCTCCTTGTCGTCGTCTCCAGTATTACCATCATCATTGCTAAACTTGGACGGCGACGGCAGCGGGAGCAGCAGTAATGACCTATTGTCAGATGCTACTGCTGCTGCTACTACTGCTCAACATGTGCAAGCCCAGCTGCTGCAGGATAAAATGTTGAGTGTCGACTGGGGCAAGGCTGACAAGACTACCATTAAAACATTGGTGGGGAGTCTCGGGCTGGATTAAACAAGATAGAGGCTACATTTGAAACACGAATCCACCGAGTATTTGTACATGCAGATTATTGATCTGAGTGCTCTTGAGCCCAGAGTAGAAAAAGAGAGAGAAAGGCGAATGCAGATTGTTGTTGCTCTCATGCAAAAGCATCCGATTTCGCTTTTCCCAATGAAACTCGATCCAACATGAAATGGACAGATAAGCATTAAAGACGTGGGCTCGTATAAACCACAAAAACACACAAATCCCGCCCTTTGCAGTTTTCTTCTTTCCAAGATGGGAACAAGTATGAAAGGACAAGCGTAGCAATATGACCTAAAAGGCCCCAAATGCAGAAGAACATTGGGGGGGAAAGGGGGAGGGGAGACAGCAAAACGACGTTGCGATTACGAGCTCTAACAAGCGAGTCAACAAAATGTAACTTGAACGCGTGCCCGCCGCTTTCTTCTTCTTTTCTCTATTATCCTCTACCCCGCCAAAAAGCACGATTTCCCTTGCATTGCATATCTTTCTTGTTACTTTTTTGCTTTCTCGTTTATGTCGTTTCGCCAATGTATGTACATTGGGGGCCCCTTACAGAAGCAAGAATCGAGGCCGTTTTAGGCCAACAGTACATCTCTTGTATTCCTTCACATCTGTCTTTTGACTTGGGGGTGCAATATTCTACCATGAGGAACTACATTGTTGGCAGAAAATAGGAAGAATAAACGGCTTTTGATTTTTTTTATATTTTCTTTTTAATATAGTCTCACCACTAGTCTTACTTCCGGGCCGATGAGAACCATGGTTCCTCGGCTGTATTCGGATATGGGGGAAGGGAGAAAATTCCCCCATGAAATCTGGCATTCAAAACACGTACGTAGTGTAGTATTGCGGCTCAAAGCACGGACGTTCAAGGCCAAACGGGAACGGGGAAAAAGGAATGTAAAGTCAGAATGTTATTGACATGGCTAATATGCACATGATACACATCATCTGACAAAAGGGACGAAATCCGGATGATCAAGATTGAAATCGACGAAAGTGCAGACAGACAAATTTTGCAGATTGCAAGACTCTGTCATGCAAGCCCTGTTGACCTTTTCACCGCTCGAGATGGATTTATTGATCACATCATATCACCTGAGAAGCCCAGCAACTCATGTGTATTGAGAGGAAGGGGAGGTGGGATTTTTCTTCTTACTACTACTACTACCAACTACTACTGCAGACGCCCCCAGTTCAAGAACATGATCGCCTTGTGCCCGTGGGGGTGGAGTTGGGTTTCTTGACGTTTTGGGCAAGGCGCGTGATTGAAGGGTGGGAGCAGGAAGAGAGGGAGAGAGGAGAGGGGGCCAGTAAGCGACTTTGCGGTATGGGATCCAGAATAACTCTCCAGGTAGGGCTGCCACATGGTGTTTGCTTGATCCTTTCCATCTATGTACATCCACGAGGACGAACGTGCGTGGTGGCGTCCGTGGGATGGATGGGGAAATCAAAGACAAAGCTGTGTCAATGCCCGGTGAAAGAGATAAGATGATAGTAGTAGCAAGCAAGAAGACGAATGGCCTACTCACATGTCGAGGCCACAGCACACTATGTAGAGGAATCAGAAGAAGGGAAACTCGGGAGTTCTTTTGGTGACACGAGTTTCAACGGTCCTTTTGACCGGGGTTCTCCATCGTTGCGTTCAAACGTCCCTCTTTGCTCTCTCTTTCCCCCAATCGATTCCCACCCTCCCCCGACGGCCAGGTTCGCCCAATGGAGTATAGTGCTAGGGAGAACGAGGGGCCAAGATAGATTGTAGAGCAAAAGAGACGGAGAGACAAGAGGAAGGATAGTAAAAAGAACAAAAGAAAAGGAGCTGTATTACTCAGGCGTGTCGACGGATTGTTACGGTGATACTCTCCTATGGCCATCTAGTATCTTCTTGTCGGAGTATCAAATAGTGGGTGATTGACGATGCATTGTTTCTCTTCTGCAAACAGAATACATATGCACAATGCAGAGGCAGACCCAACGGGAAACAGAAAGACGTATTGATCTTCGACGGGGTCCGGCTTGGTCTTGTTTGGTTTAGTTTGATTCCCAGATAGGTGCGATTGTTTGATTGTATAGATAATGGAGATGCAGTCTCGCATTTTATCAAACTCTACCTGTATATCTCTCAAGCATGCACACTGCAGATAGTGTACAGGTCAATAGTTGGCGACTAATTTAGCGGGTATCCATAGATCGACCGAGTATACTCAACTTAATATTGTCAATAGCGAACATTGACGAAAGGTGAATGGAGACTTTGGTGCCAAGTGAGTACGTAGAAGACACAGTTCGCAAACCACGCGGGCGTCTTCATGAACACATGCCAAGGAGTTCGTCCGAATAACAGGGAGGGGAAAACCCAGAGTCCGAGATCTCTGTTCATGCGACCGGGGGAATTTGATTTTCGTTCATTGATGGGGCCGTGGCCCGCCGGGCCTATCAAGTAAGAGAGAATTCTCAGAAGCGAAAATTGGTCGTGCCGTCTGCGGCTCAATTGCATCCGCCGGGGGGTTAACCGCTGAAACCGGTTTCTCTCTTGGGAAGTTCTCAAAAGGTGAAAAGAAAGAGCACCATGGGGAAGTTCAAGTGGCTCCCGTTTCGTCTTATTCCGTTTTTTCTTCCAAATCATGATATCCCTACGGTAAGACCCGCGGAGGTTTTCTCTTTGCACGTCGTCCTCCACTGCGAATGGAGCCCAATCCAGGAACATTCGTGTCCGATTGCAACCGTGGTTCATTGCGTGCAGGTGGACGGGGCATTACTGTCGATGAGTTGTTACTGGTAGTCATTCCGAAGCATCAATGTACCTTGTGGCCTTTTTGTAGATAGGACTTGCTTGATGCGACAGTCATACACACCCGGCAGACATCCATCAAAGTCCGTAGCTATTCTGTCACAAAAAGAAAACCAATCTCATGTGGTGCTACAAATATGGCAGAAAGCGGATTGCAGTATTTTGGTTTGGCAGGCACGTGTGAAAGCGAGCGCACTTACCTAGTAGTTCCAGATTACATACATAGTACATACCTGTACGACAACGTCGCGTGACAGCTTTCCCCCGCTCATTCGCATCTGCTCCTTCTGTGCGAACTGATGCAGTTTTGGGCCAGCCTTTTCTTTAATACAGCACCTAGGTAGGTATGTACTTCATGTGGTTGTGCTACATGTCTGGTACCCGACAAAAGAAACAGACAATGTTGGTACAAAACAAGTTCAACCCAGCCCTCCAGCCCCTGCCCTGTCCAGTCTGGTGTCTCGCCTGTTGACGCTATCGATTAGGCTTCCTCTTCGTCGGGTCCGATTAGAGGGGTCAAGTCACTTTCCTTGCAGCCCACAATGAAAAGGGTCCAGGTCTAGGTCCTGGGTCTTGGGGCGCTACATATCGACGACCCACGAGCGTTGGGAGGAGGCTTGCATCCATCTTTTGGTCGTTATCGGTCGGGGCCCCAGCCATGCATGCCACTACCATCCACATGGCACATTAGCGGACGACGATACAAAGAGCATCTACTCTGCACGTATCTCTGCATTAATGTACACAATGTATCGACATGGAGAAGATTTGATGTCTAGATCCTCTGAGAGAAATTAAGTTTCAGCTTGTGTCTCTTTATCTAAGCCGCACTCGACTTTTGGAGCTGATGGACAGACGTCGTGGAACGACAGGCGAGATACATTCGCGGCCTCAGTTCCGTTGCCCTTGCCCCTTGTCCGACCCTGCAAAGAGCACCCTGATTGATCGCGTGCCGTATCGTCAAAACAGGCCACACACACAGATGGCTGTGTGTGCGTGGTTGTGATCAGCGAACCAAAAGGCTGGGAAACATGGACGCACAATTCATTCTTTCAAAGATGCCCTCAACAGTCATACTAAAATGTATACGAAGCAGACAACTACCGGACAAGACGGGAGTTTACCCAGCTGCCGTGCGCTACTTGTCATGTGCCGCACCCGCAAGAAAATAGTCTGATGCGTGCGTGGGCCACAAAAATTAGAGCCTGGACGAGCAGGCAGGCAGACAGGGTGCGTGGGGGAATCATGCTAATGTGGTGCAAGGTCAGAGTGATTGATGGATCTGCCTCGGTCTGTTGCTCCCGAGAAAGGCTACCGAGGACTTGACAGCCACCGCTGACCTAGCGTGCCTCTCAGCTGGTAAAAAGTCTTGCGTGTCAATGATTCGCAAGACAATTCGTCAACCAGTGTCATCTTTTGTTTGTTACTCTAGCCAACATTGTTTGACACGCGCAGCTGGATATTTCTTTCTAAAGAGCAGAAAATCGTTACAGCTCAAATGGAAAAGAAGGGCCCAGGCCTACAAGCGCGATGCTCGTCGGTACTATACTAAACCACGTTTTTTCTTTACAGCCTCATCTCCGCGCCGGTTCGGTTTGTGGCGAGCTGACATGCATTCGCACCGTTTTAAGAGCACAGCGCCGTCGCCCGTGGTAATCCGGGAACCACCAGCTAAATTTATGGTATATTCTGCCACTTATTGGCCTAGACATGGGGCTACTATCATGGCGAAGCGGTAATAATTCCATCAAGTTATGCAGCAATCTACGTCTCATTTCAGGCACAGACAAGCCTCTAGTCGCGCTATGAGAATCGTATACGCACGTACACTACAGTAGATAGATAGTAGATGATGCATGCGAGCGCCAAATGGCCGGTCATGTCGCTCGTCAGCATCATGTCATTCTTATCTTTCAGTCGATTCCTTCCGGCGATGATTCAAATAAGAATACTAGGGAGGGACCTGGCAAGACAGCTGGAGCTATCTACACTAATAAAAGTCGAGAGTTATGGTAGGCTGATCGCCCAAATCTTTCCAACCTCCGCCAAGTCTAAAAAGGCGCCCACCTCGATCCCGTCAACCCGTCGAGTCGGATCCTGGACGGGATCATCAGCCCTGACTGCCATTGGGCGGGGCACTCGCTTACAGTGTCAGCGGAGGCCTGCATCGCGAGGTGCATGGCATTTCGATTCGCTATGTGAACCCACACACACCCTAGTCGTGGCGCTGTGCATGTGCTTCAGCGCAGGTGAGTGAGAGAGCGAGAAAGAGAGAGAGAACGGGAATCCCACCACACAGCTGTTCCCATTGCACGGTAGAGAGCAAGCGATCGTCTTGCCCCAGATGTATTCTCGACCTGTCCTTTCCCGTCTTTGACCCTGAACCATAAAGTTCCCAGGCAGATGTGATTCTCCCCCCTATCAAGCTGGTCTCTAGAGGTAATTATTGGAGCAAGACATTTGTAGGCGTACACGGCCGGTCATGGCTATAACCTGCTTTATTTCGAGATCAAGGCACAGGATCGCTGCAAATGATGCCCTATCAGAATCATTGATTACAAGGCCGATTGGCAACGTACATGGTAATGAGGTAAACTAGCGCTCGTTTTGGAGGGGATTGGTGTTCATTGGCAGTACCTACACAAGGTAGTGTACCCAGGTGTTACATAGGTAGCAATTCGTTACGTGCCATCGACATTGCTCCCATACGAAGTACACATCTAGGTCAGACTTCTCATGGTCGTGTTGGGGCTGGGCCAAAAAGTCTGCCTGTCTTCCCAGCACCTTGGGCACGGCCAGCTTGGTCTGGTCCAGTCAACGGTTTTCTGGGTCCCTGATTGTCTCTGTAGCTTGCTATCAGGAGCCAGCAGCGACAAGCTTGTGAGCACACCACCCACCACTCACTGTGACAAGCGACACAGACAGCTTTGCCTTACTCGGATTAAGGTCCTGTACCTGGAGGGGGACGACATGACGATGTAATCTCCATGTGAGTGCGAACAAGGGTCGAGGTCCGAGATTGTGGCATGTAAAATGTATATTCGCGGTACCTGTAGCAGCTACCTTGCATACCTGAATACATGCCTACCTACCACATACCCGACTCCGCCCAATTCACATTCACACGCAGAATACATAGTGCCCATTTGATTGATTGATCGCATTGCCTTTCAGATGTCTGCCTGTCTGCCTGCACCCATGGCCATCTCGCTTTTCCCTCCTCCTCCTCCTCCTCCACCATCTCTCCCTCCCCCATGCAATACCCCATTCAGACCCTCCCCCATGCACCTCGCTCTGCTCACTACATTGACGTCGCACATACGGTTTACTATCAGTTCCATTCTATCTATCACTCGTGAGCCCGAAAACTACATCCCCTCCCCCTGTTCTTTGGTATTTTGTTTTCTAGCACAGTAGTGCAAAATACCTGGTCACTTGGGGTATCTTGCTATTATCTATCCGTCCTGGCCTTGTCCAAGATAGTACAGTATACCTCTGCTACCTAGAGCACACCCGACACTAGTGGTTGCTGCTATCTTCCTGTGCAAGCCTCCAGACCCTCGACCTACCTAACCCCCCATACACACTAGAGAGGTACCTGCCTGGTAGTGAGCGACCCTTGCCGATATCCATACCTTGCTCGCCGCTGTGGGATTTTACTCTTACTGCTTCCCTAGACCGACCGACATGCCCACCCACGCGCTCGCATCTGTCTGCATCTGAGTTTCTAATATTACCTTTTACCCACCCTGTGCCTCGCCTGCCCATTCTTCCCATCTGTTCATTATTATTACTATTACCACATTGACCAACGTCGACCTGATTTCACTCGCTTCACGAATCGAGAGGCAACAAGAGGGACTTGCGCCACTGCCTTGCTCCCTCAAGAGCACACATATAGTAACAGCAGGACACGGGGTCAGACACCATAGACAAGACAGACGTTGCTCTCTCGCCGGGCAGCAGAACGGGCCGCATCTCTTTTGCCTGCCCATGCAACGGTCCCGACTGATCGACTAGCTCCCACTAAGCAAGCAGCCAGCCCATCACGGACCGCTCAACGTACAGAAACGTCATAAAAAAAAGAAAGGACCCTTTGTAAAATCGGGTCAATCAACATAATTACAGTTATCCACAAGAGCAGTCGTCTACCAAGTCCATACTCATCGTCGTCGTCGTCATCGTCAAGTCAAGTCATGTTGCTGCGGCGTAACAACAACAATCCAGAATCGCATCATTGTCTATGATACTTGCTTTCGCCCTCGGTCTCTGGCGACGACCCTTCCACTCCCCGCTCGTCCCCTCCGCGGAGGCTGACGGGCGAGGCCCAGGACTGAGACTGAGTGTGCGCAATCGTTGATCATCATGTCGCTATACTCACCACCGCCGCGCCTGCACACCTCTCAGGAGGACAAGCCGACTCTCCTGGTGTGTTGGTGGATCACATTGTTCTGCACCACCATAATCCTACTGCGGATAGCCGGCCGCTTCATCCGCTCGGAAACGCTCTTCAGGGAGGACAAGACAGCCGCATTCGCCATTATTCCGCTATTGGCGCGCATGGCATGTCTGCACGTCATTTTCAATTACGGCACCAACAATGCCCAGTTACCAGACGACCTAAGCGACGAGGACATACGAAAAAAGACCATTGGGAGCGGGTTAGTGCTTGCAACTCGCATACTATATGCAGCGACGTAAGTCATTATGCCTAATTGAAGTTTATTTTTATTTTTTCCCTTAAATCAACGTTACTGCATGTGACGTATCCTTAAAATCGTATGTGTTACTAACTCAAATTCTATCCTCAAGGTTGTGGATACTCAAGAGCGCAATTCTCGAGTTCTTCAAAAGACTGACAAGCACATCATGGAAACGCTCACACGATTTCACCTTGCTGTTCATCAGGTGCACCCTGGTCCTAACCTTTATCGGCGTCATAGTCTCGGATCTGGCCGAATGCCGTCCCTTCAGCCATTACTATCAGGTGTTACCTGACCCTGGCGGGCAATGTCGCCAAGGTTACGTGCAACTCTTGACCATGGCTGCGTGCAACGTTATAACCGATTCAATGCTTGTCATATTCCCCGTCACAATTATACTCAGGAGCCACATGACGGTCAAGCGAAAAGTCCAGCTCACGCTATTGTTCTCATTGGGATTGGGAGTAGTTGGAACGACGGTCTATCGGGTGCCGCATATCATCTGGCAAGACGGGAGCCAGCAGATTCGATCACTACTTGCATCGGTTGAGCTACTGTTTGCCACTGCTGCTGCAAATGCGTTGGTTCTTGGCTCATTTGTCCGTGATCGCGGCGTCAAGAAGGCAAAATTCAGATATGGCTCCATTACGGGCGAATCGATCGAGGAGTCGATATCGACATCCCGCCGGAGGCCGACAATAAGACATTGGGGAAGCGACGAAGACTTGATCAGGAGTCTGGGCTTGCGGGCGGACCGCGCACTTCGTCGAGAATATGATCGAGGTTGGGATACCTCACCGCAATACACTCCGGCTCCCTTGGCCCGGGTACCCGAAGGCATGAGAAATTGGCAATTTCCCAAGCGTCGCAGGAGCGTTGCTGAGACGAGCGACGAGTTCTTACTTGCCACTGGAGACGGACTATCCCGATCGACCACGGAAACGACACCCCGCAAGGTTTCGTTCTTTGACGTGGGTGGCTTGCTGGACGAAGAGCAGCATGGGACACAGTGGCGAGAGAGCTTCAACTCCAGCATTGACCCTCTTTCACCAGTCTCGCCATACAGCGCACTGTCACCGCATAGTATGCCAACACCTTCGGTACCTGCAGCATCATCTGGCATGAGAAGGGGATCGCAAGCTCTGCTACAAGATATCGGAGGCCTGCTCACGCCAACTCATTCGCCACCGTCGAGACCCAGCCCCGAGGTGAGCCCACGGACAACCGAGCTGCAGTCTATATCCCATCTCCGACGAGGACCGGCATTTGCGCAGGACTATAGAAATCAACCCGAGCTCAAGGATCCGGGTGGTCTTCTTTCCCGATAACCAGCTGCATTCGCAGCATGCTCTCACTATTCTTGAATCCGGGCTTTCAGCAAACTCTACCACCCCCAAACTACAAAATCTCAGCATCAGAAGGCACCTTAAGCAACGACAGGTCTTTCTAATGACACATGTACTACTATACAACTATTTCGACTTTCTCTCGAGCAAACAAAAATTCGGGCAGGCCCGGGGTTGGCCGTAATTCATTACACTATTTAATGGGCAGGCCATAAAGGACATTCTGGCTCAGAGGATTAGACCACGGAGTGGATGGCGTTACCCCCTCTTTTGTTTTTGGCTGTTGGATCTTTTTTCAATGATATCCCCGCAGCGACACTGTTCAGTCTACTTGATTTGTCTACACGACACGACACGAAAGAATGATGGAACGAAAAAGAATGAAGAGGCAATTTGATTTCAGCTGGACCACGACGAAAGCGAAAGTAATGTTGGGAAAACATTGCTTGTCAGATTTAACGTGGCATATTCCTAATCCTTCGCTTTGTTTGGAGCAGCCATGAGATACTGCTTTAGATACCAACACCATATATACCCCTCCTGAGGCGAGACCTTTATGGAGATGTTTCGACTGTTTTAGACAATATCATATAGGATTTGAGAATGTCGATACATAATAATTACTCATAGTCATCACACTAGATTGTGTTATTCCTGTTTTGTGCATGGTAATTGTTGATTGAGAGCGACCGACACAACATTCAGTATCCTCGTCTATACTTTGACCAAACTTCTTACTTCTCGCATACCGTATTCACACCATTCGATATTCATTTGAATTTCCAAAAGTCCTCTTGTTGCTCAAACTTGCTCCTTTCCAGACCTAGCAACCAGATTAGGAAAGAATCCACGAGGGAATTGGTATACACGCGCACAGACTTGAGCTGAACCCAGGGTTGACGATCCCGCGTTTGATATTCCTTCTTGCACCTCCCCGGTTTGCGCATTCCTCCCCCCTCTCCCCTTGGTTCAATTTGACATGGGGAGAAGGGAAAAAGAAAAAAAAAAACAGATCTACAATATGCTCCTTCCTTCCTTCCTTTATGATCTTCATGCGCATACACGTGTCAATGTCGTATTTGAGATTTGACACGTGTGTTTTTGTATAGCCTACCCGAGAGAGATCTCTGGGATCGAGGCTTACATCAGGGCGCATGTAAGGGGGTTGTTCTGAAACTGAGAAAAGCGAGCCATGATGATGCTTCTCGGGGGTGCCGTTCTGCACGAGTTTGGCAATCTTTACGCGAGTTCAGAAAGCAGTAGGTTTTCATCGGGTATGGTAGGTGAAATCAGATTTGTAGTTAAATGATTCGGAGCCAGGCAATACAATATGAGATGAAGAGGAGCTTGACACGAAATTGAAGGGCGTCGATTGACTGGCTCATGGTATATATGAGACAGCCCTTTCGTCATTATTAGCAGATTACCGGTATCGCATGTGATATAGCGGCACCATGGTACACGGATAAATGCCCAGTAAAGTTGAAGTTGATCAATCAATGCCATTGCAGAATTCTTCCAGACCAAAGACGCTCCTATGAAAGAAAATCTTTCATCCTGAAGCAAGAGAGATGCGAGAAGTACTCTCGCTCGTCTTGAGCAACCAATGACCGCTCCACTCCTCCCGAGCGACAACCTCCATCCTAACGTCTTCCTTGGGGTTCAGCACCGTCACCATGTCGGCCCGGTTGAGCTCTGGGTACTCCCAGGACCCGCGGCCGCCGTCAACGGGCCGTAGATCCGCGCGCAGGGCCAGCAGCGCCACAATAATGAGGATCTCGGTCGACGCAAACTGCCGGGCCGGACACAGATGCGGTGGTGCGCCCCAAGCGAGGAAGGCGCTGTTTCCAGGCGCGGGTGTCGTGCCCGTCTTATTGTGACTGCCACTGCTGCTACCTCCATGATCGACGAAGCGGTACGGGTCAAAGTCGCCCGCCGTAGGGCCCCAGATGGCCTCGCTGTCGTGAATCGGCGCCCCGGGCATCTGCAGGTAGTTCCCAGCCTTGAGGAGGTACTTGTCGTCCAGCACCGTGTCGGCGAGGACCTTGCGTATATTGGCGTGGACGTGGCGACGGCGCTGCGTCTCTTGGTATACGGACAGCAGCAGGGGGCACCGGTGCTTGAGCGCCCCAACATCGAGCTCAAAGACTCGCTGCTCCTCTGCCGCGGTGGTCATGGTCACTGCCCGCTCTTCCACCTCGCGCCGCACCTCGGCCAGCACATCGCCCCGGGAAAAGAGCTCCCAGATGGTCCAAAAGAGCGTCGGGCTAGTATTGGCAAACACGGCCGTCGGAAATCCGCTCTCCATCTTGGCCAGGTCCTCCTCGGACATGCCGGCCTCGCGCTGGACCCGCACTCGCTCCTGGATGACCAGGGCGGCGTCGTTGGGCATGTTGGCAAGATATTGTCGATACGCGTCGGCGACCACATCTCGTGCAGCATAGCCCGTGCCAAAGAGGTCGAGTTGGGCCATGTGTGCCGGAAGCCATGACTGCCACTTCCTAGAGGACCTGCATGTCAGCAAACTCATTATACATGGCAATGCAAATGGGGGAAACAAAGAGAGAGGAGCAATCTCTCTCATATCCAGAAGAAGAAGAAAGATTACCAGTAAGCATCTTCTACTTCGCGCCGGACAAAGGGACGGTTCGCTCCATAGACACCACAGCTCGAGGCCTGCACGACGGCATGGCGAACCCAGCCCAGCATGAAAAACTGCTTCCCGGGTCGGCCCTTGCCCGTGTTGCTAAGCAGAGCGTCAATGTCGACCATGACGCGGTTTCCCATTCTCAAGTTTTGCTCGTCCAGGTGAGGGCCTGGTGCGAGACTGTGTTTCACTGTAATTGTCAGATTAGCAAGCAAGTTTGTTGACGAGCCCACAATGAGAAAAGTATGTGTGCTCGAGGACGAATGGCTTGTGGGCTTGTATGCAAGGAAACGCAGATTCGCAAAATCAACGTTTCAATATAGATATAAAAGGCCTAGATCGTTGATCCTGAAATACTTACTGCCGTGTGAGTAATCGTCCAAGAAGGCGCCATCGCCAAAGATCTCGTAGGCGTGATCCGAGGCGCCTCCGTGTGTGCGCACCGCCGTCTGCATAAAGGGCTTGAAGGAGACGGTGCGGGCGCTCTTTTGGATATAAGGCATGAGTCGGTTCGCATTGCAGACGTAGAGCTTGTAGTGGAGGACGCCGAGCGTGTACATTTCCTGGCCGCCGCCGCCACCGCCACCGGCCCGGACGCTCGTCTTGCTGTAATATGACACTCCGTGTTGTATGAGGCCCAGCAGGTGGCCGATCAATGGGATCCGGGCCCGGAGCCGCGGTGGCTCGCGGGCATCGTCACCAAGTCCCAGGGCCAAGTCTGCCCCGTAGAGGAGGAGCAGCAGCCCCAGGAGGCCGTAGACAATCTCGCGAAGCATGGCTATCTAGCAAAACACTCGACAGGAAGAAAGAAAAACACTGGAAGCTTCCCGCCCGTGTGTGCTGCTTTTGATCGCCGAGGGGTTGACCTGTCTAGCTATTAAATACACCATTGCAATCCTTCAAGTTTGTGAGACGCGGCCGCTAAGGCCATGGGTGCCCGCCAATTAGACGAGACTACATTAGTTTGCGTTGATCCTTAGGATAGCATACAGGATATATATCTGATATGACGGCCAAGGTGAAAAGAGAACCAATCATGGTCTCCCCATTTGGCTTAATGTCGCTACGCCACACGAACAAGTGCTGATTTACTATACAACCTTGCCTGGCCCACTCGTTCCTCCTCACGCTTGAAAGCGCTCTAGGATCTATCGCATCGCTAGTGTCGTTGAGCCGTGGCAGGAGATATACCTTGCAAGGGAGAGAGATTTGATGGAATGCACACATCATTTGAGGGTTACAGTAGAGACGACACCCAAGTTACAAGTGATTACCATCTCTCTACCATAGGGACGACAATGTCTTTATGTGACATGATCACTCACCAGAAAGTTGAAGAAATATGCGTGCGTCGACAACGAGTCGGTCGTGCTTCGCTTTTGCCTGGGTCTCCCTGGCCCAAAACCGATACTTGCATTGTGAATCCCATCAGACCAAGTCTTCATCAGACGCACACACAATGGAATGGTTCATTGTTATACGCAGCATAAAAAACGACGAGACCAACGAGTTCAAATATTTCGTGTAACTATCGGGTCTAACGCAGCAATCAATACTTCGACCATTTCGAAAAGCCCATGATCTCGTTACAAGCAGCTGGTGCACCATGCATAGACACCGAACACTCTGTACCGTACATCGAGCTCTTGAGTAAGCAGGCCTACACCAACATCTAGGCATACAGGTAGACATAGAATCCCACGCGGATGTCCAACATTGGAGAGTGAGTATTATTGTAATCGATCCCGCGTGAGATTTGCTTTGCAAAGTCCTGCTTGTAGCCACGAAAGCCTCGTTAACACGACGGCGAGCAGATGCTTCAATTTTGGACCTCTGCAACTCCTCGTAGAGCCAAGTCTGGCGGGCGTTCCACCGTGTTCTCAATGACCTAGCAAGCACCAACGGCCTTATAAACGTGCGGTCTTTGACTGGCACAGCCTCTTCATCACCTTGATCAGGCTTGTTTGCCTCACAAACGACTTGAGAAAGCATAGCCAAGACGCAACCGACAACAACACGAACCGATCTTGATGATTGTTATTACCCTACTTACACTCGGAACCGCGGGTTTTCAGGTATCATAGAGTATATGCATTACTCAGGTTTGTTGTTTTTGTCTCTCCCCTCTAGCAAGTTTCTCGATGAAGAGACGTTGCGAAAATCAATCTTCCGAATCCAGTAAACGCCGCCCAAACCGATTGCCAATGCACAAAGACGCCATGTTGAAACGAATTCGCCTCTTCTCTGGTATACACAAGGCCATTTGTGGGTGCCGTCTTAGACACACAATCTGTAACTGGCGTAACGGCCGGCCGTCTCACTCTTTCGGACAATCTTGACAACTTGACCCCTCGTCATTCCATAATACTTGGCTACCGGATCCCTCATGAGGATACGGGGCAGCTGAGTCTCCTTGAGGCGGTAGCGCTTGAGCAGGGCCAACTTCTCCTCCCTGGAAAGAACAATATGGCGCGGTACCAAGTCGTGGTGAGTAATGTTGATGAGAAGGTCGTCCTCCAAGAACCACTCAATGTCGGTCCATTCCTTCCACTTTGCTACCTCCTTCTTGGCTGCCGATGAGACAGCGACGTGGGACACAATGATGCCAACTCTGTGGTGGTTTTCACTGCAGAACTTGCCAAACTTTCGCATCTGTTCCGTTCCGAAGCTGCTCTCGTCAAGGAATTCAACGTAGACGGTGCCGATCTTTGAGGGATCCGAGATGCGTCGGATCAGCTCCTCGCCGGGTCGCGCGTGGAAACTCATGTTGGTGCGTCTGGGGGGAGTCAGTCAGTCATTCAGTCAGTCAATCAGCCGGTGGCTAGGAAGTGTGCTGTTGCTGGGTGTCGCCTCACCTGACAGAGCCTTCTGAATCAGTGAATTGGCCCTTGAAGTCGTCGAAAGAAATGTTGACTTCGTGCTCGGCCAGCTCGTAGCCCTAGTCGCGCGTCAGTATCTGCTTCGGGATAGTTGATCAAGACGTGTCGCGGGAACTGACCCTATCGGCCACCATCTGCTTCACGGTTCTCCAAGCGCGCCAGGTTCTCGCGGCGAGTCTGTCCTGAGCTTCACGCTGTCCATTGTCGTCTTCCATTTTTGGTGTAGTTTGGTGTCCTGTCTTGCCGATGCAAACTTGTTGGTTGTGGACTATCGGACCCGATCCGAATGCTTTGTGTGATGAGCGTGCGATTTGTTGTGCTGGTCGTCTGTCGTCTTTGTTGTCGCAAAAGGAATGTGCAAGCAACTTTGAATGAGGCCTTGGCCGTGGAGATTTTGTGACGAACGGGCTCGGATGGAGACCTGACTGAAAAAAAGTTGTCCCTCCTTCCACAAAGCTAAGCTGCGCTACACCAAGCTTGGCAAGCACGGAGAAAGAGACAAAAAGTTTGACCGATTTGATTGGGGGTGTGTTTGCCTAGCCACTTGTCGGGAATCCGTGCACGCCAACCAAGAAGAAAAGACTAAAAAAGAACGCATTGTACCTACAGTGGAAGCAGCAGTGGCCGCGACACATGCAGACAGCGAGACAGTACCTACCAATAGTGCATCCCCAGCTTGCAATTGGTCCCAGGCTTTTTGACAATGGCCCTCTAGACCCCTGTAACGAACCTGTACTCGGCCTTCTTTTCCATTCCTTTAGGGGTCCCTCCCCTGGTCCTGGTCCCCCAACGTCGGCCGACTGGCGAAAAAAGATCTGGCCAGTCCCACGGTTTCAATAAACTAAATCAATTCGCTTCGTCGATCGTGTCGTGACTTCCGACTTCCTTCCTTCTCCTCCTCCCCTTTGAACTTCACAGAAGCCGCCTGCTTTTCTTCTTTCCCCCCTTCTCTCATCCCTGGCTTCTGCGGCCTCGTAAACCGTCCTTATTATATATATAGACGAGAGGTTGTTCTGTCGGTATCATTGGATTGATCACCGCATTCTCCTTTCTACCCTCACCCACCTAAAAGCTCACATCTTCTCCCATTGCCGTATTCTTCTTTCACAAGACTTCTTCAAAATGGCTGAAGTTGCTGCTACCCCCGCCGCTCCTGCGGCCGCCGACAAGACGAGGCCCGCCAAGCCCGACGAGGATGCTTACAAGAAGCAATTGGCCAAGGCCGAGAAGGAGCACGCCGACAAGATGGCCCAGCTCAAGGACATCAAGGCCAAGCTCGACCTCGCACAACCCAGCAAGAACAAGGACGAGCAGAGCCCCGCCCAGAAGCGCAGAGCAGAGCTGATTGCCGAGGTCAACGAGATCCGAAACAAGCAGGGTGCCGGAAAGAACGCCCGCAACTCCAAGCTCGACCAGCTGAAGCGCCTCGACGAGCAGCTCAAGTCCCGCATTGCTGAGCAGAAGACTGCCCGCGGCAAGGTCAACTTTAAGAGCGTTGAGGATCTCGACCGTGAGATCGCCCGCCTTGACCAGCAGGTTAACACCGGCATGATGAAGCTTGTTGATGAGAAGAAGGCTCTCACTGAGATCTCCAACCTCAAGAAGCAGCGCAAGAACTTTGCCGGTTTCGACAACTCCCAGAAGAGCATTGATGACCTCAAGGCCAAGATCAAGGAGACGAAGGACAGCATGGACGACCCCGAGCAAAAGGCTCTCAGCGAGCGTTACAACTCTCTCCAGTCCGAGCTCGATAAGATCAAGGCTGAGCAGGATGACGTTTACAAGAACCTCAACTCGCTTCGTGACCAGCGTACCAAGCTGCAGGCCGAGCAACAAGAGTCCTGGGGTAACATCAAGAAGATCAAGGACGAGCACTTTGCTGCCGTTCGTGCCAACAAGGCCTTCGAGGCCGAGGCACGTGCCCGCGCCCGGGAGCGACGAGAGGCTGAACGTGAGAAGTACGAGAAGGAGAAGAAGAAGGAGCGTGCCCAGAAGCTGCTCCAGGAGGCCAGCGACCCCGCCTACCTCGAGGAGATCCGCCGGGCCAACAGCTTGCTTCACTTCTTTGACCCCTCGACCTTCACCGCCGAGAAGACGCCTCTGCTCGCTAACAAGGGTCTGGGTGCTGAGGCTGCCCGCAAGGTCGACGATTCTGGCTTCAAGGGTATGAAGGTCGTCAAGAAGGAGGATGATGACTTTATTGCCCCCAAGTCGAAGGGCAAGAAGGGCAAGAAGTCCGCTCCCGCCGAGCCCAAGGCTGGCGGCTTCAACTGCCCCCCGTCGGTCATGGAGGACTGCTCTGCCATTGGTGTCTCGCCCCCCATGAAATCTGAGGATGTCCCTGCTGCCATTGAGGAGATCAAGAAGAAGCTTGCTCACTGGAAGGAGGACCAGGCCGCCCAGACGCAACGCGTAAGTTGCTTTTCACCATGCCCCTTTTTTGACACATGCTAATGATGCCGCAGAATGTCGACAAGGCCAAGAAGGAGATTGAGCGTCTCGAGGCCGAGGAGGAAGCCGAGGCCAAGGGCGTCAATGGTGGCGACAAGAAGGTCGAGGAGGCTACTGCCGACCTCAAGGACGCTTCTCTGGAGGAGAAGAAGGAGTAGAGCTCTTCTGACTCATCTGGAGGAGGTGCACCTTTGAACACTTCTTCGGACAAGCAGGAAGAAAGCTCTTGCGACTTGTCTGAGGGTGCTCCTTCGGATGCCCCCGAAAGAGACGCAAATGCGTGCCCCTCTCTCACGATATCAGACGACATTAACGCACCTGTTGACTTCCCCCCTCTACATCTGTCGGCAGACGTTTCTGACCTTGCCGCAACCATTAATTGACACCAATGCCAATTACTGGGTTCCTGTCATCCGCCTCTCCTGCTTCTAAAAACTTCTCCCTTGCTTCTAAAAACTTCTCCCTTGCCAACCATGTGCAATTATTATTGTACAGTCTAATACGGCACTACATATAGAGGAGCAACGTCAACTCATTAAGCGCAGCTTTTGCTTATTTGCGGCACAACCTCGTCACAAGAAAATAAAAAATAAGGAAAGGAATACATCAAAAGCACTTCATATTGTTATGGTTATTTAGCCAATCATATTGATGACTGAATTCTGTGTTTTCTGCAAATCACGCATTATTTTCCCATCTCATGTGAATATGTGGAATTTTACTTGATTTGAAATGTTTCTTTTGCATTATTCGTATAACAACAAAAACCACGTCGTCTATGATGCTTGGAATATTCTGGCCCATGTCTCTCTCATGTTTTATACCAGCCGCATGCCGTGGACGGCACATCACAGACGTGCCGACTGCAGACAGATCCAAGTTTTCCCAATATAAGTCTCATGAGGCTCTTTCGTCTGCCCACACATGGTGGTTGAAAAGCCGAAACTCCGTTGAAAATGATGTAAAAGACCATGTACGCTCTCCACAATAGGGCTGTATGTAGTAGGCGAGCAAAGAGAAAAGCCCAACAAGATCCCGAGAAAAAGATAATTCAAAAGAGCAAAAGGGGTCCTCCCATTCGGACAATGTTGCCCCTATTTTTCCAAGGTGCCATTGACGCCACGATGAGGATGAACCCCGCAAAAGAATCAAACGGTGTCTCAACCGAATATGGCCATGCCAAACTTTCATGTCGTTGCGCGTGATCTCGTAATGAAAATGAGAATCATGGAAAATTAGAAGCAGAAAGAAAAACCCAGAATGCCAATAGCGATTAGATCCGTCCCGTATGTCGTCATTCAGGGTCGTGAAAAGTCGTCCTGTGGTCCTGATATGCTATCGTTTCGGATCGTCAAGGATGGAGAGGAGATGATAAAAAGCACAAAATATTCTGGCAACAGTGATCGTAAGAAAGTCGTGGCCCCGATCAATAGTAGCCATAGTACGACCACGGCTGATGGATGATGCCCTCGTTGAATAAATCATCGGGGTATCCATCAGCATAGTTCAGGTCGGAGTCGGAATCTGAGGTATCAGGGCTCAGCGGCAACAAGAAATTGACGCTGCGGTAGTCCTCATCGACAGACTCCAAGCCAGAAGCTGAGGATGGAATTTCCCACTGCGTCCCAAGTCAAAATCCAGGGGGCCCGTACATACTCCCCGGATGTCCTCGCATTCTCCTGCCAATAGGGGGAGGCACTCCAAAAGCACTAGCCATTGGCGGTGCAGTTGTGCGGCCATCTCTTGCCGCCATGATCGGCGGGGTGCCTCCTCGCATCATGGGCGAAGGTCGGTCGCCCCCAAAGACGCTCCCGCCGGCTGGTAGGGTGCCGATACTCCTCCGGTTGGCGCGACTTCCCTGAAGGGCACTCAGAGGCGGGTCTTTGACGGCAGTATCATCATCGGCAGGTAAAGAGAGATCGACCAGGCTGTAAAAGTATTCCAAGACTTCAGGGTAACGCTGGACACTGGCCTGCCAGTCCTCGTCAATACCACGTTTTAGGGCTGCCTTGTTTTGAGCAAGCTCTCGGGGATCCGGAGGAGCGTTGTAATGATACCATGCGCGTTGCTGGATATGGCTCTCCATTTGTTCATGCGTAGCCTTCCGGCGGTCTGTGAGGAGCCTAAAGTATTCCAAAATGTAATCTTGGGCATGTGTGCGTACCCAGGTGCTGGAGTAGAAGACAATAAGCCAAAATCCCTGGAGCCGACACATGTCTTTTGGACATATCTTGAGGAGGGGGGGAGAGTAGATGAACCCTACCGTATATCACTATATATAGTCTGCATCATCCGTTGCTCGGCCTGACGAACAGCCATCTCGAGGCCTTTCGCCTCACAATCACATCGCTGATGTGCTGGGGCACGACAGATGGCACAGTCTGGATCCATCCTTATGATGGTTTTGCGAGACTTGAAATCCCTGGGATGCATCTTAGCAACGGTGTGCCGGGGGCGGTGACAGGCAGGGCTTTGTGAGGGATATGAGATGACATGAGAGGTCATCGACTATGTGTACAGGTAACTATTGTACAAAAGCGGGTTCTCAATTTGACCCAAAAGGGTCTCATAATACGAAGCGGAGGGAGGGAAGAGAGAGGAACAGAAGAGGTGTCACGGGAGACTGACCTGACTTAAAAAAAGAGAGTGATGAAGGTCAAATGGCAAACCCAAAAACCCAAGCCAGAAAGACAGCTTAGCAGGGTCAAGGGCAGCACCAGTAGCAGCAGCAATCAAGAAGAATTGCAGCAAACGGTGTGTTTCCAGGAAAGGAATTGGACGAGGAGGACGAGACACGAGTAGTAGTGGTTCGCTTCTACTTCTTCTCCTTCTCCAAGACCTTCATGCAACAACCAGTGGCAGAGAGCACTAGAACAAGCAAGAAAGACCGCTGTGTTGAGTGCCGCGTAGTTGATGAAGCAACAAATGAGGGCAAAGACGGGCGACCAATGGCTCGATAGCAATGGGTATCACGTCGTACTGTCAATCTATGGTTCACTCTGGTCCCCCGTAGGTAGGAAAAGTGTGGGGATGAATGAATGAATGGATGGATGGGTTAGATGTTTGGGGAGTGGTTACTGGAGGCGAGCGAGAGTCGAGCAATCGAACAATCGAGGGCCTGGGGCAAAGATGGAGGTTAGTGTGCAGGGTGTGGATCGGCGTCTCGTGGCCGGAGACGGCGGTTGGGAAGCTGGATAGTGCAAAGCAAGCAAGGCTTGTGCAGACTCACGCAGCATCGAGTTCCACGAAAGCCAATTGAGTATCTCGTCCTACTGTAAGCAATGACGAGGAAATCCCCAAGGTGGGAAAGGCGTTCAGGTGGAAATGTAATGTTTAGGTGCTTGTGCCCAGCAGCCCAGTGCAGTGGTGCAGTGCAGCCCGACCGAAATGAAGACGACGTGACGAGACGACTGACGACAATTGTTGGCGTGTTGTTGGCGAGCAGCAGACGGATGGAGCAATTGAAGACATGAGCTGCGGGTTTTCCACGTTTGGCCACAAAGCCGAGAAGAAAATCGTGTCGTGGCTCGAATGAACGAGCGTCTGGAGACAAACTATGTATGCAGTCTGCGTTTTGGGCAGTCCAATCGAATGAAGGCGGCAAAGACCCGCTCTTTGATTAATACCTAGATCCCGACTGTTTGCCCCACGAAACCCAGCCGAGACCGAGCGGGCGAGTGAAGAAGAAAGAAAGAAAGAAATGCAAGACGCGCTGTGGTTGCTTACCCAGTCGCCTTGAATCTGATGCAAAACAATTACCAATGCTTGCATAGACAGGATGACAAGAGAGGTGAAGAAAAATCGCTCCAGGGTTGGACCAGTAGATTGTAGGTACTTAGTAAGTTACCACCATCTTGGTGATCACCTCCAATGTTATGGTGTGTGTATGTGTGTGTGCTGCGTTGTCTGCCTCGGGCGACTAATAATTTCAAGAGGGGGAAATTGGCAGCAGTCCACTTGCATGCAGCATCCGAGACCAATGTAGTGCTCTGTAAAACATATGATTATTGTATGTAACCAGTGTGTCCATGGCCAGTCTTTGGTGTCGTCTGTAACAGATCGATGTTGCGGCTGGCTTTTGTCGATCCAAGCGCTCACACCCCCCCATCCACTGTCCACTCACCGCTTCCTTGAGACGACAGACGGCCGCCCAGAACGGCCTTTCCTGCACCTCAGATAGGGCAAGCAAGGGCCGGGAGCTAGAAGGACCGGCAGCCTCGCTCTGTGGGAAACAAACCTATAATGACCTTGTAAAGCCGAGCACAAACAGTATCCATTTACACGTTCAGGTACTTTTATATAAATTCAGCGGCATATCGAACTTCACATACACGTTTGCAGGCTTGGGTTCGTGTCGTTGTCGACGACTCTGTTGCTCGCCATGAATGTTCTGTGCCGGATGCGTGGCTGGGAAAGAGGGGCCGATGAACGGGGACTCCTCCCGCAAAGATCGCCGGCCAGAATGTGGAGCTAGCTCAGCTATTCCAGCCAGATTTCCAGATTTCAAGATTGCTCGCATTCATATCATCAAGACTTCGTCACTCCCAAAACCGCCTTGCAACTCCTCTATAACAAAATGAGTCTCGATATCCAACATGTACTGCTGTATAGCAGGATGTCAAGTGTGTTCAAGATCTCTCTCCTCGCCAGCGATAAACCAAGCAGTGGCGTGTTATGCAGCTTGCGGGTCTAGGGTCTTTAGTCTAGGCCAACCCATTTTAGTTTGACGCCGCCTCCGTCTCCGTCCGCGCTCCCGGGGCCCTCTTATCTTATCGGCAAAGTTTCTAGTCGCAATACCAAAGAAAGCTCCAGAGCTTCATACAGACAAGCAGACAAAGCTCACCTCTAACCTAGCTACTGTACTGCTGCGGGTGACTTTTTGTTGGCAATTCCATTGTATTTTAAACTGATTGTCAGCAGTCTCAGCAGCTCAATGCAAATATACTTTAGCTGAGGCTGCATTCCCAGAACATGCCTCCTCGGTGCACTTCAGGCTCAGGCCTATTCCTCCCCTTCCTGTATCCGAGCCTCTTTCGCCAGTCCACGACTACCCGACTATCGCGCCTCGGTTACACCACCATTCACTCCCATTCTCCGACCTCGCCCTCGCCCTCAGACGCAGACGATCTTAGCGAGGCCACTTCGCCGTCGGGATCCAGCGCGGATCTGCCGCACTCGCGTCTCAATCCCGCTCCCGACGACTATGCGCTCTCGTCCTTTGCCGACAAGGCCAAGCTCACCATCCAGGCCGGTGGAGGTGGCCATGGCTGCATCTCTTTCCTTCGCGAAGCCTTCCTAGACAACGGTCCCGCCAACGGTGGCGACGGCGGTCATGGAGGCAATGTGTACATCCAAGCCGTCCACAGCGAGACGTCTTTGCACAAGGTGGTGCGCCGGCGCATCGTTCGCGCCTCGCGGGGAAAGACTGGCCAGGGCAGCAGCAGAGCAGGACAGAGGGGAGATGACTACGTGATACAGGTCCCCGTCGGGACGGTCGTGCGGGAAATCAGCAGGATTGATCCCGTGGTCGAGGAGAGTATTGCCTGGAGAGCTGCGCGAGAGCAGGAGCGAGCGTTTGAGCGCAAATTCCGCGAGGCCCAGCTGGCCGCGGAGGCTGACGGCGAAGACCCGGAGCTGGCCACGGCACAGTTGGAGCCGCCTGACCACCCCAATCTGGACAAGTTCATGCTGTACCCGGGAATATCGACTTCAGAACGGCGGAGCTTGGAGCTCCCTCGCCTCCCCAGAAGAGAGAGGCTCTACCACCAGCCGCCCGGCCCCATCCATCTCGACCTTTCGACCGCGACGCCTCGTCCGATTCTCCTTGCCGCTGGTGGAGTAGGTGGGCTGGGGAATCCGCACTTTGTGTCAAAAGAACGCCCGCGGCCGCTTTTCGCTACCAAGGGCGAAAGGGCCGTGTCGATGCAGATCGAACTGGAGCTCAAGCTGTTGGCAGATGTCGGCTTCGTAGGACTTCCCAACGCAGGCAAATCGACCCTTCTACGTGCTCTCACCAACTCTCGGGCGCGAGTGGGTAACTGGGCCTTTACCACCCTGCAGCCCAATATCGGCACCGTGGTGCTCGACAGCAACAAGGGCCGGCGTCAGTACGATTTGCCTCGGCCCCGGGCCAAGGGCTCGCATGCTGTCATCAATGACGCACGCTATGGCAACGTGGTCATTAACCAGCCGGGCCTCATTGGGCCCGGTCCGCCGCCGAGGACCAGGTTCACCGTGGCAGACATTCCGGGACTGATTGAGGGTGCCCACCTGGACAGGGGCCTAGGAATGGAGTTTTTGCGGCATGTGGAACGGGCGGGCGTCTTAGCCTTTGTCGTTGATCTCGCCAAAGCTGATGCCGTGACGGCTCTCAAGGCCCTTTGGAGGGAAGTGGGTCTCTATGCGCGTATGCGCGAGGAAGAGCGCCGGGATCGGGAAGCTGGCGATCGTATTGACTGGGCAGGCGATGCCGGAGTAAACCAATCGCCGCGAAACGACAGTTATTTTGGCGGAGGTGGCGGCGGCAAGCAGCTCATGATGGCCGACTACCCTGATCTCCCCGAGGTGGACGAGGGCGGCCTGCACATTGCCGCCAAGCCGTGGTTCGTCATTGCCACCAAGGGCGATCTCCCTGATACGCAAGAGAATTACCAGAGACTCAAGCAGTACCTGGACGCCGTGACAGATGGACAAGAGCCGCACCCTAGCGGTGTCGAGGGCGCCTGGACCGTCGACTGCGCGGCCATACCCGTAAGTGCCATTAATGGCCACGGTGTCGATCGAATCGTTCACTGGACTCTGGGACTCTTGGATGACTGATCCTCATCACAATCCCAAGCTACAATGTGGCAAATCATGTAAACTTATGTATAAAAGTCATGAACGAACCTGTATAATAGAATGAGTAAAGATGACTGGATGGTGGGAACGACCATGCTAGAGCGCCTACAGACTATTCGAGTCGCGGGCTGTACGAAATAGAAGAACGATGTCGGTAATCGTTGTGCATCAACTTGTTATCACGATTCATAATACGACAATTCTCCACACGTATACCGCTATGTGATTTCACGTACAACAGTAATAAAGAAGCGCGTTGAAGATAACGATTTGACATATTGGCTCGATTTGTCTATACCTCGGAAATAGCATCCAATATTACAACAGCAACTGGTCATCACATGGTCATCAGAAGCTTGTGAGTTTCTACTCTGCCTTGGTGTCTGCCTCGACAGCTGGCGCCTCCTCCATTTTTGTCTCCTCCTCTGCAGCAGCGGGCAGCACAGCAGGGCTCTCCTCTGCAGTCTCGGCGGCCACCGCCTCGGCCTGTGCCTCCTCCTTTACCTCGACGGCACCTGTATCGGCGTCCTTCTTGGCCGACTCCTTGAGCGACATGTTGACGACGGGAGAAGTGTCGTTAAAAATCCTCAGCAGCATGGCGGCGCGGTCTTCCTTGGGCAGCATGAGGTTGAGGGACAGGAAGCTCTTCCACAGCGGCAGGGCCATGCGTTCGGAAAAGTCGGGGTCGGTGCCGTCGGGCTCGACGCGCAGGACGCAGCAGCCCATGGCAATGTCGCGCGCCGCCTCGCCAATCTCGCCGAGCTTGGTCCACTCGTCGTCGGAGAAGCGCGGGAACATTTCCTTGAGCAGCTTGTGGAACGTGTCCTTGCTGGTCAGGCGAATGACGCGCTCGGGGCCGACGTAGCCTTGGATAATGGGCATGCCCTCGGACTGGATGCGCCACCGGCACACCTCGGCGGAAGGTGAGTCTTGCTTCATGAACATCTTGACACCACCGTGCACAAATTTGATGCCACGGCCCTCATTCTGCACCAGAATATCTCGCAGGAGGGCTGTAGTGTAGTAGATTGCCTTGGACGGCTCGCCGGTAGCATTTCGTACCATGTATCGGTCCGTGGGAAAGCGCTCAGAAAGCTTGTAGAAATCTTTAATCATGGCGATGACTTCGTGATCGACCGGCAGGTACTTGAAGGGCTCTTCGTGTGTGCCATCGGCGTTTCTGTGTAGTTTCTTTTGTGGTTGCTGTGGCTTGGGAGTTTCTGCACTGGGTGTTGCCACTGCAGATGTCGCTTCCGTCGTCACGGCCGGTGTGCTCTCTGCCTCAGTGGCAGGCTCTACGTCAGCCATAACCTCATCGGTCTTGACGGCCTCGTCATCCGTCTTGACCTTCTTTGCGTCTTGTTCCGCATTGCTCTCGCTTTCCTCCCGCGTCCGCTTTACTCCGTTGGCTGGGATCACGTCGGTAGGCTCGCCCTCGGCAGCCTTGGCTTCTTCGACCTCTAGCTTCGCGGCAACCTCCTCGGCAGCTTCCTTTCCGGTGCCATTTGATGATGCCTCAACTTCAGGGCCCTTTGGTCCGGATTCGGGCTTCACCTTGACTTCCGCCTTCTTTTCCAACACGGTAATGAAGAAACCGCCGGTATCCTGTTGGTGAGCGTAGACTCTCATGCAACGATCGAGCGGCAGGCTGGAGCACTCCTTGTCGTCGGGTCTCGGGAACATGGAGTGGGTCAGTCTTCCAGGAGGAACGCTCTCGCCCGTGGTCAACATGTGTTGTTGAACTTCTTCCCAGTTGTTCCAGATCCGTCCCGTCTTGTCCATGATGCTCCACTGGAACATGCCGGGCTTGCGCTTCAGGCCGGGAAGTCGGTCGCTGCAGTCGATAATATCCACCTTTGAAGGGCCACCGCATCGCTCAATGGCGGAAAGAACCACAGCCTCATTTTCAACGGGGTTCATGCTACAAGTCGAGTACACCACTCGGCCGCCCACCTTCAACATCTGCAGAGCACGAATCAAGATTCGGACTTGGGTCGTGTGGAGGCCAAGAGCATTGCCCGGCTGCCAATCTTTCCATAGGTTCATGTTTTTCCTCATGGTGCCATCTCCCGAGCAAGGCACGTCGGCCAGAATTCGGTCAAACTTGAGGTATTGTTGCTTAGGGTTCGCGGGGTCGTGAACCTTGATGGACGGGAACAGAGTAGCATCGTGGTTGGTGACCAGAATGTTGGGCGAGGAGAGTCGCTTAAGCTGGTGCACCAGCATGTGGCAGCGCTTGTACTCGGCATCGTTTGCAATGAGCAGACCCGTGGCTCTTCCATCGTCGCTGGGGTCCGCGGCGAGATCTGCCGCGTCGTCATCGTCGACCGTCTCTGCTCTCGTCTCACCAAAAGACTCGAGGACCTTGCGAATCCTGGCTTCCTCGCCCTTGTGGATCATCTCGACCAACTGAGCAGATTTGCTTCCGGGAGCGGCGCAAAGATCCAGGACCGTGTGGCCAGGCTTCACGTCCATGAGCAGAGGTGGGATCATGCTGACAACTTCTTGTCTGCTAATGTTTCCAACACTCGTCTCAGACACGAGGAACTTTTGGAAAGCGGCGAAAGGCGGGAACTTGCGAATAATGTGCTTTGGCGTGTTCATGGAGTATGCCAATCCGTCAGGGTACCAGGTGACGGGCTGAGGAGCCTCGACCTTCTCGCCATCGAATCTCTCAATCTTGACAATCTCGGGAGCGTATCGTTCTTCGAGTAATCGCTTGACGGCAAGCGCGTGACCCTTGGAGCCAGCGAAACGGAACGAGTTGGGAAGCTCCTTCTTGAGCGCGTCCCAGAACTCGGCTCGCTCGTCATCCTCGAGTGGCAGGACGGTGTTGTAATAGCGCTCAAGCTTCTCGTGCTTCTTGTCGGCGGCTGGGATCGAGCGCCAGGAAGGGTTGCGATCGCGGTCGTCTCCCCCAGAGAAACCACCGCGGGGTCCTCCTCGACTGTTTCCACCACCTTTGCGACCGCCCTGGAGAATTGTCAGTACAAAAGAGAAACTCCAAAGGAGAGAAAGAATAAATGTATCATACGCGGAAGTTCTTGCGTCCCATCTTGCACGATATGTGTAGTACCCAAGAATTGATGTCTCGGGAATGGATATGGTGCAAAAATGGTTTAGGATTTTTTTTTTTCCTTCTTTTCTTTCAGAAGCGTCGCAAAATTTCTAAAGCGTACCACAGTAGCTTAATCTGCAGCTCGAAATCGAAGCGCCCCGCAGTGAAGCTAATGCAAGCTTAGCGTGATCGACTAAAAGATGGGTTGCACTTATACTACTACTAAAGGGATCTATGATATGGTCCGACCTGGCCCAGTAAGTCTTGGAATCATCTGTCATATCAGCTTGTACGCACGTATTCTCGGGAGAAGTTGAAACTTTCAGAACTAAACACTCGAGATCGGTCGCTTAATGGGGAAAAAAGAAAAAGAAAAAAAGGTCGATGTGAATAATCAGGTTGTTCCTATTCTGACATCAATGCAGGCTTGTGTGACATTTATCAGAATTTTGTACTACATAATAACGTGACTACACAATGACAATTCTCTCGAAAAGACTTGACATGGTCTCTAATACAGCAGTTTCGGAACGGGTGAGCATTTATAATTGCTGCTTGCTAGAACAGAGTGTTTCGTTAATGTCCCATAATCTGCAGCAATGCCATCTTGTTGATTGTGGCAAAGTCTCAACAAATGCTGCTGCATTCTTTGAAAGCTGTTCAAAACTTATAATCCACACCCGACTCATGCTCCATTAGATCAAAAGCAGGTTTGGCTGCAAACCAGCCCCCAATTTCCCGACCGACCGTCTTGTACGTGAATTCAGCCTCCTCGTCGCTAATCTTGACCGTCTCACGTCCCAGTCCGGCGGCGGCGGCATCGGCGAGCAGCTGAGTCTCGCAGCAGCTCTCTAGGCTAATGAACCAACGGACACAGCTCTCAATGGTCGTGCCGCAAGTCAACAGACCGTGGTTGGCCAGAATAGCTGCCTTTCTTTGATCCAGAGCCTTGGCGATATTCTGGCCCTCCTCGGGTCCAAGTACGATGCCACCAAAGCTATCGTAGTGTGCGATGTCCTGCGGTTCATGTAAGCCACTCGATCGGAGTAATGGCCATCTCATAGTCTTGAACCCGGCCGATGTTTATGCTTGTTGTTTTGTCGATTCAAACGTCAGAAGATGAGTTACTTACATTGTAAAAGGCACACGAATCCTGGGTGGTAATGTCCAAGTTCTTGCCCAATGTGCTGAAAGCTCGGCCAAACTTGCTGTGAGAGTGTGCCACCGCCTTGATATCGGGCCTCGCCTCGTGAACAGCGTGATGAATCATGTACGCTGCACAGCGTCAGATTGGTGAATCTTCGTTCGGCACAAGGATTGTAAGGGAGAGCTTTACAGGGCTCTGACATACCTGCAACATTGAGAAGGCGGACGGCACCTCCGTCAACGACTTCTCCACGCGAGTCTACACGGATCAGATCGGATGCCCTCAGGATAGGCCAAGCAACGCCAAACGGGTTGACCCAGAATGTCGTTGGCTCTACGGGATCCTTCATTCAACAATCTGGTCAGTTCATCATCCCGACACCAAAAGAAAAAGAAGTTATCTGAGGTAATATAGATGAGAAAACGCACCCGAACGGTGATATGACCAGCGACACTGATGATTTCATTAGTATATGGTAAATCTCACACAGTCGACGTCCGCAGAAAACGGCTAGTAAAAAATCATGAGCACGCACCCATCGTCAAACCCATACTTGGCAAAGATTCGAAATGCCAAGGCAAGTCTCTCCTTCAAGTACTGGCGCTCCTTGTAAGGATCATCAAATGTAGGCGGCGAGGGCCTGGCTCCCTATATTTGACCCCGAATGTCAGCCTCTTGCATGTCATGAGATAGTTACTGGGTGACTTGTTGCATAGTCCATTAAAAATTGCATGTGTACCTTTGCGATGCCGATTTTGGTGCCGTCGGCATCCTTTTGGGGTTCGTTGACGGTAACAGTCGCAGACGGAGCCATGGTACGTCACGCGAGCACTATGTCTCCCTCTCTATATATATTAGGAAGAGTATGAGAATGAAAGAGTTGTAAAAAGAGAGTCGTCAAATCAATACTTGAGGCAGCCGAGAAAATGGGGGGTTGTTTAGTAAAGACAGTGAGGAGAGAGTGCATGAACAGTTCGAGCCTTTATGTTGAAAGAAAAGGTCACCTACGGGTCCACGGAACAACCAGAACGGAATCTCACACAGGAAGGTTCGGCCATAAGATGGACATTGCTGAGCACATCAGCGAGCCTCTGTATGAGGGATGGAGGAGGGTGTGGCGAGTGGTCGGTTGGTCCATGAATTAATTACCTACCTCTTTCTTACCTTACCTAGGTAGTTGGGTAGGGGCACCATTTGCTGCGGGGAAGCTGCATGTCTAGAGTATATATCGTATCCCTTCGGAGGGCCGTATAAGCGAACGAGAACGAGCTTGGTGGGTATACTTTTACAAATGCGGACTCGTTGGTTCGTGATTGCGCTGCTAGTGCGCGTGATCCCCCAATTCCCCCCCGGTTGAGTGCCCAGCAGGGGTGGTCTGGAACTAAGACGGAATATCTGCTTTGGATCGGCATTCATTGGGTGAAATGCGCCGAAGTGCCATGTCAAAGCATAGTCTCGTGTGGCAGGTCTTCTTATAAACATACGTAAATAGTTCGGTTGTCAATGCCCGCTACCACGGCTACAAAGGAGGTGCTTTCTTGCCCCTCTCCAACCTTTTACTCTGAAAATCTGACGTTGGGATATGACAGTCAAAGCGAATTATCATACTGCCAATAAGCCGAAGTTGTGTATAATAAAGAACATCAATATAGGGCTCGCGACATATCTACTCCGCACAATATTGAGGCACAATATTGCTTGATTTGATTCGCGGCATGGTTTCTTTGCAGTTGAAATCCAACACAAATGTCCGCAGGGTTTATGGAACTCCATCATATCGAATCAATGTATAGACTTTTCTTTTGGGTGGTATCAACAAACATGCTCTACAATAGTGACTGGGTAGCAAACTTGTCGGCGTCAACAGTTTGACTTTTGCTGGTAAATATATATCTACACACTGACTGACAACTCCAACTTCGATGCGCTTTTTGTTACTTTTTTCCTTTCCGGTATCTCTTCCCTTATGTATTTGACAAGACTTGAAGAACTTCAAAAGCTCCCCTTCTCAGCCGCCGGAGTACTTGTTCCTTTGGAATGGGACATGCTGTAGGGTGCCTTGAGATATCTGTTAGCACGGGACTCGAAACATAGTCAGCAAACAAGAAATACTTACAAGAACTTGCTTGGCATTGCAGATTCTCCAAGCAAGGTTCCTCACGTTACCATCTGCTGGCACAACAGCGGGAGCAAACTCGATACCAAACATTTGCTGAATAGCGTAGACAACTCTTCGAGCATATTTCCCGTCCCGCTCCACGTGATTGCCAAATGGCTCTTCGGGTGTACTTGGGGCAATGTCGGGGTTCCGGTCGAAACAGTTTTGGACCAGCGGTAGAAGGGAAGACTCGACAGACTTTTGGTACATGCCATGGGAGTCCACTTCGACGTCTTCCTCGTCAAAGCGACCAATCTGTATCTCAAAGGGCTGCGATATCGACATGACGTGATGACTTCCGCCGTGATGATACCGGAATTCAAAGACACCTCTTGTCCACCACAGCTTATCGCCTTCAAAGGCAACCTCGCCCTGGACAAGTTCACCCTCTGGCGACTCATCATTACTGCTCACCGGTACATCGGAGCTCAGAATGCGTGTATCAGCAATTGTGGAATCGTACTGGTTCGGCGTGACGGCAACCCAGCGACCAAGCGAGGGCACCTCTGTGTTCTCACGAGATCGATTGTCTGCAACCATATACAGACCAATCCAGTCCTTCTTGTGATGATTTGCTGGTGCCGTCCACTTGACCTTGATTGGTGCGCCGTATTCAAGAATCATGGTGTTGAGATCGCTGGGGAAGCGAGCATTAGTGCCTTCCTTGCCAGTGGCTCGTTCTGTGATGGCTGACAGAGAAGCTGCCTCGCCGACTACACTCATCGAATAATCCTTTGGGTCAAAGCCTGCCAAATCCGGAGACAGCTTGGTCAGGGTAAGGCGGGCAGGCACATTGTTGAATAGAGCCGTGGTATCCCGCACGATTGTGGAAACACCGGCAGCAAGCTTTGGACGAGCCGTCTCCAGGAATTCTTCCACAAAGTGAGAAGTGTCATCGACGACCTTGTTGACACTGGTGCCCCATTCCTTGACGGGCGGCGGAAGTGTGCTCTTGATGAATTTGACAAGGCCAGCCTCCTTCCGTACGGTGCGTCCGTAGATCTTTTGCATATGCGGCTTCTCAACATATTGCAAGAAGGCCAGCATGAGAAGATGGCTTGCCAGAGCCAGAATGAAGATGGATCTGCTCCAAGTGATCAGTGCGGCTCCCCATAGTCCAGCTGTACCAAAGACACGTTCTGGGTTGTTTAAGAAACGGTAAATCGAGGTGTAGGTCAGCTTGGCCTTTTGGTCAAAGAAGAAGTCACCACAGAACCAGCCAAATTCGCCCAGTGACTCGTAGGTGCTGACTGCGCTCCAGATTTGAAGGGTAATCAAGGCTGCGCCCACCACGTGCTTCAGCAGTACGAAACCATAGTCCCACGAATCAGGGATGGTGTACACCTTCCAGCAAGCAGCAATAAAGGATGCGTAGCCCATTATCTGTGAAATGTGGTACATGGCCTTCCACTGTCGCCATGCCTCGCCAGTACTTTCGCCAAACTTGAGAAAGTGTCTAGTCCATGCCTTGTTCTTGGATTGCTGGTCGAGTATGACACCTAGACCCACCATATACCAAAGCCGCCAAAGAGTAGCGTGAAGAACGAAGAGGAATTGGTAAAAAGGCGTACTGGGCGTGACGAGAGTCAGGACAGTCATGTAGCCGATAAGTAGCAAAGCCGTATAGTCGCTTGTCCGGAAAAGGTCAAAGTTGCCAACTCCAAGGAGGTTGTGAATCTGGGCTGGTGTACCCTTTGAAGACGTAGATGGTGCCGCGTCCGAGGCGGTAGCACCTTGACTCTCGCCCAAGTCGGCAGAGGTAACGGTATCGGCGCGCTTGCGAGGAGCGGGAGGATTGTATGTTTTCTCGATATGAGGATTCTCGACCAGCACCAAGAAGGCAAATTGTGCGGCATGTGCCACGACAGAGATGAGGAGTACAGCGTAGCTAGCCGCCATCATGGAGATGCCATAATAGCCAGCGTAACCGATAGAGTACATGGGGTGGGGCGCCATTTCAAAGACGCCGTCAAAGGTCAACTCTTGGTCAATCAAATAGAAGAAGTCACCCCAGTACCAGGCATAGTCCTTGACGACACGGTGAGCATCGAGCTTGACCCAGAGGTTGAATCCTACCAAGGCCACACCGAGGGTCCAGCGGCCTGCCGCGAGGAGGGCTGTTTCGCCTTCTGGTCTATGGCCGCAAGCAATGGCAAACAAGCAATACGACACAAAATCACACATGAGGATGAGATCCACGAGTCTGCGGAAGACGAGCCACGTGTTGTACTCCAGGGGGGCCTTTTCAAAGGCATAGTCTTCAGGAATCTTGGCCTCCAGCTCAGTCTTGAGAAGCTTGTAGGCCCATGGCCTCGGGTTTTTGCCTGTTGAAGGGTGCTCAAAGAGCTTCCATGTCTTGGCCCAGTTGACCAGTTTGTTCTCTTTAGATTGGCCCTGGAGCAGAAGACCGATGCCAAGATTATAAGCAGTCCGCCACAGCAGAAAGATGGCAGCAAGCACGGGGCGCTTGAGAGACGCAGGCAGAAGATACAACAGAGCAATGTGAGCAGCGAGAATAGCTAGCACGAGCACATCTGACAAGTTCTTTGGCTGCCGGGGATCCAGCAGCTGCGAGACCATATCATGCGTGGTAGGTACAGTGAAGACTATTTAATCACGAATTTGAATGTCAGTAGTTCACTCTGCGAGATGGTCGCAATCACTACTAACTTGTTCCGTCCGGCGTCCGGCCAAACGTCTTTCTGGATTTCGGCTCCGTTTCATGTTCGACTGTTGGCTCCGTTTCCCCATGCGGAGAAGCAGATCCAGGATCCGTAGTGGAGGCGGCGCGCCTGTGGCGGAGCTCGCCCGAATCCACGGCACTAGGGCCTTCGGTGCTCATGATCTAGAATTGGTGTGTTGATGTCGAATGATTGACAGGCAATTCTTGAGTGAAGAGGAGGAGAGAAGGAGAGACAGAGGAGGAAGAGAAAAGAAGAAGAACAAAGCAAGGGACACGTGAGGTGTTTCGCAACCGACGGGCGGCGGTTGATCAATAGTCGGCGTGCCAGCACCAAGGGAGGTGGAGCTGCGACTCGTGCCGAACGGCGCGGAGTGTTTGAATGGAGCTCCCACAGCTACACTACCTATGGGACAACAGGTCCGTCTCGAATCCACAAATAGCCGCCACGATCCGCATAGGAAGAAGTGACTGGAACGTTCTACGTCACAACAGACACGGCCGTTAATACGTGGTGCTTTGTTTCGTTGTAACAGTCTGGGGAAAGCAAGAGGCGATGACTAAAAAGTCTGGAGAAGGGGCGTGTCAAAGCGTCTGTGTTTCGTTCCAATCACACAATTAATGCGAGTAGGTAGGCAATAAAAGAGAGAGAGAATATCACATGTGTGGGATGGGGTCGAGGGATTGGTGGAGCTTAGATAAGTTAGGTGAATCAATCACAGGTAGGCGAGGTAGGGCATATCGTGGCAGCAAGCATATGTATGGTATGGGATTGCGCTGGGTCAAATTGGAAAAAAAACCCTTCGGTTGGCCAGATGAGGAATGGCTGGCGATAGTTTATGCTTGGTTGCTCGGTTGAATTTTGGGCAAACGGGACCTGTTTGCAATTGTTGAGGACGCGAAGGAGCGAGCGAGCCAGTAGGCAGGCAGGTAGGCAGGTAGGCAGGTATCCGTCAAATGGTCGGCTGTCAGACAGCCGCAACCGGGCAGATGGTCTCTCAATCAAATGGCCATGTAGTTATTTCGTCTCTTTTCAATGTTTGTGAGAGTGGTGGTTTCACATGAGGCTGGTCGAATTATGGCATTGAAGATTGGCCTGAAGCCAGAGCCTTCTTTCTTACATTAGCTCAGGTGAATTCTCGGATGAAAAGATGCATCGAAGTCAGCTGTGCCGCAATGACACTGCATGTCTACTTATTTCTGTACTACTGCAAGTACGGAATAATTGATGTACGAAGTAGCTACATACCTTGATAATGCAAGTACTGAGGTACCACAGCTCTCTTCTTCGGGGTTCTCCAGTCCAGTCTCTCCAAAAAACGCGTTTCCAAGGGTCCTTACAAAAAAAGAGTCACGACTTGCCCAGCACTGACCACTCGTGTTTAATTGGTTTCTTATGCAAAACGAACTACATCCAACCAAAGTCAAGCAAACACCTCGAAATATCTCGACAAGATCATCCACATCCCTGCCTACTAAAAGAATCATGTCAGGGCTCAACGGCTTCGTGCATGAATATTGCGAAAGGAAAAAGGAAAAAAGCTGTGGAGATGCCGAAGTCTTGACCATTTTTGATCATTTTCGCTCCGTCTTGTAGGGATTCATGCCACAGCGGTGACCAATCACCTTGTGCCTCTCTTACTGTAGATACACGGCAAGTTGCCCAAAAAGGAAAGCTCTATGATTCTATACATATAAGTGTCATCTCTCATGAACCACAACATGCTCAAACTGCTCTCTCCTCCCCTTTCTCTTCATGTGGATTTCGCTCTCTCGCCCATCAAACACCATCAGTGTATACCGACTTGATACAACCATCAACTTACAAATCAACACGTCAACTATCAATCTAATCCTTTAATGCCTTTCTTCAGCAGCGAAGACACCATGGTCAAGGAAAACACCAAGGGCAAAAAGAAGGGCGCCGCGGCTTCTCCCTCTTCTCCAGACGACGAGAAGCCGCTCCCTCTCAAGCGCCCCGGCACCTCGGGCACCGAGAACCTGCTCATCACGAACCGCCGCCAGGCCTCGGAGCAGTACCTCAAGGCCCAGCGCGCCGAAAAGGCGTACCGCTCCAAGAAGCACGCCACCCGCGCCCGGGAAAGCTACAATGAGACCAAGACGCATTTCCGTGAGGCCTTTTCGCACTTTGGGCAAGGTTTCAAGGGCATCTTCTCCGTCATCAAGGCCATCCCCTACCTCGTCGGCGAGAAGCGCGAGCAGAGGCGCAAGGCAGCCGACTCCAAGAAGCGCCAGCGCGACATGGAGCGCAAGAAGAAGCTCGAGGAGGCCCTGGCCCGCCAGTCCCACGAGGATGATGGTGAGGACCAGGACGAGGAGAAGTAAAAGACTTCTCTCTAGGCTCACTTATGCCGGGGGAGAAAGAACTCTTCTTCTCTTGTCTTCTCATTTCTCAACATGTTCCGGCTTCCAAGAAGACATGAAGGACAATACCCAACCACAGATTGATACCCGTGTTCATCACAAACACCACATTCGTTATTTCCTTTTTCACATATACAATACTCGAGTCATTCGCAGCTCTACTTGCGCTTTTCATAAGTCGCGCTCATTCATTCAATGTCCGTCAAAACGGACACCAAACACCATCGCTACAGAAGAAAAAAAAAACCTCAACAACAATCAAAATAGTCTCTGTCTATGCAACAAACATCACTCGGCCTGAGGATTCAGTGATAATGTCCGAAAGGGCAGATTGATGCCACACAAAGGTCTAGCAGTCATTCTCTCAACTAAAGAATCACACATATCCACACTCGCATTAATCAGGCTGGCCTATTCGAGGCCGCTCTCGCAATCAAACGATATCAAATCACAAAATATTTCCTTGTCCTTTTACGACCTGACGACACAAACGATTATGAGACTTCATGACTATACGGAAACACAAGCAGCACATTTTTTGCCCTACGCGAGACGCATTGAAAGAGTCAGTTCGTCGGGCAAGGAAACAAGAGCGAAAGGTGTTTTCGGTCATGGCTTTCAGGGTCGGGGTATCGTCGCGTCGTTTTTCATCATCACCATCATCATCAACAGCGATTTCCTTGAACAAGTAGAATTTTATTCACGCCTGGGAAGCCGGGCTTGAATAAAGATCTGATACTACTATATATCATCATCATTATTAGTCAAAAAAGACTTTTCTGATATTATGACCATTTTTGACTTGAAAGTCCGTCCGTAAATAACAGTAATATATGTCATATGTGATCACCGTATGTGAGTGAGCACATGGAGCAGCTAAATATGTTGTCAATCTTCCAATCAACATATAACCCGGGGAAGCGTATTTCGTAATCATGATCCATTGACAATGCAATACAGTCTATCAAATATGCGCCTAGTTCCTCATCTGCGAAATCCCCCAGAACATCCCGTACCACGGGGTCTGAAAAGATGTCCCTTACTATATTCGTGAACCTGATGCAATTACACAACGTTAAACCTCCCCTTCCCAGATGCTGCGAGCAACAAACTTTTCTTTTCTCTCTTCCATCCCCATTTACTGGGCCTTCTTGGCAAACTCTACGCGCAGGATAAGATGCTTGAAACCGTAACCGTCCATCTTGTTGCATGCCTTGACGGCATCCTCTCTGTCCACGAAGCTGATGAAAGCGAAACCCTTGGCCAAGCCCGTCTCCCTGTCCTTGGCAAGGAACACACGTGTAACACGTCCAAAGCGCTCGAACATGTCGCGGAGCTCGCCTTCCTCGGCCATTTCGGAAACCTGTTAGTTGTGAATCACATTAGTATTCTTGTCTTGTTTCCATCATGGCAAAAAAAAAACTCTCGGGGGTATCGCCAGTGGGGCGAAAAGTCTGAATAGGAGAGAACCTACGTTTGTAACACGCAGCGTAGCAAAGTCGTCCCGCTCGCCAAACTTGCCACCCATCCTCTCGCCACCGGCACCTGCGGCACCGCCGCCGTTTCTGAGAGCAGGAGGAACGTAGCTGCCCTTCTTTGCGCCAAGGCCGCCAGCAGAGGACGGGGCAGGCTCGTCGCCCATGCCGGCAGCGGGGTCGGCAGCACCCTCGGCGCCGACGGGGGCCATGGTGTCCTTGTAGGGACAGCGGGCAGTGAAATGCTCGCCGTTACAGATACGACACTTGACCGTCTTGTCCTTGAGCTTGTCCTTCATGGCGTTGGCCTGGGCGTCCTTGGCCTCGTCCTTGGTGTCCTTCTTCCAGTTGGTCGAGAGGCGGAAGATGATGTTCTCACCGACCGAGGTCGTGTCGCTCTGGGGGCCCTGCTTGTCGTTGGCCGACAGGCCAAACTTGGACCAGGTCTTGCGCTCGGCGACGCGCGGGTTGACGACCTCGCGGTGCGTCACGAGGCGGATCCGCCGGGTGGTCTTGACCTTCTGGCCATCCTCGTTGTAGCGGTAGGTGATGGTGGTCTTGGTGCCGTCCTTGTTCTGGATGGTCTGGGGAGGAGGCAGCTCGGCCTGGGTGGTCTCATCGAGATCATCGTCATCCGCCCAATCCCTGCATAGGTGCGGTTAGTTAGCTGTTCCTCTTCTTCGAAATCGCGATCGTGGACTTTCTCCTCCTGTGGGCGGAGGGCCTGGCGCCAGGAGCTGGAAAAAATGGCGAAAGGGCAAGTCGTACCTAGCTGTGTTCGACATATTTGCGGTTTGTGATGTGTACGGTAATTTGAGTGCACGCGTGAAGTCGACCGTTGTTGATGGGTTTTGCTTTCGATTCGCGTTGTTGTCGTCCTTCTTTTGATGATTTTTGGTCGTTGGAATAATTATTTGCGGGAGTGTGGGGCAATTTATTTGACCCCTCCAAAACCGCCCAAATCTCACCTTCGCCTCCCTCAAGTGAGTCAGGATATCAATGGTTCATCTCCAAGAAATGCGGCGCTTATGCTGGCAACAGGTCTATTAATTCTGCAAACTACAATTCATTCGTGGCTTGATGCTCAGGTTTCCAGCTTTCATGATTCTTCCTATCTGCAGCACGCACATGGTGTCCTTCCTCCTTAAAGTGGACTCCGCTGTGCGCACAAACTAAGAACTCCATACAGCAGTTGGCCACGAGTGCTACCATCAGTGATCAAACGCTACTTTTGCCTTTGGGTTCCCTGCAATGTAAATACAGCTACCCAATGTTGGTATTTCAAAGTTGGCAACAAAAATGAGAGATATTGGCAGCTGCATATAAATTTGGATATATTGGGTATTGTCACGTTCAAAATTCAACACTCATGATTTTATGCCATTGTGAACCACTTAAACTAGACTCATTATGTTTACAGCAACAAGGATGCGGGAGGTAGATGGGTTGTTATCTCAACAGTGTCAATTCATACTTGTGTCTTCCGCACCAAAAACCACTTCGCTGGTGGCAGCTCTTTTGACTATACATTTTCATCATAAGTATCTAGATTCATGCCCAACGGGTATCTCTTTCCCTTTGCTCCAACAAACACCAAGTCTGCCCAATAATAAAAAAGCCCAAACACCTGAGTATAATGCCAGATATTGCACAAAGGAGAGAGAAAAAAGAAATGTCAAGCGGCCCGCTTCTCGCAGCTGGAGGTTCTATCCGCATAAACAAAAACGCCTTCATGATCGCTATGATAGAGTACAAATTTTTGATAAGAAAATATGAGTGTGAACTCGGGACGGTATTTGCAATAGGAAATGCAATTGAACACCGCTGAACTCTGAACGTGTTCATACGTTCTAGTCCTTTTGAGGAATCGGTGGCAAGGCACGATTGGGAGGAGGCAACAGAGGCGGCCCAACACATAGTTGAGGCATACTTCTGCGAACCCCCAGACCTTTCGCCTGGATGTCAACATCCAAGTGTTGAGGTGAATGCGAAGGAGATCTGGACTTGGGGCTTCTTGGCCTCTCTCGCGGCGACGAGGGTTTGCTTGCCTTTGTCTTTGGTGTTGCTTCCATCTTTGCACGCAATGGACACGCTTGACGGAAAGCATTGTCAGCCATCATCGTAGACCGTTTGTAAGAGGGAGCTTTAGACAGTGGCTTCTCAGAAGACACCTCATCAGAACCATATGCACCCAGGGCGGATGAAGACCTTGGTGCTTCTTTGCTGTTCCTGGTAGTCAACTCAAATTGCTCTCTCCGGCTTGCTACTGAACTTGACAGTATGAATCTAGGATGCTCATTGGTCGACTCTGTCGCGTCCTCGGCTGCTGCCCGCAAGTTGGTCAGGCTGCCAAAGCGACGAGGTGCAGTTCGCGCATCTGATGGTACCGGGGAAGATGAAAGTCGCTTAGCAGCCAAGCGAGACTCTGCGGGAGACAGGTGCTTAGCCTGGGCCTGAGGGACAGCTTCTCGTTGCGCCCAGCCAGAGAACATGGCTGGCGAGTCTGGCGCATCCAGCATGGCATTGGCAGGAGGAAATGATGGAGAGAGGGGAGATCTCGGCGAGGGTAGGTCCATCACCGTCGAAAGTGGCCTAGACGCGCCAAAAGTTGGTGGCGGCTTTCTACAAGACTTGGTTGGCTCAGGTTCGATTACCAAAGGGACAAGTACAGACAACGGGGTCACCTGGGTGTCTGCCGGCGTTGTCTGTGACCCAGCGGATGACGTTGAGAGTCTCTTGCTAAAGTTTGGAATACTCTGTCTGGCCGACGTGTGGTTGCTCTCGTCATTGGTTGTTGCGGAGGAACCTGGGCGCGATTCGTAGTTGGGTTGAGCATCAAAGCTAGCCATCACAGCTTGTACCGACTGTCTGCGCATGGATATCGCTTGCGAGTTTGGTCGTAGCCGAATCTCTGTCTGATTCGTTTGGCCGCCCTGGGAAGATTTGGAGTCGCCTCGTTTACTTGAGAAGCTGGTCCGTGTAGGCGAGCACGATGGCGAGGAATTCGCAGTCGTGCCATGGGTTCTTTGGCTTGAGGAGATGTAGGAGAAACGGGTATTGCTTTCCCGGCTATCTCGTAGGCTTTCGAGACGCTGTCCATCCGAAGAACAGTGGCTTTCAGTAAACGATCCGTTGTCCATGGATAGATCAGGGTTGAAGTCAGATGTAGGTATCATTGGGAGGCCGTGATCATGCTCCTGCACCTCATCGTCCGCGAGACCTGAAAAGTCTTGCGAACCCATGGTCGAGAAACGGGACGGATCACGGACAACGATGGTCCTCTGACTGTTCTTTGTCTTGAGTTGAGCGTCCACATCAACTGACTTGACCTCTCCAGTTTCTGTTAGTTGCTTCTTGCCACCTAGTTCCACGATTTCTTTTCGCAATACGGCCAGCCAGCCATCCATATCCTCGGCGCGTTCGAAAACCATGAGCATGGTCGAGACAAACTTCCTCTCAGTTCCGCGAAGTGCCAATTTGGAGATGAAGGATCGCGAATCCGAACTAGTGTCCATGCATGCAACAACTTGCAGAACCCAATGCTTTCCTGGAATCAAGTCGCTCGCAAAAGCTGCCGAATCTTTGCTAAGTCGAAGAATCTTTTCAGGCGACCGATCGTGGTGACCGTCGGCGGCATACTGTAGCAAGTAACCAGAGGTAACAAGAGCATACGTCTTTGTGGTCCATTCGAGAGCGCCACGGGCTCCTGCATGTCGTTGGTGCAGCTTCTTTGGTTTTTCCTCCTTCTTTTCTGAGCCCTCTTCCGGAATCGGTTCCTCTTTTGTCAGTACATTATGACTGGCATTGAGCTTTGCAAGTGCTTCGGCAGAGGCAGCGCAGGCTGGCAGGGTATCATGCATGATGGCTTGCGGATAGACTTGAAATAGCGGAGGCGGATTCCAGGCATCGGCAGGCGGGCTGGAAGCACCAGAACTAAGCTTGCTACTACTGCTTCCTTCGTGTGCCCGCCTGTGGAGACCCAGTGAAGATCCATTCGACTTTGACGAGAACAAGCTCGGCATACTCGCCAAGGTCAGGTCAGATCGCGAGGCTTGGAGACTATATGGCCAATGCCTATCAGCAAACGATGCCTTGGTAGATCCAGACTTTGCAGCCTCGTTGGGCGCAGTCGAATCGTCCACATCATCGACATGGCCATTTCTTGTCTTCGTAGACTTGGTTCGACCAAAGATACTCCGCAGCCCAACCTTAGATTCTCGCTTTGCAGACTTCTCTGCTCGGGGATCTGGGCGCAACGGGGTTTTGTTCTCGTCGCATATAACAATATTCGGCGGGCGAGCGCGGCGCAAGCTGGAACTCGGCCTCGACTTGAGAGACTCGAACATCCCAATAGAGGGACTCAATGGTCGCTCTGCAAAAGAATCCACCTCCATGACGGCATACGCAGCGGGTGGCGGATGTGTGGCTGGTTTGTCGTAATAGTCTGCTATAGAGACTATAGTGGACGACAACGGCGACAATGTGATTTGGAAGCGTTTGTAGATTCTGTCCTATCCCTTTGATGTGATATAATTCTTTTGAACGGACAGATGATGTGGAAAAGTTGAAAAGCCAAGTTGGCCCACAATGGTCAAGAGTTTAAAGAGTGTGATGTATAATAGACAAGGGGAAGAAAAAAAAAAGGTTGCTAGAGGTTGACAGGCCGGGAGGTGGAGGGAGTCGTGCGTTTAAGTCAAGCAAGAAGAATAGTCTAAATCGCCAGACGGATGCTGCAGAAAAGGCAGTTATCTAAGCGAGTTTTCTGTTATTCTTGTCCGTGTTGTATTTTTCTTCTTTACCCTTCCCACTCTTTTGCTCCTTCGACGTCAAAACACAATCGAGATTACAAGGAAAACATGGAGCCGTCCCCAAGGTCAAGGCAACCTTGCGCAAGCAGCTCCAGCGAAACCGCGGATCGAGTCCAGATCGTTGCGTAAGTATGCGCCGGACGCTATGGGGGTGGATGTCGGAGCGGGTCCTTTTAGGTTGGGTCCAGATGTGTGCCGAGCAGGCCGCGATGCTAGACTTAGGCTCAACAGCCCAGCTAGAGAGAATCAAGCGTAGTCGGGACTGACGACGTTTGCCAACACCACCACAGGTACTTTCTTAGTCGCGAGTGAGCAGTACTAGTATAGAAGGAAAAGATGAAGGATAAGGACGAGGCGAAAAGTGTGAAGATGGTGAGAACGCCATGACGCACGGGACGCGGGATCCGGAGACGTCTTTCTTATGTATAACGAACCGGGGGGAAGGAGGGATTCAATGTTGCATAGGATCTCGAAAAAAAAAGTGATTTCCACAATTTACCCCCCTCTCTGCCTCTTTCTCACAGTTCCCAGTAATTTTTTTCTTCTCGATAATTATTTCTGTCACCAGCGCGCGTGGGTACCACGGTACGTACCTCTTTTCCGTGTCGCGATGCGTACTTGATTGGCTGGTGTACTCGCTTGCGGGCCCGAGAATTGGCTGCACATGTGTGGCACCGGGGTATATCTTCAACTACCGCACCACTACACACTTGTACCTCCAGCTCTGCCCTGCCCGGATATCGCAACTGTGCTGGATTGCTAGATGGTCTATTTTCGCAGCTGGGCCATATGATGTGACCGAATCCCTGTATCATAACGCATGGTTCGTCTAACATTGTCTTTGGGCACTTTATTACAGAATAATCCCATGGTGCTTGGTCATGTTGTCAATCAGTCATTCTTTTTTGTGACATGTATCTCGAAACGAAGTTTTTCCTCTCCTTCTTTTGCTTTCCCCTTCTCAATCATTCTCTTCATGAATCAGGCAGGGATGGAGCAGGCCTCAACTCGGCCCCTCACCTGGTCCGGGCGCTGCGCATCGCCCAACCCTTGCCAATCCTTGTGCTGACTTGAGCTGCGGAAGGTGGGTTCCTGCTTTGTGCCGCACACCATCATCAACGACAGTGAGGCGCCAATGACTGAGCAAGAAATTGTGTGCAGAAGGGCGCCATTTCAACATCGGCAGAACTTTAAGAGTGCATGTAGTGCACTATCCGCATACAATGGCCACGCGAAAAATCTCTTTGGCTGATTTGCGAACCTCCTGTTGCCAAACTAAGCATAGTTGAGAGCTAGGAAAAGGGTCCGGAGCGCTTGCGGACGTTTACTGAGTCGCCCGCCATGTTGCGAGCGTTGGACATGAGTCCGGCACTGGTCAAATGCGTCAACATCGGACACCCGGCCTGGCTGCCCGCTATAGTGCTCCTTAAACGTGCATAGGCACCTGTCTGGCGTGTGGGAGGTTAAAAGTTGGTAGCAAAATGGAGGGAAAAATTCAACCTAGGGCAAGGCGGAATTGCACCCCAGTGACGATAAGACCGAATTTGACCTACGATAATTCAAAGAGAAAAATCAGAGAGCAACGTATCCATGATCAACGTCGTGTGAAATCTCTTGGCAATACCATGACTACCGGGGATGACGAGCCCCAGCAAACCCAGGCAAAAGAGGGCCCTAGGATCACCCCCACAGCAGGATGAGGCAGACGGCCGTTGGAAAATCGACAGTCCACTGTAAATACCAACTGTATCCATTCAGCCATTTCGGCGCAGAAAAGAAATGGGTACACGTAAAATTTCCATCCAATGCGAGGTTGTAAATTACCATACTTACTCATGCGTTGTAAATGGAGGCATTGGAATGTCATCACTCATAGGCTTTCCATTCACAACGTACTATATTAGATGGAAGTACGAATTTCATGGCTGTGCGAGGCCGCCTGGCGCAGCAGCAGTAGCAGCAACAGCAGCAGCAAAATGGAGTAGCCCACGACTGCTGTGCATATGTGGTGTAGGTCGCAGATTGCACTCCTCACGATGCAATGCAGAGCCTTACATTACCTTCATACATGTAACTGCAAATGTGCAGCGGTACGGTTTCGCCGGGTTACTATGGAGTATACTGGTCATTGCGGTTTCCACTGGATTGGGTCAAATTTTTCTTTTCTTTTTTTCTTCTTCTTCAATCTCGGGGTATATGCTCAGATAGGCAATGGCGATATTATTTTAGAAACAAGAACGTGAGCATACATGAACAGGAATGGGCAGTAGCGTATGTCCAGGGGCTGCAAGGTTGTTTTGGGTTCGTGAGAGAAACGCGCCGCGGTTCCCCTGGTTGGCAATAGGGAAAAGAGGGGAAGGGCAGGCCAATTGATTCGTTGTCACTGATGGAACGGATCGAAGTCTGGAGCTTTGCGTCAGGGATCCTAGACCTTCAATGTTCTTAGCTGTCATGTCGCGTGGTGGTAGGGCCAGCTAAATGCCCCTCCTATGCCCTTCAATTGTCCAAACTACCTACATCAATTTAGTGCTTCAACGAACCTGCCCAGCGCCGGCAATCTCCAGAAGAAAGAAAGAAAGAAAGAAAAAACAGCCAACGAGGGCACAGTGTCATCCTTCGGCGATGCTGCAAATTGTCCTGCCTTTCAAGCATCAGATCCTGTAGGCCGTGAAGTACAGTTCGGAATACCTTTCCTAGCTCGCTAGCCATTGTGCGCTTGCCCCCTCCAGTGTCACAGTCTGTTGACGATGTGAACCTGTCGTGGAACAACCTTCTGTTTCCGCCAACATGGTTCATACACCGTGTCTCGAGCAAAGAGATCAATCTGCCAATTCTGAACAAGGATATGTACACGGAATATCAAGAAAGAAAAAACCAAAAGAAAAAAAAGAGATAAAAAGGGAGAGAGAGAAACGGTTGGCAGTCCTGATATGAGCTGACCAGGATTGGACGTTTCGAGTCCACCAAAGATACTGATGTCTGGTCTCGAACGCCATGAAGCAAGTTGGATATGTAACATGTCACATGGACAGGCGGGGCAACGGTTGTACACACCAATGTTGCTTGTTCTTTTACAGGTAATGATATTACTGCATGCGTAACCACAGTTATACGCGAATTTGCACAGTAATCTCTGGCTGAAGGGCCCTTGGATGGCCAAATCCAGGCTCATCCTGAATGGCACTTGCTCTATGGCTATACTTTCATTCATTGGCTGTACGGACTACATACCCGTACTCGCTTACATACGTAATATGATATATGTGCCCAAATTTGACCGACCAGTATTCCTTTAGGGTCTCGGGAACCTGCATCGGTCCTCTTTTACAGAAAGGAAGATCTGGCGAACCAAATGTTTGCTTGCAGCTAGATAATTTTTTCCGCAAAAGCTCAGGCGCTAATGTAGAGACTTTCTCTGGTGATTCAATGCTGATTCCTCACTCCAAAATCCAAAGGCAAGAGTACCGTACCTTACATAGGTACAGTACTGCGCGACGCTACCCTTAGGCCGACTAAACTTTGTCAACATTGACAGACACCAAAATCCTGCGTACGTGTAGCTAGACAATGACTGTCACGGGGTAGAAGATCTGACAGCGGTATTGCCGGAGGTTTTTCTATTACCCTGGCGCCGATCAACCGGAGTAGACCGTCGAGTATAGCAACTGGCTGAGCAGCAGGTGCATGGTATGATCAACGGTACAGAAAAACTTCAAGGTCTGATCTCGAGTTACGCGGACCTTAATACACCCGCGCTCGAGCGACCACTTACTTGATCAATTCAAATCTCAAATCTCCTGGGGATTCAGTAGCGACAGAATAAGCTGTGGTATTGTCCAACGTTGTCGGCGCTTTTTCTTTTGCGATTTGCATCTTGTTTTGCAAATGACGTTGCACAATCATACACCAGCTGCAAATGACTAGCATCTCAGCTTAGTCTGGTTCGCCTATCGCATCTATGCAAGCAAGACAGCTCAGGTAGCACACACGATATTGCGCCTACATACGCCAACCACAAAACTTTAAAGGGCCCTGTCTTGCAGTTGGCAATTTCCAGCAACCTGGATCTAGGTCAAGCCTCATTTATTTCGTGTTCCTGGCAGCATACATAGAAAGATACTTTTATAAGTCAAAGTTTGTATGAATACGGAATAAATGCCTTGTCATATAGCAAAGTTCAGCTATCCATCTTCCCCCATTTGCATTGATCTGTCCTTGTTCCTTGCATCTGCTGGACTTGCTATTAGCTTGTTCACCACTTGTCGTACGGTGATCTCTGCGCACAAATTTGGCCCGCTGAAAGGCGTTCAATGGCTTGCAAGTTTCCATCCCGTACCTGCATGGTGACTATGCCATCTCCCCGAAATGATCTGGGGCTGAAAAGAGGTCGGATCGGCACGTGAAGATCACGGGAGTTCAGCCGAAGAAGATAACAACAACAGGGTGCCATTCCCGACCAGTAAGTTCAGCTACTGATCACAATGCTCAGTAGTAGCAACAATGCGTTACTAGTAGCGAGCCAGCCTCACGCCTCGCAATGCCTCGACAGCTGGTTGAATTGCGGAATGTCGTACCGAAGCGCAATATTTAGTGACCAGGTCAGGCATCATTGGGCCCTGCATACAATCGACAAAGATGATTGCTTTTATACAAGCACCCCGCAATTTGTGTATATGACCAATTAACTTTGTGGCTGGATGGCGTGATGTTGTCGATAACAATGCATACTGCCTTTACCAGATCATAATTGATCTACAATAACTGACCATTTCTGGTCAGATCCTTTGGCGCGCATACATACCATTCACCCACCCCATCTCATCAGTCTTGTCACCACTTGTACGGCTAGAGTTCCGGTTTCAAACCTCCACAAAGGGATAAAAACAAGTCCGGCCCACGGCTTTTTCAGATGCTCAGACTCTTACGCCCAGAGCCGCGCTAGAAAAATCGCAGACGGCCGTCAACATGATGACAGCCTTCTAGTGTAAAAGGCACAGACAGACGTGGAGATGGATTTTTCTTTCGTGCGACAAGTCAAACAAACCTTTGAGTACGACCAATGAGAAACAATGGCTCATCAAGGGTCCTGGGGTAGAAAAAATAAATAAAACAAAATCATAGACCACTAGATTCGGATGTCTTGGCGTCTCGCCCTAACCAGGGGTTTACATAGTAGAGAATTGGGTTTTGCCGCAAAGAGTTGCGTGTAGTTCAGTCGGCCCTTGCCCTTTCAAGCGCAAGGGCTCACTGCTGGACCTATGTCTGCTGCCGACTAACGCCTCGAATTTATGGATCAAGTGAGGCTGCAGGAGATGGGCAAGACGATCTCCAGAATCCACCGTAGGGGAAGAGAAAAGCACCTCCGAGGAAGCTGCGGTCAGTCTAAAATAACCCGGCGAATCCGGATGATGGTGTGTGTGTGTGCAGACAGTCACTCTTGGATGTGAGAAGCTTTCGGCAGCGGGATGTGGGCGGCCAAAGGGCACTTTCTTCGTGGTGCCTTTTTTTCTTTTTCCTTCCTCCCCGGATCTAGTCATCACGATAGCCACAATCGTGCCATTTGGTTCATTCGGCACAGGACAACTGCAGGTTAGAGCTGAACACAAGAGGAGGCAGATATAGGAAAACACATACAGGGTTCAATGCTTGGTCGTATACCGAAGTGTCATAACGTCCGCAGCCGCATTGCCAGGATGGGTCATTTGGCGAATGAAATATGGTCCAAGCAATATATTCAGCAAAAGACTCTTGGGAGGATCTCACTACCAATGATGCCAGCTCATGCTTGACATCCCTCGGCATGTGTTCAATTTTTTGACTTTTTCTCTCAACGCATGGCAGAGCTCTAAATGAGCCTTCTACTGTAGTGGATCGCTCCGCCACCCACCCAAGCGGCGACTGCGAAATTGTCCCCGATGCACCACCACATGAATACTGCCAATTGATGACTGCTCGCCTTGCGGCCGAGAGCAATTGTGGACATGATTACGACAACAGACGCAGTGCCGGCATCTGGTTTGCTGGTTCCTCAACGCTATCAGATTTTTCTCTCTCTCTCTCTGCCGTCGGAATAAATCAAAGAGTGTAGAGAAGCTCGTACGGCAAATCATCAACCTTGCTAGCTAACACAAAGAAAGGGTCGGGACAATTATTAATGGCGAGCGGGCTCTCGGCCAGGCAACCGGCATATTTGATCTGCCGAGGAGATGAGAATGGCCGTTGCTCTTGATGATATCTGTACCATTGACAAAGACATGTAGCTTTCTTGCTGTCTCTTAGCTTGTCAACAACTGCACCTACAAACGCCCTCTGCCTGTAACGTAGATAGTTGTTTAAACATATCATGTTGCAGTACAAGAACCGGTCGCAATATCATATAAAGTTCCACGGGAATAGCCCGCTCAGGGATGGCTATAATGGGTTATAAATTTGCAAAGTAAACAATATCATCGGTCTCTTTGATCGACAGGGCTGGAGTGGAAATCAGCAGGCAGATCAGAGAGATCCTTGGGATCGCTGTTGCGAATCCGATCGGTAATCGGAATGAATGCAACGGTAGATTGTGTATGGATTAGACGAGGCCAGACTCACCAGATGACTCGGCAATGAATACCTCTTTTATCATCTTCCCTGGCATATCCCAATTGCAACCTTGAATACCCCGGTCCACTGTCAGTCACGCACACGGTTGCCAAGCAGTTGAGGTACTCCCAGTGCCAGCAAGAAGAGCCAGGCTCGCCAGGCTTGCCAGGGTCAACCTCCAGGCTTGCAGACTGAAAAAAGAAAGGTCGAGTGCACTAAACCAAAGGTAGCGGACGGACCTGGCCAATCACCCCACCTTTGACGTATGATCGATCATAGTGCCTTCAAACCCAAGCCGAGACTGCTGACTTTTGTGTAAACACCAGGAAGTCGAGACTCAATAACGCTGGAATCACGTTCACATCTCTCCACATCGTCTAATTCCCAAGTAAACATCCACACACACACACACACATGCCCCTACGAGAAGCGAGTCAGACGAAGCTCCATCAGTTGACTGTCGTCGTATGTCCTGATTCGATGCGGCACTACGATTCCAGGATGTCATAATCGGCGCCAGCTCTTTCTTCCCCCGCAGTTCCCTTGTCCCACATGAGCTTTCGGCCGACAAAGCTGCTGCTTGACACCTATCAAGGGTACCATTTGTAGCTGTCTTGCAGCAACCCGACAACAGCCGTGCCGTCTTTAACCCATTCAGCCTCGCATAGTGCATGCTGCAACACACTGCAACACTGCCTAATACATTTATTCTCACCTAGTGTGCTTACCACGACCTGGTATTCACAACATCTTCGGCCTTCGTGACTCTTCCAGGAGCGCCTCGATGGCTCCCGACCTCAACTCCCTACCTCCATCAACACATTCTAGAAACATGAACTCATCAGGTACAAACGGCGATAGCCCTACGCCCTTGGGAGGCGGCACAGACTCCCCTCCGTCTGCTTCCCGCTCGCAATCCATCTCTCTACAGGCAGCAGCTACAATGAACGCCGGACTCCAGCGACGTAAGTCTTTGCTTCTTAGGAATCCTTGCATCCCTCGTCTCTGAACATGTCTGCTACATAGGATCCTCGAGTAGCTCTGTTACACGAAATCAGCAATCCCCCGCCGGCCGCAGACGATCTACCGTTCTCATGAATCTCCAATTCAACGATCCTAGCCTTCCTGCCCCGGGTGAAATGCAAGAAGGACCCGGCGGCGTCAGTGGCAGTGGTGTCAGCACCGCCAGTCCTCGACCGCTATCCGGTTCCCCCCTCCTGGCTGCCCGCGATCCACACCACAATCGCGCGCCGAGTCTTGGAGAACTACATCAGGAGCTCGAGGCCGAGCAAGAAGCTCAGGTGAACCGATTGCTGCAAATGATTCGCCGCCAGCAGCTCGAGCTTCAGCAGCTTCAATCGACTCAGGGCCAGAACCAAAGCGCTGTAGCTGCTGATGATTCTACCCCTGCTTCAGAACGCTCTGCCTCTGGTGTACCTTCCGGAGTGGCCACGAACCAGGGAACTGGAACTTCCTCTGTTTCTACTCCTCGGTCACCTATTCTACCCCGTGGTTCATTTGACATTGGAAGACCCGATCTGCGGACGTCGGGCACTTCAAGTCGACGCACATCGTCCACCCGCTTGAGATCTGGTTCGATAAGTGGCGGTGACATTAGCGATCCCTCGCTCCTGAGTGGCCGTGATGAAAGTGCCTTTTATCAGGCAGAAACACAGTCGCTTGTCAGGGAGAATCAAATGCTGCGACATCGAATTAGAGAACTTGGTAAGAGATTGATTCTACTTTACACACATGCTCCTCTAACATGTATTTAGAGCGGCAACTGAATGAGGCGCAAACAACCTCAACCATAACGAGAGAACCTGCGCAACCATCTCAGCTTCTACAGTCCCAGTCAGTATCTGAAGAGGCGGTAGGCGGCGCTACACCAACAGCACCTGTCACAGCCTCTGCTCCGAAAGAAGAGTAGATTATGGAGGCCTCAAGATGTTCTTCTGATTTTCACATGACACCCTCTCGACGGGTATTGTAGAACACGGCATAGTCAATATGCAATGTGCCATTATTTGTATCTATTAGCGTGCCAAAATTTGGCCGAGACTCCAAAGCAAGGGATGATGCCAGCCATTGAGGGGTCCGCGAGTCACATCACTACTATTGCTTCACACAACCTATAAGAAGACAATGAGTACTGTCTAGCTAGGGATGATGAAACTTAAAAAGCGTTCATGGGGCTGTCTCGAGTGCCACGTCTCACATTCCAATCTTAGAATAGAAGCAGCGCATTACTTGGCTTGCACATCAGTAAGAGCCATGAAAGCATGCTTGATAAACAAGAAAAAATACCAAAAAATTCTACATGGTAATATCTACAAGTCGTGGGGCTTTCCTAAATCTATGGGAGCAGGCGCCCAACCCAATTCTATGTGGTGGTGGTAGATACAATTCTTGATACAGTAGAAATATATACAAAGCATCGCCTTCGTGCCCGTCATGCCTCTTGACTTCTTCCTGGAGTTGCAACACAGATTACGAGCTCCTATCGAGGGACGTTATTGCCCCGGGAATCGACAAATCATCCTCGTCCGCACCCTTGACGCCATCGAGCTCGGGTCCAGAGTGTTCATCGTATTCGGCACCTTCGTCCGGATACATGGCATACTCTTGATTGTCTTCATCGGCCGGCAACGGCGTGTCATCGCCCAAGATCTGCTGCTCCAAAGGCGAACCGTTGCTGCGCATGCTGATAATGGCCCTGTAGCACCTGGGGCAGTCGGCGCGGATGCGCTTCATGATTTGGGACGTTTCGGCCGACCACGGCGCCATCTTGTCCAGCTCGCTGTAGCCCTTGGCTAGGTAGTAGAGCGTGTGCGAGACGGGACGAAGATAACGCGGCCAGCTGCCCTTGCGCCGCAAGTCCAGCGGGATCAGATTCTTCATGGGGGCTCCCCTACGCGCCGAGGCCCAACCGGTCCAATTGGGCATGAGCCATTTTTCGCAGGCATCAAAGGCCTCCTTGTAGAGATGGCACTGAATCAGGCCCTGGATATGCAAGTTCCAGTTCTTGGAATCAATTTCGAAGCCCGCACTCCTGACCTTGGCAAACAGCCGCTGCAGGGATACACCGTCGCCTTGTTCGATGTACATTGTCTGCATGGCCTTGATACCATCGTTTAGAATGTACCGAAAGCGAGTAGAGATCTTCTTGCTGTTGGTGAAACCGGCGACCCATTCTGCTGAAAGACCGCCTTTTTGAGCGAGAGCAAATGCCGTATCCCAAGTGCGTTGCAAAGCCTCGTATCGTTTCTCCGATACGTCTGCCCACATGATACTGTTTAGCATCTGGATGGGCAGTGGTTCCGAGGAATTGGCATCTCCGTAGGCGACGTAACGATATAGACGGACAAGTTCTTCCACCTTTGCGAAGTCCCTCATTTGCGTGCAGAGGTACACGATTCTGCTGAAGTGATAGGCCTTGACATCTTGTTGAAGGAGGCTACTTGGCGTGTATGATTGTGTCGGCGATCGAGACGGGTCTGAAGGGCTCATCTCTGCGTGCCGAATGCCATATACCTTGTAGAATCGACGCAAAGCGGCACCCAGTAGTGTCTGTTGTGAATGACCTGCTCTGCGCTTGTGTGGTAAGTGTGACCACTGATTGAAAGCAGTCATTAGGGAAACTAGACTGTCCGCCGACTCTTGGAACCCGGTTTTTTGCATCATCTTGTGCATCCTTACAGCCAGGTCACCTTCGCCGGTCTTAATGAAGGCTCCCATGACGGTATGAAAGTGCCCTTCATTCACTTCAAACGCGCCATCCTTGACAGCGACAGCCAGCAAATGCAGCGCGTGTTGAGGCTGCCTGCAGAGTGAGAGACCCGTCAGGAGTTCCTGATATGTGTACTCGTTGTAGGGCACGTCCATATCCGTCATGCGATTCAAGAGTCGGTTGATACCAACAAGATTGCGCCGTAGAGCGAAGGCATTCAAAATCCTGTTCCAGAGACGTGGTTCCCTCAAGCCCTTCATAGCAGCACGTGCGCACAAGTCTTCTGCTTCTCGGAATAGGTCATTCTGGCAGTACGCCTCAACCAAGCTGCCAAGTATAGCAGTGTCGTTGGTTGGAATGTTTTCCCGACGAGCACGGCGGTAAATATCAATAGTGAAGCCAAGATCACCCCTTTCCGCAGCCATATACATCAAAGTCCCCACGCTGACTCTGTCCAAGCCCCCCAGGCTTTCGTGAAGCTTCTCAAAGGTTGCAATCGCACCTTCATAGTCGCCAGCTTTGGCATATGCATTAAGCAGAATGCACCAGCAATGGCGGTTAGGCTCCAGACGAAATCTGGTGGAAATTTCATCGAAAATTTTCTGGGCTTCAAGTGGCTCCCCACGGACCGCATGTACCTGGAGAAGATGTGCAAATGTATCACCACCTTTCTGAACATGGATCTCTCCATGAGTTTTGATGTAGTCTTGCCACAGCTTGTAAACCTGCTTCTTGTCCCCGGTCGATGCATAGAATCCGAGATTCATTTGATAGGCGCGCTTTGAAGGTGTCTGATGGAAAGTGAACCAATCACCCCAAAGCATTTCCATGCCAGGAAACTTGTCTTGTGGTTGAAGCATTCCCTGGTAGGCGCGAAAAACCACATGGAGTGCATCCTGGCTTGGGCAGGATTGTGGAAGGTCTCTATAGAGCTTGTATACTTGAGTCAACAAGAACTTGCGCGTTTTTGGTGAGTTTGATGAGCGGCGTATGAATCTTTCATATGCATCTGGATCATTTGTCATACGCAGCAAAGTCAGGACTTGGCCGTCTGGACACACTTCCAACGCACACCGAACGAGCAGCTTCTTCAATGACGTGACGCCGCTGAGGCTTCGAGCTTTTTTGAGTTGTGCCCCTAGTTCAATGGCAATATCCCCCAGGCGAGAAACGGAGCCTACACGGTGCAGATCTTGAGGTATTGCGTCAAGATCCAGGCGTGCAGTTATTTTGTCGTGAATTCTCCATATGCTATACACAAGATCTTTTGAGGAGCTTCTTAGTGCAGCTGCGAGCATGAGATCAAATGCATCTACAAGTGACGACTGATCCATGGTGGAGTTCTCCAATCCCTTTTCGAAGATGACCTTTGCCTGCTCAGTGTTTTGCAAGATGAGTTCAGCCTCGAGCCCAGCTACAAATAAGGAGCCATCCCACTGGCTCGGTTCAATCTGTTGGAACAGCTCTGATATCTTCCACGAGTCTGTGGCACGTTTCGTTCTCGACAAAAAGACCAATACCTGGTCTAGATATTGCTGTTTCGCAGCATCTTCAAGCGAAGTGTACTGATGCCAGAGTTGATCAGCATCCTCGGGGTCGTCCAAAAGCAGCAGCCTCTTTAGTTCTTCGACATGATTTTCCTGATGCTCTTTTGAAATATTGCCTGCTTCAGTCTGTGCAGCCTCGGTTGGGGAAGCAGAAGCTGAAGAGCTATACAAGCGAGGACTGACTCTAGCGAAGGTCGAAACGGGTCTATTGATATCATGACGATCGGAAGGGACCGGGCTGAAGCGGCGCAAAAATGCCAGAGATCCAGTCGGATAGAGAAAATCCAGCAAGAAGGTAGAAGCGCGCAGTGCGGGATGTCTCGGGTCGACATTTGTACCAGTAGAGGAAGAGGCAGCGTCTAGGTTGGGATCGAAAACACCATGCATCAAGACCTGCCAAGCACTCGTGATTTCGACATCAGCAGCACCATGCTGCCAAAAGGCCGTGTGGAGCTGTCTCCTGCTTCTGAACGACTTGCGGGCGCTGGGAAGGACTCGCTGTAGGCCGCATGGTTCGAGGCTCGCCGCTGTCTTCTCCAGCATTGGAGAAGCTATGTAGCAGGTCGCCACCTTTGCCGTAAATGTGTCGGAGGCAATCTTGGTTGTTTGTGAGAGGGTGAGAAGAGAATGCGTTTGGTGTTGAGGAGGAAACCGTCATGGCAATTTTGGACCTGAGAGAGAGGGTAAGAAACGTCAATCGCGAACAAATATATCTGCAGGGTCGATCGACAGCACTAACAACCAATCATGATGTGCGCCAATGGTAAATTCTAATATGACGATGGTAGAAAAGACCTTTCATCAGACTCGCATTTGGCTCCGAAGAGTCTCTGGCTTGCTCAAACGCCTTCAGGCGGTGGACGCGGTGAGCAGCTTTGGTTCCGGCGATAAAATTGTAGTAGTGGCGCGGAAGCACTTTGAAGGAATCATTGATTTTCTTTTGGCCGGAGTGGGCTTGGTCGCACCGACAAGGCCGATGTCGAACGGTTCCAGCTCTAGGTGCCATTACCTGATTCGAGCCCCCCGGGGCAGGCTTGCAGGGCTTGCTACCTGAGCACAGTTAGACCCTTGCGCTGAACCCGTCACTATGGCCCACCTATCAAAGCCCAGTAACCTTAGGAGCGGCCTAGCACAGATATAGTGCTGGAGAGACACACCTGGCGCTTTTGCTGTCTAGAGCTCTGCCAGTTGTCTGCCAGGCATCCCACTTTATCCACGACAAGCTCACCCAAAGGACGGAATTTTGGATTGAGGTCAAGTCATCAACCCCACCAACGCCTAGGGTGATGTGACTTGCGAGTTGACAACTGCGCACACGTACCCGACCTCAAGCTCGACAGCTTGCAACATATCAATTGTCCATCTTGCCGAATTCCTCGGGCGGACAATTTACAGCTTTGACCCCCTATCGTGACGAGTTCATCCTGTTCCTACCTGGGCCAGCAGAATTGCGAGCCTAATTGACCATCATGGACATCACCAACTTCGTCGTGTCCGCCAGGAACCAGGCGCTCCTCTACGGAGATTACTCCACCTACCACAAGCAACTGGCGAAGAAGCTTTTGAGCTGTCGTAAGAGACTGAATATCTCAGTAAAGAGCCGTGGAAAGTTCAACAAGAAGGGCGACTACAGCGAAGTCACCTCTGAGCGCATTGCCGAGGATCATGCCTACCTACACCTCATCCTGCTAACAGCTGAGCGCGACTGGGCCCACGCCATGGAGCTGAAGGCTGTTCACTCGACAGATGCCAAGGGCATCGCCGGCCGGACCCGCATACACATCATCTCAAGACTCAACAAGGCAGCACGCATCGCCGATCGTCTTGTCGACTTGTTGTCCGCCAGCAGTGCCACGGGCGCCAATAATGTTGACCAGCTCGAAGCCAAGGCTTACGCCGCCCTGCTCAGGGGCGCTGAGAATTTTGAGAGACACAACTGGGAGCAATGTTTAAAGAGTTACGCGGTTGCGCGCATAATATATAGCGCCCTGAGCTCGGTCAAGAGTCCCGACACAGTCAAGGACTTACTATCCGAGACCATCGATCCATCCATCCGTTACGCTGCCTATCAGCTCAAGATTCCCCGGACACAAGCCATCCCGACAATTGCCAGGAAGGCTTTCCCATCAGATAGCGCACTGACAGAGCAAGTCAACACACTGGACTCGTCCCTACTGAAGCAGAGTGGTGCAGATGCGCAGAAGGATCAGGCTGGTGCTTCGAGCGCACCGCAGACAATCGATTGGAGATCGAGAAAGGTCAAAATTGAGGATGCTGCTATTGCTGTGGCTCTCGCATCAACCGAAGCTGCGACCGCGCGACTCGCCGAAAGACTGGCTTCGTCTGATGTCGTCCTACCCAAGGAAATGGCTGCAGCTTACGACGAAGTTCTCATTGCCAGTCAAGATGCTGCAGATGTGACCAAACATGCAATTGACGAGTTGAAGGAAGAAGGTGTGTCGCAAAACGACCCGCGGACACAAAGCCTGCAAATCACTAGAACGGCGGTCAACTACCAAATGATCAGCTGGAGAATCGGACGTAACCGTGTATTGAGCGGTGACCATGATGGCGCTTTGCTGGATTCTGCGCCCAACACGACCCGGAAGGCCAAGAAAGAGACAGAAAAGGAGGCAAGTGCTAAAAAACCAAAGCACGAAGCGCCGGGTCGACAGATTGCCCGCCTCAAGGAAAAGGTCGTTCTGTACGACGCAACACTGCAGAGTCTGGATTCCATCAAAGAACTACCTGGTGTCGCTGCAGACGAAGATCTCCAGAAACAGCTAGATGCGACCTACAAGTACTTTCATGCTCTAAAGTAAGCCTGAGAACTCCTCCTGGTGCATATATCACTTACTGACCACGTTACCAGATCCCTGTCCATAGCCCGGTCTCATTCGCTTGCAGGAAATTCTGTCAATGCATTGGCCCTGATCAAGTTTGCGCTCAATGAGTGCGAGCTCTCGGCGGCAGTCTTGGCCGATCAAATGTCAACCGCGGAAGATGGAGCACCACTGAATATCGAAGTTCGCAACAGTGATGTGCAATTCTTGTCCAACCTGTTGAAGGGTGAATTACAGCGCAGCCGGGCGCTTGTTGAGATCGACAACATCAAGGCGAAATCGCAGTCTACAGGGGCCAAGTCAAACCCTCCTCTGGTACACCGACTGTTTGAGTATCCGGCCGAAGGTGCTGATTTGGAAAACTTGGTTTCTTATCCACCAAAGATGGAGCCAATTCCTGTCAAGCCTCTGTTCTTTGATGTTGCCTGGAACTACATTGATTACCCAGGCCAGGCACCTGCTGCCGCTCCAAAACAGGAAGCACAAGAAACAGAGCAAGCAACTCCAAAGAAGAAGGGATGGTTTGGCTTTGGTCGTGGCTAAGAATTGCCTCGTAGTTCCAATTCAGTCTAGATATTAGCGGTCACGAGTCCAACAGGACATAATCAAACAACCAAAGCTTCAACCAATATAATTTATCAATCACAGTAGCCCTTCCTAGGTGAGTCAGTCTTTTAATAGCGTGCATGTGGCGTCCTTGATAGGGAGAGCAGCTTGAGGAATGGACAGTCTCAAGCAAATTGTCATCCCTAGCTAGAGTTTTGATAAACTCAAGGTTGTGGCATTTGACCATGTCTGCAAGCATAACCTCTACTACATGACATTGACGACACAACATGCGAGGCCACAGATCATCTAGCAGCACATCACGCTTAATTGATGGCGATACCCATTCTATCCCAACTACGCCAGCATGCGACGGAGAGGTAGACCTATCAGCCAGTTCGTCTACTCCTCCGACTTATGCCGAGAAAATCGACGCAGAGCAGGGCCCAAGGTGCAGTGAAAGCCCTGGAAAGCCCCTATCCACCATTCTCTTATGCTGGCTGGCTGTAATCGTGCTGGCGGGCATATTCGGCGGCTCCCTGAGCTGTGAACAAAAGCTTTTCGACTATGGCACTTACTACGGAGTTTTGGAGGACATGAAGACGATGCCAAATGCCAACTTGATCAACGAGAGCGAGCTTAATATGGAAACGCTCGTAGCTGCGGAGAGACCCGTTGTTCGCCAATACTATTTCGACATTAGCCATGCCCTCGCCGCCCCAGATGGCTTTCAGAAGCCCATGATTCTCGTGAATGGGCAATCGCCCGGCCCCTTGATCGAGGCCAACATTGGCGACACGATACGCGTACAAGTCAACAATATGATGACGAACCTCAGTACCACCATCCACTGGCATGGCATCAACCAGTATGGATCGGCATGGATGGATGGTGTCGCGGGTGTTTCTCAGTGCGGGATTCCGCCTGGGGAGAATTTTACATACGAATTTGTCGTCAAGAACCAAAGGGGAACATTCTGGTGGCATGCCCATCTAGGCGTGCAATATACAGATGGCGTTTACGGACCAATTGTCATTAGAGACCCAGATGAGAAGTTACCAAAAACGGATGGAGAGAGGATCATCTTTGTTGGGGACTTGTACCATACTTATGGATCTGTAGTGGGTTTTTATCCGAGATGGCCCTCGGAGCTACTCGCAGAATCATGCTGATCCCGGTGACAGCTACTTGCGAGTTACTTGAACTCTACCTCGAAATGGGTTCCCTACGAGTCTGGGGTTGAGCCACTGCCTGACAACATCCTCCTCAACGGACAACACACCTGCAATTGCTCTGTCACCTCGACGACATATCCGCCAGACCCAGCGATACCATTTTTAACCAATTGCACCAATGGACAGCTCTACCGTACCAGTGTTCAAAAGGACCAAAGAGTCCGTCTACGATTAATCAACAGTTCCTCGTTCCTAAGCTACTGGTTCAGCGTTGACAGCCATACGCTCTCGATTGTCGAGCTGGACGGCGTCGAGATTGAGCCCATCAGCGCGCGGGGCGTCTATCTCAACATTGGCCAGCGTGTGTCCGTTATTCTAGTAGCGGACCAGAGGTCGGGCAACTACTACATGCGAGCCACCCTGCCGCAGACTTGCTTCCTGCCGTATGCGCCGTACGTGTCTGCCGCGCTCGAGAGCACGGGATATGCTGCCCGAGGCATCCTATCGTATGCCGGCACCGATCCTGATGCTGAGCCTATAGGGATCAGGGGCAATGTCTCCAATCCGTACGGTGTCGAGAACAATGGTGTGAGAGGCGACGTATGGGAAGGGTGCGATGATATGCCGTTTGACATGCCCAAACCCATGAGGAAAATGGAGGCCATGGAGCTGGGAGAGAGAAATTATCACTACATTGAATACGCATTCAGACAAGCGCAAGATGTAAACCGAATCTTTATCAACAAGGTGAGTAGATTATACCGACATTTGTCCACCTTTTGCGGACAGTTCTTGGCCGCCTAGAGAGCCAACTGTTTTCGATACTCGAAAGACCATCCAGACTCATAATCACGACCACAAAGACCACAGCTAATATGTTGCGTTGACAAATTCTTCCAGACGGCGTACTCGCCTCTCGAACATAATGCCACGATATGGAAAGCAGTCGACCAGGACTTTGACGTGAGCAAGGAGGGCTCATATCACAGCTGGGACTTTGGCCTGAACCAGCAAGTCCTCCTCATCCCCGAGGCGGACAAGGGTGCTCAAATTGTCATCAACTCGAAAGATGTAATGGAACACCCCTGGCACATGCAGTATGTCCTTTTTATTTATTTGTCCTGCCCTAGTTCCCACCCTGCCACACACGCCATATCGACAAGCCAGCATTTGTGCCGCGAAGCTCGAACAACTTACCAGCCAAGATGAAAGAAGTAAGAGGACTAACAGTGAGACAAAACGAAAATAGCGGCCACACTTTTCAGATCGTAGGCTGGGGCCCGGGCGAATACGGCGCCCGTCCCGACAATGGCACCCGCTGGAACCTCGAGAACCCCATGCGGCGCGACACGGTGACGGTGCCGGCGCAGAGCCACGTGGTCCTGCGCTTCGCCGCCGATAACCCGGGCCTCTGGGCCCTGCACTGCCACGTCGCCTGGCACATGGAGGGCGGCATGCTCGTCTCCATGGCCGAGCGGCCCGCCGACCTTGCCGACATGGTCCGCGGGATGGATCCCCTTGTGCGCGAGCAGAGTATGGCTTTTTGTGGATGGGCCGGCTTGTCGTCTTGATACTGGTTTGTTGATGACGGGGGACCTTTCAAGCGATGTCGTCATGTGCTTGAAAGACACGGTATTTTACTGCCCTTCTTTTTTAGGATGCAAGGGAATGAAAGTTTACTATCTATAATGAAAGAATGTTCTTGCCCATTGCTATTACAGAGTTGATTGGCATGCTGACATTGCCCAATAGTGTACGTGAATCATGAAATTGGGAAATACATACACCAGTGATGGTACTGCTGCACCTTAAGATTATGAACAAAACTTGATAGTACTTTTGAGAGGGGATTCATTATTATCTTTTTGTGAATGCTATACGCCGCGCCCTTTATTTACACACAAGCTCGACCAGTGAGCCGCCCGTCCAGATGCTGCCATTCATATCATCAGAAACCGTGTTGGAGAAAAAATATCTTCCAACGGACAGGCAAAAAAGCTTTTTTGATGTCATCTCAGAACGCCCCCATCCAGTCCGCAATTTATCAACACATCATCTCCGGAAAACGTGGCTGAAACAAGAAGAGCGGCACTATGAGTACAGAAAAAAGTACAAAATATGAAGTGAGATGCTACTTTGCAACTCCCCACCTCATATGGTGGTATCTAAACAAGAAAGAAGAAAAAGTCTCATATGTTGGGTATTTTACGGCTTCTTCTCATCCTCAGGCTTGGCCTCGGAGCTCTCGCCACCCTCAGGAGCCTTGTGCATCTTGTCAAAGACCTTCAAGCTGGCCATGCGGAGGTCGTCGGTCTTCTCCTTGATCTCGGCGGCGGTGGCAGTGCCCTCGCCAGCCTGGCTCTTGCTAACGAACTCGCGGAGAGTGGTGATCTTCTCGCGGATGGCGTCAGCCTCGGCCTTGTCGAGTCTGTCGGCAAACTCGTTGAGGGCCTTCTCAGTATCGTTCAAGGCGCTGTCGGCGTGGTTGGCAGCCTCAATGGCAGCCTTGCGCTCCTTGTCGGCCTCGGCGTACTTCTCGGAGTCCTGAACCATCTGCTCAATCTCAGACTCGGAAAGACCAGAGCCGGAAGCAATAGTGATGGACTGGTCCTTGTTGGTGGACTTGTCCTTGGCGTGGACGTGGACAATGGAGTCGGCGTCAATGTCGAAGGTGACCTCAACCTGGGGGACACCACGGTGAGCCGGGGGGATACCGACGAGCTGGAAGTTACCCAACAGCTTGTTGTCCTTGACGAGCTCACGCTCACCCTGGTAGACCTTGATCTCGACGGCAGTCTGGAAGTCGGCGGCGGTCGAGAAGACCTGGGACTTCTTGGTGGGGATGGTGGTGTTGCGGTTAATCAGACGGGTGAAGACACCACCGAGAGTCTCAATACCGAGGGACAGAGGAGTGACATCAAGGAGCAGAAGGTCCTTGACCTCACCAGACAGAACAGCACCCTGGATGGCAGCACCAATGGCAACAGCCTCGTCAGGGTTGACGGACTTGGCGGGGTCACGGCCGAAGATGCTCTTGACGGACTCGGAAACCTTGGGCATACGGGTCATACCACCAACCAGGATAACCTCCTGGATGTCCTTGGCCTGAAGGCCGGCATCCTTAAGGGCCTTGCGAACGGGCTCAATGGTCTTGGTGATGAGGGGGTCCATCATGCGCTCAAGCTCAGCACGGGTCATCTTGGTGTTGATGTGCTTGGGGCCGGAGGCATCGGCAGTGATGAAAGGAAGCGAGATGTCGGTCTGGAGGGAGGAGGAAAGCTCAATCTTGGCCTTCTCAGCAGCCTCACGGATTCTCTGAATAGCCATGCGGTCGCTGGACAGGTCAATGCCAGAGTCCTTCTTGAAGGTGTCAACCAGGTGGCGAACCAGGCGAATATCGAAGTCCTCACCACCCAAGTGGGTGTCACCGTTGGTAGACTTGACCTCAAAGACACCATTCTGGATCTCGAGAACGGAGATATCGAAAGTACCACCACCAAGATCGTAGACAGCGACGACGCGGTCGGCCTCCTTCTCAAGACCGTAGGCGAGAGCGGCAGCAGTAGGCTCGTTGACAACACGGAGAACGTTCAAACCAGAGATCTGACCGGCATCCTTGGTGGCTTGACGTTGCGAGTCGTTGAAGTAAGCAGGGACAGTGACGACGGCGTTCTTGACAGGCTTGCTCAGGTAGGCCTCGGCAGTCTCCTTCATCTTGTTGAGCACGAAACCACCGACTTGCGAGGGAGAGTACTTCTGGCCACGAGCCTCAACCCAGGCATCGCCGTTGGTGTGCTGGACAATCTTGTAGGGAACTTCCTTAATGTCACGCTGGACCTCAGCGTCGGTGAACTTTCTTCCGATCAAACGCTTGGTAGCGAAGAGTGTGTTCTCAGGGTTGACAACGGCTTGACGCTTGGCGGCGACACCGACTAACCGCTCGCCATCCTGGGCAAAAGCGACTACTGATGGGGTTGTTCTGGCACCTGCGCAAAGAAAGATTGTGAGCAAATTGTCGTGTCTTGAGGGAGACTTGAGCATGAATCTAACTTACCTTCGGAGTTCTCAATGATCTTGGGGATCTTGCCCTCCATGATGGCAACAGCAGAGTTGGTAGTACCCAGATCAATACCGATCACGGCACCCTGGACCTTTCCCTCTGTCGACTCGTAACGAGCAAAGCTGGAGCCGAGAGGCTTGCGCATCGGCGCAGCCCATCGTGCTGCCGATGGGGTTGCTCGGGGAAGCTATGAAGAAGATGAAGTTAGCCAAGATGTACACTCGATATGTGTTATTGTGGTCTAGACATTTTTCACAGCACATGTCCAACTGATTGGAGATGATGCGAAAGACGTCAATGAAGGTAAAGGCGACTTACAGCTCTGGAAAAACGCGCGGCCAGCATGTTGACGGCGTTTGTGTGTGTGGTTTTAAATTACAAAGAGAGATGTGAAAACAAGTCTCGGGGAAGAAAAAGAATACGCGATAGGAAGGAACAGAGAGAGGGATGTAGTTTTACAGAGGAGGTTGTTTATTGAGAAAAATGGGTGTAATGGATCGGAGTGACGAGGAGGACTCTGATTATGTAGAAGGACTCCGGGTTGAACTGAAGAAAATTTCTACTAGAAATTTTGGAGATGCAGCACGGGCCACAAGCCGCCATCTTGGTGCTGGGCCCGGACTGGCGCTAGACACTGTAGCTCCTCGCCTGATTCTACAGTTTTCCATCTGCCACGGAATGGGGCCCCAGTTGGTTTTCTTACCAGCCAAAAAAGCCAGCACCCAGCCAGCAGCTTGCCCAGCTTCTACAGGGGACCTCGGGTCGACGCGGGAGACGGGGCGGCAATACCGGGCACTGGTCAACTCAGTTGGTCGAGAATCCGCCATCATATTCGCACCATGAAAATGCGCGTATGCATGCACATACTAGGTACCGGCCTACGCGACTCTGCTCTTTTTTTCTCGACCTTTGGACCGTGGTCGTGTTTTCTAGATGGTGCAAGAGACAATGGTGACGTGCTATACTGTATACAATATGCGTGCCAATTCTTGCATGAGCTGCTGCATGAACATTGTTTGGCTATGCAACTGTTCACAGTCCGAACGAGCAGCGCGCCATTAATTGGGTGCATTCGCTGCTCTGATCTGTATCCTACCCGTCCATCGGATTCCATCCCGAGAACGTTTATCGATATGACTACATGCATGTGGATTTCCAACTCGAGCAAGTAGAAACTGGGGCCCTTGGTTTTTAGAGTGCTAGGTAATAGGTAAGCAGGCTCATGAACTTTTAGTGGTACCGAAAGTGGTACCCTGAGCCGACAGCGGATCTCTCTTGACTCTTGATGGACTTGCCGCATTCCAACCTTCATTCTCAGTGCTGCCTGTCTGCCAGCACTGAGTCGCACATCATGTTGTGACTGTGTCTCCCTAGCTTCAGCCACGACTTGTGTGTTCAAGGTGCCAACAAGCCACAACTAACCGACAAAGCTACTAATAAGGTTAGAGTCTTGTATGGCTGCTACTCGTGGTTCACTTGAGAACCTTCGGGATTCGTTTCGTACCCTTTCGAAACAAGAATATGTATGTGCAAGTTTGTTGCCAACATCTCCTCTCATTCTGCCTCAGTCAAAACCAGTATCTGAAATTGGACAAGATAATCACATTCGAGGCAAAGGCCAAGCTCTATTGCTAGTCACAGGGAGCAATAGGCACAGCATCCAATGGTATCTATTATAGTCATTTCAACCACCAATAATGCACATGTAAAAGAGAGCGTCTGCTTACTAGCTGACTTGTCAATATGAACCTCATGCTTCACCATGAATCCGTTGGTGATTTACGTTTGTGCATTTTGAAACTTGCTGAAAGGTCTTGACAATGAATGATTCAACCCCACGCTAGATCCCTGCTAGCAATTATTCTTTTTGATGCTGGCTTCCGGTTCAATGTTGACTCTGTTGTAATCGCAATCAATTATTTAGGCTGGATGCGATTGGCGCTACCGTGCGTTTCCAACTTAGGACGTCATAAGCTCTCACCTCTCTTCAACCTACGTACCTACCTACACCTTGAAGAAGATCTGAACCCACGACAATCTTTGTTGGAATTCGCTATTCTGCATACTTAAACGAGCCTGTTTGGCCACTGCCGCCAAGTGCTTGCAGTACTAGACGGCCGCTTTGACTGGCGCTGGCGACAAAAATCAGCTCTCCCTGTTTGCGCCTCAATCTGCTGTCAAAGCTGCATCGCCACCTTTCTCAAGCTCACGACCTCCCATCCTTTACCTCCTTTCAGCCTTCCTTTGACACCACCAAAAAGGTTGCTGTGCGCTTCCCATCACCCACACGACTTGATGATCACACACTATTCGATTGACCATCGCCATTGCCCGGCAAAATGGTCCTCTCGTCCAAGGACAAGTACGTACTGACTGCCCCCATTGATCTCGGACGTCAATTCACTGTTTCTGTCTACGGCATGCACATTGCTGACCATTTTTCACACAGCTGCTGGCCAAGCGAGAATCTGATTCTCAAATCTGGGCGCAAGCATTATCGCACAAACATCGCCCCATGGTATGCTAAACCCTCAAATGTCCTGCACTTCTCCAGCTTCGCAATGACTAATCCGCGGCTGACAGGCATTGGCAATTGCGCTCCTTGATCAGCGCCGAAGGCAACGGCACCCTCTACTTTCCGACTGGCTCCGAGAATAATCACATTACACGACTTGCCACGGATACTTGCGAATCCGAGACTATCCACGTCCTGGGCTTTCCCCCTCGATGCTTGGCGGCCCAGAGTGGCTGGGTTTGCTGCGGCGGCGAGTATGGAGAGTTTGCCGTCATCAAGGATGCCAATCAGCATGGAGGCGACGGCAATAGGACTCGCACAAACGTCGACGATGCCCTCAGTAGCAATTTTCAGTCCCAGCTTCGCTCTCTCGAATCCCCCCCGGGAAATGATACCTCTCTGAGCTCGTCCTTCAGCAGAGATATGTTCAATCTGCTGGAGCAGAGACTCAACGGTCCGGCCAAGTCGTGGACTTCATCAAGTCACAAGTACGGCTCTGAGCGCGTCAACTGTATTACAATATGGGAACCACCCGGGGCAACCTCGTTATTTCCGGCACGAGCCGGCCATTACGGCACGACTGTCGCTGTGTTGTCTAATAACGATAAAACCGTCACAATGGTGGGCTTGCAAGAATCCGAGTTTCTCGACGAAATTAAGCTTCCCGACTGTGTGAACCGCAGCCTGATATCACCAGACGGCACTTTGCTGGCCAGTATCTGTGATGACCCGTTTCTCTACCTGCACACACGGAAGGCTACCAACGGCAAGATTGGAGATGCCTACGAATGGAAATCGCTACCCCGAGTTCGTCTCGAGTCACCGGCAAAAGATGCGCGAGATGACTGCAGGGGTTCTTTTGCGGCTTCGTTCTCACCCTCTGGACGATATCTAGCAGTCGGCATCCAGAATGGCACCATCAAAGTATTCGATACTGCAGCTCTGCAAATAGCAGACACAGATGCTCTTGTCGCCTCATTCACCACAAGTCGGCATCCCGAGGTTCACGGTGCCGTACGAGACATGGCTTTTTGCCCTGGCCCGTACGACCTGCTGGCGTGGACTGAACACCGTGGGCGCATTGGTGTTGCCGACGCACGTACTAATTTTGCTCAAAGGCAGACAATAATTCTCGATCAAAAGGCCGATTTTGAACATCTTTCACTGACAGACAGAAGTACAATCGACCCTCGCTTACTAGATCAGAGAAATGAGCGCAGCTCGCGGGCAGGAAGCACTTTGCATCTTGCACGATTACTTAGTCAGGCAAATTCGCCACAACCACCACACGCATCAACAAATGTGGATATCACCAGCCGTGTGAACCGCCCGTTCTCGCCTGAAGAAACGGCCATACTAGACGCAGTGTCCAACGAACGTCGGCGCCGTGAGGCTCGAGATACGCGAGATGCGAGAGACCTCATCGCTGAGGATCTGCGAGCAAGTACTTCTTGGAGGCCCCACGTGTGGGCAGAACGTGTAAGTCTGCTGTTGGGACCATTGTCAGAAGATTCAAGTCTCTATGATCATATACGAGCAGCTGCCTTGAACCAAGCAAGTATCTTGGATCGTGCGCAAACCCCTCCGACCCCAGGAAGTTTCTTGGTTCTAGCTTGTGCCATTTCAAGAGAAACAAACGGAGGGGAGTTAAGCAGAGAAATAACTAGAGAATCAAGACGAGTAGCGAGAAGATCAGGAAGAAGATCCACAGCAATGGGAGATAGAAATGAAGCAAGTGCCACTGTGTTGGGTCGTGCAGAAGCACATCTGCTCCGATCAGGTCTCTTTGAACAAACCAGCGCCATTATACGATGGGGCATAATCTTGGATCGTAGAGAAGTACCATCGCTCCAAGCAAGTCGCTCGGAGAACACACAACCTCCGAACCCAACTCCAGTCGCCAGGCACATTTCAGTCAATGAGCTCACCAGACTTTCACAGCGCGAAACCCTTGCTCGCATACTCGATCGCGACCGACGGGAGTCGCACCGCCCAGCTGGTGTTCAGACCTCATCAGAGCAGGAGCGCGAACGTCGTGCTCCGACCCCGCGCAGAAGGACCTCCATCATGCAGGCAATCAGCCAAGAGACCGACCGCATGGCTGGAGTGGCACCGCCGACGTTGAACCGTATGCAGTCTTCTGGCAATAACGAGCAGTCAAACTCGCCACCTGACTCCCCATCGCCCCTAGTAGCAGACTCGGGTGTCCCGCAGCCCTTTATTCCGGGACGACTAACATCTGGATGGGCAGACTTGGAGGCTCTATACAACATTACTGGCAACGACGAAACTCCTGGACTTGAGAGTATTCGAGTGCCACCCAGTCGCACGCGCCGGGCAATTCCTGTGATCAACGATGGTTGGAATGACGAGCTTACCGGATTTGGAACCCGGAGAAGCTACCCAAATCCAAGACTGAGCAGCCGTGACCATACCCAGAATCCCGATGACACGGCAGGATTGACATGGAGCGAAGACGGACAGACACTGTAAGTGCATATTCAACCCAAAACCAATTATCAGTCTGGGACCATGACTAATAATGATATCTACAGATGGGTTGGTGCTGAGGATGGCGTCTACGAATTCAAGGTGAATCTACTTGGACGCAAGGTCTTTCCTGAAATCCAACTACGCTGAATGGTGAAGCTTGAGAGAGTTGTTAGCAGTTGCGTGTGCAACAATGTGCATCTTGGCATCTGGCGTTTGGAGTATGAATGGCATCAATCAGGGCGGTTCCTTCTTTTTTGCGAGCACTTCGAGATGGTCTCTCTCCCTTTGGCGACTTGGCGTTTTGCGATACCTGGTTTGAAAAAAAAGTTCTCCTACCGAGCCGTAAGCTTGATCGGGCGGTTGTGTAGCGTCTGACGACGTTGCTATGCTTGTAAATACTTAGGTAGTGCAGTCCTGGTACACAGTAATGTCTCATGAAATTGAGAAGTCAGAACTAAAGAAGGACAATGGATTGGCCCTAAAAAGTAATGTCTGTGTCCGAAGTATAACTAGTTATCTCCGATGACCGGGATCACGTCATTGGACGATTGTGACGATTGCACTGTCCAGAAACGACTATAACGGAGACCTTTTTTTGGGGCACTAATACAAAATAAATACTCGATTTTCCCTTTTTCTTCTTTTCTAGCAGGTCAATCAACGATGCTGGGAGGAAGTTTGCGTCGCCAGTTGCTTTGCAACGCCCAAACTCGGATCTGGAGATCCTTTTCCAGCACTTCGCCAGCAAGGGCAGATTTCACCCATGTTGTAAGTGCCTTTTGCCTTGTATCCGGCAAATATCGAGGGTCTCAGGGGGTTGCGAGATAAGCTTGATCTATCGCCATTCCCTGGGACTGGAGTTTACATGCTATTTAAAAATTTAGGGGCTCGTGGCTAGACTTGATCTTTGAGCTGTTTATCAAATTCATGTGCTGACAGAAATTATCATAGGTGATTGGCGGTGGCGTGGTCGGCTTGGCCGTATCACAGCGCTTGGCGGCAGCGCATCCCGCGAGCACAACGTTGCTGCTGGAGAGACACGGGCACGTGGGCACCGAGACGTCGTCGCGCAACAGCGAAGTCATCCACGCGGGTCTGTACTACGGGGCCACGTCGCTCAAGACGCGGCTCTGCGTGCGCGGCAAGGAGCAGCTCTACGCCTTTTGCGAACAGCACGCCGTGCCCCATCGCCGCACCGGCAAGTGGATCGTCGCCCAGACCGACGACGAGCGCGACGCCCTCGAGCGCCTGCACGTCTTTGCCCGCGACGAGATTGGCGTCCCGACGCGCTGGATCGACGAGGAGGAGCGCCGGCGCGAGGATCCCGAGGTCACGGGCCGCACCGGCATTCTCGAGAGCCCCACCTCGGGTATCGTCGACTCGCATTCGCTGATGCTGGCTCTGCACGGCTTGTTTGAGGAGCAAGGCGGCGTGACAGCGCTCAACTCGAACGTGACGGCCATTGAGCCGCTGAGCGGCAGCGGGGGCAAGCCCGGCAGTGGAGGCTGGCGGATTACGGTGAGAGACAGCGACACGGGTGAGGAGAGCTCCATCGAGACCGAGACATTGGTCAATTGCGCAGGCCTGGGCGCCGCCGACGTGCACAACATGATTGCGCCGCCGGAGCAGCACACGCGGCTCTACTATGCCAAGGGCAACTACTTTTCCTACGCCGCTTCGCACCCCCGGGTCAAGCGCCTCGTCTATCCCATGACTATGCCGGGCGCGGGCGGCCTTGGCACCCACCTGACCCTCGACATGGCGGGCCGCGTCCGCTTCGGCCCCGACGTGGAATGGGTCGAGGACCCGACGGACCTCCAGGTCAGCGCCGCCCGCCTGGCCCCCGCCGTCGAGGCCATCCACCGCTACCTACCCAATGTGGACGTGAGCGCGCTGGCAGCCGACTACGCGGGCATCCGGCCCAAGCTCGGCAAGGCGGGCGCCGTGGGCCAGGGCAAAGGGTTCTACGATTTCCACATCAAGAAAGAAGACGGCTTTGAGGGCTGGGTTAACCTCTTGGCTATTGAGAGTCCCGGGCTGACGAGTAGTCTGGCTATTGGAGATTTGGTTGAACAGCTCATGTATGGTAGCACGACGCCAGAGTCATAAAGACTGGTGCTGCGGTAGAATAAATTAATAAGAACTTGATACCTCCAGTTGTTCCTCGTCGCTAGATCGGAGAATGTTGACTTATAGCCGGACCTACCACGGAGATCCGAAGCTAGGCCACGTAAATGCTATGAAACTGGTTCCCTTGGCCATGACACTCTTAGAGCAATGTAATTCTTATGCATTCGATACGGGAGGCTAATATGGAGAGGCCGACTGATACGATTTATGGTAGCAATGCTGGTCAAATTGTCTGTTAAAAACGAAGATCTCTAGAATTTCTACTTGCTGCCAATATAGCTCAGCTGCATACCACTCACGGCCTGATGACAAACCCTTTGGTTCAACTGGCGGAATCAACATGGATCGGGAATAACTCGTAAATGGACGGCTGCTCGTAGCATTTCAAAAGCGTGCGGAACTCTGGTCCGAACCAGCTTTGTTGCGGTGAAGCGAGTTGAGATGCAATTTAAACTTCGCTGGTCGATCCGCCGAGGACCCGAAGAGAAAAAAGAGACTATAGCTTTTTCTTAGTGCCAGTCAGCAGCAGCATGGAGAAAGTTGTACCATGGGCAGCTAGCTGTCTGGGGTGTCATTCTTCTTATAGCTGAATCATGTTGCATATATATATCTACTCTTTGCCAGCCATGACTTCAACCCAAGGATTTTCGGAACAAAGGAAAGACAGGCCAGGCTGGGTTTCCGAGAAACCGAATGAAAACGTTTTGATGCAACATGCATTTATAAACTCGACGACGACTTCTTTTACATTAGTAGCGTCTTGGCTTTATCTAGTAGCGAGAACGTGGACTGTAACCCCCCTGAAATTAATCCATTTTCTCGTTTCCTGTTCCCCCGCAATATTTGTCTCTCCCCCGCAGATCATCGTCATCCCTTTCCCCCCCGGAAGAAATAGTACCAGGATCTCTTTGGGAAATTTCTCCATCCAAAGGTTTACCCCAGCTTTCTTTTTGAGATGAGCAAGGGGTGGTGGATTAGCTGGTTCGCCCACCGGATCCCCCGATTCTGGGGGAGAGAATTGGGGTAAAATGCTGGGGTAAAAGATTAAAAGATGCAACGGCCTACTGCGTCAATACAAAATGCGTATGCTATACGGCCCACGACTGCTTTTGGAGATTTCTTGGCTCAGGAGGTCTTCTTCCGTCGAATTTCTTTTTTCTGATTTTCACTTTGTTTTCTTGGGACTCGGAAAGGAAACGTCTCGTCTCACAAGGTCTATTCGAGGATGCGCAGTCTCTTGTTATCTGCGGCCCTTGCGCCGGCTGCCGTGTTGGCGGCACTCAACGCAACCGAAACCTCGTCCGAGTTGATCATTGCCAACAGTCGTCTCTACGCGAGCGTGAACAAGTCGACCGGTTCCGTCGAGACCTTGACTCTGGATGGGCAGAATTGTAAGTCTGACAATTCAATGTGTCGTTTATTCAAAGAGTTCTTTGGACCAGAGGCATTATCTCGTGCAACATCTCAAACGACGTGGTCGACTTGTAGTGATTATTGCCTTGACAAGAAAGTCGTTTGCTAAGATTTATTTCTTATAGTACTCGGAACCAAGTCTGGTTCAACCGGTGTCGGCCCGTATCTGGACTGCTACTGTATACCCTCTGGTTTCTGGACTCCCGGCAGCGCATCACCCATCTACGAGCTTTACAATGGTACAGACTCGACCGGCACGCAGTATGGAGGTATCAAAATGTCGGATACATATCCAGGAACCGGCCAGGTACTGGAGACTTATTGGTTCCTCAGAGATGGGGAGACTGGCTGTAAGCAAATTTCTACTGTTTCTTGGAAAAATCCGAGAAGACAATTATCAACGTCTTGGGGAGATGGCTGACGGTTGAATTTTACAGTGCACATGTTTGAGAGGTTGGCATACTACAATGAGACCACGCCATTTCTGAGGAATCTACAAGGTAAGCAGTTGGCCTTGGGTGGTATGCCGTTTGCTTCTTGAAGATTCTTTATCGTTCTGTTCATGTTTCCATACCGCGAAGAATATAGCTGACATTTGACGGCGACCATTAGAGTTCCGGACACTGTTCCGACCCAATTCGGCAATCTGGACACACCTGCTCACAAACGAGGAGCAATGGGCGCCGCTGCCCAGTAAGGAGGCCATCGCCAATGAAGTGGTTGTTCGTAAGTCCCGTCCGACTCTTGATCTTTCCACGAGCAGCGGTCTCTGACCATGATGGACGGCATAGAGGACGCAACATGGTATCTCGGCAACACACCAAATGATGCCTATGTACAACAAGAAGCCGACTATTTCACAAAGTACACATTCTCGGATACGTGGAGGAACAATGATGTCCATGGCCAGTGAGTCTTGTTGGAATGTCCGATCTGTACGAGAAGGTATGACTAAACATTTATACTTAGGTTCGCCGATGGAACGCAGACTTCGGACAACTCGACGTACGGCTCTTGGCTCGTCATGAATACCAAGGACACCTATTTCGGTGGGCCCTTGCATTCTGACTTGATGGTGGATGGTATCGTGTACAATTATGTAGGTTCTCTTGCTTGCAAGGCTGAAGCGTAAACTCTGGCTAACAAGCGTCTAGATTGTCTCGAATCATCATGGTGACCAAACGGTAAGTGATGAACGACAATAATCTACCATGTCTTGGCATGCAAGACTGCCACTCGAATACACGGTGGAATGATATATACATTATGCTCTTGACTAATCATTTTGACAGCCAAACATTACAAATGGATTCGACCGAACATTTGGTCCGGCAAGTATTATTGCATACTTGAACATTTGAATAACATTGGTCCTAACGTCGAGCAGCATTACTACTACTTCAACCATCTCCCCGCTGGCACTACCATTCTCGAATCCCACGCCGATGCTCTACAGTATGCAAACGCGTCATGGAATGCCGAATTTTACGACTCAATCGCCCAGTACGTCCCCAACTATGTGCCATCCAGCGAGCGCGGCTCTTTCAAGGTAGAGGTATCCCTCCCCGACAATGCCGCCAACGCCATTGCGGTGCTCGCCCAAAACGCCATTGACTTCCAGGACAATGTCTTTGACGTCGACGCCTACCAGTACTGGGCCGAGATTGACGCCGCCAGCGGCACCGCCACCATCCCGCGGGTCAAGGCCGGGACGTACCGGCTCACCATTTACGCCGAGGGCGTGTTTGGCGATTTCGTACAGGACGACGTCGTGGTCACGGCCGGAGAGGAGCAGAGCGTCAGCGTGGCGTGGACCGAGGACGCCGACGGGACCGAGGTCTTCCGCATCGGCACGCCCGACAAGAGCTCGGGCGAGTACCGCCACGGCTACGCGCGCGACGCCACGCACCCGCGGCACCCCGAGGAGTACCGCATCTACTGGCCCGTGTACGACTTTGTCGACGAGTTCCCCGAGGGCGTGACGTACAAGGTGGGCGAGGGCAACGTCTCGACCGACCTCAACTATGTCCACTGGAGCGTGTTTGGCGGCTACGGCAACTCGATCCGCACCGAGCCCTATGCCGGCGACGGCAACGTCAATAACTGGACCATTGCCTTTGACTTTGACCAGTCGCAGTATCCGGACGCGACCGAGGGCACCTTTACCGTCCTCTTGGCCGGTGCCAAGACTGCTGCCGGTAACACCGACGTCTACAATGCCTCGGAGCCACATGCCAATCTCAAGTATACCGTCAATGTCAACGGGCAAGACTTGGAACCCTGGGTGATTCCGTAAGTTTTATATACAGGCAAGAGTATGGCTACTGTACTAAACAACGTCCCAGGTACTATCAAAGCAGCTCATGTGCCGTACGGTCCGCCGTCATTTGTTACAATGTCGGACACAAGTTCAAGTTTCCGAGTGACCTTCTCGTGACGGGAGAGAACACATTCATCCTGAGTCTCCCCTACAATGCCACAGATTATGTAAGTCCAAATAATCGCGTTCTCTCATTTGGATATGATGTGTCCATAACTAGCTTGTATAAGGACCGTGTTTGCTAACCACAAATACATACAGGAGAGCGCAGTCTTGACTACGACCGTTTACGTCCAGTATGATGCGTTGCGCTTAGAACTCAGCTAGTCATTTAGGGGTTATATAAGAACCATGTGATAATACAATATTCAATCATGAATTCGCGAGATACATGTTAGTTGTTATTGCGCCGTATCTGTTATATCCACACTATGAGCCTATTCACCCAGTGTGGAGCTTCATATTTTGGTCTGCTGGAGCAGTGGCCAGATACGACGATTGTATTTAAAAAATGATTTGAATTCAAGCGCTAATGCTATGTGACACGTATTATGATATGCGCCAATCTTGGAGAGATATCCTTCTATTCCATAGTCGTACAGCCAGAGACGCACCTAGCCGGTGCAACAAGGCAGGCTTTGAGTGCATTGCCTTCTGCTTTTGCTTCTAAAACCTCAGTACTCCCTCGTCTCCCCAATGCGCGAAACATCAAAGACGCCCTCCTCGGCAATACCCCGCCGCCGCAGCGCCTCCCGTAGCAGCCGCGGGGGCTCGCGCAGCTCCTCGAGGGTGAGGACAAACGTGCCCCAGTGAATACCGACGGCGCGGCGGCACTGGGTATCGCGAAACATCTCCACGGCGTCAAAGGGGTTCCCGTGGACGCCGGAGAAGGCGGCGCGCGGCGCGTAGGCGCCAATGGGGATGAGGCCGAGGTCAAAGGGGCCCCGCAGGCGGCCGATTTGCAGAAACTGCGGGTTCGTCGGCAGCTTGTCGTGCGGCGGCGCGTAGTCGTCCACGTCGGCGGGCAGGCGCGGCACCGAGCGGTAGCCCGTGTCGCCGAGGAAGAGCACGGATTTCTGCGTCGCCGGCGTCTCGGGGATGCCTGATGAGACTGCCCATGCGCACCACAGTGTGGCTATTGTGCCTCGAGTAAGTACATGGTCTACTCAAAGGTTGCGGAGCCTTGTGTAATGGGATCGGTGGGCTCAAAGTCCACCACAATGTCTTTCACCTTGTTTGACTCGGAAGAACCTTCTTGCTCCCAAGAACTTTGGGAGTTGGGACATGGTAAGAAATCACACGGAAATGACTTACTATCTCTATCAAAAGCGGTGCGGCCAGAACCGTGCTGACTGGGGAGACACGAGATGCGAGCTGTAATGGGTTTCGTCACAGCAGCAGCGTCCTTCTTCTCGTCCTCCTTGCCACCACCACCACCACCACCACCACTGACCGTCGTAGGATTGAGCGTCAGCTCCACGTCGTCCCACCAGTCGCACTCGGTCACATGGTCAGCCAGCCCGGTGCGCGCAAACCAGTCGCCGAGGCCGAGCCCGACGAAGAAGTGCGCCTGGGGGAACCGCTCGTGGATCTCGCGCACGCTGTCGACGCTCAGGTGGTCGTAGTGCGAGTGCGAGATGCAGACGGCGTCGACAAAGGGCAGGTCGGCAATCTGGCAACCCGGCGCCGTGTACCGCTTGAACAGCGAGTAGCTCACGGGCGCACAGTACTCGTCGAATATGGGGTCAAAGAGGACCCGCAGGCCCGAAGGAAACTCTACGTAGTAGGTGGCGTGACCCAGCCACGTTGCTCGCAACTTTGGCGACGTGTCCGCGGCACCAGTACCAGCAGAGGTTTCACTTTCTTCAGTCGCCAGTGGTGCTGTTGTTGTCGTCGTCCTGGTGGGTAGCAGATCTGGCTCCACCGCCTCCACGACCGACGAGTCTCCCTTGGGGAATGGGGAACGCCCAATCAAAGTCTTACTTTAAATGCTGTCAGTGACCCCTTCTGCAGTGTCCTACTTTCACTGCACGCCCGGCAGGGATGTGTGTGCTTTTTGTTTTATTTTTTTGGTGCTACATACAAAAGCGAAGGAAAGATAGTCCACGGGTCTGGTGGCTGAAAAGATTCATGCGGATTGCCAAACTTGGTCGGCCGGCCCGCGCTGTCCTTTTTGATGTGGTGCGTCTTCTTGTCCACATCGTCCGGCGCCGGGCCGAGCCTCTCGGGCTTTGTCACGGCTGGGGTGAACATGGCTGCAGGAAGTGCAGCAAGGGTCGACGATTGCAGTATACGACGAGCTGTGTGCCGGGTCGTGTTCGAGTTCGCGTAGTAGCCCTTGGATGAAGAGGAGCGCAGTAGCCAGGAACCTCGTCCAGTCAAGAGATGGAAAAGAGCACGCATTGGTGGCAGCAAACAGAAGAGAACACCCGGGGGAAAAGATCAAAGTGACATGGGAATCCTTTATGTACTTTTCTGCTTATCGTGTACAAAGGGACGTAACACAGTAAAGTCCTGCCAAGAGCAACCCCCCAAATATAATTTTTTATTTGTTAGACCCCAAAGTATCCGCAAAATGAGTTGGCCTCCGGACTTACCCAAAGACTCTCTCGCCTGGGGGTGGGCCAAACATGGATTCCGCGGGTTCGGTGGCAGGCGTGTTTTTATTTTAAACTTTTTCTTTTCAGATTACACAATGATTCATTGCAACGGGAAACCTGTCAAAATAGCGTCAAGACTACGAGTCTCTGTGGCTTTGAGACCCAACAAGGGCAACATCGGGGTTAAGACCATGGAGTTATGCATCGGGGGAATCGTAGTCCGCGAGTGTTGCGAGAACCCGAGATTCCAACTGCTTAGCGCAGCGCCTTGCCGTGGAATTATGCGAATGCGAGTCTTGTCGTCATGCTCACAGGTCGTGGTGCCAGGATAAGACCACCAGATAAGAAGCACTATAGCCGTATTGCTAAACATACAAGCATGGTTTTTATATCATGAATACCTTTGTATGTCTTGTAGTGACAAAATAGGCTGGATTTCAATCGCGAAAAATGATATAGTCGCAAGCGCCAGTCTGGTTGACAAGTCAGGTACCACAACTAGGCAAATATATGCGCGTTGCGTCTACTAAGCACCGAAGCTGACCAAGATGCCGGGATCAGCAGTCTTAAATCTGACACGTACAACAATATTTAAATGTTAGGTAGGTAGCCACTCAGTGTAAGCGCCTCGTCATTTCACTGCATTGCATACATGTATAACTACTGTACCTACCTCATATGGACCTGCGACCTACATGCATGCCGAATCTTGTATCAAACATGCACATTGCACTTTTGATTTTGAATCGATGCAGAACTCGCACCAGGAGCCAACTTGTATGATTCAAAGTCCAGCGTCTTCATAATATGCAACCGTTTCTATGATGATAATCCTATGATGGAAACCTCCATTGCTGGTTTATTTCTTGCCTATTTCCACTGACTTAATCCTGCCCATGGGTCCGATTGTTGCTGCTGCTGTGCGCTTCGGGGCGCTGTATTCTGTTGCTGTCCGTAATAATCTGCCTGTCCCTGTTGTCCTGGATAATGAACCGTCTGCTGCGGGCCCAACGGCGGCGGTCCAGGTGGCGGCGGCGGCGGAACGAATCCGATTGGCGCATATTGACCTTGAGACTGCTGCTGCTGATGTTGTTGTTGGTGCATTTGCGGGTTGCCGTAGGTGTTGTACGGTTGGCTCTGACCAAAACTAGTCTGTGTCGGTGGCGGAGATGCCGGTCCTCTCGCGCTCATTCCGAATGTTGTCTGGTTCGGCGGTGGCGATGTTGGACCTGGATTGCGACCCCAATTGCTGGGGTTGTAGGCTGCTTGTTGTCCATATGCTTGAACTTGTGGCTGTGGTGTAGATGTGAAGGAAGGATTCGGTGGTGGACTGGAAAATGTTGTATACGTCGATTGACTTGGTGGTGGCGAGGTGGTTTGATACTGGCCGTTGAAGGATGTTGTTGGGTAACGAGGTGTACTACTCTGCTGAGAATAAGGGCTTTGCGCCTGGGAAAAGTTCAACGGAGCTGGCGTCGGTCTTGTCGATCCCGGCTTGGGTGGCGGAGAAGTCGCCGGATCCATTGACATCCTCTCCATGAGACCGCGCAGCCTCTGTTGCTCTATTTCCGCTTGTTGACTCTTGTTCGCTGCCTTGTCCTGCTCAATCTGGTTGAGGAGATTGGCGCCCTCGGAACGGCGGTTATTGACAAACGTATCCACATTCTTTTCGAGGCTGTCCACAGTCTCCTTCATTTCTGAATACCATCTCTTGGCGCTCTGCAGGCCGGCCTCAAGATCTAGGAAATCTTGGTAGGCTCTCTTGTACCTATTCACTACCGTCGATCTTTGGCGCTGAATAGATTCGTATTTGCTCTGCTCAGCACGCACGCGCTTGTCTTGCAGCAAGTTGTTGAAGGTTGCAGTGAGCTCCTTCATCAAGGATGCTTGCTTATGATTGGCCTGCAGTAGACGATTTTGGTGCGGTCGGAATTTCTCCAATTCGGACTGAAAGAGCTGCTGTTCGTAGTTTGGTATAGACTTCTTATTCAAGATGAGAATTTGTGAGATGTCATCATTGTGCACCTAGAACAAGTCAGCATAGTCACATGCAACATGGCCGGGTTTTTCATCTTCACCTTATCCTTGAGATCTTTGAGCACTTGATTCCGCTCTCTCTTGATCAGATTGAGCTTCTTCAAGATCTCTTCGACTCGGTTGATCTGCTCCATCACGCTTGGGCTATCATCCCCAAAATCATCATCTAGCAAGGATGCTTCTCCACCTGCTGGACTCGTCGCGTTGCTCGACTTGGTCCGCACCTGACTGACAGCACGCTGGAACAGGGCATCCGCATCCCCCCTCTGTGCAGCTACGCGCATATCCTCGAAATCGTTCTCGTTTTGTCTGAGTTTGGCATACAGCTGCCCATCACTTCGGGAGGCTTCGTCCAGAGCCTCGCGGTAATTGCGAATGTTTCCCCTCAGCGTGGTTGTAAGTCTTGAGCTCGGTTGTTGCGTCCACTCGCTCTCATACTTGGACCTCATCTTTTCGCAAACGCTCTCCTCCATGTCAAGTTGTTTCGAGCTCCTGTCCAAGATGTTGATGATTGAATCCTTGTCTATCCGCAACGTGTCAAATATGGAAATCGGATTCTCGTGCCCTGCGACATCATCACACCACGTCCGGAAATCCTCATCGGGAAGAATATCTTGGTCGAAGCCACCCTTTAGTACCTGCAACGCACCAGGAAGACGTAGGTAGTCGAGACTAGCAGCCATCTCGCTGTTAGCCAGGTCGACTCTTTCCGACTCTGCTCGTATTAGTTTGGCCTTTTCCTCATCATATAGACTCGCGGATTCAGTAACTGCTAGAGGCACAATCTTGGCAAAAAGATCGGGCCCAGTGATGCGTTGGATATCTTGTCCGGCATACAATTCGCTGACAGGTATCGGTTTCGATGCCGGCAACTTGGGCACCGGTGCGAGACTGGCTTCAGCTGGTACTGGCTGATGGTAGATGTAGTCGTTGTCCTTGTTGAGCTCTTGGAGCTTTTCTTGAATTGTGGTGAGGTTTCGTTTCGTGATATCAGCTAAAAGGGCTCCAGTTTCTGCACTCAAGTTCGAACTAGGAGGCATGGTGCTAGGAAAGCTGGAAGCCACGCGATTCGCCTCTTTTGCTTGTCCTTCCGCTGCCTTGAGTCTTGCGACAGCTACTCCGTGCGAGTTTGCGTCCGTATCGGCAATGGCCTGATAGTACTGTGAAAGTGATGACAGCAAATTATATTTGATTTGAACAAACAGAAGCCAGACCTTTTCAAAGATGGCCTTGTTGACGTTCTCTTGTGTGCCCTCGACGGCTTGCGAGTAGAGATATGCTGCCTGGCTGGACAGCTTGGCCAGCATACCGACCTTTTTCTGGTCTGCCACTTGTTTTTCCAAGAAAACCTCTTGCGCCTGGGCGAGTGTGATAGCTATCAAGGTCTTGACAGTCTCGCGGCTCAAATCCGACGATGGCGCATGCAGGAAGTTTTCGTTGATGTAGGTGAACATGCCAGCAGAGGCTTGAAAGGAATGATAGGCAGCTTTGAGGCCCGACTCTTCTGACCTTGTCTGGTTTGCAGCATGACAAGATAGGACAGCAGAAATATTGAATATCACCGAGGCCTTTTCAAAGGCAAGCGAGTATTGCGCGGTGGATTTGTGCGTAAAAGCATCGAACCTGTCAACGACGTCAGTTCATCACGGTAGCATCAATTGCAAACTGATCGCCAAGTGCATACCATGTAAAAGATATCTTGATATGTTGCTCGTCAACGGGGAAGCGCAGGTCCAGCAATTCGAGCTGTCCATAGTATCGATACAGCAAGTCCCTTCCTGCAGTGCTGTCTTTGCCGGCACCTCTCATGTCCTGGCGCAAGCGGTTGAGCGTCGCGCATTCTTCTGCATATCGTTCCGGGTCGTCTCCATACGTGTCTCTGATATAGGATTTGAGAGGCGCGATCCAGTCAATCTCGTTCGTGGCCTTGAGCGGCACCGAAATCATTGGCGTTTGTGTCATGATGGGCAAAGCGGCCTAATTGTTCGAGATATCGCCCGTAGATGATCAGTTCCTGAGAACGCACTGCAAGACAGTGGCCTCTTGACAGGTCTTTGCAAGGAAGTGATGCTCTTGACTCTCCAGACTCCAACAAATAGTTGCGCTGTATGTCGTATTCGTTGGTTTGCTTATATTATGTCTTTGGCAAGGACCTTGTAGGGTAGGTAGGTAGAGAGTTGTTGGTATCGTGGGGCAATTGGGGGCGGGGTCTTCGGCGGTTACTCCGTTGACGAGAAAGTCAGTGGCAGCCCAACAAGCCAAAGCCAGTAGTAGCTCATGCACAGAGAGTACTCAGAGCACAGAGCGGAGGCAGCTTTTCAAGAGTCCACGTCGTTTCTTAGCTGTCGAGGCAAGGAATAGGCACCAGACCACTCGTGATCATGCTGCCGGTAAAACAAGCAGGTAGTGGTGAAGATGTCGAAATGGCGGGGAGTCAAGGTATGTAGTAGGTATGACGGCACGGTGGAGGGAAGCTGCTCTATTTTGGAAATTGGAGCACTGCTGAAGAATTGTTACCGGGGTATCTGTCGATGGCTTCGTCAGACCGCGGATGCATAAAAAGGCTCAAGTAGTACGCGGCGCGTCTGGAATAATGTAGGTGGAATGTTCCAGGCAGAAAAGAAACCAGGTGGCTGCGAGTTTCGGTACCTGGTAGTTGTCAAGATGTGTGTATGTGTGTATTGACCGACTTTAACTTGATAGCTCGAAGTTAAGGTAGCTAGCCGCCGAGCAACCTGGGTTGATCGTTAGTTGGCGGCCTATTAAGAATGTAGTACAGAGTACTCCGTACCTGGTGTCGAAGCAGATCATTGATCCGCCAAAAGCTCCCACGCCTAACAACCTTTGAACCCACTGGATATATCCCAGCCCAGAAGGGTCGGCGGGGTCTTCCTTGCCTGATGCCACTGAATGCCACATGTCGTTTCCAGCCATTAGTACAAAATTGGATTCTGTCACTGGGTTTCGAATACACTGATCAAAAGTCATGTTATCAGCGCAGGTTTGGCGATTACTGGAGGATCCTTGCTCTGTTCCAATGATCTCATCTATAATGGTAAGGCAGGCAAAGCAGTAGTGCTGCCCGGGTTGAGGTTGCCTACATTCTCTATCTAGATGTACCAAAAATCTTGGGTACCGGCCGGGTTGGGCAGTATTCTGCACCACCGACCCATGGAAGAAGAATATGAATCCCGGTCAGTCAGGCAACTTCAAGTGTGTGATATCAACCTCCAACCTGTGATAATGCAACGCGCGCCGAAAAGACCTGGAGGGCACTCGCTCTCCCAGTGGATTACATAGTTCCAGTCAAATGTGCCGAACCCCCCAAGCCAACATGAACAACCAGTCCCAGTCGTTCCAGATCACTGGAGCCGCGCATTGATACACGACATACTGCTATATGCAGCCACACTATTCCATTCAAGATGCCCAAAACCGGTTGTCCATTCCTGATTCGCCAGTCCCTGGAATCGCACCTTTTACGATCCGGCGGCTATCCTACAAGACCCCTCTGGGCTAAAACTGTGCAAGGCCCGGGGCGGGGGGTCATGCGCTTCGACTGTTCAATGTTGCATAAACCTATCCCGGGTACGCATGGAAAGACCCAATGGTGCCTGCGGAATCGGCATTAGACCCAACGATGGCTCGTTCTGCGGTCGTCTCAATCGACGGCAATTTGGCTTGTCGTCGGGACATGCCCGCCATCCTGTTCCCCAATTTGATGCGACTTTGACAAGACTGCGTATGTAGGTACACTGGTAATGAGACTAAGATCAAATTGAGTGCCATCAATTTTCGCTAGATGCGTTATCAACATGAAGACAAATTACATGCATATATATTTACAACACTTCGAGGTCAATCCGGATAACGTGATTCGTCTCTGATTGAGGAGAGATGCTGTGTGGATCATTCAACGTCTTTCTTTCCCCCGGTAATGTACATGATAGACCAAATAGAACAATGTGCGCTGCGCAGCGTTTCGATGCTGCTCACAGGCTATTTAGAACTCCTATTTTCCTCGAACACGCCGCCCAATGCAAACCACAACGTCGGTCTATATCTCTAGATTTCATAGTGTCCGTTACACCGTATGGTACAATTCTTGGCATGAGACGTCTTTGCCCGCATGTTTGATGTCGGACTAGCCCGAGCCCGAACCAGACTCCTTCTTCGACTCTTCATCGGATTTCTTCTCAGCGGCTCCGTCAGTCTTTTGGTTGGAGCCGGAGGCCTTTTGCTCCGACTGGTTTTGATGGGCAGGGTGATTGGTCAAGTTGTGCCAGATCGACTTTAGGAAACCCTCATTCTTGTGTGAAGCAGGGTCATCGTCTTTGGAAGGGTTGGGTGACGGGTTGGAACTATCCGAAAAGTTAGCTTAAAGGACGAGGGACTATGTCTTTTCCGGCGTGCAAACTTACTCGGGCATCTTGACGTTCATAATCCGCTTGGCCGTCTTGTCGCCCATCTCATCCGCCAGCATTTCTACAATGGTTCGCTGGTTTGCCGACAAGTACTTTGGCATGGCCACTCTGAACTCGACTTTCAGGTCTCCAGAGCCGCCCCGACGCCCATTGAGCTTCTTCATTCCCATTCCGCCCAGGGTAATCTTGTCTCCAGTGTTGGTGCCGGTATTAATCTTGACCGCCACCTCGCCATCTAGTGTCGGTATCACTACCTCACCACCAAGCAGAGCTGTCGTCAGGGGAAGACTTGCAGTATAGAGAATGTCGGAGCCGCTGCGCTTGAACTTGGGGTCGGCAGCCACACGAACCAAGACATACAAATCTCCCCGGGCGGTACGAGCGTTGGGTGGTGCTCCGTCACCAAGAGCGGGCGAGTCGCCCTCGCCGTCCACTCTCAGCCGCATTCCGTCCTCGATGCCTCCCGGGATATCCACCGTGATAGTCTTGCGGTCCCGTACAACTCCGTTGCCGCTACATGTCCGGCACTCAGACCCTCGGGGTGTGGTCTGGCCCGAGCCCTTGCACGAGGAACAGGTTGACGCCATCTGGAAACCACCAGTCAAGAAGTGCATTTCTGTTCCAGTGCCGCCGCAGGACTTGCACTCGGTTCGTTTCGTGCCAGTCTTTAAGCCGCTTCCAGAACAAGTACCGCAAGGAACTGTAGGGTGTATCGTGATCGTCTTCTGTGTGCCTTTCGCTGCCTCCATAAACGATATGCTGGTTTGAACCTCGATATTCTCTCCGACCAGAATCTCCTGCTGGAAAGGGCTCCTGCCACGTCGGCCGCCTCCACCGCCGCCAAAGGGGTTCGCCCCGCCGGTGAAGTGGGAAAAGAGGTCGTCGAGGTTGATATTGGCGCCAAAGCCTCCCTGACCGCCAAATCCTCCACTGAAGCCCGAGAAGGGACCGCCGGCACCGAAACCGCCGCCGCCGCCAAAGCCACCAGCTTGCGGCTCGCCATTTGAGTCGAAACCTGCAGCGCCGAATTGATCAAACTGTTCCTTCTTCTTTGGGTCTGACAATATCTCGTATGCGGATTGGATTTCGCCAAACTTGTCCTTTGCGCCAGCATCCTTATTGGTATCGGGGTGATATTTTTTCGCCAAGCCGTAGTATGCTTTCTTGATCTCTGCTGGAGTAGCTCCCTTGGCCACACCAAGTGTCTTGTAGGGGTCACGTACGGCCGCAAAAGTGTTGGGCGTAGCACGGAAAGACTATAGATTGATTGTACATGTTAGCATGAGAGTAGAGAGATATGAAGACGTCAAGGCACTCACCCTTCTCTGGACTTGCGGTGCACACGATGGTTTTGCTGTGCATTCACTTGGTCTCCGGGCCGCGTAGACCAGTGTCCTTGTCGGTGCACGTTTTCGTAGACTCTCGCGCAATTTTTGTCTTCGGTATATCTGGGCAGGCGAGAGCCATCGCGACGGGAGCGCGGCCTTGGTTACGATAGTGGAATTCATCTTTTCTTTCAATCAAGACATGTGCTCATGGATACAAAATAGAGCAATGGTGTATTATGATCAGCTGGAGCACTTCAGGGTGCGAGAAGAGAAAAAAAAAATCACATGCGCGCCAGCATTGAACGAACTACAAAGATGCGAATGATGGGGTTTGACGACATTAATCTTGAAGCGACTGGAATCATCCAAAAACTTTTTGGGGTAGCCGTCGTCTGCCGAGCTAACGTTTGCTGCACGCCAATCGGCGTCAACGTAATTGCTCAAGACTATGGAGCTTTGGAGCTTTTTCTTGCTGCCTGAGGCAAGAAGAAAAAAAGCCCCAGTCAACCAGTTGCTTAAAGTGGTTTTGGCAATGTACAGGTTGTTGCTGCTAATTAATTAGTGGGACAGAAGAAGGCGCGTGTCGAAGTCATGTCCCGCGTAGCGGCATCGGGAGCGAACCGCTGTTAAGCTCCGATTATTTGTACCTACTCCACAAGTGCGTGGGAAGTGGGTGATGACCGGCGCAATCGACTGACCAGCCGATAGCGATCCTGCGCGTGCGTGATGGGAAACAAATGCATAACTGATGATATTGTACGTACTTTTCCATGAAATTAACCGCCAAAAGATGTAATTATGACTCGGTTATTTTTTATCAGCTCCTGTAATAGAGCGAACCAATGCCGTGATCCCATTGAGCCATTGAAGATAATGCTCCCACCTGTTACGCCATGCCCCGAAAAACTCCCAATCCCAATGCGCAATAGGAAAAAAAAAATATCGACAACCGGGTATCAAACAATGCCATACCACCGCATATCTACCATTCCAATCTGCTAAACCATGCCAAGTAGTAGTCAAGGCATGGGAGATGCATGTGGCAGATTTTTGTCCCGTCGAGGCCTGGTGACGCCTGGATTTTTCACCTTGTGCAGAAAGTTGACAACGACCTCGTTCTCCTGAATTCCCAAGCCGTTGAAGTGCTTTCGCACAACTTGTGTGAGTTCATTCCTGCTCTGTCTTTTGTACTGCCGTTTCCTTGCCATGGAAGGAGAGTAGAGACCTATCGAACCGGGTCGTGAGAGGACAATTTGGTGGTAGGGTAGGGCGAAGGCGGTCGGAGTGTCGAGGTGATGTTCGCGGCGGTAGTCGTGCAGGAGTTCTCTGTCGAATGAAGACCAATCCAGCTGGAAGAATTAGGACGTCAGTATGTCTAAGACATGAGACACAAAGAAGAGCTTTGGTAAAGTTTTTTGTCATACCCCTGGAGGAGGAGGAGGAGCTGGTTGTGCTGCAGCTGGAGTGGTCGCAACAGCAGAGTGGCCATTGACGGTAGCGACCTCTTTCAAATTTGACCCAGCAGAACTGGCAACTCGGCGAAGTTTTGTGCCTCCGTTGGTGTGATTATCTTTCGAGCCAGTACCATTCTTCTCTTTTGTACTCGGTGCGTCCGACTTGGAGTCGTCTTGATTTGCTCTCGACTTTGCGGGAGGCATCGCGGCGAATGTGGGAGTAAGGAGTAGGGAGCGGTGACTTTTGACGCAAGTTTCGAGGATTGTTGAGAATATTCCGGCTGAAATTTTGCTATTACATGCCCGTATTACCAAAGTAGCATGATCAAGAAAAGAGTAGCTCCCGGCAAGAAGAAAGATGGGTGCGTTGGTGACCTTGGGAAATGCAGAGATGAGGAGAATGATCAGCAGGCGGTCGGCGGGCTGCAGTGCGCGTGTGTGTGCACCAACGCACTGGACCTGACCTGGACCTGGACCTTTTTCGCTGCTGCGAGAGAGGAGGGCAGTTACCAATTCCGCTCTAAACCCATCCCAGCACTTTTGGAAATTTCGGGGTCTCGAAGGAACTGCCACCGACTTTGCGAGTGACGACATTTCTCCTTGCCCCACATGCCGAGGAGACCAACCAGAAGAAATTGTCCTAAAGGATACTTCTGCAGTTGGTTAGCTCCGACTCTGTAGTATACGTCTTGTAGGTCCGTGCCTGCCTTAGCGGGATATGTACGCATTTCGTCCTTACAGACGAGGATGTACTAAGGTATGTCTTTATCCATTGATGTGCTTTGATCCGAAACTCTATCTTCTTCGGGGTCCAGCCACCATAGTACTTCATGCTATGCTATAATACGCGTGTAGATTATGGCTCTGCATATTGTTGCGAATTTTTCTATCAGCGTTCCTTGGATCTATATCCTATCGCTTGTGCGAGGCACTCGACTTCGTGGTTTTGTTAAAATGTCTACAACCAAAGCTCGCGTCTTGGCTACCTTGATGTACTTGGAGCACTTGTACTCTACCAGATGATGGCTTCGACAACCACTGAAAGCTTGTAGTGCATCCAATGCTGTGGCTTCAAATTTTTGAGCAAGTCGCTACCAGTCGTGTGCTCTATCAGATTGCAAATTCAAATGAATACCAAAGCTAAGCCTCGAAATTACCCTCGCCTCGTTCTTGCGTGTGGTTGATTCCGACAAGTCGCTGGATTGTGAGTGACAACCAGGACTGCATCAATGGCTCAACTGTAAAAACTATATTGAATTGTGTAATTCTTATTTATATTCTGGCCCCATCCAGCAGTGAGTACTAGATAGGGATGAATTAGAGTGACCCCGCTCTCGGTTGTCGATCCGCCCGTCCACTTAGCTTGATGCGCCATCATTCCACAAACTCTCCGAAATCGTCACTTTGTAGGATACTATATAAGCATTCACGGTTTTCTTGGCGGACCAACTTCACCTAAGCTAGAGATATATATCAATATACTAGCCGCTACTAAATCTGTAAGATACGAGCATCATTATTAGGGTGAAAAATGCATCATGAACAGCCAAGTATACTAATTTACTTAGGTTGAATGGTTTACGTGAGAGAGGTTGGATTTTTGGGCTGTATATTGAAGCAAAGCATTTCTCCTTTCCTTGATTGTATCGTAGATGTTCTCTATTGTGTTTAAAAAACAAGCCTGCCATAAGATATAAAATGGGTTTCATGATATATAAGCATCATGCTTCTTATCCATTCCCCTTTTATATACACTCATTTTCCCATTTTCCTCCAGCGCACGTATCCAGATGATACATCGTGAGTTCACTTAACCATACTGGGGATGCTTTGGCTGGAACCTCCTATCCTGATGGATGAGGCCGCAGTGTAAACCACAAGCCAAACTTGAAGCTTTGCAAGTCATGATGGTTCAGTAGAATTAGAACCAAGCGAGCAATGTTAAAAGATCCGAGCTTGATGAGTAGACTCAATTCAAGCTACAGAATGAATGCACTTGAATAGTGTATAGGATTGTTCAGATATTTGTAAGGTGAAGTCGCTTGGACATTGAGGCCTCTTGGCTTGAGCCGAGTCTGCCTGACTCCAGGCCAAGACGTTGCGATGACGGGGATGACTCCGGGCAAATACATAACTAATGAACCCGGCAGCATCAAACAATAGCATCACGGCCTCAATGGTAAAGCGTGCATTCCAAGGAGAGGATACGGACGAGAATATGCATTGGAATAGACACGGTAGTTGCGCTGGTATTTAGTCTTATAGGTATAGTAGGCAAATGTATATTCTTGTCGTGTGCAAAAAGCAAAGGAAAACGCAAATAGGACAGGAGACATGACAGACTGGCCCTCGGTTCGCCTCGGTGCCCCGTCTCCGTCCGCTGTCCCTGCAGCGTCCAATGGGCTCAACGAGCACGCCGCGTTGTCTATAGGAACTCGGGCCTCTCGGCCTCCGAAGCACTAGGTTAGGTACATTTCAGTGCTAACAGTACAGCTACTCCAGTTTCATTCGATTATCCACGGACAAAAAAAAAATAAGTCCTCACAACAGGCAGTCAATAATTACACACTCACCAAGCTGACTCACTCACCGAATCCATAGAAAGGGAGAAATTCAGGGCAAAAGCCTTGGCGTGTGCTGCTTTATTACACAGTACATCATCACATTAGACCCCATTTCGGTAAACTCAAGATTGGAACTAGCGACACACTTATCAATACGTACTACATTCATGTTGTCTCTTCTGGTTCTGGAGACCGACTTCACCGTTTGCCGAACTCGTGGACAGCCCTGCCACCCGCTTTCGCGATCAAGTCACGTTTTCATTTGCCATTGAGCATCACCCCTGGTTGCTCAGCTCCCCATCTCGCCATGGACAACGGTCAAGCGACTGCCCGTGCCTCGGAGGTTGGATCGGACAACTGCAATCCCACGGGCACCGGCCAAGTTCCAGATCCGCGAAGTGTAAGCCTGTTCTGCCCATGTAACCTGGATTGATGGGCGTTAGGTTATGAAGTTGCAGCTGACCCAACAAGTAGTGCGATGCTTGTCGTACACGTAAGGTTCGCTGCAACAGAGAGGTACCTTGCTCTCACTGTCTACGCCTGAAGATCGAATGTACCCGTATCGACACCAAGATCAAAGAGAAACGCACACGTATTCTTCTGACTCCTCAATAGTATGTCAAAACTAGCTTGATTTTCTTTCTTCAATTTACTCCAACTTGTGTCCTTCGGGGTTGGCTATCACCTTGTGCCCCTTGCTCTTCCGGATGCTTTCTTGTATGAACCATCTCTAACCAAAGTCCCTTGCAATTCTAGTGAAAGAAAGATAGACCAAATAGACAGTAAGCTTAATGGAGTGGTAGAACTGCTGAAAGGTTTCGACCTAGCTCGGCGATCAAGTAGTGCCAGCCCTCAGACATCGGATGGCGCTTCTATACACTCCATGTCGTCGGCCCCCCGTTCTCATGCAGCTGACCTTGAACCATCCAATGCAATGGTGGTGGAAGGTGACTCTTCCATGGCCGCACACTCGCTTTTTGCCACGCAATTTTTGCAAAAGATTGTGGGCCGTGACTGCGCTGAAATGCGCGAGTCATTGGACTCTCTTTCTCATGTTGTAACTGGATTACGGCAGCAGACTGTTGCGAGCGAGATGTCGTACCCTCACGCGAGACCAATCCAACGCCCCAATCCGCCCCCGTGCAAGATGCCTCCCTTTGAGAAAGCAGCTCCACTCATTCAGATGGCCAAGGGTGAGTATACCTGATTTGATCCAAATATTCATCGACCAACATCTCCGTTCAGAGCTGATACTCTAGGTGTAAAGCCCAACGACTTATTGGGCACGGCTGGATATACGAGTTTCTGCCGTTTCAACGCTTCTCTGACATGTGCATGAACGTGTACTTTTGTGAAGAGTATTCGGAAGCCGACTTTATCAATGTCAATGCCGGGCTTTTCTCCCTCTTTTCCGACTTTGTGTTTCATGGTCCGGCAGAGAAGAAAGAGGAATACCTTGGCTATGCTCGGGAGTGTCGCGATAATCTCGAGACCGCTTTATCAAATCTGCCTCTGCATCTACCAGCGACTTCTAACACAATCATTGCCCTCGTTTTTGGTGTAAGTGCTTCATGACGGTTTGCTCAACGCTTTCTCTAATCATCTTTCAAGGCTTTTTATGCAATCGATATTGCAAAACCCTCATTGGCTTGGTCATTATCATCCAAATCGTCAGAGCTGTGCCAGACTCTGGGATATCACCGCATTGAATCAATGGTGAATGACAAGAAAGACGACATTGACTACAAAAAGTTTCTATTCTGGAGCACTTATTTTGTCGACAAAAGTCTTTCGCTTCGCCTCGGCAGGGCTTCGACAATTCCTGACTGGGATATCACATTGCCCCGACCATCGAACTCTGAGCTCAAAAATGACCCTCTGTCTGCTTACTTTGTCCTGTGGATTGAAACCGCCCGGTGTCAAGGAAATCTATATGAGATGCTGTATAGTCCAAACTCAATTGTCCAGCCTCATAATGTACGGCAGTATAGGGTCGATGCTCTCGTATCTGCTCTCCACGAACTAGACAGAGCAACACTAGAAACGAACGTATGCAAGAGTTCTCTATCCGCTAATTTTGCAGGTTTGCTAATTTTCATACTTTAGATGAAATGGTTTGACCTGGCAAAGCAAGCTTCTGGTGAGACTTTGTTGGTATTCTTCAAACTATCAGACGAAATTCTGCGCCTCTCATTACTTACTATGGTGTATCGAGCTGCTCCACGATCACTCGATGCGCCTACGACTTTTAGCCCTAGCTGCATTGAAGCTGCACGGGCTACGCTCGATAAACATTTGAGCTGCATGTCACTCCTACAAGGCAACGAAAACTACTTTCCGATATACGTGCATTGGTAAGTTATACGATGGCTCGGTTCTAATGAGCTACACCACATGGGAGTGCTGACGTGTGCAGGACACTCTTGTTTGCTCCTTTTATTCCCTTCATTGTCATCTTCTGTCAGGTGATTGAGACCAGAGACCAATTAGATCTCGAGCGTCTTCATACTTTTATTGAATCCATCAAGTCGGATCATACCGTTTCCGAGTCCGCGACCAAGATAAATCGGCTTTTTCAGGCTCTATATGTCATTGCACATCGCTACGTGGACTTTCGTCCTGCCGATCCGAAGGCGCACCAGACAGACGACGCAATGATGGAGACGTATCTCGCATCGATGGGTTTTTCGACCACGGCGCCTCAGCATGACGCGAGGCACCAGCGGGCAACGGAAGCATTCGAAGAGACAGGCAATATTGCAGGGCATGGCAGCACTGGTGGTGGAGACATGTTTGCCAATAACGCAGGAGGCGGGCAGAGAACAACGAATCCGATCATGTGGCTCGGCAACGGAGCTCAGTTGGAGGATTGGTTCTACCACAACCAAGCCATGATGGATATTCTCGAATCATCTAATGAGCCTGGTAGTATCGATAGTTGAAAACGAGATCTATGCAGACCCTGTTGACTTTATTGTCATGGTCCAAAATTCGTATTTTCCTCGTGAAGTGTTTGAAATGATTGCATTGAAATTATGAACTTTCGTACTGGACACAAAAGCCTCGTCTCAAGATGCTTTCCAATAACAAGATCTTGGCGGCATGCAATGTGCAGTGTTTCCAAGCTACCGGCACCTCTCCATCGGTGCGATCGGCCCCCGAAGATGGGAAAGCCTGGAGCGTGGCGTGTCTTTAGCGATATAGTTCCAAGCTACATCCAAGCAGCATCAATAAATCCACTCCGGCGTTTTCTTCTATCCCGGTTCCAGTCGCTCAGATCATCTCTCCCGGCTGCTAGAGAGACTTGAGTTGGTCCAGGAACCTTGACGTAATCTCATATAATCACTCGGTCCGTGTATGGAGCACCAGAGAGCAATCTGTTGAAAAACACCATTTTGATCCTATATACTCACTCTTACGTAGCCATAATAGCATATTATAATAAGAAAAAACTGGAATCAAACAAAGTTTTGATTATCTTTTTTCTTTTTTCTTCTTGCATTTCTTTCATAATTTTTGATGAAATAACTTTAGCTATTCACTACGCACTTTAAGGGGTTTCAACAGTTTGCCCTGTAGGCAACCGTTACCGTGCTGCTGACACCAAGTGAGGACTGACACCTCTGGCCAAGAGAAGAAGGGGGAAAAGGAGAGCGCCAGAAGTTTGTTTAGCGTTTCCCACTAATTGAAAACTCGACACGACTATACTGGGTATACTTACTCGCTAGGATTCGTCGGCGATTGCGGGACCCGACCATATTGCCCTATTGTATAGAATCTGAATGCATCATAAACATCGAACCTTCTCTTGATATAATGGTGTGTTACTTACACGAAACTCCTCCACGTCTCGCCGACATACTTTGATTTTACAAATTTTCAAGATGCCCTTCAGAGTCATCATAGCTGGAGGCAGCGTAGCAGGATTAACCTTGGCCAATGTGCTCGAGAAATTCGACATTGATTATGTCATCCTAGAAGCTCATGCCGTTATTGCTCCCCAGCTTGGAGCCAGTATTGGGCTTCTTCCGAGCGGGCTTCAGATACTGGACCAGCTGGGGTGTTACGAAAGTATCCGGAGGCACGTTGGAGCCGATTGCTATTACCAGACCACGGTGCGTCGGTTTGACGGCCAATTCAGGAGTAAGAAGAAGGATATTACTTTTCCAGAAGAATTAGAGCAAAAGTATGAATATCCAAGGACCCCCCTTGAAAACTCTCGAGGTCTCAGACCAAGTCAGAGTTGTGCGTTGGTATGTACTAACCATAATTCAGAACCGGCTATCCTCAACTATTCATCGATCGGCAGATGCTCCTCGAGACACTTTTTGAAAATCTAAAATTCAAAGAAAGAGTTTTGACGAGCAAGCGCGTCACGCATATTGACTCTGTTGAGGGTGGCGTGTGTGTCTGTACTGAAGACGGCTCCGAGTACACTGGGGACATTGTCATTGGCGCAGACGGGATTCATAGCGCAGTCAGGAGGGAAATGTGGCGCAATGCCCGTGAAGCAGAACTGGAAGCATCTCATATAGATGAGGGATCATGTACGTGGTGAATGAACAACCTTGAGCGCTATTGGACCTTGTCACTGACGTCAAGTTCCCAGGTATCCAAGCCGACTCGAAATGTCTTTTTGGTATATCCCAACGGCCAGCGGCGCTCGGCAGCACACCTAGGCAAATCAATGCGTACTTTGACGACTGGAACTACATGATGTTCTCAGTTCCAGGAAATCGTCTGTACTGGTTTCTTTTTACTGGCATGGAGAAGGCGTGTGGAGGACAGATTCCTCGATTTACCAAGGAGGACGAGGCAGATCTGGTCAAGGATCGCCTAGGCGACCTCGTGACCGAGTCTGTGACGTTTGGAGATGTCTACAAACACCGCCAGATCTCTACACTCGTGGCCGTGGAGGAGCATGTCTTTGCGCGCTGGCACTTCCGCCGCATGCTTACCATTGGCGACGCAGCCCACAAGGTGTGTCAATCTACAAGGCCTTTTCCCTCCAAGGAGAAAAACAGATGCTAATCTCAGGTTAGCTACACCCCATCACCGCTCAAGGAGGAAATCACGTCATGGAAGCCGCAGCAGCCCTTGTGAATGCGCTGAGACGAAAGTTGAGTCGGGCCTCGGCCAAGGACACGGCAAGTCTCTCCGACAACGATGTGGCCGAAGCCTTTGCGGAGTTGCAAGCCAGCCGATACGATCGCGCTCTGGCTGCCGTCTTGCAAGGTCAGCGATCCAACGCCCTCGTGGCCAAGAATACCTTCTTGGCCCGGATGTTTATTCATTACGTGTTTCCCTGGGTTGGCGAGCGCCTCATTATGCATCTCGTCGTCCAGAGCGCCAAGACCGGTGCAAGAATTGAGGACATTGCTCCGCCGAAATATGCCCTGGCTTCAGGGGAAACACGTAGCTCTCGGTCTGGTCGGCTACTCTGGAGTGCTGGAGCTATCGGAGTAGGATTGTTGGCAACGGTGCTGTATCTCTACTGCTAGGACTGGGAGTAAGAATGTTTGGTCTTTAAGCTCTTACAATACTCACAAGGAATAGTTCGTTCGGCTATCGGGTATAATAAATAGAGAATCAAGAGTAGACTAGTGATATAGATTGGTATGTTGGTGGCAGGAATGAGGAAAACTCTGCCAGATAGTGCAGAATGATACGATCACAACATTGATCACAAGATCCCACACAGAGCATCTAAAGAGATCAAGTTCAGTTTGTGAAACATTTCCTTGCAAACGTCCATGCAATGGGCCAAGAACTATAACTTGAACAATTTTGCTCTTAAATCTCAAGCCTTGTGTTCCTATCTTGTCTTTGTCTGAGGAATACATTGACGACATATGCCTGGATCTGTATCCCAATTATCGTGATTATGCTCAAACTAGTACATAACACGGGCAATGGCAGGGCAAGCCGGAATGTAGCATACGACCATGACGCCCCCCGAAGTATTCCCATGAACATCATTCCGTATATAATGAGAATTTGTCACTGAGCCGGGTACGGCAGTGGACAGACGTTTCATGCCGTGATACACCACCCCCACTTCTAGCCGAAGTGGTTCGTCCCTGTGCCCCGGATTCCGCGCGTCTGCCGTATTCGGAAGGTTGACAGAGCAGTTGCAATTTGAAATTTAAGTTTTTGCCCTTCTCGGATGTGATGAGATGCGATGCTTTTTTTTCCCTCTCGGCATTCTGCAAAGAGCACTGATAGCTTCTATATTCGGTATTGCGGCCTCTGGATCTCGGCAACTCTGCATCCAAGCTGTATGCGCCGAGAACATTGATGCGCTGTGCGGCTGCTACGCATCGGACCATGCGGGGCATGGCAGCACTTGCATTGTCACAAATTTGTCGATCCGACTGTGAATACTCTTGTGCCTGGCAGACAGAGCGGAATTCCAGGTTAGTGTCTAGAGCAAAAAAAGAACTAAAAGACACCCACCCCCAATCGGCGATCATGAAACTCCAAGAATGGCAACTAGAAAGTCCAGGCACCTTTTCGCACAATTCCCGCTTCAATGCGTGACGACAGCTCTGGATCAAACCCAGGTTCACAAATGGCTGCTTTCATCGAGCTGCAGGTTCTAGCGCGGTAACTAAGATGATGCTGGGGGCGGGAGTTCATTCTCGTCTCGTTCAACGGGCAAGACACACAGCATTGCTTTTCCGACTAGAAGCCCACGGCAAATCATATCTCTCTGACCCCCCCGAAGCTTGCAGATGTAGAAGGTCAGGTGGCATGCTGCCCACCCAAGATCCCCCCCAGCCCTCCTCCTCGCAAGAAAAAAAAAATTTGGGTAAGACTTGGACGTGGCTGCTGAGCTGGGGCCCAGGCTAGGTAAAGGCTGAAAGTCTGCCCTGGTGTAGATCAGGAGACCACATAGCGGCATTCCGTGATAAATTCAGAAAGGGATCTAAAGATATGGGGGTCGCTCTCGGAATGAAGCAGCAAGCATCATTGAATAATGTTTCCCACCCGGAAACCCCCCACGTTCACTTGGATGCCGCGCCTGCTCTACCTCGTGGTTTATGAAGACATGGACGGGCAATGCCTGCCGGCAAGTCTGGGGTAGGTTGCAACGCGGAGAGTATTTTGTGTCTTTTTTGGTCTGACATGTCTCTTGTCTATGTGTAACACCAGCCTTACGAAGCACTTTCTTGCATCATCTCTCGTCTCTGCACCACGATATGTCCTCCGCTGCAGCATGTGTTGTGTGGTTTTCTTTTTGCTTACGTCGATCTTCTGGCTGAAAGGAACTTTAAGCAATGGTCGTGTTCGCCGAGCCTAGTTGTTCGATCGACACCTGGGCTCTTAGGCGATGGCACAGCTGAGCTGTCAATGTATGATGATGGCGATCCACTGGGGCTTGTCATACAGTGTCAACTATAAAGAACTACCTGATATCTCCAGTCAGGGCGTCAGACTCTACCCGTCTTGGGGGTTGCGACATGCCATACACCACGGGGACAAATGATGTTGGCACAATCGCTATCACTGGAAAGCCACTTGTTTTTTTAGCGTCCCGAGCCACTGGAGTCACAGGCCAAGAATATTCCTGGACGAGATCTTATTCCATGAATCATTGAAGAGTGATCTGCAGTGACAGAGGAGCTGAAGTACGCATCTGGCATACGGCTTGGTAGCAAAAGAATCGGGAGATCCTGGACCAGTGATATTGATTGCAAAGTGTTTGGAAATTGAGCATAACGTACATGAGGTACATGTTCCTCTGGTCACCAACCCGGGAAAAGAATTACCTTGGACACGAAGCACACCTCCGCCAACCATGTATATCTCAACAATGGAAATAATTTGCGTCAGCCATCGAGCGCCAGCTGGGCAAACCGGACTAGACTGTAGTCAGAATCAGCGCTCAAGTCGTAGGAATTGAGCAGCCTCCCAAATGCAGGATTGCCCATATCGCATCTCCAGGGTTGGCAAGCTAGCCAATCAAGGAGAAGAGCACGGAACAGATCTTATCCATGGCCCCTTTACCCCACACAACCTCTTGGTGTCTCCGTCCGGGGTCGATCTTGGACTGGTGGCTTGGGTTCGTTGACTGGATGATGGGGGAACAATGGGGGTCGACCTTGCCTAGACTGACAATACCCTCCCTATCCTTGCCTGGCGTTGAACCTTTTTCGTGGATATCAGATGAATTAACGCCTGCGATCTAGGGTCTCTGCCGCTAGCCTTTGCCCGACTATGATCAAAAACTGCAAGCCGGGTCATGTAGGCCGTGGGATTGAGACGCAAGCGAGGTCGCGTGCCTGACGCGTTCAAAAACCTACATTACTTGGTTAGAGGGAGGGCAAAGCTGAGAAGAGCAGCAGGGGTTGGAGGCTCGAATATCCCTCGGGCGCCCGGCTGCCCCAGCCGAAATCGACGACTTTCTAAGCAGGACTGTTGTGTGTGTAATGGTTGACCTTTGAATGAATGAAGAGAATGCCAAAGATGGGGCCTGCCTGGAGTGCTGTGTAAAATGTTTCGAGAATAGATTTTGCCTACCGCGCGCGTGTCATCTTGACGGAGTGCATACCCATTACAGCCAGTCCACTGCATAGGAGAGATTGGCATCAAGGTATCGGAAAGTTCAAAGAGGCTTCTCTGCATACTTGGCATCCACCATCGTCAGATCCGTTGCCCCAGTTTTCTTTTCTTTTCCGTCGTGGTAAACCGGTGTTGGCCGTCCATCCCGTGGTATGTTGGTGGGGCTGCCAAGAAAGAATACTGCATCTACCTGCTGGGCATGCATTCGCCTTCCCTTCGGGCACTTTTTTTTTTTTTTTATTATGTGAGAACATTGCGGTTGTCGCTCGTATTGACCCCCTATTGCTGGAGATGGTCAAGCGTCGATTTAGTGGAAAACTGTTTGCTGTAGCATTCTGTAGCATCCTATCCTCGCCAAAGAGAGGTTTGTCCGGATATACCAAGTATAAAACTTCCCCAAGCAAAGGGCTCGGGTGTCACAAGGGCCTGGGTTGGAAGCGCGTTCACAGCCGAACTGCACGCTCGAGACACCCTCCAGGACAGGGGGGCGGGGGCGGGGAGGTGATCAGAAGTGATTACGCCGTACCTATTGCCGCGGTCACAGTGTGGTCGCGATGCTGGGCTGACAACCGACAGGCAATGCGCTTCCTGCGAAGCGATCAACACTGCTTTGAAAAGAATAATCACAAATTCTGCTGTCCCCCCAACTATATGAACGCGACATGGCAATAGAAGTGAATACGATTTCCTGAGAGTCTATCGAATTCACCATGTGGTTCAGTAATCACTCCAATCCTACCTTGGTCCGGAGTTGGAGGAGCCGTCTCACTGTTCTATCTTATCCGGGATCAAGATAATCAGCAGGAGGGAGATAAGGCGCCGGTGCGGCGATGCCTCTGAGCATGAGCATGATTGCCAACACTCGGGGGACTAGGTAATCATTCACCAATATATCTTGGACAAAAAGTTTGTTTGATCCGGTTTCTGGGGAGGGGGCATCGCGATGGAACTTTCAAACCGGACTCACATGAAGACTCGAGTTTCGCATACCTACACACGTAACCTAGTACTTATACGACCCCGTACCTCATGGAGTGCATCAATGTCCATCCAGTCTACATTACCTACGGCAACCCTAAAAGATCGTACCCTGGGACTCGAACTAATCTGCCTACTAGTCAGCGGGCACTATTGCTGCTAAGCATCGGATACATAATGCACAGGCCTGATCAATGCACGGACATGTAGCGTCTGGCTTCCCCATGTTCTCGTCCGTCACAATTTCTTGTCGATGAAAAGTAAAAAGACTCTCTTCCCAATGTATGGTACCTACTCTGCTTGCTGAATATTGAAAAGCAAAACAAGGCGAGTTTCCCGCCTCGATGCATCATTAATAGCAACTGTCTCTCGTCTAGCCTAGATCCGTCTAGATTCGTTCGACTCGACCGACGGGGGGAAGATCTCGAGCCTTGCGGAATTAACACATGGTGCACTAGTTTGTAGATACAGTTGGTCCCACAGTGTTATGTCGCAGCGCGTGCCCATCAGTCCGTCTCTTTTTGAACTCTTTCATTCACCCAGACAGCAAGCAGCCACATGCCATGCCATGCGCTCGCTGCAACAAGCCAGGGTATTCGTACTATGCTGGAGGGGGCGAACCGGGGACTGGGGCTGGTTAATTTGGTGCCCACATCAAAGAATGAAATGCAAATCGTACAATATATTTACATACCTACATAGCTTGAAAGTGTTCGTCTGATTGAATGGGGCCATTGGCAACCTCGTACCTTGACTACCTACCTACCTACCGCACAGTACATGCCGCACTTTACCTGCACTACAGGTACATGATTACCAGAGGTACATTACCCTCTACACACACTAAAACTCGACCCTGCCACTTTGCCCGCCCGCCCATGGACTGACTTTGGACCCCGTGGGTTGGATCGTCGCGGCTACCCGAGCGCCCGCCGTTGCTTAAGACCCAAAAGCCCCCCACGTTGTCCGTCGCTCGAGGTTATTTCTCCAGGTTCTGCTTTGACTTCGACCCACGACCGCCCCGAAAAGCACAAGCACTACAGAACAACGCGCGACCCGAGTTTCGTCTCTCGTCTGTCTGGTTGATGGAGCCCGGTGCCTGTTACTGCTATTGATCTGGGTACCCGAAAGGAATCACATTCGGAATTCCCGCCTTTTTTTGTTCCCCTTCTCATGTTGCCGCTTGGGGGATCGTGAGCTGCTTCTGACGACTGGCCCCCTCGATCTCTTTGCTCATACACACAAAAGAGTCGTCAAATTGCGTCTCTTCGGGTACGTAATAAACATATATCCCATCTCTCCACGTTGGCCCTACATTGCAGCCGCCAGCACGTACGTAACCAAAACCATCTCCTACAGTAGTAGCCTTGACTTGAATCCCCTTACAACGGCGAGGCACACTGCCGCCGCCGCCGCAGCTGGCTGGTCTTGTCTTGCGCCTTCTTCTCATCCCTTCCCAGCCTTTTTTCTATGCCCACTTGTACTGCGTATATCCTGTCCAGCGTGGACAAACCCCCCCGCCAAGTGGCCGCTCGAATCCTGCATCTCCTAAAACTTCCTGCCAGCAACGGAGCCTAGCACGCTCATGTTGGAGCCCTTTTGGCCATTACAGTGCTTGGAGAGCGAGCACATCCTTCAGACACAGCAGAGCACCCAACATATACACTTCCTTACAAACATGGGTTGGCAAGCGTCTCCGGCTTTCCGGGTATTCTTCTACCAGAGCATTACTTTGGGACCAGGAGAATGACCGAACCCTGGTTCACCAATCCATCCATGTTGACTGGACCGAACCACGAATTCATGGTGGCGGCACTGATGGCTGAGGGTCGCTTCCAGCACCCGCTTCCCGCCTGATGTTCGAAATCTACTACTAGAACTGTCACTACGAATCTATTACCCCACTCGACCTCCCCGTTTCCTTCTTTCTGCTTGTGCGCGTGTCTTGTCTGGGCCAATCCGGTCTTTCTGCCTGGAGCATGAGTCTGGCGTTATAATCATCAAACCCTCTACTGTAACTACAAATTACTAATTCTGGGGCTGTACCAGTATCACCATATCTGAAAATATAGGAGCTCATGGGCGTCTGTACATTTCGAGAATCTGTACAACCCTGAGTGCCGAGGGCTGAGCCCAGCGTTACCCGGGTTGCTATTGACGTATGTTGTGTATACATACTCATGTATGTGGCAGATACTTAGAAGTCGACAATGACCCAAGTTCCGTCTCAACTCGTGACTGAGTAATATTGAAACGACAATCTGGAGGCTCTCAGCGATTGACTTGCAATAAAATTTCTGCTCGGACTTCGTGTCAAACCGAGCGTCACAGTCTGTCTTCGTCCGAGGGGATCTCGCCCTGGACAAAAACTGCAGCATTCGGTTTTCATCCGCAGCGTCTACGACAACCTGAAGCCCAGGTGGTCCCGGATTACTTGCAGTTTTGGACTATCATCTGGCCCCCAGTCCTACTTGAGTATCACTGACTGGAACATGTCATCACTTGTTGCGCTGCGACCAGGCGAGATTCAAGCGACTTTGCCTGTCGCGCGTGCATCGCCCATTGTCGCCAAGATGCAAGGCTCAACCCCTCAGCTCATGAATGCCGAGGCGTCGGTCAGGGACTCACTAGAAGGCAAGGAGTCCAGGGAAAAAAGCGACCATGAACAGGACGCGGAAGGTGATTTGGAACTCAAGAATGGAGGTTCATCCAACGAAGATGAATCTGGGCCACATAGAAAGAGGCGACGAAGTCGCAAGGGCCTTGACAAAAAGTTTGAATGCCCAACCCCAAACTGTGGCAAAAGTTATTCTCGAGCCGAACATCTGTAAGCTTCTTCCTTGCTTTCTCCCATCTACCCCAGGCACTCACAACGGTAAAAGATACCGCCATCAACTTAACCACGAGCCAAAACATATCTACAAATGTACACATCCCGGCTGCACGCGCGAGTTTGTCCGTCAGGATTTGCGAAATCGTCACATGGACCGGCATACTGCAAAGGGTTCGGCTTTGAGCAGGAAAGACTCCATGACCATGTCTTCTATACCATCTGGATCTCTTTCACCCGAAACCAACCGTTCAGGCGCAGGATTTCCCAAGCCGAATGCAGGCCCCGGAGCTAGTCCTTATACACCCATTACAGCAACCCCTCCTATATATCCTCATGGCAACCCCCCTTCAGGGATGGACAACTACCTACCCTCAGACAACAGTTATGGAAACGGCATCAATCAAAGGCACTCCCATCAATCTCCCTCGGCCCATCCACGACCAGCTCTGCAAACTAACGTGGGCCCCTATGGCGTATTGTCACCTGGCTCTACCCAACATGGAAGCTATCATAACCAACAAACAAATACACCCCAGTCAACACCCACAGGACCTTATGTCGCACAGAATAATTTCCCCCCATTCACCTTACCTCCATCTGATTTTTCTACGGCATCATCTTCTGGTGCAGCAGGAGAAGCCAGCCAGTCATATACTCCTGCTACCAATAGCGAGTATACTGATCCCTCTCATGCTCAGGCCTCTGGAGAAATGATGCTCTTGGACCAAATGGCAAGCCAAACCACGATACCAATGTTTGGGCCAGACGGGGGTCTGAACAAGTCTCCGTACATTACAATACCTGAAGACTTCATCACCTACCTTTTCAACACAAACAACCCTGATGGATCGCCTTCAGTGGGCCATGTAATGGCTCCTGGTCAATACTCTCAGTAAGGTCTCCCCTCCCAGGCTCATATATGTAGGGTTACTGACACTATCTAGCTATGGGGATTTCCAGTCACAGTACAGTGTACCCTATTATGCGAATGAGGGTACGCCACTAGGCTACTTTCCCGCGTCAAACCAGCCGCAGCAGGTCATGTCAGTGACAAATCTCCTTGACCAGAATCTGCCAGAGTCTCTTCTTTCCGAGGAGAAGAGCCAGGAGATATTCGACTTCATCAAGGAACGTTTCCACGAGAAAGAACAGGCGCCAGTTGAAAGACAACGCGATACCATGCTTGACGGCGATCGCAGTGATGAGCACCACATGCTGAGTCGCAAAATGATGCAAGCATACATCAGTTCCTACTGGGTACACTTTAGTGATCAGATTCCAATTCTGCACAAACCAACATTCTCTCCCGACAAGATCCCCACTCTACTTCTCCTGGCCGTCATGGCGATTGGCGCCTCCTGTCTTGATAGAACCCATGGAAATCCGGTCATGAGAGCCGGTGCCCAGCTGTCGAATTTTCTGGCTTGGCATGTTCGATGGGAAATCTTCATGGATGCAAATAGCCGGCCTCCAGCAAAGCTTTGGATTTTCCAGGCATTGTTACTACTGGAGCTGTACGAAAAGATGTACTCGACGCGAGAATTGCACGAGCGCGCTCACATTCACCACGCGACGACCATCACTTTGATGCGTAGAGGAAGGTCATTGATAGGCAAATCTGCCATCGATTCTCCTCCAAACCCGCGGGATGATAAGAATGGCTCGAGACACTCTTCTACTTCTGGTGTGGCAAACACGCCTGATGAGTGGTGGAACCACTGGATCACCAATGAATCAACTCGCCGGGTAGCGTATGCCGCGTTCCTCATCGACTCGATCCATGCGACCATGTTTGGACACTCCACTGTCATGGTAGCACATGAAATGCGACTACCGCTGCCGTGCGATGACCAGCTTTGGAAGGCCGGTAGTGGCGCAGAGGTTGGACGAACAGAGGCAAATCTGATGTCAAATGGGATCAAGCCCATATCATTCTTGGAAGGCCTGAAGCGCACACTGAACGGGCAGGAGGTGCGGACCAATTCCTTTGGAAGACAGGTTCTCATGGCAGGTTTACTAAGTGTGAGCTGGCATATGAACCAACGGGATCTTCAAGTGACTTCTCTTGGTGGAGGAGTGACTCAGGCGCTGGGTGGCCGTGATAAGTGGCGCAGCACTCTAACAAAGGCATTTGATATGTGGAAGACAGACTTTGACAAGTCCCTGCAGCGCTCTGAACAGACCGCGGACCCCTACAGCTACGAAAGGAGAAGCGAGGCAAACGTTGTGTTTGAAAGCCGCACAGTCCTGCATCATCTGGCGCATATGGCCATGCACGTGGACATAGTTGACTGCCAAATCTTTGCACGCGCAAAACGTCTCCTTGGACGCGCGATTGGGAACCAGGACCTCAGTAGCGCCCAGCGACGAATGAAAGACAACTGGGCACCGACTGCCAAGGCGAGAGACGCAACCTTTTACGCGCTCAAGTTCCTCGCTTCGGTTTTGCTTGCGGACGAAACAAACTCGGACATCTCAAATAGGTACCGAGCCATGGGCGAGACCTATGTTGCCAGGGACGATGTGCTACTCAACCGGCCATGGGTTCTGTATTTTGCAGCTCTGGTGGTCTGGTGCTATGGCTTTGCCCTGGAGGGATCGTGTCCAAACTCGCCTTCTCCCTCGACAATGCAAGAGTCAATTGGTCCCATGAAAGACTACTTGCGTCGCTTCGGCTCGATTGAAACACCCGACGACTTGAAATTGACAAGAGGGGTAAACCACAATAGTGCTCTTTTATTCTTTCTCAAGAATTCGTTTGAGACGAGTCGCTGGGAACTCTTGCATGAAGGTGCTATTCTGTTGAACAACTGTATACAGCTCAACAGTGGTGCCACGATAGTCTGAAAGGACCTGCCTGAGTAACGTTTCACGGCGGCAGCTGTGGGGGGACAGGAGAGTTCACGGCGAGGATATGCCGATGAGGTTGTCACATTCCGGACCCCAAAATCACTTGGACATATGGGGCATGGGGTACTTAACAAAAAGTTTATGATTTCTCTGTCGTATTTTTATTAGTTACGATTACCTCATTATTTTCTGCTTGTGCTGGCAGGTTGTTTTTAACAAGCTATATACCCGTGGAGAGGAACCATTTGAAGGCGACATGAGTTGAGTTTAGACACGACTTTCATATCATTTGTTCATGGAGCACTTCGTACATTTTCTACCAAATCAAATATTGAAGCAAACAACTTTAGACTGTAGGTTGTATGGGGTTTTGGTACTGGGGATGGCTTTTACTGTGCACAAGGAAACGCCTAACCTAGTCATCTTCCAAGAAGAAGACAAAAAGAGAAAGCAGCAGTTATCGGACGTCAGCCAGTCTTAACTCCGTGGCGCATACGCAGACGCTAAAAACAAAAAGATTACATTTGTTGCTTTTCATCTCGCATTGGTTCCCGCAGGACGGACACACTTGCATCCATCCATCCACTGTACGGAGCAGCAGCAGAGCGGGGGAGGTGAGGAGTTCGGAGCTTGGCCAGTGTACTTTGAAATTAATTCCACAATCAAATTATACCCGATGGCCATGATTTTGAAATACTGCACAATATACGTAACAGTGATATTTAATGTTGTTCAATAGCCATCTTTCCATATATTTACATAACGGTCTTTTGATTTGTACTGCATTGATCTAGAAGTTTGCTGCATTTCCAATGTACATGTCTCGTGCCTCTTTGTAAGGGACGAACCCCAAAGGAAGTCCAGCACACACCCTACCTAGGTTAGTGCATCCCATGTCACTAGAGGTACATGAATGTTTCCGTTTGTTAAATCCGAATCAATCGCCTAATACCTACCTACATCTACTTGCTGATCTGATCCTCCGACGCTGCCGTGGCGGCCAAGGAGATTATTGCTGTTCTTGACATCTCATAAATCCCTTTTACACCTACGGACAAAAGTCATTAATTCCTCGTATTACTTTGCTTCAAAGATACCTCACGGTCGTGCGACCAGCGGCAGTAGAACCTGAGCTTGACTGACATATCCGTTGTGTACCTTGCCTACATTAGGTACCTTGTCTTGGGAGCCCCGCCTCCGCGGCCCCGGAATCGCGGATTCATTGATACTTTCAATACCCTTCAAGGTACTGCCTTCTAATAGGTACCTACCTGCTGACTTTGGTGTGAAGCTTCCCCGACCGGACCCTTCTGGGATGAGCTTCATTCATCATTACCCTGCCTCTTATTACGTTTGAGTTGTTATCTGGCAGCTGCTGCATCATTTGCTGCCTCCCAGCACTCTTCTTTCAAGTTGTGGTTTATCCTATTCGGTCATCCTCGGAAAAAGCTCATTATCAGAATAAACTCTTGATCACAAAAGAACCTCCTCGACGGGGAGATAGCTAGATAACAAACTGCCCACACACCTAATCTAGGTCTCATCAACGCCGGGCCGGATGGTGGTGTGATGCATCATCAACAATGACACTATTGACGGAGCTTCCCCCGGAGATACTGCACAATATACTGCGGTTCGTCAATCCAGAAGACTTGGCCTGGATTTCTCGCATATGCAAAACGCTATGCTACTCAATCAAGGACAACCCGACATTGTTTCGGGATGTCTACCTGGCCCATCTCGACGAGCCCCGGGCCGGCCATGACGTCGATTGGGAGCGGGCCCTCAAGGCGGCTGTCAGGTTACAGACCGTATGTCGTCGAACCAACATTGAGGAAAAGGTGAGTCCCTGAATCTAATCTGCCGCCGTTTTATCTCTTTGCAGCAAGAAAGTCGTCCTCGAGAAGTACGTGGAATAATTAAAAACAATTTGGGCAACCCCTTAGAGGAACGAATTAGCCTTCGTGTACGAGACCATCAACCAGCTTCTCCAGCATGCCTCGTCCTCGGGTGAGCGGGCCAGCGGCACCGCTACCCATGCACATTCGCGCAATGCCACGCTGCTCGTCAAGCTCTTTGCCGACGACAGCAACCGGAGCGCATTTTTACAACGCTCTTTTCTCTACGAGCGCGCCCGGGGCGAGCTGCCGCGCGATGCCCCCTTTGCCTCCCCGCCCCGGACCGAGCACCAGCAGAGCGCCAAGCTCCACTGCTTATACGGCGTGCCGCTCCTCCACTTTGGCCGGAGCCAGTATGAGACTCGCTCAAGGTGCGTAGTCACAGATTTGTCTTCCTCCATGTGACAAAGGGGGGAAATGGTTAGCATTGGTTGGCCCCAGTATCTCCTCCTGGTGCCACACACGATGGTCCAATATAGCCGCTCACAAGTCGTATCAGCGGATCCTTGACTGACTATAACCTGATAACTAGCGTCATGGGCCCCTTTGCCTGCTCCAAAGTCTACGACCTGCGACAGTACACCGAGCGAACTCACTGGGGCCCTTTTATGGATGATGGATCCAACAGGACGGACTGGGAAAAGGTCGAGGCCATCATGTTAGTGTTGGGGTCTAACCTGAACCGCTTGGGATTGAACAGGTTCCCAATCTGCAAAAACTTTTGGGACGTTCCATTTGCTGGGGTTTGGCCTGGCGCGTATATGCCGCTACCCATTCTGGAACGTGAGAAAGGCAGCAACAAGGAGGGGAGAGATCAGCTCGACGACCCTTATGGAATTACGGGCACATGGCTCCGGGTCGTGTGCTTCCTAGACTATACTGACTTTTTCGACTTCAACTTTACTTCCGATAGCGATTTGCCCGCCAATGTGCCCAGACGGGCCATCTGCTACGGCGAGGCGACGAGGCTGATCCTCATGAAGATCACCGTTACCAAGATTGAAGCCCCTGGACCCAACGACGGTCAAGCACTACCGGTTGTGCACTTTAGTGGCATCTCGAGGTCGTTGGATGACAGCTGGGACGAAAATGCCAATTCGGACCTGAGAGGTAGGGTCGAGATTAAAGGTGCGGTGGCCCCCGCGCCGTCTCCTTGATACAAGACCACAGATGTGCTGACGGTAAATCTTTTTGCTCTTGCTCTAGGCACCGTGAGACTTACACCCGAAGGCGAGGTTCGATGGACAACTTTCTCGCTCTTTAGCGGCCAGGAGCGCTGGCGCAGCGAGAGCGTACAGATTGGCGGCGTCAAGAGTGCCAAGGGCGTATTGGGCAACTGGTTTGACAAGTGAGTTTCCTTCCTGTTGCTCATGGTTTTCTTTTTCTCTCAAGTCAAAGATAAAAAAAGACAAAATTGACATGAGGCATTATCTACAGAGACTACGACCCTCGCGGTCCAGCGGGGCCCACGGCTTTCTGGAAAATCTCGGACAAGACGACTCAAGGTTCCGAAAAGGAACTCTTGACTGGCGATGATGAGGACGTGGAGCTGCCCGATGGTGATTACTACCCCGAAGATGACAATGAAGGGATGGAAGAAGACGAAGACGACGACGAAGATGCCAATGAGGATGAAGGACTATCCAGTGATGACGAAGATATGGAAATTGAGCTCGTCATCGGTTCCGCTGCCGAGCTTGTCGAGGTGCTGAACCGGTACACGGGCGGCAACTCAGGCGACACTTGATGTGATTTCCTTGTCATTATTGGCGATGGTATCTCCCGAAGCTCTCTGCGATATCTGCATTTCTTGGCTATCAACTACTACCCCCTCGTCCCGTTATCCTGACTTTGTCCGCAAGGAGTTTACGGAGTTATCAGATTCTTATGCGAATAGCAGAATGTTGAAACGAGTTGATTTTCAGTACACGTATATGTCAGTAAACCTGAACAAGCAGCTAGGTCACGACAATAACAACATGAACAAGTCATTTGCATTTCCTCAAGCATAGATGGCCCGCTTTTGAGATCGAGGTCTCAGCTGCGTGAAACGAGCCAAGTAGACTCTATTATTTCTTTGGAGAGTATATAAAGGGCATCACATTTGTCAAATGGGCGGGCAGAATATTTGCGCCTCTTTGCCATGTCAAGATTATTATTATTTGAATTTCTTGATCACGACTAGCCAGCCAACAAACCAAAGAATCATGTCCAATTAGACAAAATGGTGTTTTCTCATGCTGTTGTTGACTCTTTTTTCTCCAGTCCAGCAGCCTTGGGTTCGGCCGTTTCAGTATCAATGGCTTTGGTTTCAACAGCTTTGACATCAGCAGATGTGGCGGTGGCCTCGGGGATCTTGTTACCTGCGGCTGCCGGAGTGGTCTCTGCTGAAATCACCCGATTTATACCTGTTACTTCTGTCGCGTCCTTGTCCTTTGACGCGACACTTATTGGTGATGACGGTAGCTGCTGAGGTTTGCGAGGGCTGACCGGACTCGACGAGCCCTCGGATTCGGCGGCGTCCAAGACGCTCTCACTAAAGCTCGGCTGCGAGGTTGGCCTGTCATCGTCCACGATTGCCTCCATGGAGCCCTGCGAGTACATACTTCGGCGTTTCTCGCCACTCGAGAAAAATCCAGACGTGCTGATACGGGGGCTTGTGAGGGGGCTGCCGCCATTCTTTTCGCTTTCCGAGTCGGTCGCCTTGGATTTTCGACCAAAGCCCCAGCCGCCGCCACTGTTACTCGTCCCGCTGCTCGACCGCGATGTCCAGCCCTGTTTACGTTTCTCGCCTGCCCAGCTAGCCCACGACCCAATGTACGCACCAGCCTTGGCACCTACCGAGTTCACAGTCTGCTGCGTTTTTGAGGCATCCGTGTTTGGCGTAGTGGCACCATTCTTTTGTGTGGTGGCTGAGGCGGCCTTGGCTTCTTCTGCTCGTTTCCGCTGGGCTTCACGCATGGCTTCCATGTCAGCGTAAAATTTATTGAACATTGTGCTGGCCTTGTCCCGAGCGGCGGCGGCGTTGCGGCCTAAGACCTCCTTTCCGGCAGCGAATCGTTCATCAAGATGCAGGTCTTGCACTTGCTGTTGTATTCTTCGTTGCACATCGTCGACAGTCAGCCCGCCTGCGCAAGGGTGCTTAGGCTCAATGATGTCAAACAGGAGAGAGTCTGTATGAGCGTCCCAGATTCGATAATTTTCAGTTCTTGTCCAATACTCGACCCATTCCACTCCAAAGTCCGTCGAGGGGTCTCCTTCAACGTGTGGCAATGCCACATTGCCTTTACCTGCATTCGTTGTCAGGTAGGAGTGATATTTCACCGACGAAATCAGGGCAAGGAGGTATTCCTCAAACTGCAGCCGAATAAATTCCTCGCTGCCACGGTAGCCCATGTGGTTTGGTCTGCCTGGGTTCTTCTCATCCCAGGTGTCATTAACTTCCTGCGTGATGAAGTCAATCCAGCGCCGATCGCTAGCCGACAAAGCGAGTGCAGTACGCAGAGAAGCAGACGTGATATTAATAGTGTCATCGTCCAGATTGATCAGAATGTCGCTATATCGGTCTTTCTGTTGTAAGAGCAGGGAGTTGGTACTGCCCACGATATAAGATTTGGTACCAAAATCTGCCAGAATGTCCAACTGCTGAAGTGGCGTATAAGGGCCAAATAAGCTTCCCTGTGGGTTGTGAGTGTATGTCCAAACGACGCGAGTATTGTAGCCAATTATCTCACCTTGCCAAATATTTGTAAAGGCAAGCCCATGTATGAAAGCAAGGAGTTTCGATCGCTGGTCCTCAAACTTGTCGGCTTGCTTAATCGCTTCTCATACTCTGCCAGTTCTGGACCACCGCAATCCTGGAGGTTTCTCAACAGGCCGGGGATCAGTGATATAAGAGAGAATTGCATCATGCAGAGTCTTTCGCACCGCGATCCAAAAAAGAGCATCTAAGGAGGACGTTAGCAGGCCTCGATCTGCAAGAATGATCAGGATCCCTTACTTTTGGCTGCAGCAGGCAGCACTTCAGAAGCACAAGCGTTTGCCATCTGAACTCGCGCACCAGTTCACGCAGACTCAGACCCAAGTACTGATCTCGATCTTCTTCTTCGCTGAGCATGCCACGCTCTTTCTCTTCTTGAAGACTCTCTTGGAAGCGGCGCAGAATTTCGCAATCGGTAAACTCGCGCTGGGCGAACCAGGCGCTTGTGACCATGGACAGCCTTTCCCTCAGCATTCCAAAGTACTGTGGGCTGTCTGCAATCACGACAACCGCCTTTTGGACGGTCGATCGTGTGACATCAGCCGGGCGATTGAGCAGTTGTGACGCATCCATCTGTCTTGTGCACGAGATACCAAAAAGAGAGGTGGCAGGATTATCGCCTCGAGCTGGTTTCAAGAGGGTAAAGTAGGAGAAGTCTTCGGTAGAACTGCATGATTCAATCGCTCGTGTGAGTATATATACTGCAGTAGCCGAAGGGTTTTGAACAAGTACTTACGCATGAGCGCCGTCGCTCAAGGCCATGAACGGAAGCAGGGTCCAGTCATATTCGGCGGCAGGGTCTGACCCTTCAGGCACACCAAACCATTTCTCTACCTCTGGCCCCCTTGCATGATGGAAGTCGACAACTGTGACGAGGGGCATGAATCCAGCTTGTGAAGCCGGGCTCGCGCTTCCCTCCGGCGCAGGGGCAGACATGATTATTTGTAGGTTGTGTCCAAACAGTATGTTGGTTGGCTCCCTTCAAGTTGTAGTTTCGAGGAGAAAGTCCAAGCCAATATAAAGCCCAAGGCTTGCCACAGTTACTTTGTATTATTGGTTCGTTCAAGACTCGACAGTGGCTCCTTGATAGGCCACTGCAGCTAATGGGTCTTTCCGTAAGCTCGATCGGTGATAATGGCGGGTTGACGTCACGGCCGTTTCCCCTGGATATGCTAATAGTGGACGGGTGGCATTCCTTGTGTACGGCACGAAGAACCGATGCGAGTCGAGAAGCGGCGATTGACACGGCAGACGTGTGCGTTAAACTCGGAATTGGTTGACTGGTTATAGGTAGAGAAGAAAAAAAAGGGGTCTAGAGGCGGGCGGTCAAGATGTCAACTTTGTCGTCAGTCCAAGTCGAGTCGAGTCGAGTCGAGTCGAGTCCAGCGCAGCGCGGCAAGACTATCGCGACCAGCTCTCCCTGGGCAGAGTAGCGGGGCACACTGTAGAACAGCGGTCTCTCATATGAACGGCAAGGACATTCACTCGACCGGAGTGACGAGCTGGGAGCCAATGCCCGCGGAGCAAGCAGAGCTGTCAGCAAATCGCAGAGCGAAACAGGTGTGAGATATTGACGAGGCAAAGACGGGGAGAGGGAGGAGACGGCTTGTTCTCGTCGTGTCTCGGCTTCAAATGGTATTTTTGGCAGCTTCTCTTTCTCTCTTCTCCTTCCTGGGCGGCGCCTTTTTGGCCTGTCTTAATTTCCTGGCCTATTGCTAGTGAAAAAGGGTCCATCAGACTCGAGCTAAATAATTTTGCAGGGATTAGTCTTGCTGAACCCCACCATCCATTAACCGCTAGAATTTCAATGGAATTGAAAGAAGTTGCTGCATTAAAGTACGTGCGTAGGTATTCGCAGGTACCATGATGAGTAGTACATATGTATGTGTGTTTTTCTTGTATCTTTGAAGGTCGCTAAACATACCTTGGTCGTTGCTTTTGGTCTTTCCTTCTTCTTTCTTTCTTCTTCTTGTTCATATAACCTTCATATTGCGTTAATTTCCCCGTCTGCCAAAGTCTTGTTTCTTTTCCTCTTTACAGCTGCCGACGTTAACGGGCGCAACGGCTTGGACCCGACTTGGCAGTCACTGACGCTGCAATGTCAAGTGCTCATGGTGCACGTTCATGCCTTGGAAAAAAAAAGGGCGAATCTGAAAGGGACATTGAACGAACAAATATATATTCTTCTTGCATATTTACCACCTTCTCTCTTTCTCCAATAGAGGAAACCCCACAAGAAGAAGAAGATGACGACCTCGAATTGCCCTCTGTAGCCACATGCTAAGAGGGTGGCAGGCATAGCTCAGCTCAAAGAGGCGACTTGAGATCATGACCTATCCTCATGTGCGTGACCTCGTCCGGGCAAACTTGAATCAACCATCCGTTTCACCCAATCATCGGCACCCTTCTTCTTTTTTTTTTCCTGTCATCTCAAACTGCAGGACGTGGCGACAATGCCAGCTGTCCCTGCATTGCATAAACGAAGGGGGAAACGAATGAACCCATTAACCTACCCGTTGCCCGCCCAAGACGCCAGCACCCACAGTCATGCACACCAAGTTACTCCAATTCGTGAAGTTGTTTGAGTAAAATAAATCTCCGACAACCGCGGCCCGCCAAGAAAAATCGATGAACATGCAAGATCTACGTATCGGACGCGTGCAAACATCCGCAGCCCTTTTCAAATCCAATCGAAAGCCATCCCAGCTGCTTTGTCGGTATCCCGCCAGTTCAAAGAGTGAGTTCAGTCAGGAGACGATATTTACTATGCTTAGAATGGAGGACGCACATGAGGCGCTCGAGTTGCGGATTTCGGTCACCGCCGACGATAAGCTGACACATACGGTCAAGTAGCCCTGGAGAGGCCAATAGTGTCCTGGTTTGTGAATGAACCAACAATTGTCAGCCTCAGCCATTTGAACAGGCCGCAAATCAAGGCGTTTCGCAATACTGCATCAAAAGTCCTCAGTCCCACCAAAACCTCCCCAACCAACCTACAACCCCCTTCCTCTTCCTGAGAGGCGGCTCTGGGTTCGCTTTTGCAATAGCAATAAAGGCAGCAACCGGCACCTTGTCTAGCGGCACTATACTGGTCTTCTTGAAAGCCTTCCATCCAAAATAGAGCACCAGGCACAAGGGAATGGTGAAATATGACGAGAAAAAGTCGGACACGTCCCACTGGCCGTCAACCTAGCTTGCAAGCTCAGTAAAATGAAAAAACTTACAAGGCCATCGATATTGGCTACTTTAAGGAGTGAAGCAACTTACAAAGACATAGAACCCGCCAGTGAGCATGATGAAACAGCTGAACCACAAGACCACATGTGCAAGATACGGCTGCAATGGAGCCGAATACGGCAACTCGTGCTGAACTCGCAATTAGGGTCAGATATACTTATACATTGGCCTTTCTCGACCCATGCGATCCGTGTTCCAGAGGCATGAAAGAATTATCTGTTCTAGACTCACTTGTGGGATACCCTGGACTGCCATGGCCCGTCTTACACGGAGCGAGCAAATACCAATCACAATCCACACCGCCAGCGTCGAAGAAGCAGTCAAGTTGGAGAGCCACCCAAACACCGTATTAGACCCCGAGTTGAGCGACATGTAGGCCAGGAACATGAAGGAACTCTGGAATATGACGCACAGATAGGGAATGCCCCATCTCGAAGTCCTCTGGAAGAAAGCCGGCGCCTTGCTCTCGAGCGCTAGTGCGTATAGCGATCTCGACCCTTGGAGTAGACCGTGATTGCCCGAGGACCAAGCCGACGTGATGACCACGGCGTTGATGATGCTTGGTAGAACTCGGACGCCGGCTTTCTGCGCAGCGATGACGAATGGAGACTGGGCTGCATTCCCGGTGGACGTGAGAAGCCGGGGATCATTCGATGGAACAATCAAGCCCACGACGAACAGCGATAGAATATAAAAGACAAAGACTCGGACGAATATACTGCATCATAGAAGGTCAGTATAGGCCCATAAGAGTATACGAAACCAGATCAGACAGCGTCTACAGTCAGTACGTTCGGAAAAAATGAGACCCGCCTGGTGAAAGTATGAAAGAATACCTAACTGCTTTGCGGCTCGTGGTATATTTCGCCGCGGATTCTTGGTCTCGGCCGCTGCGATAGAGGTCGTCTCGACTCCAGCAAAAGAGTAGACCGCATTAACAAAGACGGAGAAGAAGCCACACTATTCCGCCTCTGTCAGGCTGCCATCCATGGCTCTGAGAATTGACATGAAGTAAACACTCACAAATCTGCCAACTGAGCCTTGGACAAGATATCCTTCTCCAAACGCACCAGGCTCAACCCAGTACCAGAAACCCAATCGTGGCTGTCCAGGTACACCGCCAAGATCGTATATGAGTCCGAAGAAGATCAGCCCAATTATGAGAGCAATCTTGAGCATGGCAGATACCAGTTCCACCTCGCCAAAGATGCGGATAAGAAATATGTTGGTCAAAAAGGAGACAACTATACATTGGTTGTTAGCTTTCCGGATCTTTCCAGTATTTCAAGGCGATACTGCTCGAGCCAAAACACTCCCAGTCAATATATTTTCAACAGGAGAGACGAAAGGTCATCTCAGTCACCTGGGGAAAGGGGAAGAAGAGGTAGGGGGACAAAAAGAAAGAAAAAGAAGACTTGCCGAGACATATGGCAATAACGATACCCGAGTGCAGGTCCGTCCAATATCGCACAATGGTACTAACGGCCACCCACTCGCTCGGAACACTCACACAGGGCCCGTAGACGGCGACCCAGCCAATGGCAAAGGAGAGGGCCGGGTCGACAAAATACTCGGCGTGGCGCACGTAGGCGCCCGAGACGGGGGCGAGCGCCGACAGCTCGGCCAGGCATAGCATAACGCAAATGACGAGACCGCCAATGATTGCGTAACCCTATATAGAGAGACCGGGGGAGAGAAAGCCCCCCTATGGATCAGCGAGTGTTGCTATTTCTCCTCCCATTCTTGACTCCCCACAAGAGACTTGTTCATGAAATGGAGTATGGGACACTGGAACAAGGTGAAATAGACACACGATTAAAGTGCCGACGGGGCCAGCACGCTGTATGGACTTTCCACTGCCCAGAAACAAACCCGTTCCAATGGCACCAGCGAGGGCAATCATCTGTTGTTGTCGTCATTGTCGTTTTCAGTATACTTTTCTTCTACAATTGATCTTCCTTGGGAAAAGTACGACGGGAACTCCAGAGAGCAACAAACCTGTATGTCTATCTCCAAAATTAAAACCATGTTCTTCAGCTACCAAGAGCTTATATTCCGGTCAAGTGGAATGAAAAATGAACGTGCAGGATCCTGGAGTTTCACGACTTACGACGCTGGCTTAACCCTCTCTTTACCCCCTCCACCCTCATGAACCTCGCATCGATACCTGGGGGGATGACATCGCGGTCATCATTCATGGGATGGTGTCGACTTTCCGCTTGCCCTCCCTTTGTCTCCAAGTCCTCCACGTCGGGCCGCCGCCGCCCCATGGCCTCGATTGAAGGGCCGCGTGTTGGGTATCGGTTCTCCTCTTCCACAGATGTATTCGCTGGTATCTGCGGCATCATGAAATTTTTTCGTTAAAGAATATCTTGCTCTTGCTGGGAGAGAATACAGTCGGGGTTTTATCCGAATGAAAAGTCAAACCGCCCCTGTTTATGTTACGATTGTGTGTCCATGTGTGCAATAAGTGAAGGGCAGAGTGAGCAGATAACGGTGATGCGAGTCCCGCACTCCCCATATGCACGTTTGTGCATGTGGTTACCCTCTTGTCCTTTCCCCCGCAGCAAAGAAGACGGATAACGAAAGGGCACGAGGGTTATAAGTTGTATGGTTGGTTAGTTGTCGGAGGAGCTGGCGCACCAATCACCGCACAGCATAATTTCTCGGGTTGGTCCTATTTCTGAAAATTATGTACGTCTTGCTCATTGGAACGTAAAAATAGTAGTAGTAATAGTAGCAGCAGTATGGATAATGAATCTGCCACATGAATGTTCCGGACGAAAAATGGGTGAGATGGTACGTGGTCCAGCACCATGATCATCACCAAGGCATTGGTTCAAGTCCGGATAACTTAACCAAGCATCATTAATGACGTTAACCCGAGCATTTTTAAGCATTCACTGCCTATTTTCATTTCTGTCTTTCTATGAGACTGCGGACTCTGCATGTGTTGGATGATGTGAATGTCGTACAAGGATTCATGTGGAACGGACCGATATTTTGGATCTTTCTTTTTGCAGCCTTTTTTTTTATTTTTACTTGCGCAATCATTGGCACCTTCGAGGACCACCTTGATTTCGGCGCCTAGTTTCTACATCATTAGGAAACCCCCTTCTGTCAACCTCTTTCCACCCTCGGAGGCAGAGTTGCTCGTATATTTCTCATCGTTATGTGGTGCATCGCTGAAAACAATATCGCATGTCCTTCCAAACATCCAGGAAGGATTATTGTAAGAAGACCCCCCCAATTCCGTTCTCAAAACGCCGTTGATAGTCGGTGTTAATGTTCAAGCAGGAGTCTGAAAAGTGTTCACATTGGTATCATTGGGCTGTATGCCGCGCGGAGTATGGGGGGGGCGTTCTAATGACCATTGAATTGGTCTTGCGAAACACTCGATTCTACATTATGGTAATCAAGGATCTCGGAGTACCTGGTCGCTCGGACAAGTTAGTCAGTTATAATCCATGGGCGGCCAGAAAAGGGGTTGGGGCCTCCGCAATGTACTCACATCATGATCTTCCAGGTGTCGACTGGCAGATCAGCGTCGTTGAAGCTCCAGTCAAACTTCTCCTCGGCCACGGGCTCGTCGGAGGGGTCATGGTACGGAGCAAGGTATTCGTGGGCCAAAGCTTCCGTAGCTGTTATCCGCTTCTTGGGGTCGAAGACGAGCATGCGCTCAAGGAGATCAATGGCTAAACAGAATGGTCAACATACTTCAAAACATTCTATGCTGATAGGGGGAAAGCTTCTTACCGGCAGGGTCTGCGTTCTTGAACTTGTTCTTCAACGGTTGCCTCTCGCGCTTGGGTAGCGACTTGACAAATCTGAGCGTGTTCTCGCTAGCAATGGTGTTGATGACATCATCCGGAGGGGTTCCCAGAAGCTCTGTAATGATGGAGAATTGGTTGACATGATCCTTGCCGGGGAATAGGGGCTTGCCCTCGAGCATTTCAGCAAAGATGCAGCCAGCACTCCAGATGTCCACCTCAACGTCGTATTTTTGCCATGTGAGCATGATCTCGGGGGCGCGGTAGTATCTGGTGGAGACGTAGCCGGTCATCTGCGGATCCTGAATACGCGCGAGACCAAAATCGCAGATCTTCAGATCGCAATTCTCGTTGACAAGGATGTTGCTGGGCTTGAGGTCACGGTGAACAACACCAGCAGAGTGGACATACTTGAGGCCACGCTATTTTGAAAATTACTTGTTAGTGTCCGCCTCTGCGTTGTGCTCAAGGAATAGATCATGACGTACCATGATCTGGTACAGGAAGTACTGGATGAACTGCTTCTCCAGAGGCCTGGAAGTCAAGAGTCGGTGCAAATCGGTGCCGAGCAGCTCGGTAACAAAGTAACTAATTCACAGATCAACTGCGCCGTTCAGTAGGATTCACAAGGGTGCATGCGACACCTACAGATCTTCTAGGGGCGAGATGAAGATGTCGCTAAGGGAAATAACGTTCTCATGTCTCAAGTGCTTCAGAAGCTTCAACTCTCGGTAGGTTCGCTTGGCAAGAACTGGCGTGCTAAAGGGCTTCATAATCTTTTTGATGGCGACATTTTGGTTGGTGAGCTGGTCTCTCGCGGAGCTAGATGGCGGAAAAGATCTAGTCAGCACCTAGACAATTGGGAACAAGAATCCAATAAAATGGACAACGATTCGAACATCGTTGTCCAAGGAGCATGTCGAAACAAGGCTGGCTCACCAAACAAGACCGAATGCGCCCATACCAACAGGCTGGAGATCCGAATACCTGGCATCACATGTTAATCGAAGACCGTGCAAGTCTCGCAGGATATGACCGCATACCTCGAGGTGATCTCGAAGGTGGTTCCAAAGATCTGGGCTCTTATAAACTCGGCCATGGTGACGCTGAATATGTAATCGGGCGGCGAAGGCGGCAGACTAGTTGGTCGCGGGTGGTAGACGCGATAGGAGAGGGTGGTAATTTGCAGGAGCGGGGTAGAAGCGCTGCTGCGACACGAGTTGATGATGTAGTTGAGAAGATGAGAACGTAGTCGTTCGGTCGGGTTGGTGTAGTTGTGCTTTCCCCTGGATGATTGATGATAGGATGGGGAAATGAACAAGACGATGGGAAAGTGAAAAGGCGAAACAGGATTTGCAGAGTCGGGGCTCTGGATAAGGTTCTTCCACGCAAAAGACTGCGCCTAGTTGCTTGGGATCGCGATCGAGGAGCAAACGTTTCCGGACAGGTGGATGCCGGGTGGTTTTGTGGTTAGCGGCCTAGAGATGCCTGAGAGTAAAGGTACCTAGGCAGGTGTGCTAGGTTACTGCGTAAGTAATATGCTGTGGAGGTGGGACGTGGCAGTTGGCAACCAACGTCAGGTTCTGAACAGGTTTTTTTTCCCTTGCAAATTGGAAGAGGGGGAAAAATGGAAGGCGACCAAAACTCGAGTAGTTAATTTTCTTTCGTAGAAATATGCTAGCTCCGGATCAAGCGAAATTTCTTGTGTGTGTTGCAGCTGATTGATGTGTATTTCCGGTGACTGAGTTGTTTGACTCGTGCCAAAACGGTTTGGGAGGCGATGTCAATGTGATTTCCACCAAAGAGGAGAAGAAAAAAACACCTGAATCACAGCTTCCCGTCGGGACACCAGAAAGCGGAATCTTGTCCTTTGAGTGGCGTGCGCACGTTTGTACGAGCACAAGTTTCTGCGATTCAGAATTCCATGTTTAGCATTCACTCTACCAGGGTCTTGAAAGCCAGAATTGCATCTCTAGGGTGGTGGCATTCCCGTCATGGGGTAGGAAGTATACAAGCGACCGACCAATCAGCGCCCAGCAATTCGACGCCTGGCTGGCTGAGTCAAGCTGACAGTCTCTGAGTGCCATATACCTGCAGACAATATTATGTGCAAAGCAAAAGACACTTGCCCTTCTGCAAGTATCGTATCGTAGCACAAGTCAAGTGCAAAAGGTACCATAATCAGCTGGGGAATTCACTAACCACTAGCGAGAGAGGGAAAGAGAGAACGAGGCTCTTATGCAAATAGGCAGGCAGGCTCGCGACCACAGCAACGTATGTAGTGAGATCTCCAGGTGCGACGTTTCGACACGTAGAAATGTTTGGCTGTTGGAGTTTTCGTGAGTTTGGTATAGGCGGCACTGCCAATCTTCCTGTATCTATTTGTTGAGGCAGGGAGATGGTAAATCGTCTCGCAGTTTGCGCAAATGTATGCTACCAGTCAACGTCGCTAGAGAGTCGCAATGCTTCTGGCTCAGTGTCGCCCTCTTCTATTGTGCGTATATGTGGCCGTTCAGTGTGTCAAAGCCAGAGAGGTGAGATGATCGTGCTGCGACAAAAGTCGGACAAGCTCGAATGCCAGTTGAAGCTATCGGTGGTCAGGGAGAGGCAGAGAGGCTCCTGGGACTGGCACGAGCGAAGGACGAGGGGAGGGTTAAGAAGGTGAAGGATAAAAACTTTTCAGCACAAATCAGTCAGGGCAAAAGAGGGGAGAGATGGGAAACTCGACAGTGTGAAAGCAGGTTTCTGTATGATATGGAATTTCAGTGACTGGATTGTACTATCCGATGTCGTGGACCCTGGACTGGAAGGTCCATCATGAACTGGTTGACTCGCACCAGCCCACTATGCCTGCCTGCCATGGCGAGCACAAGGTCCCGCTCTGTTCCTGACATGCGCGATCCTTGCACATCCATGATTGTGAGTACTGTATGTATAGTGTGCCATCCTGTCTGTCCATAGTCAAAACACTGCTTCATCCCGATTGGGCCAGCTGAACCGTGAAATGCCACGATGTTGACCACGGGTGCGGGTTGGTGTTTCTCTACCTTCGGTACGCCATGTTCACTGATACCTGTCCCGCCATGTACTTTTAGCTCAACACACCAGACTCCCCACGGTCTGGTTCCACGGACGGGACTGGGCTCGTTAGTGAGGGGTACCACCGGCGAGACTGGAGGTGCTTTTGCAATCCCTCATTGGCTGAAATCCCGGAAAGCCAGCAGTTGAGCCACTCAAAGCGCGTCCGTTGCCATGACATCATAACTTTGGATGAAGCCCAGCAAGGAGCAGGGATAAGCCGCTGGGCTAGAGAGACAAGCGCCGCAGGATCACTAAACGGGCGCTGCGCTTGGGACCCAAGGCTTGGTTCCGCTGCCGGCAGCAATCGAAAATTAGCTGCTTAATCGACGATCCAGAACACTTTCGGACCCCATGTCTCTGTCACTGGCCATCGTTCTCAAGTGTTCGAGGCTCTTACCAGCACCCAAATACGCCTAGGGCATATGGTGCTGATACAACCTGAGCGTCACGTATTTTCCTTTCAATGCTTGCTTGTTTACTTGTGATGGAACAACCGGCGGTCTGAGGTTTTACCACTGAATGAATTCTCGTTGGTACCCGAGGTAAGGTAGGTAGCAACTTGCAATAAGTAGGCGCAACATGGTAACCTGCCTAGGCACTTTATCTCGCAATCTTTCATCCAGACTGCTGTCCCGAGGCATTTATTACTACGTGTACTCAATGCTTTGCGCTCACCTGAACTTACGTGTATCGCACGATTTACAAAGGACCACTGTGCCTCTTCACCCCTCAGGCTTCGCCCATGGAAAATATGTCGACGAAAGACAATTTGAGAATATTATATGTAATATAATGAATAATCATTATCACTCTGGTGCATTTTATTGAACCCTTAGCTAGGGTCTGTCCCAATATATTATGTACAGTTTACAGACTATACTCATGTACATAGTACGCATCACTGCATGCGCTTCAGGTTCAGTCATCTGCAATAGAAAAAGAAAGAAAGAAAAAAAACTTGCCCATTGTCCAATCTATTGATTGCATGATTAACAAACCGACTCCACAAGCTGCAAGAGTCCCCCGGAGGGTAAGGTCCTAGCCTGTAACAGCTTGCCCTGGCAAACGCCTTGCAGAAATTCGTACAGTCGAGTTCCAAGCTTGCCATGAAGATACCATGTACATACTGCAGCCCAGGCAATAAAAGCTTGGCACACTGACAAGGTCACTTGCCCTTCACCAAATTGGATCTGCCTGCCATAGGAAAAATAAGGTCACCAGCGTAAGCCTATTTACTCTCAGGTCTAAGACAGCAGAAGGGGTCTGTCACGATGCCATTGATATACTATTATTCCCCAACACTGATTTGGGCATCAAAAGCGCCAACTGTATGTTCCGCCTAGTAAGTAGCGCATCAAATGCATTTAAAACAAATGGAGACATCCATTTATTGGTTCGGACATGCTGCTTGTAGTGTACCAGTCTTGCCAGTGTACTGCTCTGCTGTGTATGATCTGGCGCTTTCCACGATGCCCCGCTTGACTACCACCATGCATTGCTGTGGATAGGGTTATGGTATAAGTGACGTCACAGTTTTGAAATCTGATGTTGACCCGCCGTCCTCTTGCGCTGCGATATTTTTGACTCTTTGCGTGATCCATTCATTCTGTACGATAGCCATGGCAGTCATGACAGAATACGTACAGAGTCATTCCGCAATGGATCCCATCTGTGGAGTCTAGTGACTTGCCCATCATGAAAGTCACACGCAACTCGTGATGGTTGTTGTTGTTGTTGTTGTTGTTGACACTCAGAAACTCATGTTAGCTTTCGGATGGTTGCAGACCAAGAGATCTTATCCTAGTTACTCCAACGTTGGATCTACCGCTTTGCCACCTCCGGGATGATCTCGAGATCTATCTGTTCTTGTAAGTTTTTATGATTCGTCTGGTCCCTGACGATCTGCTGCCGGAATAGGAAACTCGTCGGGTCCATCTCTTCCTATGTCAAGGCTTCTTTCCAGCCAGGCTTCTAGAACGAGACCCTGGCGCTCTTTATCCCACCACCATCCAAACAACATTGCTACTGGGCGCGAAATAGCATGCAAAATGAACGGGGTTTTATTGCTTCTGCCATTGCATACCGATCGAGCGCAGTGTATCCGTGATACGTGGGGGAAACATCTTTGACATCCTACAGGGTTTTGTTATGCAAAGCATAGCGTCTACTGACTTCTGCCCGAGTATCTGGAGACTACCATGCTCGACCCCTTGACGGAAAGATCGCCAGGCATGTACCCTTTTTTTTCTCTTCCAAAAATCCTACCTGCTCAGTCACAACAATATTGTAATATCCACCTTAACGCCAAGGGAGTCTGGACCCAAGACTTCGGGTAAGGTCGTCTTTACGGGCAAGATATCCAATGGCCGCTAGAGCAATGTTGGCATTAGCCTGGCTCTGCCCATCAAGCCTAGGGACCCTGCCTTGCTGGCATTTGTATCCGGGTACTCATGTATTGCACACCGGGGTTTTTGACTCTGCATGTACCCGTTCCCCTTCTCCTTGTTCTCCCCGTACCCAACATCACACAAGCGGTCTACACGGCAAGTGGGCATTTGCGGTGTGCTTGGGCTTGTGCCGGCCTATACACTAGAATCTGGATGGATGCCGCTGCTACGTGGAGGGAGACACGAACCGAGCTCGGGGTCTAGTCATATCTCCAAAATCCCTACCTTACGTGCAATGTGTGAAGAATGAATAAAACATTATCAATGTCCGGCTATTTATGACACTAGTAAATAAGAGCGACAGGTTTCGGGTAGACTCTTGACCAATATTCATTCATTGAGTATCTATTTAGCTGTACGATTTCCTCCAGTATATTCCTCCTGCTTTCCCACTCGTCACGTACGCTTCAGAGCGGCACTTCTCCACTGTAGAAATGAGTCAGCAAAATATTTCAATATTTGAACCTTGATTGGATTGTATACCTTTGAGTTCAAGAAGTAGACCGGAATGCCGAGCGCAAAAATTCCGGAGAAGATGCCGAGGAGCTGGTGAAAGAGAAGTTGTGAGTGATAAGCCACAAGCATGTTCGAGAGAGCAAAGAGTCGATGAGGTAAGGAAAAAAAAAAAAAACTTACGATCATAAAGGCCTTGAGGTACGAATAAATGTTAAGCATGGGAATGAGACCGTACGCGGCACCAAAAGCAATGATATTCTTGCCTCCCACCACCGGCACCATGGCGGCACCGGGGTTCTCGGGGAATACTTCGGCAGCAAAGCTCGTAGTGGTGATAAGAACATTGATGAAGGAGAACTCATATATGGCCCAGGCTACAAGGAAACGAACTGATCAGCACTTGTTGCACAACGTCTATTTGAGACACAGAAAATTACTTACCAATCACCAGACCCCAGGCAGAGTATGCTTGCGGGTCATTTGCGCAAACGCCAAAAACAATAATACCAACAGCACCCGTTAGATACGGAACAATAAGATGAATCAAGTGGTGTTCGGGGCGATGAACGCCGCCGTTGCGGGCTGCGAGGCGCACATTGATCTTGTCGGCCAGCCATCCCGAGTGCAGCATGGCCAAGAAGGACGCCGGAATGATACCAATGTTGAACAGGCCGACCGACGAGGGGGACCATCCATAAGACTCCTCGAGAATCGTGCTGTAGATCAAAGTAATGGCGACGCCAATGCCGAGCGAGATGGAGCTGGCCAGCATGGCAAAGATGACGCCAGGGGAACTCAAGCTCTTCAAAATCTTACCATAGGCACCGACCCAGATCTTGAAGCCGTTGTCGGCCACGGGGCTCCACGGCTTGAGCTCCTGCAAGAACGAACGCTTCCGGGCCACGGCGCCGTTGCTCACTGGCTGGGCAATGTCGCCGAACCGCTCACGGGCATCCTCGTCGCTCAAAAAGTGCGTGGTGCCAAACTCGTCCGTGTAGATGATTTGGCCATTGACGCTGGATGCCGGGCGCTGGAATCGCGTTTCCGGCAGAAGGAAGAAGGCAAACATGATTGACAGGCCAAGTGTGATGGCAAATAGCCAGTAATACCACCTCCAGGTTCCTGCCGCCGTGAGGTACGAGAGTCCGATCTGCAGTCCTGCGCTCACGCAGTTTTGTACCGACCAGTAGATGCCAAAGTAAAACGAGCGCTCGTCGAGGAAGGTCGCGTCGGATATGATCAAGGGAAGAAGCTTCATGGATATGTTAGTACATCTTCATGATGATGAGTTCGGGACACGACAAGAAGCTTACCGACTCGGTAGCTCCCGTGGCGAGGCCAAGGAAGATCCGGCTGATAAAGTGGCCTTCGTAACCTTGACTCGACCCAGCCGTGAGAACAGTGATGAATGCCAATATAACCGAGAAGAGGAAAACCGGACGCCGACCGAAAATGAAGGCGAGCGGCAAGAGACCAAAACTTCCTATGGTTACTGGTTATGTCTTGTTCCTTGCAACTGTGTGGACTTCTCCATGCTATTACTAACCAAAAGCCATGACCATGGTAGGGTAGGTGCTCAATCCAGTGATCTCTTCAGCAGTATGTGCCGGCATATACATTGCGTATAGTGTGTTCATAAAGGTTCCGGTACCGCTAATGGAAAGCAACGAAAAGATGGCTAGAATGAAGACAACTTTGTTAGAGATATGCCATCATTCCGACTCAATTGAAGTATCATTTCATCAAAACATTTCACTTACCGAACCAGCAGCAAGTTCCAACCACTCCAGCCTTTCGCCATTTGGGCCAGTTGAGAGGATCATTGGGGTCATCGGTGGGAATTGGAATCTTTCGAACCTCGTGGTTTTCTCCAATCAATACAATATCGCCCTTGTTGTGTTGTTGCTGCCCAAGCGACTTCTCGGGAAACTCGCCCGCGGTTTCGATCTGAGCCGATTCGACCTTCTCCATGGCTAGTGAATCCCGTTTTGGAGTGTATACCTTTTTTTCCAACTGGTATTTCCTATACGATCCCCCTTGCACAGGCCGAAAGTGGAAGTCCAGTCTCTTTGGATCGTAAGTTCAACATACGACTTTCTGGGGAAATGGATGCTTTCATATATCTGTGTATCAGCTCTGTCGGAATGTGACCATTTGCCCCCCTTTCAGTGGTCGAGACTACTATTCGGAGCACATAGCCATATCTTTTCAATTTCTCCACACGAATCCTCCCCGTCCGGGGTAAATTTACTCCCCCAACCTTTACTCCACGCTCGTCGGTTCGGCCTTGGTGGACGCTAACCCCAGACAGCCGCAGCTGGTTTAGAGACCGCATCCACTATCATGGCTAATCGTCCAATAACAGGCATTCCGATCATGGCACTGATCCATATTCTCGGTGTCTTGACCCAACTGGTTGGGTCTTGTGATTCCGGGCCGACTGTTGCCAAGACCGGGGTAGGCCATTATGAATTTGGATTCCGAAGACTATTTACCTAGGAAATAAAGATAAGGTCTAGAATCTACTTGTGATTTGTCTAAGGCGTTGAACGGGGTTTGATATGAAAATCTAGGCTCCCGTTCCCAGGGAGTTGAATCATGGTTGATCCTTGCTGGAACTCGATACTCACCTTGGAGACAATCAGACAGGCTCGTCCATATAAACTACGGGCTTCGCTTTTGGGTTGTAGCTCTATCGTTGGAAATACATGTTAGAAGTTCGTAGACTTCTCCGCCATCTTGATCCGGATCAAGATCCGAAGACATGTATATTCGAACAAAGCCGGAAATTCCTCAGTCTTCTGTTTCGGCAAATGGAAAACAAGTGCTAGTAGTTCCCGAATGGCATGTGTCGTACTGAACTTTTTTTTTTTTTTTGCCAGTTGCGTGGACATGAGGATACAAGGATACGTCCCGTCGGTTTCGAAAGGTACAGATTTGAATGTCGGCGGTAGTCACGAGATGCTTGACATGAATAAGATGCCCCGTTTTCGTCTGTTGCAACTCGTGCCAGCCTTTGGCTCGTGGAACAGTCCTGGCACTCTCAGCCGCAAGCGCCGCGCGATACTCGGGTACAGCACTGAACTGAGATAGTGCGTACAGAGACCGGACTTTTATATCCGTGCCAACCCTGTTTTACACCAAAAGTCACCATATTCAAGTGTTCACCAATAACCTGAAAAAAATCGTAAAATTAAGCTAGAACCAATAATCTATTTATATTTAATAGAAAAGCATTTTGTATTATTTGATCTTTCTATTTT